GTTGTTAATGATGATGTCGATACATGTGCCAGCTGAATAATTACCAGAGGAGGGATCATTGCTCTTTGGCTTCTGCGGGAGTGGGATGTACGGAACAAGCTGGTTGCTGTTCCAATGATGACGAGGTAGAGAGATCAATGGTTGCCTCGGGCCTGTCGCAGAACCTGTCTGTGGAGACCACGATGTTCGATTGATGTATGACTTGGGATGATAAGAATTCAAGGCGAGCTTCTCAGTTTTGGTATAAATGACAATGGGTCCTTGACTTGGTTCTGGAAGCTTGAACGCGGCCTCGTCGTCCATCTTTCCGGTAGCTGACTCAAGGTCAAAGTGGATCAGCTCATCGTCATGATGTTCAGTGTAGACATGCTCGTGGGTCTCAGAGCGAGCCATTGGTCGATGAATCCTTGACACAGCTCTTGATCTCAGCAGAGGAAATTCTTGATTCGGGTTCAGGGCAGGGTTGGGAAGTTTAAAGTTTCTAGACACAGGTTCAGTAACAAGAAGTACATTGTCAGTTTACACGATCCTTACTCAGGGTCCAGTTGAATTTTGATCTTGGGCGATAGGATGGATGTCATCGTCCACTCAAGGAGGAGATCGATTCGTTCTCCTGGATAAAGTGTGCCTACCGAGTTGTATCGGCCGTTATCACCGATGATGTTATCTCCATCCATCGATAGGGGCACGACTTTTGCCCCCTTGAACTGTAAGGTAAAGCCAGCGAGAGAGCTATCTTCCGTTATCCTGTGCTTCCGAGAAGAGGGATGTGTTGCATGGAATCTTACCCCACGTTGACAATCCTGAGACGAATCTTTCCTTCTTTTGAGTCCCTGTTCAAGATAGGAAGACTATCAGTGGATTTCACAGGCCTACAATCAACAGGCCGTGCTGGGATGGCCATTGAGCAGTTGAAGTGCCCTTTGCCATTGATAAGAAGAGAATCGGGTACAGGCTGTGCGAGTTTTAGCTGTCCACAGGGTCGATGGCCACCAATCAGGATGATTGCTTACCTCGTTTCCGATCGCGATGACACTGGTGAACCAAGTCAGTAGATCCTGCGCATTCTGGTGGTACCAGTCTCCAATCAATAGCAATGATTCGAAATGCAGTTTCTCTTCTTGACTGGCTATTGGCTGGTGCACGATAAAGCCTCCATAGAGCCCATCTCCTCTTTGCAATTGTGAATGAGCGTGCCACCAAAAGGTCCCAGAAAACTCTTCGTTGACTTGGAACTCGTAGGTAAAGGTGTCCCCGGCCGAGATTGAGGACTGAGTGAAGCCAACAGCCCCGTCCATGTGGTTCGCGCTCTTCATTTCTAGTCCATGCCAATGAATAGCCAGTCCCTCGTTGTCAAGAGCATTGGTGACGTGAACAAATAGGAAATCGCCTGTTCGGCACTCGATTATCGGCCCTGGGAAAGCACCATTGACCAGATAGACATGCTTCTTGACTCCATCTGGGTCTCGAATAGCAGACGTGATTGTGAAATTGTAGCTCAAGATCCGAGACTCTCGATAAACATGCTCTTCAGGGTGACATGGGATTGCCAACCCATCGCTAGTTCGTTCATGTGCTATGAACTCTTTGGTTCGCGTTGAGAGGTTTCCAGTAGGACCATAACCCAGGTATACGAAGACTGAGACGAAGATTAAGATCGCTAGCATTAGTAATGGTTTGGTTTCTATCTTGTTGGAACTTGTCGACTGCTGATATCCATGACTATCTTCGTCGGTCGAGCCTTGACCAGCACCCTGCTCTTCGCTATCAGGTGGAAATTGATCAATCTCTGCCACACGCGCTTCATCGTTCAGGGGCAGTCTCGCAGACTCATTAGAGGCCTTGTAGGTGTAGGTGGAATTTCTCCTGCTTAATCCCTCCGAATCATCATACTCCATTCTTCTTCCGTCGAGAAGTGCTGTCTATATCGACGTTTGGTGTTTCGCTTCATCTACATGCAAGGCCTGCGTTTGTCAGGCGACCTGTACAATCGACAGATGCAGTGTCATGTTTGAGGATCACTGGCCGTGGCTCGGTCATGTCAAACTAGTTAGCAGTCTCCCGATCAAGCCACAACCAAGTTAATAGTTGGTGTTCTGGCTTCCATCCTCAAAAGGGTCATGATTGAGTATCCCGGCCGCGCCTCGGTCCACGGAAGGATCCACCACTTCAGTAACTTGGCTAACAGAAATGGGATATACTCACAAAAGTAGCCTCGGCCTCGTATGCTGTAGTTCTACGTCGAATAGTTCATTTAGCATTTCATTTCGAAGGAAATCTATTCGCATAATGTAGACGTAAAGTGGCACTCCTAACTTGAGTGAGTGTTACACTTTGGTCGATTCGCGACAGATTGAAGGTTCGCTATTCACTGCTTATTCCGCAACCATATCGACCTTACCAATTGTCAGAGTCCCTCGCTCATCAACCATGGTGGAAGCCTGGATGAAGCTGCAGCGTATCACTGTGGCAACATGTGCACTCATGGTGTTACAAGTCAGTTGCGGCTCTCTCTCCGATATCGACCATGTCATCTTGTTCATGCAAGGTAAACTTCCCAATTCGCGCTCGGTAACGTTCGTTAGTTGATCAGCATCAGAGAATCGGGCTTTTGATCATTATTTCGGCACGATGGCTGGCGTTCGTGGGTACTCAGACCCAAATGTCCAGATCAATCCAGATGGCAGAACCGTTTGGCAACAAAACATCAATCTCAACGTGACAAGCAATTTGGATGTCCAAATCGACGTGACTGGTCAAAGTGATTGGCAACTAAATGGGTCCTCGGCGAAAGGTGCAGACTACCTACTACCATTTTATCTGAACTGGGAGGGTGGGAATAGCACCGAGTCAACTCAATGTATGGTGGCAGGTGATAATGGGTGGCAGGATAACCAAGCGGCTCTTAACGGTGGCCTCAACAACCAATGGGCTACGAACAACACTGGATGGAGCTGGGGCTTTTTCAAGAGGTCTGATATTCCTGTTCAATATGCCATTGCCGACGGATGGATTGTGGGCGACATGTACCAAGAGTCTGTTATCGCCTCGACTGCTCCAAACCGTGTATTCTGGATGTCTGGCTCCATAAATGCTCCTGGTTCACCTCAGAGGCCTGATCAGGGAGGAAATCCATATATAGACAATGTTTTCATCCCTGGATGTGATGAAGGAGGCTTTAACTGTTATCCTCTCATGTGGAAGACCTGCCCTGAGCACTATGAAGAGGCCGGAGTTTCGTGGTCAATTTTCCAGGACATTGATAATTTCGACGACAATGCATTGTCTTATTTTGGACAATATCAAACTGCTGCCAACGACAGTAATTTACACCTCAAAGGTGTGGCAGGTGAACCACTCAACGAGTTCTATGCCCGTGCAGCAAACGGGACACTTCCCAGCGTGTCTATCATTGTCGGTCCCATGGAGCTCTCGGAACATGCCCCAATGGCTCCGAAAGATGGAGGTTGGCTGCAAAAGAAGATACTTGAGGCTGTGACACAAGGGCCAGGTTGGCCAAATTCAGTGCTTATCTTCTCATACGACGAAAGCGGCGGCTGGGGAGACCACGTTACTCCTTATCATTCCCCTCCTGGCACGCCAGGTGAATGGATAGACGATCCGCACAAACTTTATGGCAACGTATATGTCGGCCCCGGATTTCGTGTACCGTTTTACATCGTCTCTCCATGGACACGCACAAAGACTGGCGCTGTATTCACAGAGAATGCCGACCACAATTCTCAGATGTTGTTCATTGAAGAATGGCTGGCTGCGAAAGGAAAGTCTGTCGTCACAGATCAAATGGTCCTTTGGCGTCGGCAACATATGTCGAATCTTGTCAATGCATTCGACTTTGACCATCCGGATTATTCGGTACCCGAAATCCCAGATGCCCCTGCCCCGGTGGTCGATGCTCGAGGGGCCTACTACCATGGCAGTTTTGAATGCATTGCAAAGTTCGCCGATGCAAGACCGACCATTCCCTTGCAGAATCAGATTGACCACAAAGATATGTCGACTTTATCTGAACATGGTTTCAAGCTTATGAGAGGTGCATTGACCGAAGGTCGTTACATTGTTTTTGAGCTCGACGGCTGGGCGCTGAGTAACACTGGTAGCCCTCGTGTTGGGGCGACTAGGCAGGTATCCGAGCATGATGATATTGCTCAACGATGGGTCGTCCACCAGGTGTCCGAGGGATCAGACTCGTTCAAGGTCAGCAGCGCAAAGGATGGTCGCTACCTTGGAGGTGGTTTCGGCGTTTTATGTGACCATGATCAATCTGCCGCTCAGGACTATATCATAACATTCAGTGCGGGCCAGGGATATTCTTTACAGCTCAAAGATGGTCCTTTCCTGTCTATCAACAGATGGGGACGTGTTGTAAGGAGTGATGCGCCAATCTACTTTCAAGCATTCAGTGTGACGTACAACAACTAGGTCTAGGTAGTGACAGCAGAAATCAGACAATACGACGCGGTCGCTTTCATTAACAGCCAAGTACTACATACAATATCCGAGGAATCGCGCAATTGTATTCACCTCGCTGTTGTTGTCGATGCGATATCGTCCTTTCTCCTGTCCGTACGCATTCCCGTTTGTTGCGTTAGTGGCTTGGTACAAATTCTTAACTAAAGCATCGCCAAGAGCATGCCTAAAAGGGTAGCCTACATACAATTTAGTTAAGATCTTGGTTAAAGACTATTAGATGCTAATCTTAACCAAAGTATATTTCTACCTGGGTACCTAAATATTTGCAAACATCTCTAAAATCATTGAAACCTTTCAGACTTCTATACTCTTTAGTACTTACTTGAAAGACTGACAACTTATTTCAATTATCTGTCTCATCAGTTATGAAGTCCTCGCCTCTCAAAATGCTGTCATGTAGTCGTACCCATGTCCAATTATCGAGCCTTTGACTTCTCAGCACATAAGGAGTACGCCAATATCGGGCACGCCTGGCGAAGAAAAGAAGAGTATTAATGCCTGGCTCCCTCAAATTTTATGACACCCGCCAGCCAACACCATGCATAAAACACTTTTAGACCAATCCTGAAGAAGACCCAGATACTCCGTTCTTTAAAACACTTTTGGCATATATACAATTCTCCATGGAAACAGAAGCCACGTCACTCTAGGACCATGTCCGGATATTGAAGGTCGGACTCTTGGAAGCCTCCTCCCATACCATGAAAATCTGCCGTGTCTTCAAGGTCAAGTGGTGGAGGCGAGTCGGCGGGTGAAAACATTGGTGTGCTGCGGCCTGTTCGGTTTGATGACATGCTTGCAATGGACGATTGAGAGGACGGAGATGATGGAGGATCGTTCTCCAAGTTGGGATGCAATGTCCCCCAAAGACGCCGTAGACCTGGCGTTGTGTTAGTATCAGAACGCCCAGTCTCGTGTTGTTCAGTTCAGACTCACCATTGAGGTGATGGGTTGCGAAGCGTCCGCAACGGTTTAAACCATTCAACAAGGAACGAATCAACGACAACAAGATTCCAGATGTATATTTCCAAGCCGGAGCGAAGCTGAATACCATAACTTTGCAGTAGTGATTGGTAAGTTTGGACTACCTCAGGTTGCTCGGAGGTTGAAAGATAACCACTCACATCAACGTGGCGAGAGGTTCAGTATTTATACGGACGGCGCCTCATCTTTACGAAGAGAATCGTCCAAATCACCGCGAATGGCTGATGAGAGTCACACAATCTTTCACTACTTAGCTTGAAGAGATGCCCAACATTGGGACGCACCGGGTCAGTGTAGACGAAGGGGATTGTGTCAGTATGTCCACGATGAAGCAAACAACAATGCCAGCTTGATGTTCTGATGTCACAGGCGGAGGACCGGCTGGTATCTAGGATCGTTTTGATCCTGGTAGTCTTCTGGAACAATACCAATCCCAGAAAGAGGTGGCATCGCTGCGAGATCTGTTTGGATGGTGAAATGAATTGGCATCTTTGGTGGAAGAGGGAATTCGTTGAGGAATTTGGCAGTATTTATCTTTTATATGCTTCGCCGTATAATCACTACTCCGTACCATCTTGTCACTTGGTACAGTAGCTACGGTCGAGTATGGGAGCGCAACGGAAGGGAAACCTCAGCCACCTCAAGTCTCCTATCTCACCCACGTTCGCTAACCATCCATGTACTAGAACTCGTCAGCTGAAGGCCCTAGTATTGTTACTAGTGGCCAGGGGTCGTGCCGGGGATCAAGCTCACCGGTAGGCCTGGGCCGGTCGAAGGGTCAATACAGAGTAAATCATTATTTCAGCCGCATCTTCTCCCCTCCCACCCCCCGGCGTAACTGACGAGGTTGGGGGCCGTATCGCGACTACTGGCTAAATCAAAACCACCTGAGCACTGTTCCTTGTTAGCGCTTCGTTTCTGTTCGACATCGACGATAAGATACTTGCTTGTGTTTCTCAAGCTCCCTTTCCCCTTCATATATGATTCCTGCCAGTATTTGCAGTATATACACGACCTTTCTAAGGAGCCTTGAGCGCGGTAGCCGCTGATTAACATCCGAAACCTCGCCGGACTCGATCAGGCTGAGAAATTACAATCTAAGCGCCCATCCGCAACTCACCAACATCGATACCAGAATGGCATCAGAGGACGAGTCGCAAACCCCGGATCATCATCATGACGAAAAGGATTGGGAGGCGCATAAAGAAATCTTTCGGGTTTGTTATATCGACCAAAACATGACCAGGAAGGATGCCGCGCAACATCTCAAAGAGCAACATGGCTTTGATGCCACTCCACGCCAGTGGGAGCGCAAGATCAAGCAATGGAACTTCTCAAAGTACTCGAGTCGAGAGGAAAGACTAAGTCAGATCGCGCAGACTGGCAAAACGATATTCGAGGTCGGCCGTCCGGGTCGACGGCCTCGTGGTCACACAGACGAACATGGCAGGCTTCATCCCAATGAAGATCGGAATCTGCGTCGATTTGCGCGTCGCGAAGCTAGTCGCTCAAGGTCGCGGTCCCGGTCGACCTCGTTCACAGAACGAACACGTCCTCAATTTCAGCAGGACTTGCCAGAAACATCATCTCATGCGATCACTGATCAAACATTCAATCTTCATCTGGGAAATCCCACGTCGTTCCACCCACCAAGTAATGGGTTTACTGTCAACGCGATTCCAGCAGCCGGGCAACCGGAGCAGCCAGTGCAGCTACACTTGCTACAAAATCAGCAGCCCTCGCCCTTTGACAACCTCGACGATTCGGGTCTCTTTTTGACCATCGATGACAATCAATATGGCTCATCTAGTGGACAAGACGCGTTTCCAGCATTTACTGAAGAGTTGATGCAGCTCGGGGACCCATTAGGAGGCAATGGGCGAAACCCAAGCATACAATTCCCACTGCAACAGAATACCACAGTCAATTATCCCTTAGATCCGGCCATGGATGTCCCCGTGGACTTTGCTCAATTTGGCATGGCAGAAGATAATTTACCGATGGATACATCTATCTTAAACAACAATAACAACTTGATGGGCGAACAGCAGCTATACCCTGATACTACGCAAATGCCATCAGACGCCAACGAGATGGGAGGGTCGATACTCAATTCTATCCCCGTTCTCACCTTCGATGTAGTAGATACGGATGCCGCAAGTACTCTGCCGACAGCTGTTCCAAATGACTTTCAAGAAATAGGCGACATCAACAACGATGGATCTCATGCCACTCCTAACAGCAGTGGCCCTCTGCAGAATGATGTGATGCCTCTCGTTGATGAGTATATTGGAGCAGTACAAACTGCGGCAATGTGGTTCGTGAGCAACCAGCTCTACGGCGATGCATCAACAGAGAAGCTGAGCGACAACATCGATCAATCCGGTATGGTGCTTCTCCTCTCTAGTTAGTATCAACTGACCTTTGCTAGGACGAATATTCAAGGCGCGAATGGAAGTGATGCTAGAAAACTATGCTATGTCACAGCAACGAGCTCTCCAAGCTATGAGAGACCGATGTAACAAATTGAAGAAGAAAAATGAGAAGCTGGAAGAAAAGATCAATAGAAGTGAGCATGTTCATGAGACTTTCTCTTTCTTTTCTGACACAGAATAGCTGATCAGCTGAGTACCGAAACGGCGTTGACTCCTCTTTCCCACACTCCTTCGCAGGCACTACAGTCACCAAACTATGCCATACCATATTCAACTGGCTTCTGAACGAGACTTTGGAGGCAGAAGACGAGGTCGATCAGACAGCGTAGGGGTTCGATACTAGCCAGATCACGTGGCACTTCCGACTTCGGCAGAAAAATATTCCCAAAACGATAAACAATCAACGTTATCAGCCGCACTTCGTATTTACTGGCCATAATCATCATCACTTTCACCAAAGATCTTGTGGGTGCCTATGTCGATAACTCACCAGTCCCCAGCTTCACGTGGTCGCCAAATCTCTTTCTCAGCCTGAACTCGGGAACCTTCAGGAGTGAGCAAAATTTGCCATGCTCGGAAAACCCGTTGACTTTCAAGATGCTGGCGATCCTCTACGACCCTGACTGCCTCCTCCACGAGACGGTAGAAATACTAGGTTCCAAACTCATTCCGGCGCTTGAGTCGCCTGCGCGGCTCGAAGCGATTCTGAAAGCTTTACGTCTCTCCGAACATGACGTCCGCACAGTACAATTCAGTTCGTCGACTGACGAAGAACGGTTCACGCAACTTCTAAGCCTGACATCTCAGACCCACAAACACGACTACCTGGCTCATCTCCAAACGGTTTACGACGAATGGCTATCAGCCGGTCTCATCGAGAGGGAAGGTCACGTGCTACCTGAATGTTTCTACCTACCCACATCCACGGGGAAACCGATGCGACCGCCAAAGGACACCTTTGCCCGAGCAGGGTACTACGCTTTCGACATGAGCAGTGGGATCATGTCCGAGTCGTACCGCGCGATCGTGGCCTCGGCCAACCTCGCGTGTGAAGGTGTAGACATGTTGACCGGTGACTACAGGAAACGTGCTACATCCACTCCAGCATCATCGGACGTAGACACCGTCTTTGCATTGTGCAGACCTCCAGGCCACCACTGCGACGGCCGACGCGCCGGAGGGTACTGTTACATCAACAATGCGGCGTTGGCAGTCAGTGCTTGGCGTGCGTCAAATGCAGGTGCAAACGCAGACGTAAACGCCAAAGTCGGCATCCTCGACATCGACTTCCATCACGGCAATGGGACACAGGAGATCTTCTATTCTGACCCCGACGTTCTCTACGTCAGCATCCACGGTGAGGACGAGTTTCCATACTACACCGGTGCCGAGGACGAACGGGGGCTTGGGGTTGCACAAGGCACCAACGTCAATCTCCCCCTCAAGGTCGGAAGTTCCATCGAAGAGTACACGGAGAAGCTCGACTACGCCTTGACGAAGTTAGTCGAGTACGAGACCGAATTCTTGGTCGTCAGTTTGGGGTTCGACACCTACCATTCCGACCCGCTCGGTGGTTTCCAAATCCACACCGAGGACTACGAGAGCATTGCCAAGAAAACGAGGCAGAGCTTGAAGGGCGTCCCGGCTCTTATTCTTTTGGAGGGAGGGTATGTGATTGAAGATTTGGGGAACAATGTCTTGTCATTCCTCAAGGGGTGGAAATCTGTTATATAAACAACAGGTACGGAGTAAGGAATACTTGAGAAGCTAAATATCCCCATTCCGATGGGCATGTTCAGTATACCTATCCCCCTTTTCTTGTAGATGCGGTCCCACAATTACATTGTCAAGGTTTAATGCTTGCTTCCTCCCGAGCCCGGCTCAAATCGTAGTTACTGTTCTGCAGCTTGGTCTCAAGGTTTAAACAACTGTTCCCTTCTGAAAAACTTTAGGAAGCCAACACACACGACGATTTGCGCCATCAGACCGATCCAAAACCAAGCCCTGGTCAAGCCCCAGGTCGGATCGATGGCGAAGTTGGGGAACACGTCCCCGGGGCCGCTCTGGACGGGGGACTTGGCCCTCGCCACCATGGTGGCGAGGCTCCCGACGACCTGGCAGGCCACCAGGGTCGCGGCGACGTGGAACCGGGGCAGGGTCTGGAGCAGTATCATGCCCAGGCCGACGCCTTGCAGCTCGTCCAGCACGCCCAGCCAGAGCCACAAGGCGCGACCGAGCACGGCGCCGCCGACGTCGGTGGCCCCCCACGGGACGAAGGCGGCGGCGCCGCTCACGGCCCACAGCTCCTGGCACCAGCGCGGCGCGCCCAGGCACACCCCGAGGACGGGAGGGACCCAGCTGTGCTCCGCCGACACGATGTACAAGCAGCACATGACGACGGCCCACGCGCCGACGAAGAAGCCGACCATCATCAGCCCCACGGCCCAGGCCGGGGCGTGCTGCGAACCGAACATGTACCGCCAGTTCCGCCCGTACACGGTCGAGAGGAAGTAGTTCTGCAGGACGACCGAGACGAAGAACCACAGCACGACCTTGCGGCGCAGCAGCGACGCGTAGAAGCTGGGGATGTGGCCCGGGCGCTGGCGGTAGTAGGTCGGCAGGCCGACGAAGAGAAGCACCCCGACCGTCCACAGCACCGCGGCGATCGGGACCGTGACGGCGGTCAGGGCCGAGTTGGACGTGAGGAGTCCCGTCGGCTTGTCACCGTCGCCGCCGCCGCCGCCCGCCACAGTCCCGCCACGTACAGCTGTTGGATGCCCTGGATGATGGCGGCGCGGAGGACCCAACTCGACACGGGCGTGCCCCCCTCGGTGCCAAAGTTGAGGGAGAAGAACAGGCTCCCGCTCGCGGCGGCGACGGTGTAGAAGCCCGTCGCGCACGAGAACAACCACCCGCGCGTGCCGTCGAGGTAGTCGGCGCGGGGACCCATGCCGATCAGGAAGAAGGCCAGGCCGTAAAAGAACCACGGCAGCGACAGGACGTGGCGGGACTGGGCGACCCGGAACACCACCCACCACCCGGCACTGGCGGAGAGGTAGATGCTCCCGATCACGTACGCCCGCGTCGTGATCTGGCCCAGGTGGCCTTGCAGGAGGGTGATCTGGTACGAATTCGCCGAGAGGATGTGGCCGAGCGCCAGCAGGAATGCGTACACTTGCCAGTCCCCGACCACCTTTCTTTGGAGGACGTGAGGAATGCCCCGCGGTGCGACGTAGTCCTTGCCCAGGTTGAAGACAGTGTCTCTTCGTCCGGATGCCGCCGCCATCGCGTTGGTCGTGTCGTCGATGTCGCACATTCCACTAACCGGACCTCCGCTCGAGGTTGAAGGACCCTCGGGTGAAGAAGCTATGTCGATTCGATGCAGCGTCGGCCGTCTACCGGCGCCGCTATCTGCCGAGGGGAAACGGGGCAAAGGCGGCAGTAGAGGGTCCGAGGCCTCTTCCATCTCTTGCGGTTGAGTCGATAACTGTTGAGACGGTGTAGAGTGTGTCAAACCAAGTTTAGCCCTGGCGTACTTCCCGAAGAAATGCTTTTCGCTGTTTTTCAGATAGTCCTCAATGCACGGCGCGTTCACAGACGACTGGGCGTCGACGTTCTCCAAAAGTTCGCCAAATTTATACGCGTAGGACCCTTTGCGGTCCGTAAAAGATGGGATGACGCGCTGCAGGTTGTAATTGGTCTCGTTCTCGACGCCGCGGACCTGGCGTAGACTCAATCGTTTGTCGTCGCGGCCCCATGGTAGATTGATGAAGTGGCTTCCCGTGAGATAGAGCCCTCTGATGCCCATACCATGCAAGTAATCCAGACTTTGCTGCAAGCCCCTGGTATCACCCCCAAACCGGCACTGATTACTCGTCCAGCGGTGTTCGAATCTGGTCCCATTTGCATTGTCGTTGGTTGGGTCACCTGAAGAGCGTAAGAAATGAGAACATAGTCACTCGTAGTCCGAAGCGTGAATGCGTCCTACCATCAACGAAGCGATCAAGATTCAAACTGTAGAACGGAAACCGCCAGTTTGCTGGAGATGGATGAAATGTATGGTTATACCATTCTCCCCAATAGTCCACGGGCGTTGTGGCATTGACGTTCTGGTTCAAATTCCATCGAGCTTGATTCTCGTCATATCCAAGACCAGACACGATGGCGACTATAACCAGCATTAACGCTGGGATAGATCCAGCCATGTTTCTGGCGGAATTCAGAGGCCAATCTGATTTTAATGTCTTCGACCTGAAACCGAAAGAGACTGCTAATCACCAATGCTTGAGTGTTGGGAAGAGAAGACAATGACGCATTGCCACCTACCATTCTTTCGAGGATACTTGAAAATTCCACTCGATGGAAGTAGGAGGAATAACAGAGCTATACGATAGAGGTGTGCTTACCTGATCTCAGTCTGTTGTTGATAGAGAACATTCTACGTCACGAGCTCCATGTGAAGGACCAGCCGTTGAGACCAAGTCCATACCCATGTTCAATAGTACGCACAAAGGCCGGGGAGGTATCGAGTGTGTTCACCTCGACTCAATACTCTGATGTTAGACAGATATTGTTTCCCTCCAGGTTCATGAGGCCGTGCACGCGCCATCGAGATCAAAACCATCGACCACGGTGGAGTTGATCATTTTAAGAGAGGGGAGGGTGTTGGTTGTGAACTTGTGAGTGTGACCAAGTCTCCATCCGAGGTCGCTGCAGATCCATATTGGTTGGTTGGTTGGTCAATAAGGGCAATGTGGTTGTTCTCCGCGGGAATGAAACATCAGTACAAGCGCCTCTACTTATCCACGTATCTGTAGCACGCCACCCACCACGTCAGGAATGCCGTGCGTATATTGACTGCTGTGACGCGAAATATTGAAGAGGGCGACGGTCACAACTTGCGAGATCTGGCGACGGATCAGAGTTGGGTTGGCAAGATCTGACCCGGTTAGACCAATATTCACCGGTTCGTCCGACTCATCCATCATCATAAGGGTCACACAAAAAGACAGGACTGGAGACTGGCCTGTGCATTCAACAATACAGATTAGCAGTTGGACTGTGCATTCATCTATATCGTGGTCCATCATCTACTTGACCCCTTCACCGGAGATTCTTGCCAACCAATGATAAGAACTCGACACCACCCCCGGACAACTTTTTACTGAATGAAGTTTCCTGTGCTCTTACAGTGAGTGGTCTTGGGAATCGATTCCCTTGAAATCTAGCTACAACATTCTCCTCGGCGACGATCACACTCCCGTTAGTTCTCGCTTGACTGACTATCTTGGGGCACCTTGGGAGCGTGAATGAGGTGGTCAACAAGAGATCAGCTACAAGCAACCTCCTCGTGCAATCTTAGATCAAGGTCAACGCGGTGGAATGGTGTGACCAGAGATCTGACCCTGGTTTTGAATCTATCAATATGGGCATGGGGCTGTGGGTATCTCGTAACATCCACTGCTTTCTGATGTTCGCTAGTAATAGTCTGACCATCGCATCAAAAGTCCCACCCAAGGACCTCCTTGACGGTGTTGTCAGATTCGGTGCACTGTGATCGTGTAGCAAGTAAGGACAAAAGCTGCTCAATGGGATTGCACCGGACGCATGAATTCATGAGGGCCATGGAAGTCGTCGCTACTTTTGGGAAGTTATTCTGAACAGAATATGTACACATGTACTCCGTACCGAGGGTATGTACTCAATAGCACGCTGTCATGTGCCGAGATAGTATTATCGTCCCTTTTGCTGCCCAGATTCCACAGGTATCATCCATTGTCATGTCCAAATATGGCATCCAAGTCTTCATAAGGCCCCTGAAATCACTCCACCGAACGCCTCGCTAGTTGAAAAAGCCGCGCTCCGCTGTTACATATCCGCACCGTTCAACCTATCCAGCTAGGCACGGCTCCATCATCATTACTCGAATTTGACAGGATGCAGAACCATCATAGGTAAGCACATCCTCCCACCTCCCTTGCCGCCCTCGCTCTCCCATGCGACCTCGTCATTGTTGTTTTCCTTTCCAAGCCAGCGCCTCCACAGGTACCCAGCGAATCCCGCATTGGAATAGTAGCTGGACCCGCGGAAGACGTGCTCGCCCGGCCCAAACACGCTGCCTCCTTCACCGTGGAAGTACCCGCTCCCATGATCCATTCCTGCCTCTCTTTCCTTCATACTGAGTGGCGCATTGTTAAAGACTTCATCGGCATGCTGAGCAGGCCAATCCCGATCAAAGTACACCGGGAGAGGAGCGTAGACGGCTTTCAGCCCGTAGTGCAGGGCGATGCTCGCGGGATACATTTCGGGGAACATGGTATGCTTGCGTTGATAAGTCTCTTCGTGCATGAGCAACAGGAGTCGTCGAGACATACGAGAGGCAGTGATCAGTGATGCGCGAGTTGGAGGCCGACCATCTTTTTCAACGTCGTAGCCAGTCATGTCGTTGTGAAAGGCCCATCGGGTACGAGAGGGATCGAAGAGAGGGTTGAGGGTGATCAAGTCGGTGATCTCGGTCGAGTCAGAAGGCGCTGATTGTTCCGGGATCTCGAGCAATTGAGAAACTGGGAGCTGTGGCCCGAGAATGGGGACTTCGGTCTCCTGGATAACTGACCGAGAGTACGCCGCGTACGAATTGTTATGTAGTGAGGGAATGAAGAACTTGGCTGATCGTTCCCATGCATATTCTCGTGGCTGCTTCTCAGCCCAATTCGTAACTTCTGAGAGCAATTCGTTGTAATGCCCAGTAACTCGCATGTCCATTTCCCACTGCCAAAAGTAGTCGAATTCTGGATGGCGTGAGGCAAAATATTGCAGTGGGAAGTGCAAAGACCGATAAGCTTGATATATCTCGCCTCCAGAAAAGTTCTCGAGGCTGTCTGGAAATGGTGGAGGGTACACCAATTTCATCTCGGCGACAGACCATAAAGATCCCATACCCTCGAACTCTTCAGGAAGGCTTTCCTTCAGAACTTTTTGGTAGAGGTCCTCGTCAGCCCAGATAGGCAGGCTGTCATCCTGGACGTGAATGAGAAAGTGAACGGTATACTGTCCACCAGAAGCCAAAGCCAGTTCACTGATCATGGCTCGCAGCATCATAATGTGATAGTCGGTATAAACAAATGTGCTCCATGTTCGAATAACGACAGCTGCTCTGGACCTTAGCCGGGCAGCATTCTTTTCCAGACATCTTTGCTGTGCATGGCCTAGAGTGATATTGCTCCAGTCAAAAGTTTGTACCTTTTCAAGACCACCGAGGTCACCTTCCTGCTGCAGTCCCAAACCGCCTTCCTCTCTGGAGACGCCATAGCCGTAAGGTGTGAAACGATTGATGCGATCATAACACACCTCATCGTTTATCCCAAGCTCTTTCTGTGACCCGAACAGGGGCTCCGACATTCCCTGCGGTAAGCCTTGGTATGCCTTGATTCTCGGCGGGAGAATCTTGTTCTCCTCATCTATGTAACATTGCTCCAACTCGATCGAAGGAGACAGGGGCAGCTCGATCAGCTCAAGGTCAGGGTTGGGATCAATTTCGAAAGCGTTGGGAGAGCCGGCCTGTTGTCCAGTCGCATATTCGGCGACAGAGACTATGTTGTTGCGGCCACGATATAGCCCATGCAGCCTGGATTACAATCAGCCATCTAATCGTGTGCGAGGCGTCGCAATTGAACATACCTAGGAAATTGTTCCCACCAGAAGACCTCTCGTCCGTCTCGGTCGACCGACTGGCCAATGGGTATGAAGTCGTTGTTGTCATCTTGGACTGAGTTTGTTGTCTGGATCTGGACCTGACCTGCAGGAACAAAGGTCCACCAAAGACCGATGATGGTCAACAACGCAATGGCTGTCGCAGTACATATCGACCTTCGAGGACTGAAGCTGGACAAGCTCAACTGGCGTTTATGTCCCCGTCGCAATCTTGGTGATCCGACGGGGCTCAGCAGGCCGCTACTGGATGAGTCGCTGCTGTTGTCGCGCTGGTGAATAGCGACAATGGCACTGTTGAGTTTGTGCTTGACGGACCCGGGGATCAATTCGAGCATTACACGTGCACAAAAGACAGGCGTTCCAGCTTATCGGGCTTGTAATGTTGGGGGCGAAGGGGTGATTTAGGTAGGCCTATCCGGGGCGTTGTTTCATGCCTAACAAACACCCGAGCCTTGTGACTTCGATATGTTCAAATATTAGATCTTTATGCTGTACTCTGTACAAATATGGACAATTTAGAAATGCAAAAGAAGAACACAAGGGAAAATGCGACAGCACCATCGTCAATTCGGCCGTCTTTTGCCCCAAGCCCCAAGTCCCGACGGCGCAGGTCTTTTTGGGTGGCAGTCTGGGCAGAGATAAGACACTACCCAACTTAAGCTCCAAAGAGCCGCCAGTGCCCACGAACGGGCTATTCAGAGGGCGTTGCTACTCCCCATCTCGAGGGCTCCCACCGCCTAGCGAAAGCCCCCATCTCGTTAAAAAGAGCCTCCCATCTTGGCGCCTGGGGGTCCTAGAGCCGACTGAGTTTAGTTAGCCTTGGCAATTGCGCCTCTTCTCCCTCCCAATTTTATCCGCCTGGGATCTTCATATGCGACTTTGTATTTGTAACTCGACAACTTTCCACTCCAACAAGCACCTGAATAATTCGTCTCTGGTTCTCAAGTGATAAGTAATCACCTTATCCGACTTGAAACAATATATAGCATAATCGGATTCACCAAGAAGAATCTGTGGTATTTCTATAGTCCGAGATCGACGACTTACGTCCAATTCAATTCTGCATCAACTTGACACGGCCAAGAAGCCGCAGAAGGAGACCAAACACCGTGATTTGAGCCCTAATCCCCCTCTTAATCTACTCTCGAGATCCATTGTCGGCATGATGCCTACAGTCGTCGTCACAGGAGCAAATTCGATTGTCGGAATCGGTTATGCCTTTGCCAGACTATTGTGCAACAAGGTCAGCAGTCCATGCCTTGGCTGAATGCAGTCTCGTTTAAATGACTCCTCTGTAGGGATGCAATGTATACGCAATTGATCGAGACAATGGGAATGGCCTCAAGGCTCTCGAGTCCAAAGCACACACTGCCACAGTCGATGTCACGTCTCCAGAGTCCATTCAGGCTTTCAAACAGTCCCTCGGTGACACGCCAATTGATATTTTGCTCAATGTAGCAGGTTGACTACACCCAGATAGCCCTCGCATTAGGATACGTGCATGTCTCTGACCCATCTCAGGTATCGCTGCTGGACCACAAAGTGACGGACTCACCACGACCAATCTCGATATCCTTCAGCGTACATTCGCCGTCAATACTTATGGCCCCCTTCTCTTGACACAAGCTCTACTTCCAAATGTTCTTCGATCTTCGAATCCCAAGATTGGCATTGTTTCCAGCCGTGTCGGATCCGTAGGGGACAACAGTACAGGCGGGTCTTATGCCTACCGCGCATCGAAGGCTGCAGTCAATTCCATCGGCAAGAGTATGGCAATGGATCTGAAGGACAAAGGTGTTGTGGTGATGCTCTTACACCCGGGCATTGTCAAAACCAACATCTTACCCAACGAAACATTCCCAGCGGATGCCGCCGAGGCCGACGAAGCTGCGAAGATGTTATGGGAGAACATTGTGAGCAAAAAGGATATGGCTGATACAGGGAAATTCTGGCACCGTGAGGGATATGAACTGCCTTGGTAATCATGATAGTCGGAACATTGAATGCCTGTAGCCTTTTCCGGCAATTTCGCCCATTTGGTGGTAGGGCGAGAAGTGGTTCCTCATACAGTGGCCTCCTATTGTACCTACCAAGGTACATATCTGAGATAAGTTTGTTGGTAGGTGTCTTAATATTAACACAGGCCCCGTCGAGCCTCGGCAAACATCGGCGTCTCCTCCGCATTGGTCTCTGCGTCTCCAATTTTCTCGAGAGTCTTAGAAATCAATGTCTCTCCTTGTCGTGTCTCACACTCGCTCTACATGGATAGACGGATTTATCTTTGGTTTCCTTTATAGATTTCTATATAAACGAGCTCGGAGTCCCTGCAGATAGAGATTTAAAAAAACTGTTCATATCGCAAAGAAACAGACTTATCTACAAGACAAGCCATGGCTTCATCAACCCCAAAGGATGGCAATCCAGCCGTCCCTAATCTCCCATACTTCACTCCACGCCATGCTGCTGACCCAGGGGTTCCTTTCAATGCCTCTTCCAGCACTCCAACACTCTTCGCGCCTCTCAAGATTCGCTCAAAAATACTCCGCAATCGCATCATTGTGGCGCCAATGTGCCAGTATTCGACAGCCGCTACTGGTCCAGACATTGGCAAACTCACAGACTACCACGTCGCAACCCTAGGACATTATGCTCTGAAGGGTGCCGGATTGGTCTTTATCGAAGCGACTGGCGTACAGCCCAATGGGCGTATCACACCGAACTGCCCAGGACTGTGGAGCGACGCCCAGACAGAAAGTGTCAAGCGTGTCTCGGATTTCATCAAGTCTCAAGGCGCACTATCAGGTATTCAACTTGCACATGCCGGTCGCAAGTCCAGCACGATCCCTCCCTGGATTGCAGCAAGCTTTAAGAAGCCTTCGGTGAGGGCGTCAAAACAAGCAGGTGGATGGCCCGAAGATGTTGCCGGGCCTATGGGCGGTCCCGAGAATTCATGGGATGGCAAAGGATTAGCTGAAGATGGAGGGTTTTATCCTCCCCGACAACTCACTGTTTCGGACATACAAGAGACTATTTCTGCGTTTGCCCAGAGTGCTAGACGTGCGGTCGAGGCGGGGATCGACGTGATTGAAATTCACGCCGCTCATGGATACTTGATCCACCAGTTTCTAAGTCCCATCACGAACCGACGCACCGACCAGTACGGGGGTAGCTTCGAGAATCGGACACGGCTGCTCATCGAGGTCATCGAAGCTGTCCGCGCTCAGATGCCCACAGACATGCCATTGTTCCTCCGTGTCAGCTCTACCGAATGGATGGAAGAGTCTGACCTGGGTAAGAAATATGGTAGCTGGGACGTTGAGAGTACCATGCAATTATCAAGGCAGTTACCAGCACTCGGAGTCGACCTGCTCGATGTCAGCAGTGGCGGCAATCATCCCCAGCAACGGATCAATATGTTCTCGTCAAAGGACTATCAGACCAAGATCGCCAATCAGATCCGACAGATGATGAAAGCGCATGAGCTCAAGCTTCTGATTGGCGCTGTTGGCCTGATCACGGAGGCGGAACAAGCCCGAGACATTGTCGAGGACGGACTTGACAGAAGTATCGGGGAAGAGGCCATCGCGGCCAAGGAGATGACTGATGCAAAGGGCGGTAGGGAGCCGATGGCCGACGTGATTCTCGTCGCGAGACAATTTATGAGAGAGCCCGAATGGGTGCTGAAGGTGGCCTGGAAGTTGGGAGTTGATGTCGCGTGGCCCAGTCAATTCTTGAGAGTGAGATTTCCCAAGATTTGAAGCAAGCCGTAGATAAATCAAATTGTTACGATATCACTTTCCTCCCTCGATTCTGCTGAACTTGATGATACTCATCGGTCTCTCGAAACAATCATGAGAGATTCTGTACCCCATACGTAGGATTTAAAATCCCATAGCGTAGAGTCCGGCTCAGTGACACGAGCTGCAGCCAAATGAGGCGGTGTCGACTTTTAGCGAGTCAGCGAGTCCATTTTCTCCCCCATCGACACCAAATCCTGCGCACAGCCTTCAACACAGCGGACTGCATGGCATTAGTATGTACAACCAAATACCACTGATCTCGCACACAAATCATCCGACCGTCGTACAAAGATCCTGTGCTGATTTGCCATTGGAAAATGGCTTGACACGGACGTCCGCGAGAGAATTGGTCGCTCCACCATCATCAGCCTTGTGTGCCTTAAAAAAGACTCCCATACAAATCCAAAAATACAACTTCGTATGGCCGCAACTGGTGTTAGTTTGACTGTCATTATGTAGCCCGCAACAATATTGGCAGATGAATCTAAAGTCGACGAGCTCCATTCGCCGATGTGCACATGTATACGACAGGAGGAGGCATCACGAAATCATTCAAATATCGGTGAGTACGTCGAAGGCGAGCAGTACACTCCTTTCATAGGGCTTCTTCACAGACAGGAAGATGGGTTCATTCTCTACCCGCAGCATGGGCGCATGTGTATCTTTTCTGTCCTTACTATCATTTACTGGTGCAACGAAACTCGTCAAGCACGACGTGAATTTCATCCCAGACATTGTACTCCACGTGACCGTCGATACCATCAACCTCGACTGTCAGGAACGTGTCTCGACTCTCGTTAATGGAACGTACCCAGGGCCTCCGATCTACCTTGAACCCGAACAAACGACATGGATTCGAGTCTACAACGATGCAGACGTCAATACTACCATGGTGAGAAGACCTCCGAATGCGCGGTCAACAGGAGAGAAACTGACTTGGCTGCATAGCACTGGCACGGGTTGAGTCAGAGTCTCTTCCCGTTTTCTGATGGAGCTCCAATGGCCTCGCAGTGGCCTATACCACCAGGTCACTTCTTCGACTACGAACTCAATGTGCCCGCCGACCTTGCCGGGACCTCTTTCTACCACTCCCATATCGGCTTCCAAGCCATGACGGCGTCTGGAGCCATCATAGTCAACGACGCTTCAAGCCTACCTTATTCGTACGACGACGAGTTCATCATGGCACTAGGTGATTTCTACCCTGAGGAAGATGAGGCCATTGAAGCGCAGTTGAGTGGAAGTCCCTACACATGGACCGGAGATCCTCTGGCACTCCAGATCAACGGCCAAAGTGGAAACGCACCGAGCCCAAAGACTCCCAATCCCTCAGACATGTCGTGTCAACCATACGAATTCAACGTCACTCCCGATACGACATATCGAGTGCGAGTCATCGGTGGCACTGCCATATCTTTCATCACATTCGGGATAGAGGGTTACGACAATCTCACAATCATTGAAACCGACAACACCTACGTATATCCTGTGGAAAGTGACCATATCCAGATCGATTCCGGCCAACGGTTCAGTTTCATCTTCAAAACCAAAAGCACCGCTGAACTTGCAGGGCAGACGTCAACATGGATCCAGTACGAGACTCGTGCTGGGTCTGGCACCGTTACTGCCTGGGCGAAACTGGTCTACGCCACCGACCCCACCACAACCAACACCACACTTACAAGACGAGGCCATCCTGGCCCGGATGGATACAATTCTCCCAAGAATGGCCCTCAGCCCGCCCCACCAGCCAGCTCAGCTTCAAGCCCAGGGTCCTACTCGCCATCTCCCTCGTCCTCACCATCGTCGCCATCCACAGGCCAGATTCCCAACTACATTCCTTCCCAGCCTATCATCACTCTCCCACAAGATATTTCCTCTTGGCTCGAATACACCTTCCAAAGCCTCCCGAACTACGGCACGGCACCCCCATCCTCATCTGTGACCCGACGGGTGATAATCTCCACCGAACAGATCGTAGGCCAATCTCAATCGGCGACATTCCCCTTCAACAATGATCCATGGTTCGATAACCCACCCCTCATACCGACCACGCAGACGCCTTACCTTGTCGAGATCCTACAGAGCGGTACTGTGAATGGCGCGCTTCCCAACATCTCGCGTGCCCTTGCTAATCAGGAAACGCCTGGGTTCGACCCTGTGACACACACCTACCCGGCGGCCGTAGGAGACGTGATCGAAATCGTCTGGCAGAACAGTGGTTCCATCCCGGGTGGCACGTTCGGCGTCCATCCCATGCACGCGCACGGTGGCGCCTACTGGGACATGGGCAGCGGACCGGGGACTTATAGCCCCGAAGCGCACGAGGCACTGCTGGCTCAGCACGGAGGTTGGGCAGGGTCGCTTCGAGATACGACTATGCTGTACACGTATGCCGACACTGGCGGTGAAGGTGAGGTGGATGGGTGGCGCGTCTGGCGTACTCGCGTGACGGAGCGCAACGTCGGTGTGTGGATGATGCATTGCCATATACTCCAACACATGATCATGGGTCAGCAGACGGTGTGGGTGTTTGGGACACCGGAGGAAATCAGCGACTACTCAAACCCCGTCAATGGGAGTCTAGAAGGATACTTCACCTACGGTGGCAATGTGGTGGGAAAGGAAGGTGGTGAGGTCGTGGTTGCAAGCAAGTTTGGGTGAATGAGAGAGACTGGATGTCTCTGGAGGAATTCTTGGATGTTTGGACGATTGGGGTTTGTTTCATAGAAATCTTGTGGCACGCAACATATGATCATAGTAGAGACTACTTGATAAATCAGACTTGAACCAGACAAATGAATAAAATGCCTAGATCTTTTATCCCTACACTTTCCAAGCACTTTCTTTCCGGATTCATGTTCACGATTCACTTCGAATCCGGGAGATTATAGCTTTCCGACTTTATCCAAATCGGTTCCCCTCGTCAAAATCATGTCCTGTTCCACCATTAGTTGGTTGTTTGTTCACACTTGTATAACTCTACTAGATACATACCGAAAGCCACACGGGCATGAAATACCTCGCCCATCTGGTCTCACTGGCGTGTCTCCCTCTCCAGATTTTCCCAGTGGCACCTGCGAGGACGTCACCGATCACGTCCCTGGCAAAGTCCTGGGGAGTGCTCGGGTCATAATCGACCTGGTCGTTCCATCTTTTCTCCAGGGTCGAGGACACGGCGAGGTATCTGGATTCTGTCGCCGTTCCTCCTTCTCCGACTGCTGCACCAGTAGGCAACATGAATTTGGGAGAGTTTTGGTGAATGTTGGTTTTGACACTTCCAGTCACGACGGTTAGGACCTTGATGTTGAGGGGTGCCAGCTCCAAACGGAGTGTGTCGGACAGCATGTGTATTGCCGCTTTGGAAGAGTTGTAGACGGCTGAACAGAAACAATGGTACACATCACGAACGCGTTAGCATATATCATCATGTCAACGTCAATAAAGTCGAGGGGCATTCAGACAATGAAAGGTGTTGCGCTGTAGGGTTTCATAGATGGACACGTTAGGTGTATTAAATAGAGTGTGCCGGGTCTCTCGAGGAGTTGTAGATAGACACTCGAAAAAACTAGGTAAAGTCACGTACCGGTATATGGAGTATTCAAATAAGCCACGATACTACCTATGTTGACAATCGTCCCGCTGGATTCGATCAACAACGGTGCAAAGGCTTGAATCATACGTAAGACGCCCCAGAAATTGACGTCGAACATTTTTTTCCCTTGGTCAATGTCCAGGTCCAACGCCGGAAGGACAATGTCCTGACCCGAATTGTTCAGGAGGTAGTCGAGGTGGCCCGCCGTCGTGACGCCAACTTGTTTAACGGCATCGGCAATCGAGGTAGGAGAAGTGACGTCCAACGACAAGAGGGCCACGTTGGGCAGGTCCTCGAGGTCGGACATTTTGGAAGGCGTGCGTGCCGTGGCGAACACGGTCATGCCTCGACGTTGACATTCGACGGCCAAGGCGTGGCCGATGCCTCCCCTAGAACAGCCCGTTATGAGAATGCTTTTGTTTCGTGGAGACATTGCAAAAGTGTTGGATCTACGACCGCGTCAGTGGTGTCTCGTTGTCACGTATGGAGGGTGCGTTCGTGCGAGTAGGCACCTGTTAGTTGGTGTAGAAGATATAAAGGGAAACAATAGAGAACAAAATGTCTATTGCTTACCTTCGGGGAATATATACATGCAATACAGGTCATGAACAGATAGTCTCCTATCTACCTACTCCGTACATAATACCTACATACAGAGTACTACCTATACACGGAGAGTACAGCCTTCTATACCGGAAAAGGTTTGGCTTATCAGCATCTTGCATGACACTAACGGAGAAATGGGGCCCCAGTCAGGCTCTCCGTCTTCTCGCTGTCTAGGCTCCCATCTTCTCGCCAGTTCAACTCTCTGGAAGTCAACGCAAACCTCTCTTCATGGGTTGATGAGGGATCGATTCCCAGACCCGTGCAACAGATTGGCAGAGCCTGAGATGAGCTCGGTAGTCATACCCTGTACTTGGAATAAGAATGGGACTTTCAGAAATGCATACGCTCATGCTTACGCAACCAGGTCCGCTGCTGGAGGTAAAAGCTTCTGCTATTGACTGATATAGGCTTGACTAACTCACTGCTGTTATTTCTTGTCAGGAGGGCATCGATCACAAAGACGATTGGAGTGGACTTTCAGACCCCAAGTCTAGAAGAAAGATCCAGAATCGACTGAACCAACGAGCTCGGCGTACGTTTGACCCTCGAGATCTTACTCCGTAGTCGGCAGGCCAATTCGAGCCATATCATTCTTGAGACAAAGTCTTCAACGTGTTGCCTTCAGATACAAAACGTGCAAAATTCCTAACAATCGTCCCAGGTCGACGCAAAGATCCTGGAAAATGGACACCACTGCGATCAAAAATGGACGATATTGCGCAAGGACACCAAATAACGGCAGCTCCGACTGCGAGACTCGGCAGATTCCCATCTCTTGCTGAAGGGCCATATCCATTCCCAAGAACGAAGCCCATAGTGTCGGCGTGGAAGGGAGGTTACTATTTCCCTCTATCATGCGACCATTTGATGCATTTGATCCAGTTCAATGTCTGGCGTGCGATCTTGAGCAACATGGTCATGCTCCGCCTCACTCACCTTTTCGACTGTGAAGATGAGACACCCGAAGCGATGAGCATCTCGAAACTCCCCCACCCCTTTGCCGTTCCGCCACTACTCGAACCTACGGTGCTGCAAAGGCAGGTGCCACATCCGCCCTATGTTGATTTGTTCCCCTTACCTGGTCTCCGAGACACCTTGATTCTGGCAGACGGGATGTACGATGACTGTGAGCTTTGTATCGACTTGCTTGGCTCCATAGCCGACCCACAGGTCCAGGGCTACTCGAAGGCCGAGGAGGACGGAGAGGATGCTCGAAAAGGCCTTGTGGTATGGGGTGAGCCGTGGAGAGTCGATTCCTGGGAAGTTGAAGAAGGATTCGTCAAGAAATGGGGATGGATGCTCAAGGAGAACTGCGAACCACTTCTCCGATCGACCGACAAGTGGAGAGAACTGAGAGGCGATGAACCTCTAAGGTGGAAGGACTTGGGACTTTGTCCATGAATGCAGAATACGAAGTAATGGCACTTCGTGGGTAAGTACGAGTGCCTAGGTACCGCATGCTCCCACACGCACCCATCACACGGTGGGCAATCTACTCTCGAGGACTTAACAAATTCCTTAACGCCGAACGCGGACACATCAATTGATCCGAAGAACACATTTTGTATGGTCCGGTCACTCGGTCGCATTGAAGCCGACTTCTGCATTTTTCGCCGAAATGATCACCATCAAGAGTCTCTACGATCCCTGATCACTTGCCATTGGACTTTGGGCCAAGTATATAAGACGGACGTGGGGGGCCTCATACTCAGTCATGGGCAAAGCTTGTATTGACCTGCCCAAGTTCGGATTCACATTTCCAGTCAGGCGTCCCAGCTGAGTACTCGTATATTGACGAGAACAATTCTTTTGGTCACGCCGGCCTCGTTTTCTTACCCTTCATCATATCGGGTCGATAGCCAAGCAGGGGACACATCACCATGCCATCGAACGAGAGTGTCAAGCGTAACCTGAAACTCATCCAAGATGATCCGTCCAAAGTCCTGGGCTTGACTGTGGGCAAGAAGCACATGCCAAAACCTGGAGACTACATCCCTAGAGCTGGTGAGTCATATTCGAACGGTGTCTCCGACATGAACTGTGTCTGACGGCAATGTTCTTTAGACGCTCAAAGTGCTCCTTCAATATCATACGCCGGACTGGACAGTTCAAGATCCTACATAGTCGTCTGTCTCGATATAGACGCACCATTCCGATCCTTTGACGTATTGGGTCCTATTCTTCACTGGATACAACCTGGATTCGCGGCAGCGCAGGGATCAGCCGAACTCAACAGCACAGCACCGTTCGTTGTCGACTACATCGGACCGGCACCACCACCAGGAGCTGCTCCTCATCGGTATTGCTTCTTTCTGTATGAACAACCAGCTGGCTTCGATGGGAAGCAGTATGCTCCGCCAAATGGTCAGAAAATGTCCAATTGGAGCAGGATGAGATGTAGCCTGGATGCTTGGGAGAAGAAGCTTGGTCTTGGGGCGGTGGTGGCGGTCAACTACTTTACGAGCAATTGAGATATATGGATAGGGAAACACTGGAGATATACCCATGATAGTGCAAATGAATTTCTGTTGGAAAGGGAATTCCTGTTGGAACTTCAGTCCGAATGATCGGAGCCCACCACACAAATACTCGAAAAGTGATTCCCTAAGCTGAGGTTGCTACCAAACCCCGGAACAATTAAACCGAGTGCACGTGATTGGAAGTTCTTCTACCTTAGTGGTCGACGTCATTTCGGTGGCGGCATTTCCCCCAATAATCGGCACCGCGAAGCTTCTACGGCCAATTCGTAGTCGTCCTTCTCTGCCTGCGCCGGCGTGTATATATTTATTCGATTCATCCTCTCGTCGCCATTGTCAACCTCATCATCCCTCATACACCACATCTCGCGTGCGGAGTTCCCATCATGTCTTTCGTCCTCAGGAGGCCCTTTGCGGTCTCCTCCAACGCTTTCAAGCAATTCAGCAAACCCTCCTCGTTGATCCGCAGCTTCCACTCAAACCCCAAATCATCGAATTCATTCTTCACTCCCCGGACGACGACGACGACGACGTCGAGCGCACAATCCCTGCTCAAGTCCGAAGCTCTCCGCAATGGTTTCAAGCGAAGTTACCAGACTCCTTCCTATCAGCCTGCGAGCACAACTTCCAGCGGCAATCTGACACAGCGACTTCTCTACGGCGCCGCTCTGGTGGGTGGTACAATCTTTGCCACGAACCTGATCTTCAACCGGGAAACGCGCGAAGATGGCGGTATGCCCACGTACGAACGAGAATACCTGAACCAGACTTTCATGCACACCGGACTGGGTATCGGTATCATTGGTTTGGCGGCTCGGACTCTGCACACCAGTGGCTGGAGTTATCGGTTGATGGCCACGAACCCTTGGCTGGTTATCGGTGTTGGTCTCGCTGCCAGCTTTGGAACCATGTACGGAACATTCTACACGCATCCTGACAAGTAAGTTTTACTTCCGGTCTTATTGTGATCATTTGGACACGTCAACTGATGACCCGTCTGCAGCTACGTACAGAAGTACGCTCTCTGGACCGCGTTCAACGTCACTCAAGCAGCCATTCTGTCCCCATTGATGTTCATGCATCCGGCAATCCTGGCTCGCGCCGGTCTTTACACTATCGGCATGATGGGAAGCATTGCCTTTGTCGGTGCAACTGCCAAACAAGAGAAATATCTCTACCTCGGAGGTCCTCTGCTTGCTGGTGTCGCCATCGTTGCTATCTCCGGATTTGCACCTCTCGTCCTACCAGCCACCGCCGTTCGAACATTGGCCTGGACTGAGAACATTTGGCTCTACGGTGGTTTGGCTGTCTTTGGTGGATTTACTCTGTACGACGTTCAGAAAATCCTGCACCACGCTAGGATGAGTGAACGTGGTCTGGTCAGAAAAGATGTCGTGAATGAGAGTGTGAGCCTTGAGTTGGACTTCCTGAATATCTTCATCCGCATGGTTCAAATCTTGAGCATGCAAGGCAGCAAGCGACGATGATCGGGTCGAACTTGAGAAGGAGTATATTTATTCCTCGGGGATGCGACTTGTAATTCATATATGACTTGATCACAGTGTACAGGTCTTCAACTTGGTCAAAGACATACTCTACACCACCAATATAGGAGAAAACAGATATATAAAAAAAATGTATTACTTCCACTCTTACAAGGTTGACTTTGATAGAATTTTATGGCCCTTATTACAGTTTTCCTTCTGTGGATTTCTCACCCCTTCCTGTGAGTTGTTATCAAACATGGATACATTAAGAGACCTGAGTTGTGAATAAGCACCCCAATGTCCACTTGATGCTCTGATTAAAAACAAAAGATGTGATACTCGTAGTACCAGGTTCGACGAGGCTGAGGTCAATCCACGTGACGTCGTTTGGAAATGAGTTTGACAAGTCTCCGACAAAGAACAAATAAATATATTATCAACATATGGTTCGCTCTCTCTTTGCTCTACCGAGTACAAGTGTTGCCATCACCTCAAACATTTCGACCAACCATAACAGTACTCAATCGCGCTGAATTCTACCATCATTGTCTTCTTCACCCACCTAGCCAGACTCTTTTCCCGACTCTAGCTCAAACATGGCCCAAACGATCCACCTCGCACACATGCCACCCGAACTGGCACTCTACGTCTCGTTGTACACCGACGTCGAGAACGCCCCGTTTCTCAAGCAACAGCTCCTCGCGGGGAACGCAGAGTTTGAATACGCATTCATCGATGCTAGCATGGTGAGGAATGTTCCTTTCCCTTCATTCCACACCCCCCCCCCACACCGGCCGTATACAATAAAACGGCACAGTCCACGTTACTCACGCCTCAGGACCCTTTTCACAGATCCTCTCGACGACCCATGTCCTCGCGGCGGCCTTCCGTGCCATGAATGACTACTTGAACGATCGCCTCAAGTCTCACAACATTCATTCCGAAATCGTCTTTTCCTTGAGTCCAAATAACAATGTACGTATTATTTACCCAGCTTAGCTATACTTTTCACTTTCCACTACCACCATCCACCGTCCACTGTCCCTGTATGGATGTCCATATTTGGGTTTTGACTGACGAACGTTCCCCCATTCAAAAGATCGGTGAAGCGTTTCGGAGGTTTGGTATATCGGATTCTACACGAAATTTGCTGGTCGTCAAGGTCTCGACCGACCCGCAAGTGACACAAGCCACGGTCGCTCAACACCTCTCGACACACGTAAAGGGCAGGGAAATCCCATTCGACGACGTCACCTTGCGAGGCTTGTCCGACGTCGAAAGGATTCGAAAAGTGTACAAGATCAGTCTCCCGCCGCCGCATTCTTCTTCTGGTAAAAACCACAAAGGTGGCAGGGACGACGTGGTCACGAATGGTGACAAGGTTACGATCCTTGACTCGACCACCTTCTCCTCCAACCTTGTGAGACAGGTACTGGGACTCATGGCCTTGAGGGGTGCAACTTGATGAATTCGATTCGATTCGAAAAAAAAAACTCCAATCCGATTTGAGAAAAAAGAGAAAGTCCGGTCGGTCACATACTAACAATGCACCGAATCTTCAAGATCAAAGGGCGCCCCAAAACCACACAAACCTCTGGTGCCTTTTTGTCAAAGTAAGCTTGGGGGTCAATGTCAATGATTGACGCAAACCAAGAAAGATTGAGAAAGAAAGAAACCAAGGAGACGGACGAGGACAAACTTGTCAAGGTCTTCGCGGTGACCTTGAGAACAACGTCTACTTTCCAAAAACGACGCGGACTGTTAACACCCTTGTGCACTCGATCTTGGAAATTCCTTCCTCGTGGACGTGTGAGACAGGTAGATACGCATGTACGGTGTTTTTCCTCCTCTTGAGATGTATTGGTTACAACTCTTGACGCCGGTATCTTGGGGTTGTCCCAGCTCACTGGTCTCACCGATCCTCGAGTAAAATGACCCCCGGGAAGCCTTAACGGCCAAAAGCTCACGACAAAAAGTCTGTCTCCTCCTTTGGACGAGTCAAAACATACCCGATACAGGCATCACCTTATATAAATACGCAGGACGTGACTCGGGTCAGAGGGGAAAAGAAAAGACTTCACGAGGACATCAACCACATCGAGAATATCATCACGACCAAGCTTTCTTCTTTTTTAAAGTTCCTCATTGTTCTTCTCTTCTACTCAAATCTGATCAAGGCGGATCTCTCTCTCTCTCTCTCTCTCTCTCTCTCTCTCTCTATAATCTCACGAATTAAGCAAACAGACATTTTGTTTTGAAAAATGAGCAAGCCAATCTAATGAATCAAGTTTACGCAGTGCGTTCTGTCTAGGCCAGAACCCTTTCAATTGGTCGACCGTCATCTCATCTGAATCTCTTCTCGCCTCTTGATGCCTTTCGCATTGCACCGCATCTGCCCGTCCCTTTTTCGTCCCAGCAAGCCAAGTCAGTCTATGCAAATTATCTCTTAAAGTACACAGCAAGAAAAAGCCTCATGCACCACCCACTGCCTCGCCTCCCACACCACCCTGGATCAATTCTCGGCCAACTCCAGCTGCTCATTCTTCCTCGAAACACTTCCTTCTCTGAATCTACAACTCGCAACAACGAACCCTGCCTATCCTCTCTCTACTCTCGCTCTCACCCCGTTTTGCTTGGTGAGCACATCCATCGGAAAATAGGGTAATCGTCATCCTTTGCTTTCCCCTGTATGAAAATGCATTCTTCACTTCCTCTCCAGTTCATGCGAGCACCTCAAAGAGTGCTTCGATCGTGCTTCGAGAAAAAAAACCAAGCGAATAAAAACCATCCAACGCCATCGCTAATTTGTGAATTCGAATCTTTTTTGGGGTTTGGTTGGAAAGTAGCAACGTAGCCGGAATAGGACGGCCGTTGGCGTCCGTGACAATTTAGTGGCCAAACGATAAAATAAGGCATGATAAAACATAACATGGCAACGTCATAGAGCATGTCAAGAAAGAAGGTCAATCTAATGGATCCTTCTTGCATGTACCTGAAGTTGTTTTTGGTCGACAATGATGTCGTGTGATGATACAAAGCAGTACTAGTCATCCTTGTCCTCTTTTGGAGAAGTCGGAGAATACTGCGGGCTGTTGGGAGAGTATTGTGGACTACTAATACCACCTGGTCTCCCTTGCGGGCTTCGCGGCGATGCATTGTACATCGGACTCGTAGGTGAGTACGAGGGACTAGTTGGCGAAGTCGGACTGGTAGGACTGTACGTAGGAGACGTCGGAGAATAGCTTGGTGACGTGGGAGATTGCTGCTTGCCATCGCCATACACAGGACTAGTCGGGCTATACTGTGGTGACGTGGGACTGTAGGCAGGCGATGTCGGTGAAGTCGGTGACGTCGGGCTGAATGCTGGAGACGTAGGAGAGTAACTTGGCGATGTTGGGGAGTTGCCATAGGCAGGAGACGTCGGAGAGTAGTTCGGTGAAGTTGGAGAGTAGCTGGGTGACGTTGGCGATGCTTGATAACCAGGCGAGGTAGGCGAGTACGCAGGTGAGGTCGGCGTGAATGCTGGACTGGCTGGAGAAAACGACGGTGACGTTGGGCCAAAGCCAGGACTGGTTGCACCAAAGGCTGGGGAGGTAGGCGAGTACCCAGCGGTTGGTGAAAAACCAGGCGAAGCCGGGCTCATACCACCGAAAGGACTGGCCGGAGAATATCCTGCAGGACTGCGAGCCCCATAGGGACTGAAGCCTCCAGCGCCACCAAAGCCAGGTTGATAGTCCGTGAACCCGCCAGGAGTCTCCGACCCAGAAGCAGCAATTGGCGAGAAAGACGCACCATAATCCGGGGAACCAAGGTACTGGTTGTCCTGCATTGGTGAGCCACTATCGTAGGGAGTCGCAGCGCCCTCCAACATTTGCTGGGTGCCTTTAACACCGATGACTCCTCCAAGGCCGAGATTGGCATTGTCGGTGACAACTGTTGACAGCATGTTGTGATCGAGCAAGATGTCCATAGTGCCTGTTCCGACGGGAGCAGGTTGACCCAGGATCAAATTTTCAGATACACCCCGACAGTCGTCCAATTCACCAGCAGCAGCTGCTTCAAGAAGAATCTCCACGGTCTGCTCAAACGAACATCTCATGAGAGCACCAGTATCAGATTTGTTGATACCATGACGGGTGACAGCCATGACATAGCCACGACTCGTCATCACATCGCAAAGAATACCCAAGTGACGAGCATTGACATATGAACCATCGAAAGACAATACTTGAGTCAATTCTCGGAGAATGGCAGCACGGGTAGCTTCGATACCCAGCACCTCGAAAATCTCAGTGAATCTGTTGGTGTAGGTACGACTGGTATCGACTCCATCGATCGCGAGAACTTTTGCGAAAGAGCTGCCGCTAGTCTCGAGGACATACTCGTTGCATTTGGGGTCAGACTTGGTCATTCTGACGGAATTGTCCGTGTCAATGATGGCTTTGCTCTTCTGATCGATGAAGGCCCTTGATACTCCAGGAACACCGTGGAATGTGAGGTGATCGAGCATTTCGTTCAGGAAGCGGCGGAGAATCTCATCGTCCTCTCTGCGGTCTTCTTCTTCGTCCTTACCATAGTTCTGAACCAGTCGAACACGAATGACCTGCTCATCGGCATTGATATCACTGAAGATCACTGACAGGTCCTTGCCATAAGTGGATTTGATCTTTGACGAGACCTCTTGAATGTTCAATCCCTTGTCAAGGAGCTTCGCGCGACTAAGCGTGATACGCAGAAGCCATTTCGAATGGAGGGAAAGGTCTGCCTCATTGTCTTCAGGAATAATGAAGTATGACTCGACCATATCGAGATCCTCGGGAATGATAGTACTTTGGATGTCTGGATCGTACCACAATTCACATGTCTCAGCCACGGATCGCAAGTTGGTATGCTGTACTCGGCTTCGAAGTAACTTGGCTGCCTCTTTGTCGCCAGTGTACTCTGGGAGTTGATAGACCGTCATTGATGGTGTGCGGATGTTCTGGGAGACGTTCAAAATTTCCTTCAGACGAGGGACACCCAGTGTGACGTTCTTGGCAGAGACACCAGTAAAATGGAAGGTGTTCAAAGTCATCTGAGTAGCAGGTTCTCCAATAGACTGCGCAGCCAGGACACCGACCATTTCACCAGGGTTAGCATGCGCCGCGATGAATCGACTCTCAATACCACCGATGACATTGTCAAAGGCTAATCGGTTCAGACCATGTTCAAGAACAAGTCTCTTGTAAGCGAGACGAGATCGCAACTGTGCTTTGAAAAGAAGAGTGGCGTTCGATTGTGCCTCTTGTGAAATGGCATCATCACCGCGAACAACGATGAGACGATCCAGCAACTGCTTGACAGCGGTGAGTGCGTAGCGAGGGTCAAGGTCAGTCCTATCTCCACGTCGGATCTTGAAGTTCTTCTGTGCCTGATCGATGATTCGCGCAACGTTGAGAGGCAATTGGAAATTATCCTCGGTGCCTTTGCCCATCTTTCGAAGGAAATCTCGGGACTCGCGCAGATCTTCAAGCTCTTCGTCGAAAAGCTCTTGCAATTCGGTATCACCTTGAATCTCTCTGGCTTGGAGTAGTTTGCCTCTCCACATCGAGGTGTCGCCGCTCATGACATCGACAGAGTAACGGTTCATGAAAGCCTTGTCAGACATGGTGACGATGTCAACCTTCTGATTTTCGATATGTCCACCATCAAGACCATCTTCTCCATATATGAATTGAACGATATTGCCCCGAGAATCTCGGACTGTGCTATCGTACTTTACAGTGACTTCTTCAAGGGCCTTGACGAGTCGGCGCTGAATGTAACCAGTTTCGGCAGTCTTGACAGCTGTGTCGATGAGACCTTCACGACCTGCCATGGCGTGAAAGAAGAATTCTGTTGGAGTTAGGCCTCGCAAATAAGAGTTTTCGACGAAGCCTCGAGATGGTGCCGAGTAGTCGTCCTTTGCGAAATGGGGCAAAGTACGGTACTTGAAGCCGAAAGGAATACGCTTGCCTTCCACAGCTTGCTGACCAACAATGGCAGTCATTTGAGCAATGTTGATCGTTGAACCCTTCGAACCAGCTCGAGCCATGGTGATGGCATTGTTAAGATCTTTCAGACTGTTTTCTGTTGCCGAACCAGCCTGATCACGAGCTTGATTGAGGAAGTTCATGACCTTGCTTTCGAATGTCTGACGGACGTTCATACCAGGTGCAGGTTCTAGATCTTCATTGTATGCCGCCTTGGTTAGCTGCTCAACGTCGGCTTTTCTGTCATCGACAGCTTGCTGAATTTTGACAACCGTGGCCGGATCTGGCACTGTATCACCAATACCGATGCTGAAGCCGTTGTGCAGAAGCCAGTAGTTGACGACAGTCTGCGCACCGTTGAAGAAAGCCATAGCAGCTTCGTGACCAAACTCATTGTAGATGGTATGAATAATACCACCGGCACTGGTGCCCACAAATTTCTTGCTGAACAAACCGAACATCAAGTTGCCCTCCAAAACCATCAAGCCAGTGTCGTTGATGGGAGATAGACTTTCGTCCTTTTGGTCCCTGAAAGCATCGCCCTTCGCTTCGAATCGTTCAAGATTCAGGGCTTTCGGAAGAACCATACTGATCATCTGCTTGCCCGTCCAGCGGGGCCTAGGCTTGATGATAGCTGGTTGAGGAATCACCCCATCCCAATCAGGAACCCACATCATGACATTCATGACTTGGTCTCGTGACAAGAAGATGTCACGTCGACAAATCTTGTAGATACCACAGAGGGTGTCTTGCACAATACCCATCAGAGGGCCATTGCGTTGCGGAGAAACAATGTTGAGAGGAACCATGCAGAGGTTCGCCAATTCGGCTCTAGATTCTTCGCTTTGAGGAACGTGCAAGTTCATTTCGTCGCCATCGAAATCAGCATTGTATGGAGTGGTGACCGAAAGATTGAGTCTGAAGGTAGAGTAAGGCATGACGCGAACACGGTGACCCATCATTGACTCTTTGTGTAGGGAAGGCTGACGGTTGAAAAGAATGACATCTCCATCTTGAATGTGCCGTTCGACTTTCCAACCATACTGCAGAGTCATCTCTCCAGCCCGCTTGTGATGGCGAAGATCAATACGCTCGCCGGTGTCACGAATGACATACCGCGCACCAGGGTGCTCATTTGGACCATTGGCCACGAGACGCTTGAGCTTATCGAGATTGAACGGCGTGACAGTTTCAGGATAGGTCAGTGTACGGGCAATGCTGCGCGGCACGCCGACTTCATCGAGAGATAAGTTCGGATCACCTGTAATAACTGTACGTGCAGAGAAGTCCACACGTTTTCCCATAAGGTTCTGTCGCAGACGACCTTCTTTGCCCTTCAGTCTCGCGCGTATTGACTTGATAGGTCGACCACTCTTGTGTTGTGCCTTCTCTAAGCCGGCAATCTCATTGTCCATGTAGGTCGCGATGTGGTACTGCAAAAGATCGCACAGGTCGACCTTGATATGGTCAGGAGTACCGTCAACCTCTGTCCGCAGCACTGCCTGGTTGGCTCTGATGATATCACCCAGTTTGAAGGTCAGATCATCCTCACCACGAGAACCTTGACCACTCCCGTCCACGCTGATAGAAGGACGGACGGGAGGAGGAGGTACAGGCAGCGCAGATAAGATCATCCATTCTGGTCGAGCGTAGTCGAGACTGAGTCCCATCATTTCCAAAGTCTCATCAGTGAGGGTGCGGAAAGTATTGAGAGCATCTTGAGGGAAGATTCGCTTTTTGTCCGGTGTGATATCTTCGTCGTCATCGCCCTTGCGCGGTTTCCAGGTTGCCCACAGCTGCAACCCGGTTCTTCGGATTTCAGGCTGCGCGTTACCACAACCGCCGTGCTTAGGCTGTTGAGGTCCTTTGAGCGGTTGGTCTGGATCATCAGGAGGATCTGCTTCGCAAATAAGTCGAGGCTTGCTCAATCGCCAAACTGCGTCGAAACGACGCTTTCGGTCTCGAAGGGAAATCGCGTGTTTAAACTCTTCAGTCTATTTTCCTATGGTTAGAGAACGGTATGATCAGAGAAGAGTGGCAAAACTAACATCAAGCGCTTTGATCTTGCCACAGTTGTGGCAGACAGTCTCCAGTATCTTCTTGACCTTGGTCATGAAACCATAGTGGAATACTGGAGTTGCAAGCTTGATGACACCAAAATGCCCAGGACATTCGGCCATGTTTTCTTCACAGGTACTGCATTTGAAATTGCGATCGATTGTACCGAGATGAGGATCGTTCGGACCTTTCTCTCGAGGTCTGAGGCGCTGCTCATCCCTGGTTCACAAAAATGTTAGAAAAATTTTAAGAGGTGTGGTTTCTTCATTTATGACTACATACATCGTCTCAGGATATTCGATATCGATGACCGCGAGGCGTTCGGTTTCCTTGGCCGAGAACAGGCCAAACTGAATCTCCTCGACGGTCCGCAGCGGCGCGCTCGAATAAGGGAAATTGAGGTTCGACATGGTTACTCGCGTTATCCCAGAGAGACGATATTATTTTTCAAGACGATTTTCGATGATCGCAGTGCCTGCGCAGATGGCAGCGCGACGTGGTCAAGGACGACCCTTCGCCCTCCAGGGCCACCCAAAACAATGCGCACTTCTCCAGCTGCGCGTTTCACCAATTCTTGTTTCTTTGACCCCAGACTTCCTGGATCCTGTTCGGCTCGTCGATCGAAACGTGTTAATTCGGGAGCGCGATCGAGTCGAGATGGTTGAGGTGGGATGGTGATGATGGAAGTGGATGAGGATTGGTATGAGGTGGCAGATGAATTTTTGATTGAGCACTGGGAGGCGCAGGCTAAACAGGCAACCAACACGCCAAGACGCATCCGGCTTAGTTGCTATTCACGCTTGTCGCGCTCTCTAAATCAGCCGCAATGGACAATCATGTCACTCTCTATTGACTCACTCTTCTTCTGCCTGTCAGAGACGCGAAGGATTGAACTCATCTCTGATCCCGACGTGACCGAGCAAGGCCGAAACTCATAAGAGTGTTGACTCCCCAAGAGGAAGGCCGGATTCATGTAGGTTTATCCACCGAACAAAGACACGGCTACACTAATCCGTCGAGCAATGGCCTTTTTCCTGCTGTAGCACATATGCAATAATCCGAAGGCCAGTACGAGGTATGGCTACTGGTACGGAGTATAGAGAGTGTGTCTTGCTATGTGCTGGGTGTTCATTGATTTAATTTCCTTGGGTTCTACTGAGTATCTTCAAAGTCTATGGTAGCTGTTCCTGTATACCCTAATGTGAGATGTATACATCGCTCATGCAAGTGAATGAGCTGCGATTATAAGAAGACATACCTTTGACCATTCACTTCCATCTACTAGTGTGAATAACTTCTTATTTGAACTGTTCGTAACCGCTGAGGCCGAAACTCGAGCCACCTACACCGCGCTAGTCTCAATTAGGAAGCGTCGGCCTCTATCAACAAATTCTGGACGTGGCATCTACATTCTCTCCATATCCAAGCACACCATGAATTTAGCACTAATAGACCCATTCCAGCTAGCCCAAGACTCTCCGGATGCTCTCACAAACGATCTCAGTAAGTATAGCATAGTGCATGTCTAGCGCATCTCGCCCGCGTCTCGTTTTCACTTGGCCCGAGGACTGACCTGAATAGGGTGTGGCCATGCCACAACTCTTCGTTTCAGTCGAAAGGGTGATTATTTGGCATCAGGTAGAGTGGATGGCAAAGTTGTGATATGGTAAGTTGACTGCACCTCTACCCATGCTTCTTTGATGTCAGGATGTCTGACCCGAGAAAGGGACATGGAAACATTTGGCGTCGCCATGAGACTAGTGGGCCACTGGAAACAAATTCAAAGTCTGAGCTGGTCTCGAGATGGACGGTATCTTCTCACTTCGTCTCAGGATTGTCGTGCCTGTCTTTGGGACTTACAAACTCAACAACGCATACGGACTGTCAAGTTCGAGGCACCGATTTACACTGCCGAACTTCATCCATACAATCACAATCTCTTCGTAGCCTCGTTATTTGAGGACCGCCCCTACCTTGTCGACATTACAAACCCTGAATGCATCAAGAAAATCTTGCCCACTACTCCACTCAGTGATGGCGAAAGTGTCTCGCGGTCCGAGAACAAGCAGGCCACAACCTCAGCCATATTTTCTGTCCTGGGCAATCACATCATCACAGGCACATCGAAAGGCTACATCAACATCCTTGAGACAGAGTCTCGTAAAATCATTCATTCCACCAAAATCTCCTCGGGCTTGATCTCGCTTCTGCGCCTGACATCCAACGGCCGCCAACTCCTCGCCAATAGTACTGATCGTATCATTCGTACAATCAATCTACCTGATCTTTCTCTGATCACGCCCTCAACTGCGCCCCCCTTTGAGCCTACTAGCGAGGAAGATACTCCTGACCCAGCCACATTGGCTGAAAATATTGTCCTCACCACGGAGCACAAATTCCAGGATCTGGTGAATCGCCTACGTTGGAATCATTGTGCCTTCAGTCACTCGTCATCCACTGGCATTGCCGACTATGTCACTGCGTCGACGTACATGAAAAAAGACATTTACATTTGGGAGTTACGCACGAATTCATTGCTTCGAATTCTCGAGAACCGTGAGGAGCCTGCTATCATCGAATGGCATCCATCGCGGCCGCTGCTTGCATGTACAAGCATCGAAACGGGGAGCATACAAATCTGGGGAATTGAACCACAACAGAAATGGTCGGCGCTTGCGCCGGATTTCACTGAAGTAACCGAGAACGTTGAATACGTGGAACGTGAGGATGAATTCGACACGTATCCCAAGGAAGAGCACCAAAAACGACGTCTTGATCGAGAAGATGAGATTGTTGACGTTTTGACTGTTGAGAGGAAAATGGGCGAAGAAGAAAGCTTTGTTCTGCCAATGTTATATAACGTCGAAGACAGCGACGGGGATGACCAGGAATTGGTGCGTATGGGTGTTGGCACCATGAGAAAGAAGGATTTTCACGAGGGCAAGGAGTATGAAAACGAAGCTGATGAACCGGCCAAAGCTGCTCGCAAGCGAAAGTATTAGGGGCTGCCTGCGATACTTTGCAACGGTACCAGCGGCGGGTAAATCGACGACAATCACGATTTCAGCTACGATGAGGTAACACAGGGTTCGGAGGTTCTTTGTCCGGTTCTCTCAAGAATATTTACGCAAGGAGTTGGAATTGGTCTGCAGCGAAAACTCGCACGGGATGGTTCATAGGTATGGACTGAATTCAGTATACCACGACCCTAGCATCGAACATGTAAGGAGACTGCGTAATCCAGGGCATGCTGTTGTCCCATCGGCGTCAATGGGCTCCAATGGAATTGTGTAACAATCACTATGCTCGCCAATAGCAGCAGATGCTTGACGCCAGTGAGGAAAAAAGGGTGTAGAAGGTTCAGCTGGGAATTGACTATTAGGTAGTTATTCTTTCAGTCTTCGTCGAGAATTGTCAGCCACTAGCGCCCGCGTTTAGTAAGGGGCAAGAGGGTCGTTGAGAAGCCGGTGGATTTTGCAGAACGGAGCAGGGATATCCGCAGTGCATTTCGCATGGGTGATTTGGCTGGTCCAGGGAGAGAACAAGGGCAATTGTAGAGATTCCCGGGGTGTGAGATCTGCAGCAGCCTACGGAGTGCATGCGACTGGTTCTGGGACATAGAACGAGTTGATAGCCCTAGATGAGTCGGATGCAGCTTTCTTTGTAGTAGTAACAAACAAAAGGATTGAAGAGTGACATACCGAAGACAGCCTGGACACATTCACTATATGTTCTTTCAGTGCCATAACTGGAGCACTTTTGGTCAATATCTATCAGACTTGGTAGGGAGGGAAGGAACCATCCAAGGCGCATGTCCAATAATGCCCCTGCTGCATCCGCAGCCCAGAATTCCTCACCAAATACTCCATACTGCTACTACTGTGCGGACTGCGCACCCATCACCACCACCAACTCATCACCGTCCAGACGCCAGAGTCCAAGTTTCCTCCCCTTGCATTCCTTCACTCTCCACGCTCGTTGCTCACCCGTCTGCTGGACAGTCACATCCTACGCTTCTTCTTCCCTTCCTATTGCACGGCAACACCGTCCGCTCCTTCGAGTCACCTCCAGTCGCGCTTGCGTGTTGACCGTTTCCGGGTCGTCCACTCCCTTGCACCTGTTGCAGATCCTAAAACATTTCGTGCTTCACTTCCACACCACACCTCACCCGATCCCAGCATCTTATTGCTTGGCCGGATTGGTCGATTTCAATCTTCTACAGACCGTACGAGGTTTCTACCACCTGTTTGCGAATGGTCAGCAGGAGAGATGCAAGCAGCAATGCCACCGCCCTCACGAGGGCCTGAGTTGTCCCCAGTGTCTACGACTGGAAGCGATGGATGGTCAGGTCTCAACAACTACAGCCAGTTACCGCGCAATGATGGAAATTTCTCATCCTTGAACGGCCCCGGCGACGACTATCTTTCCAAAGCACCTCCCTTTCCGCGCCCTGGTCCGAATGGCGCCAACTTCCCTCCCGGGCCTCTTGATCCTATGGGCCAACGTCGTCCCTCCGAAGTCGGTTCACGTGGATCGTCACGAGCAGGATCAATCGCAGCTTCTCGCTCGAGTGATGGCACATTGGCAGATGACCAGAGTCGGAAATACAGGCGGATGGAAGCGCAACTCTTCCAGCACTACACTGTTCTCAAGGGATATCTAAAAGGAGGTGCACAAGTTCCGCCGCGCCCCAATAAAGCCCGAGACAAACTGCTGCGCCTATCTCCCGTGCAATTCCATGAGTTAAGTACCGATGTTTTCGATGAATTGCAACGTAGACAAGCGGCCACACCCCTACCTGGCCGGCCACCGCGGCAACAGAACGTGCCTCCATTTCTACAACCGCGTCCGGATTTCCACGAAAAGAGAAACCAGGCAAGGCAGAAACTCTCATCCTTACAGGCGCCACGATTCAAAGACTTGTCGACCGATGTGTTCTGTGAACTAGAAAGGAGATTTCCACAATTTGCGCGCTCCGAAGGGGGAAGGAGAGAAAGTTCTCGCTCGCACTCAAGAGGTCCTGGTAGTGTCGCCTCAAGTAACGGTGGAGGGGGATATGGCCTGCCATCCAGAGCTCAAACATTCGGCCCAGGTCCAATGGGCTATTCTCAGAGACAGGACTCTGTGACTAGCATTCCGCAATTCGACAACCCACCGATGAACGACTATGGACGCCCCATGGCAAAGCAATTCCAAAGCAACACCATAACTCCAAACAAGAGTATGATGGTGGAAGATGAGGATGAGGCGCAGGCCACAGACTTGAAATACGACCGTTCCAGCGATGCTTTCGGCCTTGAGAGTTCCCTAACTAGTCCCCGAAGCGACCGAGATACCTCAGCGACTTCACAAAGCGGAGTCAGTTACAATTCCAAACCTCTTCCTCCTGCAATGACCGAGCTGCAGGACAAGCTGGCAGATCTGGAAGCCAGCCTCGAAGCAAGAGATACCGAACTTCGCAATTCCACCGCGGAAGCCGAGAAGTGGAAAATAACTACCGACGACCTGGAGAAGAAGCTACAAGCGGCGGAAGTTCTTAATCAATCCTTGAAGGCGGAAATTGAAAAACTCAAGGTTGAGCAGCCTAATTATAGTGGCGAGAGTGTTTTGTGGAAGACCAAATATCTCAAACTCGATCAAGAGAATGAAGGTTTGCAGAGCCGTCTTGCTCAGCAACAAGAATTGACCGAGGAGGTTCGTCGACAAGGTCAAACATTCTTGGAAGAGATGCGAGCCATGGCTGATTCCGGAGGCAACCCTGATCGCGAGCAGAAATTGCAAGCCGATGTTTCCAAACTGGAAGAGGAAGTCAAGGAATGGAAAGCTCGATATGTCAAGACGAAAACACAGCTTCGCAGTGTGCGTGCCAGCTCGCTCGGGCTTAGTATCGCTCGACCAGACGCCAATCAACATGCAGCTGCTCTCCAGGATCGCGAAGGTCTGGTCAAGGACGTTCATGTCACTAAATTCCAAATCTCCATTGACGAACTACTTCGTATTGCGAGATCCGATAATCCAGCGGCTGTCCTTGACCACATGAAGACTGTGGTTTTGGCCGTAAGGAGCATCACTTCTGATGTTGATGCCGCCGGCACCGACAAGAATGACGACATTACCAAGAAACGAGCAAAGATGAAGAGCAAGGTCTCAGTCACGGCCAATAATCTCATCACCGCATCCAAGAATTTCGCTTCTGCAAGCGGTCTCTCACCCGTCAGTCTTGTTGATGCTGCTGCCTCTCACTTGACCGCTGCGGTTGTTGATCTTCTCCACACCGTCAAAATTCGACCTACGCCTCCTGGTGAGCTAGAAGACGACGACGATGGCACTCTGGAGCCTTTGCAGAGCAATGGTTACTTCAATATTGCCGAGACCCTGAGACGCCGTAGTGCTGTAGAAAGTGTCTACAGCGCGTTGAGCACTCCACCAGAGACTAGAAATGGTTCCATGCAAATCGGGCATCAACGAAATGGTTCAAGCTATCTCAACGGGACAGGTTTGGGAATTCAGTCTACGTATGGTCTGAGCCAGGAGGAGGCTGATCTTGAAGATCTTAAGGTATGGCACCACAGTTCTTTCGCGAAGGAATCTAGCTAACGTACTTTGATAGATGTACCTGGAAGATCAAACTGATGGCCTGGTTCAGTCCATCACCTCACTAGTCGACGCCATCCGGAACGACGATGCGACAGCACCAATTCAAACCCACATCAGCACCATCGCAGGAACCATCGGAAATGTCGTGACTGCCGTGGAGAGAACGAGCAACGAGACTTCTTCATATCAGACGCTGTTGATTGAAAAGTCACAGCCTATTGTGTTGATACTGCAGGATTGTCGCGAGAAGCTGCTCCAAGCAGGGGCCGATTCAACGGCTTATAATGGAACCCCGCAAAGCAAGGAAGTCATACAGACACTGCCACCATTGGCGTTCCAGGTCGCTCGTGAGACTAAAGAGCTCGTGTCGAGAATCATGGCCATTGAAGCTGGACGTGGCGAGGAGGATTTTAGCTGAAGGCGTTGTTAGAGCAGTATCACGACAAGCAAATGACCCAGACACAGGCTTGCCTGGTTTGAAATAGACTTGTATAGATGAACCATAATGTATCAATGCACCTGCCGGAGAATGGCGGTACCAGATGGCAGAGACCATGAATACCTTGGTGCTCCGTACAATTGCTCGTTTATCATGGGTACCTCGTTACCCCTATTCTTATATCACGTGCTGCTTGGCGGGCGAGTCGAGATGATGGGAAGAGCTCGAGCTTTTTCTGTCTGCGTCTCTCCTTTACATCATTGTACATTACAAGATTGTATTATATCATTGTGCAATTAGTTGGAGGCATTTCTCAATCTCTGGCGTTGAGAGTACTCGTAGCAGGATATTTCCAACATTCTACAGTGTCCTCGTACTTCTAGTTCCATCCTTAGCCATCGCAACTACGGAGTGTACAGCTCGTGGTGTCGATATTGGGGTGCCAGACATCTTCTAGTCCATTTATCCGGTGAGTGCTTACCCTGCTGGAGCTTCAGTCCTATCTGCTCCGACAGAAACGCGTGCGAGGGGATGAGCTGACGGATGGCTGTCCCATACAGGCACAGAAGCGTCGCCAGCCGACTGAAAATTTCCCATCACGTGACCGAACGTGATCTGGACAGCCACCCGAGTCTTTGTTTTTGACCCCTCATTCACCTCATCACAAATTGGTGACCATGGCTGCTCTGCCCCGCTGCGTCAATACTAAAATTCACGCCTTCACCCCGCGGATTTCTTCTCGTCCATCTCTTCTTCAATCTCTCTCTCATCGACCTGCCACAACCACCCCTTGGACTGTCCGATCTTTCTCATCTTCACCTGCAAACATGACTATCAAAGCCTGGTTCGACGTCGAGTACACCGACGCAGCTCTCGACCGTGCTCGAGCTGATGCTAAGCGATCCGGTGGTGATGTTCCTCCTCGTAAGCTCGCCCCTTTCCCTTTTTCCTCGTTTTCCAGTTCCCAAGTCACCCCACGCAACCCTGGCAAAACCCTCGCAAGGGTTGTGCCCGCAGTCACAACCGCAGCTGAGCACCAAGCCTGTCGACACTCGCTTCTTCTGCCCTGCCTGCGGGTTGCATTGAGCTTGCTCAGATTGAATCCATCACTGACCTCTTCTGTTTTTTTTGGTGCAGCCAAGCGGGGTCGTATCAATTTCAACCTCTTCGACGATGTAGTCCCAAAGACTGCCGAGAACTTCCGTGCTCTTTGCACTGGCGAGAAGGGCTTCGGCTACAAGGGCAGCAAGTTCCACCGAATCATCCCTGAGTTCATGTTGCAGGGTGGTGACTTCACTCGTGGCAACGTAGGTTTTCCCACGGCGTCAAGAGATGGACAAGAGACACATACTCACTCTCAATTAGGGCACCGGTGGCAAGTCCATCTACGGCGAGAAATTCGCGGATGAGAACTTCAAGCTGCAGCACTCCAAGCCTGGTCTTTTGTCCATGGCCAACGCGGGACCCAACACGTAAGACAATAAAAACAACTCCTCTCCCCTCCCAAAAAAGTCTGCACGAAAAACAACACTGACAATGATGAACTGACAGCAACGGCTCTCAATTCTTCATCACCACCGTCGTTACCTCGTGGTTGGATGGCAAGCATGTCGTCTTTGGTGAGGTCGCGGACCAGAAGAGCATGGACATTGTCGCTGAACTTGAGAACACTGGATCCGGCACTGGCCAAGTCAAGCTGGAGTTCAAGCCCGTCATCGTCGACAGCGGTGCCGAGAAATAGATCACTCTCCCCCCCACCCTCATAGTATGAGAGAAAGCAAGACTGCAAAGTTTCGGCGGGAACAAATGCTTGTGGACAGACAAAGACATGCAAAAGGCCTTTCACACACACACACACCACCACTCATACATGCAAGAATTATTTGAGGGTTGGTAAAAAGCAGATACAAGTTAATAGGAGAAAATGAAAAGTTGAGCCTATTAAATGGCATGAATCTCCATATCAAGTTTTTGTGGGAGGGGGGGTTTTGTTACTCTGAGTGACCGTCCAAAAGTTTCCTCGTTACTCGTTATTCATATCTCATGGTGTCCCGTCTTGTATCGTGTTCTCTCTCTCTCCATTGCTTGCTCCCGTATACAATGCCTCGAAACGTTCGCTGATCTCTCACACATCGATCCATGTCAAAAGTCCTTGATATTAAAAGGCCATCATCACTACCCAGGTTGTTTTCCCCGCCGCCTTCCTCTTCTCCGCGTTCCTCTTCTTCTGTCTCTCATCTGCTACCCAGGTAGACTTTGTCCTCGAAATTTCCGAGGTACTGCTGCTTGTTGTTTATGTACGATACCTACCGTGGTAACCTCCATTCGAGTCCGACGCCGGCCCTCAACAAATTCTTCTTCTCCTTCTTGCCGCGGTTGCACCTCGAGCTGCTCGTACACCCGACTGTCGTAGAACATTCTCTCTACACTCGTTGTCCGGTCATCAGCTCAAGAATCCTCCGGTGTGGCGGGGAATCCTTCTGATCGGAGCATCGTTCAAAGGGTTCAGCAGCGGCAAAAGGGGATCTGATCGGTTCTCGACGTGAAGGTTTTTCAACCCGAGCGGTGATAATGTGATTTCTAGGAGAAGGGGTTAAAGTCGCATCTTGTTGGAGGAAAAGTCGCGGTTAAACGCGGGGTGATGGACTCGAGATTCGACAGCCTCGCATGCCTCGAACACTAGATTCGTACATACCGCCTGATGTAAATGACCTTGGATACGATAAACTCCTCAGGCGTTGCCCTTATACCATGGTATACAAGGCATTCAGGGGATGTTTTCCAGTATGACGGCAAACCTGATGAACAATGAAGATGTTATGGGCGACAATAAAGGCCAACTGAGGAGGTCTCGACTCTTTATTTCGAGGGTGTTGTGCTATTGTCGTACTTTGTCCGTGAAAGTGTAGGCACGATAGCTACCTACCCCAGGTATAGAGAGAGTATCCATGCTGTTACACACCTATTGAGGACAATAATAGTCCACCTGAGAAAAGAAACAAAGTTATCTGCTAAGAAAACAAAGTCAACACGTTGTTGTACATACATACAAGGTAGAATAGTAAGTATCCTATGAGAAGCCAGTTCAACACCACATGTGGTTGGGGTATAAAAAATGCACAGTAATCTTTATATCCGGCAGATGCAGTATTGTAGTTCTTAGAAAGTATCATTGCATTAGATACGGATACCTAAACCACTATAGAATGGATCCGCGCGTTATCTAGCGGGCTTGGAAGTCGTGAGAGATCAACAAGCTCTTGCGAGTCTTTCTCTTTCTAGTCTGAGTATAATGGAGTATATACCCTTGGGGGTTACCTAGATACTCTCGGCACAGAGTATGCTATTTTCCTTGGTACCTACGGAGTACTTCTATACCCACTATACCCAGATGCTGATCCTCTCTTTGCCGTCTTGGCCTGCAACATGGATATCCCGGACGAGGCCGACCACCATATAAGATGGGAATACATCAGCACGTGCAAGGCAAGACCTGTATGCTTGACCTTGATATACCAGTCCACATCAACGTACAACGGGAAGAGGAGATATTTTCAAATCGTTCCAGAATGCACAAGTCTCAAGGAACCGGTATTGCGGTTCCTCCTCCGCCAGCTATAAAATGGCCCAGATATCCCTCACAAGTGTTATCGACCTCAAAGAAAGAATACCAATAGAAAGAGGAAGAGTCCGAAAAAGAAAACAACTCACGCCAGAATGTATTCTCTCCTCATATCACTAGTGACTGTCCCTAGTCTTTTGTCTTTCTCTGCATATGCAGCACGTCAGCCTTACGATGTGAGGAAGATCATCGATGCCTTTCGTCATCCTCATGATGACCTTGTCATCTTGTGCGCACATCGAGGACTTCGGTAAGAAGATCAAAAACAAATCACCTCACCCTTGAAAGCAAGAAAGCAAGCTGATATGGAACGCAGATGGAACGGAACGGCGGAGAACTCTCGTGATGCGTACTTTCGTGCCTCGGAGGCTGGACTCGAATGCATCGAGACCGACATCCATCTTTCGAGCGACGGCTACTTGCCCATGATCCACGATGCCGGCCTGGGTCGAGAGACTGACGTCGGCGAACAGAGTGGCAAGCCCGCGTACAACCCTTTCACGGGTCAAGGATACAACCCAAAGGTCAGCGACGTGCCCTTCAAGGCCTTCATTGAGAAGCTGCACTTGCGTGACGAGGGTGGCCGTGTCAGGGACGAGACCGTCCCTTCGCTGCCGGACATGGTCGAGAGCATCCACGAGAGTGGCATGAACGTGGTGCTGCAACTCGACTTCAAGGACAAGGAAGCCGTCGAACCGGCGTATTGGCAGCTCAAGAATCTGACAAACGCCGCCGGGGTACCTGCCAACGAATGGTGCATTTACAAGCTCCAGGCGACGTGGTATCGAACTCCCGAGGAGTTTGAAGCCCTTCCGTGGGTGCAAGACGCCTTCGCCTCGGGGGTGCAGCTTGCCTTCATCCCCGTCTACAACCCAATCGACGAGGTGCACTTCGACACCATGGCCAGCCTCGACGCCTTTGGGAAGACAAACTACACGATCTCAGCCGAGATTGAGCTGTTCTCGACCGATGGGCCGCTTCAAGCGATTCAAACTCGCGTCGACGACCTCAAGAAATCTCCAGAGGACAGTATGTTCCAGACGTCAGGTATCTTTTATGCTCCCGGTGACCTCGTGATGCCGATATCGGAAAAGTTCTTCGACACCGCAAACTATTCCCTCCCCGAAGACCTTTCGGTCAACGGCTCGGTTTTCGTCTACCAGGACAACCAGGCGCCGAAGCTGCTCGACAATATCGTGGGCAATTCAAGCGTCGACGGACGCGATCACCGTTCCGACTTTGGCTGGATATTGTCGACGGGCTTCGATTGGATCATCACGGACACACCAGATGAGTGGGCTTCCAGGTTGCAGAGTCAGGGTAGGAGGAACATCAAGTACATGATTGTCGATGGGAAGGTGGAGACGGATGTGAAGTTGGCCAGCGGATGGTTCAAGAAGAGACATGCCAGGGACATCACTCCTTGGGAGTGAAAGGTCCTGGTAAGAGTTAAGAGTCAAGACCTAATTCAACCTGGGGTTGCTATGGCCCGATAGAAGTTATTGTCGTGCTCACTTTTTGTGTTCAATGCATGCAAATGCGAGAGAGTCTTGCGAGGAAGAACCAAACATCGATACGACTGTGATATGATTGTACATGGAAACTTTCTTCTGGCAAGCACAATCCAGGCCTTGCCCGTATATTCCATCCAATAAAGCGATGGCGGAGGCAGCCGAGAACGAGAGAACTGTTATGCTGATCGACCTTTGGGGTCTGACTGGGGGAATAGAAGACAGCTTTGATCTAATGCTCGGATGAACGAATCATGTGCACATCGCATTGATCAATTGTACGTACATTGGACAAGGACCCTTATCTTGTCGTTGTTTGGGTAGTTCTTACATCATGAAATGGACACAACACAACGGATACTGGCGTATGAGAGGAGGGGTTACCGTTCGAGAACACACCATGGCTCGTATTGTAGGGAGGGGGATGATTCCACACTCCCGAGTTACGAGTTACGAATGATAAATAAGCCGGCCGTTGCAAGCTTTGGCCCAAGCTTCAAGCCGAGTCGTTGGTCGCTCTTCGAATTGCTTATTTGGCCAGCCACCATCGCGTGTGCGCGCGTATGACGGAGAGAGATAGAGAGATAGAGAGATTGTGTGTGTCTCTGCCGAAGGAGGGGAAAGTACTGTACTAACCACGGGCTCATTACCTCAGGTAGGTGAGAATCATTGGCCCAGGCCAACGAGATATGTTACGAGTAGCGATCTGTCATAAGAGGCGACCTCCGACCCATCGAGCTTGTTTTTTGCTGGAGATTCCTTGACTACAACTCGAGCTCTCAGTGGATGGCTGACCCTGATAATGGATGGATGGACCCAGAGTGGTATTCGCTGCCGACCGGCCCCAGTCAGAATGAGGCAGGCCACGAAAACGCGATCCCTTGTGGTGGGTTTTCTCTGATGGAGGTTTCTTATCTGGGCGCCGAGGGACACCCACTTTGATGGGTGCGTCAAGGGCTCATTGGTTTGGTTTGACGGAAAAGGACTCGTAAAGGTGCAAAGTAATAAAATCGACATTTGTGCGTGTCGGCGCCTCCCACCAGCACCCAGTTATGGTGTTTGCCGATAACCAGGTCATTTGTTCTGTCTCTTGATAATTGAATTAAAAAGGGTTGTTTCGCGCCCACTACATATATGGACAAGGTTTCCCCTTCTCTTGCGGTCTCTCTCTAGGCTTGTTGTCAGAACACTTCATTGACGGTGTTTTCACCTTGGCTTGGGGGAAACACAAATCGCCGAAAAATTATAAAATGGCGACGACCTCTTACGAAAAGTCGGGTTACGACCTGGAATATCAACCCGAGCCTCTGTCGGTGGGAGAAGGAGAGAAGCATCGATCCATTGTCGTTCCGGACGCATCGGGTGCCGTCCATGGTGAATCGTTTGTCACCGGCAATACTCTGTACGCCAGGTTGCAACGCCTGGCTGGACGATTTGGCGTGGAACAACGTGGTATAGAGCGCGTGCCTGAAGATGAGAGGACGGACAAGTCTACGTTGAAGGTTGGCACGATGGTACGTCTATTCGGCATGAGTCTGAGAGAATCATCATCACTGACGGTCGACAACAGTGGTGCGCTGCCAACATGGTGGTTTCGTCGTTCGCGATCGGTGTCCTCGCGATTCCCGTCTTTGATCTCGGCTTCGTCGATGCCTTTTTGACCATTCTCTTTTTCAACATTCTCGGAATCATGCCGGTGTGTTTCTTTTCGACGTTTGGGCCCAAGTTTGGCATGAGACAGATGATTCTGTCGAGGTTTTGGTTTGGCTGTGAGTTGTGATCCTCTTGGTTTCGCGTTCCGTATCGCTGACACTCGATTGGCCTAGACTACGGCGTCAAGGTCATCGCCATCTTCAACTGTCTCGCTTGTTTGGGATGGTCGAGTGTCAATGTCATCGTGGGCTCTCAGCTCCTGCACGCCGTCAACCCCGACGTCCCCGGCTGGGCGGGAATCATCATCATCGCTGCGTGTACTTTCCTCATCACCCTCTTCGGGTACAAGGTCGTGCACATGTACGAGATGATTTCTTGGGTGCCTTGCTTCATCATCTTCCTCATCGTGCTCGGCGAATTCGCGCACCACGGGTCCTTTGAGAACTTGCCCATGGGCAGTGGAGCGGGCGAGACGGCCAGTATCTTGTCCTTCGGAGCGTCAGTATTTGGGTTCGCCACAGGCTGGTCAAGCTATGCAAGTGATTATACCTGTACGTTGCCTTCCGTCCTACGCATCTACACTTGCATTTGGCTTTGCGCACAGACTTTGCTAACCTCCCCTTCTCCTCTTCCTCCGCCAGGCTACCAACCAGTCACGACTTCTCGGACCAGAGTCTTTTTCTACGTCTTCGTCGGCCTCATCTTCCCCTTGATGTTCACCGAGACCCTCGGTTTGGCCATCGCCACCGCGACCGTCAACGACCCGGCATTTGCGACCGCTTACAAAACCAACGCCGTCGGTGGGCTCTTGCATCAAGTCCTCGTTCCCCCATTGGGTGGATTCGGCAAGTTCTGTCTGGTCATCCTCGCCCTCAGCATCGTCGGGAACAACTGCCCCAACATCTACAGTTTGACCTTCAGTCTCCAGATCCTCACCCACTACGCCCAGAAGGTGCCGCGTTTCTTGTGGACGTTCGTCGGCACCGTGGTCTACTGCGCCATCGCCATCCCCGGTTACAGTCACTTTGAAGCCGTCCTGGAAGATTTCATGTTGCTCATCGGGTATTGGCTTGCTGTGTACTCGGCCATTTCACTCCCCGAACACTTCATCTTCAAGAGGGGCATCCGTGGATATAGTCCCGAACATTATGATCAACCGAAATATCTGCCTCCTAGTTTTGCCGCTTTGGGGGCTTTTTGTTTCGGTGTCGTCGGAGCTGGTGAGTTTCCCCCGGTTTTTGTTTCTTTGTCCCTTTTTTTTTCAGACATCCGTCAAAGAATGAAACAATTCAGGAGGCTGACGAACGCTGATAAATAGTCATGGGGATGGCTCAAGTATGGTACATCGGTCCGATAGGCAAATTGATCGGAATCGGATTCGGTGGTGACATTGGATTCGAGTTGGCATTCAGCTTCGCCGCGACGACGTATATCGTGTTTAGGACATTTGAGATTCGATATTTTCATCGTTGAGAGAGATTTTGCGCGAGAAGCATGAAAATTGGATGGGGATATTCTTTTCTTTGGAGCGCCTGTAAATTCTAGCCTACGCGGGTGTCACTGTCGTGAAATGAGATGAAATGAATTGAAAGGATGAAAAGACGGAATCTCTCCCGAGTATCTAGGTGGTGACAGTAATTCCTCGTGGTATCTTAACATGACATCAAGATGTGTGTTTACCGAGTAGATGTATGACTACGACATGTTTCTTGATGAGGACCTTTTCCCCCAAGTCCATTCAATTTGGTAATCGTGTACAGAGAGAGTATGTAACTCAGGTATATACAGCATACTAGTTTGTTTGTTTGCTTGTTGCTACTCGTAGAGGGTAAACCGACTCTTTTTTTGACACGTCACATCGTGTCAAAGCCGGTGAAGCCTTCCCGACCAAAATGTGACTTTAGACTTGTACAGGTCTTCACCATTGTACGTACGTGTGTACATACGCATTCTCGTCATCGAATTTGCCGACTAAAATAGCAGCAGAGGGGAAAAAGGGAAATGGGTGGGAGTGAAGTGGTCATCGCTCCTGTGAGTGTGGTGTTGGTAGGTAGGTCGGTGACCGGGAATTAACATGGACACATAGCTTGCAGTATTACGCTTGACATTCTCTCAACTCTTCACTCCAACAATCTTTGCCCTTATCCCTTTCGAATCAGCCCTAGGTACACCGACGAACAAGTCCCTACTGATTTGTATGTCTCTCTCGACCGTGGTGTCAAAATTTTCAATGTCGAAACGGGAAACGACGTGTGCTAGTGTCAAGTATAGTTCGGCGTATGCGAGGCTACAAAGATTCGGGTTAGTGGGTGAGCGTCGGAAAAGGAGTGGGAGTATAAAGGAGGAATTGGAAGGAAACTCCTGTTGTTGTTACTTACTTGATACCAACACACATACGACTACCCTTTGAAAATGAAACAAAGTATCGATCGAGACGGAATCCTTCCTTTGCAGCACGAATCCATCGGTCTGGATCGTAGATTTCGGGATTCGGAAATATGTTGCTGTCCATGTGGACGAAATAGTTAGATTGGCTTACTGGTGTCTATTTTTTCGTGGGAACGTATCAACGCATTAGCACGACGGGCAACCATTCAAGCATAGATAGGATGGGGAATGTTGGGTGTTGATCATTGTCAAAACTCACTCCAGGTGGTATAACCCAATCTTTGTACCGTAGGACTTCGGTGGGTGATACGCGAGGTAATCTTGTAGTCACACCAAACATGAGACGGATGCCTTCGTTGATGACGGCGGTCTGAAACAAACACGTCAGAATAGGTTCTATACGGATTGAGTATGGATTATAACAAAACGATCTAGGGAGTTGGAAGCAATGTGGGCCGGGGTGGTCATGTCGAAAGCTTACAAAGTATGGCAACTGTTCCAATGTAGTCAACGACACGGAACTTGTAGGCGTAGGCATGACGGTGCGCAATTCCTCCCGAAGTTTCTCGAGTTTCGTCTTGTCCTGATAGAGATAGAAGGTGATGACGGCAAGTGACTTTGCGGTGGTTTCTGAACCGGCACCGACGAGGGTCTGACCCTCGTCCTGTAGACGGTCGGCGCTCTTCTCTTTAGGCGGCAGGTCACTATCCAGCAGCGCCTGAAAGACGGTGCCCGTGGTCTTCTTGCCTTCTTTGTTCTGAGCGATGATGTCGTCGACCTGGGCGCGCACCATCCGCTGCCACGCCATGAGGTGCCCGGCCGGCGGATTCATCATCTGGACCAGCGGGAGCGGAGCCATCTTCAAAATCGGTAGCGCCCAAGGGAATTGTCGGAGGAATGCGCCGTTGGCCGACCCGGCTATCACAGTCTCCTTCCACGAGGCCCTGAAGTCATCTTCCTCCAGGTAGTTGTAGCTGTCACCGAAGCAGTAGTGGGTTATGACATCCATGGTCAAGGCCATGTACGCGGCGTCCAGCCGGATGACCTGGCCCGACTTGCAGGCTTCCTCAAACCGGCGACAGAGCACTTGAACCTTGGTCATGATCAGGCTCTCGGTCTGGCCGATTGATCGTTTGGAAAAGTACGGGTTCAGAGCCGCGCGACGGATGCGGTGCAGATTGTGCGGAGCCGTCGCAAAGGACGAGTCTGGAGCGCCCGCCATGACCACCCATCCCACGTACTTGTCGCGTTTCTTCGACCCCGGTGCATAGAGTTCCTCGTAGTAATGAGAGTCGCGGATGTGGAGCTCCTCTGGCGAGATGCGGATGATGGGGCCATATTTGTCGTGAAGCTCTTGGAGCTTCCAGATGAATTGACCTTTGTGGATGATATCATGGTAGAATTCGTACCAGCCTGTCAACGCCGCGAGCTTCGGTCCGGGGAACTTGGCGAGAGGGTGGAAGTACAGTCGATAGACGGCGCCGACGACAAGGTAGGCGATCCATGTGAAGAGCGCGGTATAGCACATGTGCGCGACAGACATCGCCGGGAAAACCATGGTGTGACACACACTCCGTATACCTACCTAGATCGGTATGAATGGCTCAGTTCTTCGTAGATTTACCTTTGCCCGCCGATCCCGAGCTGTCGCTTGGGGCCGATACCGTTAAAGGTACCTAGTAACTATTCCTGGTGGTTATCAAGGGCGTTTTGAAAGTATGTGCCTAGGGGTGTGACAGTGATGCGAAGAAAGAGGGGGGATCACAAAAAAAGAAAACTGCCACCGTCGAGGTTGTTGGGTTCTGGGTCTGTGAAACGAAACACAGTGGTGTGTGGACCACAAGCATATTCAACCAGTCTAGACGATGTTCTAGGGAGTCCCGAGTAGCTCTACTTTGGGACTTTGGGTCGACTAGTGAGTGGTAGTTTCCATTGAGGAGGAGGAGGAGGAGGTGGTGGTGGTGGTAGTAGCTCCAGCTCCCAATCTGGTGATCTTGGGAGGCGATTGCGCGTAGATAGGAGGTTGAAGCTAGGGAATGCGTACGCTATAACGCCTAGCCTCCTACTTGTCGATTCTCGATCGCTTCGCCGACGAGAACCCGGCACAGAACAAAAAGACAAGTAGCTTCCAAACTTGCATTTGCATTCACCCCTGGCGAGCGACACGTTGTTCCTTGTTTGCAGGAGGGTGGAGTGAGGCGTTGTTGCCGGTGGCCCCTCCGGCGTCGCTAAATGCATGTGTTCCCCCTAAACAATGCCTAAGACAGCCTCCGTCCACTAGGGATTAGGCACCTGTCCCTTCCGCTGCCCGCTAGGAAGCACCCTGTTCCTCCCGCTGCGGTTCTACGCAGTAGACTTGGTAGGCCCCATCGCCCACCAACGCAGACGCCAATGGGGGTGTCAACTACCGAGTCTAGGCGCGAGCAAATTACACATGGTGCCATTTCGTTATTTCTTAGGTGTGCCACCAAACGGCACTTGCTCCATACGGTTTTCCCATCATTTCAGCATTTGTATCTACCCGTACTTTCATTGCTTGATGTTTGTCTTCTCTTACTCTGAACTGTTGAACGAATTGTCGCTCGACAGTGGTTTTGCAATATTGCAGGTATTTTAAGTCAAAACTTGAGTATCGCAACGGTCTGCATGGAGCACCATCAGCATGGACAGCCCATTGAACCCGATGTGAGTGAAAAATACCCACCCCGCCACCCGGTCTTGAGAAGTTCCTTAATTGATGTGCTGATAGTCGCAGTCCGATGAGGGCTATGACACCGCCACCATCGAGTCTGATATGACTTCCCTCAAATCATCCGTTATGAACTACGAGTATGAAAATGGCCGACGATATCATGGCTACCAGGCCGGAAAATATGTAAGTCAGACCACACAGCTGGGCTTCGTAGGGGCAACACACGGCAACAACTACTTTCTAGGCACTCATGTTGACTTCATGGCCAGATGCTGCCCAACGATGACAAAGAGCAAGAACGGCTAGATGTTCTTCACCATGTGTTCCGTTTAACACTAGGTGGTGGCTTGTGCCTAAGCCAACCCGATCTCAAAGATCCGCAAAAGATTTTGGACATTGGGACTGGCACGGGCATCTGGGCCATTGACAGTATGTCTGCTCTCCATTCCCCGTCTATACCAACACTAACAAATATCCTTCCACTAGTGGGTGATGAATATCCTTCTGCAGAGATCATAGGCACAGACCTCTCGCCGATTCAATCAACTTGGGTATGGGAGACGCTTGCTCCACATGAAGACTGCTAACTTCTCTTAGGTGCCGCCCAACGTCCGCTTCGAGATAGATGATGCCACCCAAGAATGGGCCTTTCCACACGACTCATTCGATTTCATTCACGTTCGTGGCCTGGCTGGCAGTATCAAAGACTGGCCAGAGCTCTTGCGTCAGGCATACATGTATGACATTCGCACAACTTTTTTGGATGACTTGTTCACACTGTTTAGGCACTTGAAACCAGGTGGACTTATAGAGGTATCTGAAGGACGGCCCCATATGTGCTGTGATGATGGAACGTATTCCGAAGACAGCGCAACTTACAAATGGGTAGTATGTACATGAGACTGACTCTTCTGGTTGCCGGCCCTGGAGTTCCTGCTGACATCAGCCTCTTTCAGGCCGAATTCTACAGAATCTCCCGAGGTGCCGGCCTCGAGTTCGATGCTTTCCCTCAATATGCCGGATTTTTGAAAGATGCTGGTTTCATTAATGTCAAGACTCATGAGGCGCCGACTCCCGTCGGAACGTGGCCGAAGGACAAGCGGTTGAAAGAGATCGGGATGTTCTTCGAGCATCAGTTTCTGGAAGGGGCCGTTGATGGATACTCCCTGGCATTGTTCACTCGTCTCGGAGGCTGGAGTGAGCTAGAAACACAGGTGTTGCTAGCACAAGTGCGTTCCGAGACGAAAAGTAGGAAGATGCATTTGTATACGCATTGGTAAGTACTTTCTGTTCTGAAAACCTCCACCCAGTCCGCCTGATATACAACACATATTGACACCACTCAGTTCATACGCCACAGCACAAAAACCGCTGACTTCTTGATATTGCTGAGCGATTGATGATGAGGTCAAGAATTACGAAAAGGGCACTGAAAGGAATATTATGGATGGCATAGCGTGGGTTTAAGAGCACATAAGTGATGGTCTATTCGTTATTTGCACATGAAAAGCTGGAAATGGGTGGAAATGAATACAAGTTTTGATTTGAATCACTTGGTTACGCCGGACGTCCTCATAAATCGTTTCTTGCTCCATTATTTACTCTGTATTGCTGATTGTTTGGCGGTAGCTGTGATGATGTGGCAGCGGAGGAGGATTATTGGGCATAAACAGGGGCTGACATGATGCATCTTCTTGGCTGCGTTTCCGTGAATCTCAATCCGCCAACTCCCATCACTTTGTGTAACACACCGTGCTCTCGAACGTGCGGTCTTGTACGTGCAATCGCTATCCTTTCTCAATTCTCACTTTTCCTTTAACTCCGCGATCCTCATCAACATGGATTTCGACAGCCTGAAAAGTCAGGTCAGCAACCTGACGCTGTACGACATCAAAGCTGGTGTACGCAAGGTCCAAAATGGTGCGTCGTCTGTCACAATCAGAGATAGTCTACTAATCATCTGAGGTTAGCTGTTATGAATTTGACCGAGATGGAATCGAAGGTCCGCATTTGGTCGTCATAACCCTCCTCACCACCACCCTGACAGTGACAGGTTCGAGAAGCTACGAACGGAGACCCATGGGGCGCGTCGGCCACGCTCATGCAAGAGATTGCGCAGGGCACACACAACTAGTGAGTTCGTCACTCTGCCTATCTCTAACCTGCTGACCCTTCTAGTCAACAACTGAACGAGATTATGCCCATGATCTACAAGAGATTTACAGACAAGACCGCAGAAGAATGGAGACAGATATACAAAGTATGGCAGTGCGGAGATATGTTTTCAGACAAAAGCTCATTCAGATGGTTATAGGCACTCCAATTGCTGGAATATCTCTGCAAGCATGGCTCAGAGCGAGTCATCGATGATGCCAGATCCCACCTCTCCCTCCTCCGAATGCTGCGGCAATTCCATTACATTGATCAAAATGGCAAGGACCAAGGCGTCAACGTCCGGAATAGATCAGCAGAGCTTGTCAAGATGCTGGGCGATGTAGACATAATTCGGGCAGAAAGAAAGAAAGCTCGTGCAAACAGAAACAAATATGGAGGCGTTGAAGGTGGTGCCGGTTTGGGAGGCGGTTTTTCCAGTGGCAGTCGATATGGCGGCTTCGGAAGTGAATCTGCCAATTTCGGAAACTACCAGGGAGAGGTTTACGGTGATGGTGGTGGCTTCGGTGGACGTGAGACCGACTTCTCAGGCACACAGCGCCGTGCTGATCAGTTCGAAGAGTACGATGAAGCCGATGATGAGGAAATAACCAGACCTACGAGAACCACCACCACTTCACGAACAACACCATCTGCACCGCCAAAGCGAGAACCTCCCAAGCCTAAAGCCCCAGAGCAGGATCTATTCGACTTCGGCGATGAACCCACCGCTCCATCGACCTCTAACGGCAAGGCGCCAGCTGCTTCGAGTGCCCTGGGAGACTTCGGTGCTATGCAAGGCAGTACTGCTAACGATGACGATGATTTTGACGACTTCCAATCGGCGACAAGTCCAGCAGCTACACAGCCAGTGGCCAACCCAATGGCTTCGATTGCGCCTCCCGCAGCTACCACGTCTACGACGACCTCATCCACCAAATTTGCAGCCCCAACACCTTTGGCTCCTGGACAAGCATCAAATTTCAACACAATCCTTTCAACTGCTTCTCCAGCGCCGTCGAACACATCATCTCTAATGTCCCCTTCGACTTCGACATTTTCCCCTCCGCCAGTGCAGAAGCCTGCGCAGCCTATGCAGCCTGCAGGAGGCTACAAGCCTAGCGGACCGAACTATTTCACCTCCGTTCCCATGTCCCAGGCCTCTACTTCGGCAGCCTCAACTCCAATGACTGCGGCTACACCCTCATACACATCCTCAACATCCGCTGCCTCTCTTGGTAAGCCAGTCTCGAAACCGGCAGCCAGCAGCGGTGGTGACGCATTTGGATCACTCTGGTCTTCGGCTAGTAACAAGGCTGGTGTAAAGAGCACCACTGCGACTCAAAAAGGCCCTGATTTGGCAAGCATGGCAAAAGCAAAGAGTCAGGCAGGAATCTGGGGAGCCGCATCAGCTGCCAGCTCCACCCCCAAAGCCGGATCGGCGTCGTCAACGCCGAGTGCTGTACAGGGAAAACCAACCGCACCTTTGGGAAACGGTCTCGATGATCTTCTTGGATAGTTATTCAGACTTGCGATGGAGTTATGAAAACCAGGGGTGACTGGAAAATAACAGACGATACACATATTCTCTTCACAACTAAACCTTCTGCTGCGTGCCTAATGAACCCATTACTTGGAAGCGTGGAAGTCCTACAAGTACATACAGACTTCTTCGCAGCTTATTGCCTCATTTGGGAGGCCAAAATCTGTTCAAGCTTTGATCTCGCTTCTAGCATCCAATGTCATTACTCAGCCAGGACACGAGTTGCCCACGCTCACCAAAGCTGCCCGGGTCGTTTCAATGCTGAGACGAGAGGAGCACTGACGTATTAGAACAGGTGCAGATACTCCGGTCTCGCATTTCCCTGGACCTGCACTCTATCGAACATGTCCTACCCTGTGCACCCGCGTTGTTATCTGCAATATCGTCCTGTAACTAGTTACACTTCTCTTTGACGCGGAACGCTTGTGCTGCCTCTTCCGTCATAGTGCAGATGGGGAGATCGCTGGTTGATCGTTCTTTCGCCATCGCTTCGACTTCTCCAATCATTGGGTGAATGGCGGGGTTGAGACCATCACCACAAGCGCAGTCGACGGACTTCCCTAGTGATCCTCCCATACATTATCGTTATTAAAAGGTGAGAGAGAGAGTGACCTCTGCGTGCTTCTCGAGTTCTTTTGCGCCTATCTTTGCGAGCTTTGTTCATCACTTCCTTCTTCTAATCCTTGACCGTGCTGATGATGGCCGATAGACCGACCCACAAACGATCCAAAAGCTCTCGTGTCATCAACTTGTTGCGCAGCGACAACTTGCCACGAGATAGCGGCTCAGAGCCAGACTCTCCAGTCAACACCACAACTTCCCCCACTGGACCTTTTACACCCAGTGCTCTGGGCCCTCCTACACCGACCGACGGTCCCCGATTAAGTCCCCTCTCTCCGACTACTACTCGCACCTCCCAAAAGAATATGGATACTCTAGAGTCTCCAGCAGGTCCACCTGAGGCTTCGCTCAAAGTCACGTCGGGCCTTGCTTCAACTAATGGAGCATCCATTGAAGACTCAGTGCGAACATTTCGGGTCTTCGAAGTTCTCAGGAACAAAGACAGTGCGGCGGTCTCCAAAGCAATCGCCGAATCTATACCTTCCGCCTCAAATCCCCAGCCTATCCCCGGAACCACGATCCTTCATCTGGCTGTACAGTGTGCCGAGCCGAACGTGGTTGACCAGGTGATAAAAGAAGGGAAAGGCTTAGATTATAACGCTCAGGACAAGGAGGGAAATACTGCTTTACATCTTGCCGCACAACTGGGCAGAGCACCCGTTGTTAGAAGCCTCCTCGAGCTTCCGGACATCAACGACTCCATCGCCAACAGGCAGGGCAAACTCCCCATTGACTTGGCCCGAACTCCCGAGATTTTTCAACAGTTACAATTGACTAGATCAATCTTCCTGGACGACAAAATCAGAGCCATACAGACGGCGCTGTCCCAGGGCGCGTATAAACAGATCGAGGCGATCTTGACAGAACCTCGAGTCGAAGGCACATTGGATGTCAATGCTTTGGAACTGGCCACCGAGCCGATAACAGTGCAGACCGGTGGCACTCTGCTTCACGAAGCGGCCCGCAAAAGAGATCTACAACTAGCTCAGCTCCTGCTATTACATGGCGCTGATCCATTTAGGAGGGATCGAAAGGGCAAATTACCTCAAGATGTAACCAAGGATGACCGTACGAGGGCAATACTGAAAAAGTCTCCTGCCGCTGCCGCCGCTCAGCGAGGGATACAGGAGAAAGCAATTTTGGGAAACCACCCAACACAGTCCAGAACAGGAGCAAACGACGCCAGTAAGGATGCTCGAGAGATGAAAGGATACCTGAAGAAATGGACAAACTACACCAGTGGGTACAAGCTGCGGTGGTTCGTCCTCGAAGAAGGCGTTCTTAGCTATTATAAACACCAAGACGATGCGGGTTCTGCTTGCCGCGGAGCTATCAACATGCGCATCGCCGGATTACACATGGATGCACAAGATAAGACGAGGTTTGAAATCCACGGAAAGTCCTCTGTCAAGTATCACCTAAAGGCCAATCATGTTGTGGAAGCGAAACGGTGGTTTTGGGCTTTGAATAATGCGATTCAATACACCAAAGACGAGGCCAAGGATGAAGAGAAGCGCCGCACTCTTGATGTCGACAGTATTCGACATACGAGAGGCGAATCATCCTCAGACATGCTCTCGGTTACTCCTAGTCGAACGAAGCAGCCTATTGCTGCAAACTTGAGTGCCCCTGGAGGTTCCTCAAAAGTGAGCTTCAGGTCTGATGTTGAGGGTGGCTCAACGTACGATTCCTATGATGCTAGCATCATTGGAGAAGAATTGCAGCGCTTGCCCACAAATGCCCACACTGCAACAATTGATGCAGAAGAAGACGGCGACGGTGATGATGCTAGTAGTCGTGAAGTGCACAACCCCGGCAGCAAGGATGCCTTCAACATCACTGCGCAATCTGCCAAATTGCAGCTTGACCTTCTTGCACGAGTTTCAGATGCGCTTATCAAGCGGAAAGACTCTCAGCCAGATACTACGTTGGCTGATGACAATGTTTCGCAGGCGCTCTCCGCCTACCAAGAGGCTGTCAGCAGCTTGAATAGTTTAGTGGCAGACTTGCTAAAGATTTCCAAAGACAGAGACGCATATTGGCAATATCGACTCGACCGGGATGCCGATGTCCGCAGGATGTGGGAAGAGAGCATGGCCAAGATTGCTTATGAACATGAAGACCTCAAGAAGTCCATCGCAGAGTCGGAGGAGAAGCGCAAGCGCACGAAACGTGCACTGAAGGAAGCTTTGGAAGGTCAATCGCGTCCTGTGAGTCGTCCGAGCTCATTGGTGCAGCAAGAGTCTGCAGACCGTGTTCAATTTGAAGAAGCTATTGAGGATCAAACAGGTCTCAGACCTGAAGCAACAGCTGCAGTCAGAGATCGATCACGGCGCAAGTCCTTTACGAGAGAAGGCAACAGGAGGAAGTCAATCATTGCGCAGTACACCAATATTTCAGATTCCGAGTCCGGTGACGACGAGGAGTTCTTCGATGCTATTGACGCTGGAAGGGTTGAAGTTGTTGAGCCGCCTCTTGCAAGTCCTCCTCCCGTACACGTTGAGCAGGAAGAACTTTTGTCGAAACTTAACGAGCGAGCAATGAAACAAATGCAAATCGAGCCATCATATGCTGGCTACCAAGATGGCATTCGTGAACGACTCAAGATGGACGCTGATGATCGTCCCAAGATCTCCTTATGGGGTATTTTGAAGTCCATGATTGGAAAAGACATGACCAAGATGACCTTGCCTGTCTCCTTCAACGAGCCTACTTCGCTACTGCAACGTGTCGCCGAAGACATGGAATATGCAGACCTTCTGGATATCGCAGCTGATCGGCCTGACTCGACCGAACGCCTAGTCTATGTTGCTGCATTTGCTGCTTCAGAGTATGCAAGTACTATTGGCCGTGTTGCCAAACCCTTCAATCCTCTTCTGGGTGAGACATATGAATATGTCCGACCAGATAAGGGATACAGATTCTTCATCGAGCAAGTCAGTCATCATCCCCCCATTGGTGCCGCTCACGCTGAGTCTGCTCGCTGGGACTACTGGGGTGAATCTGCAGTCAAGTCAAAGTTCTATGGCAAGTCGTTTGATATCAACCCGTTAGGCACCTGGTTCCTGCGTCTACGTCCTTCCGGCGGCGGGCCAGCCGAATTGTACACCTGGAAGAAAGTCACGAGCTCAGTCGTCGGAATCATTACCGGAAATCCTACTGTGGACAACTACGGACCAATGGAGATCAAAAACTGGACCACCGGCGAGGTCTGCTATTTGGATTTTAAAGCACGAGGCTGGAAAGCCAGCTCTGCTTACCAGGTCTTTGGCAAAGTTGTTGGTGTTGATGGGGTGACGAAATGGAGTATCGGTGGCCGGTGGAACGATAAAATCTATGCCCGCGAAACCGAGGGGTATGAAGACGAGTTTGTTGGGCAAGGCCAGCAACACAAGTCTGGCAATCAAGCCCTCCTCGTCTGGGAAGCCCACAAGCGTCCACAAGGCATTCCATTCAACCTTACTCCATTTGTTGTCACGCTGAATGCCGTCCCTGAAAATCTGCGTCCTCATCTCCCACCCACAGATACCCGCCTCCGGCCCGATCAACGCGCAATGGAGGATGGCGAGTATGATCTAGCTGCCACGGAAAAGAACAGAGTGGAAGAAAAGCAGCGTGCAGCTCGTCGACAACGTGAATCTGCTGGTGAAGAGTGGAAACCCAAATGGTTCGAGAAGAAGTCGGATCCGATCACGGGCGAGAGCTATTGGGAACATAATGGATTGTATTGGCAGCGACGAGTGGAGCAGGACTGGAGTGGCTGTGACGATATCTTTTAGGGAAAGACTGATACCACATCCAGTCAAAATGGACAAGGACGACAGTATAGCAAAGAACGAGTCCATCGGAAAACACGAAGGCCGCAGGGAAGGAGCAAGGATGATTAAAAGACGAAGGTGCCCCTACAATTCTCTCGGCTTCATCATCGAATCTTCGCAATGTTTCCTGCCCCTTTGCTCATCCTTCTACAGTTGAAACATTTTTACTTTTATTTCAGTGCCTGTCTGTCGCAAAGGATCAGTTATCGCAAATGCCTTATACTGCGAGCCAACGACACCTGATGTAGTCGTGACAGGCCGAGATGTTTTGTATGACCGACAAGAGAAGCGCCACTAGTTGCATTGCCCCTCTAGAGAGGGTGTTTGTGACTACTCAAGAACAACCCAGGTCAGCTATCACAGCAATGCCAATACAGACAACACTAGTCCTCTTTGTCAACAACATGTCTGACCTCAAGCTTTGGACTGGCCTCATCTACGATCGCCCTGGTCAACCATGCTTCTGAGCCTAATGTAGCCCAGCAGTACCAGTCAGAAATGAGGTAGAGTCTGTCAACGAGAATAGCAGCCCACAGATATTTCCTCGTGAAAGGGTATTCTTTGGCAAAGGCAAGCAAGCCACGGGCATAGTTGTATGTCTTCCAACCCAGAAGGAATAATCTAGTATCGTCAGTACGAACCAGCCTGCGAACCATGCAGACTTACGCCAGTTGCGGAACTGTCCACGCTGTTTTGTATATTGCCCACAGCCTTACCCACAATAAGATAGGGTTCAGCATTCCCTCGACCATCTTCCGAGCCATGAATGGATACGTCCGCCGCATACTTGGGTATCCCGGTTCGTACAGCAAGCAGAGCAAACGGTGCCTCAGTCCACTTCTGTACCATCTCTTCACCTGTCCGACAAAGCGCGAATCACGCATCAGGGTGGTCCCGACTTCCGCCTCTGGTATCAGTTGGATTCCTAATGTCCATGGTCGAGGTTTTGTCTTTGTAACTTCTTTCTGACGGCAAGGCGGGCGCAGTAGATGGTAGAACAAGACCCATCGAGTGAGAAACCCATCATCACCGCTGTTCTGGCGTACACCCATCCAATACTCGTTTGTGAATGCATGCTGAAATTCAGAGTCTCGCACGATCTCGCCACGGAATAACATGGTGACACCAGAAACACAAAAGTTGGTTCCTCCATCTGCCGCGTATGCACTCTGCATGCTGTCATGACGCTTGCCCCTGAGACGCATGGCGGCAACCTCCCATGCAGTGATGACTTTAGAATTCTGTCGACCCTCTGGAAGGTATGAACTACGAGGCAGATTCGTCAGGAGAAAGAGATCCGATCATGGGGTCAATCCTGATACTGAGAAAAACTTACAATACTGCACCACCCGAAAGGCCAACGTCTTCTTTTTGGAATGGAGCCAACAAGTGAACCAAAACATTGTTATGAGGCCAATAGGCGTCATCATCGACAAGGGCGATGATACTGCCTCTGCTAGCATTCACCCCACGCACAATCTGATCCCGTTTGTGTGCCGCCACCACGGTCAAGACCTGAATTTGGATAGCTCCTTGCAAAGATCGTATCCGGTCGTTTTGCAAGAGTTTTTCAATTCTGGAAACCTCTGCCTCGGTCGTGACGATGATAATCTCCCCGACACTGTTGCATAGGACGCCGCAGATGCAGTCAGCAAATGTGTCCTCGTGGTCGACGGTGGGTATCACGACGCTCACATCCGACGGGTGATGTCGTCGTTCTGACGGTTCAGGGATAGGGAATGGTTTGTATTTAGCTCTATTCCGCAACGACTCTCGATGTTCAAGAAGGTCCCAGACACTGTCCCCGTCCGTGGCATGTCAGGTCAGCGGAGGGATGGGTGGGTTTCTGTTTCGCTTACACAAAAGATACGAGTATAGCTGGGGCCACCAGACTCGATTTCAGGCTCATTGGAATGCTGCTGATCATGTTCCCCATTATGATAGCTCTGAAATTTCTGTCCATATTGATTTATTTTGGGTTTTTCTCCCCTTTCACAGCCACAGAGAGATTTATGTATGTATGATTACTCCAGGCAGGAAAAAGCAACTCGAAATTTTCCTCTTCTTATACATGTCTGCAATACGGCGGCGTTTGTCTAAACTTCTGTTTGTTGTGATGTTACATTTGTGGTGCATGCTTTTGGTGTATGATTCACGAAAACCCCTACCCTCTCTGGTACAGTTTGTTTTTACAATGTATGTCGAGCAACGAGTCAACGAGATGACTGGCCACGAAGGGGAAACACTGGCTAGGGGTGACTGGTATTCTGGGACACTTTGAGTTGCAAGAGACAGAGAAAGAGAGGGAAAGTCTTGACTCTTGGTGGACGTGTGATATGTCACCGGGGCTGTGACTACTGCTCAAATGGAAAGTTATCACCACACTTCACCTCACGATGTCAAGAAGGAGCCCCGATGCTTATGGGATTGTGACTTGATGGAATCATTCAGAGTCATGTCTTTTTTTTGCTACGATAACTGTGTTTGTCATCAATTCCAAGGCATTGAACTCCCTTCTAGATAAAAATCCCATGGTTCATAGATCTGATCTTGTGGATTCCAGGCCGACGACGACAGGTGATCCAACTCGGACGATATCCCCAAGAAAGGCGACACGTTGAAGGCGTTCGTGTTAGGTACGAATGCCTGATGATGGTGGCCCAGACCGAGGTTGAGGTTCACCGTCGAATCCGGTTTGTTGTTATTGTTGTTGTTGCTGTGGTTGGCGGCACTTGGTCTCGAAGTAGATGTAGAGGATGAGACCGCCCCCGCCGTCGCATCTTGTGCTCTGACATGGGCCTCTCTCGCTTTACCGAGCAGAGTGGCGTACGTGTCTGCCATTGAAGATTGTTCTCCCATCCTCTGAAGAATTTCGAGTGACTTGTCAAATGCCGCTTGAGCCGAACCAAGTCCACCACCACCACCACCACCTCCTCCTCCTCCTCCTCCTGCACCTCCACCGGCAGAGTGCGACCCTTGTCTCGTATGTTGAATAGCCAACAGTAGACTTGCGGCCGTGAAAAGATCTGTAAACGACCAAAACCATAGTCCTCCAAGTTAGTGACGCGATGCTTTGTAGGAAAACAAAGAAGAGAAACAATGTAGGAAAAGGTAGGAATTTCCTACAATTCATTTCTGCCCACCATGCCCCAGGGAGACCGGTGGCAAAGTTCTCACTCACAGCTCCGACCAACTTGACGGCGGCGGATTGACACAAGTCGACACTGGTAGAACACAAAACATTGTCGAGCGGTGATAAGCACATTTGATCCGTGTCGCTGCCGGAATGGCGGGACGGTCGCCACAAAGAGGCAAATGGTCGATGGATCAAGATTCGTAGATTCAAGAACCTGCGATGGAATTTGTGGAATTGTGAGCCGAGGACCACATGGTCACCACCACTGAAATCATGAAACAACAAAGGATGTCTTCTTACCTGCACAACAAGACGTTTCTGATCCAGTCAAACGAATCATCCTCATCCGCAGCGCGACATTTGAGAAATCCCGGCACATTCTGGTACCAATCGAGTAGCCGTTTATCTAGTCTCACGGCTTCCCCAAACGTCAGGGCAGGACTTTCGTTTCCACAAGCACCATTGTTGGCCGTATTCGTGGTCGTGTTCGTGGTATGACAGGAAGAATTTTGGGGATACAATGTGCGCTGGACATCCTTCATGATGGCACAGAATTTGGCCACCTGGACAAAAAAGGCCGTTCTCGATCTGGCGCGAGGAGGGTGCGCCGCGTAGCCGTGGGCGGTGATGTATTCGTCGTCGAGATCCGTTGGAGCGGTCACGTTCAAGTCGTCCGGAATGGCCGTCGGCCGTCCCAAGTTGAGTGCGAGGTGACTAGAAACAAAAAGAAGTGAGCGAGACGACAATACCAAAAGCAAAATCAAGATTGACTCCATAGGGAGGGTGTGCTGTATTTTGAACACATACGAGTCGAGAACGATACAGACGTGCCAACAACGTCTCCTAACTTCCAACACTATGGCGTTGTATTGCCCAGGGGGCGGGTTGACGTGAGCCCCAATCATCATCGCGATGCGGATGGCCAACCCGATGGCATTCCAATTCTCGTTGGTCCGGTTGGTGAATTGATAGTAGAGTCCCTCTAGCAGGAGAAGTTGCAAGGTTTGCAGCTTGGGTTTGGCCAGGTTCTGAACGGACGACCTGCCCCGTGCGTGCGCAAAGTACTCATCGCTGGCTGTCGTCTCGTCGCCAAAGACTTGGCCGAAACGAATGCCGAGGGCAAAGACCAAATGGAGCAGGGCGAGCCATTCCTCGTCCGGCCGTACCGTCGCGTCCCACGTCTTCTCGTACTGAACCTGAAAGGTCGGCCTGTGTAAGAAAGGGTAGAGCACGTGGACGTGGCGAAAATACGACGCGACCAGCTCGTCGGCCAGAGGTCTGGACGGTCGGAGACCATGATGAAGGTTCGACGTGTTTGACCTGTCCGTGTTGCCGCCGTCGAGAGTGGGATGCAGCCTGTTGGTCGTCGTCATGGACGGTGACGTCGTCGTCTGTCCGGTTTCGATCGAATGTTGCATGGCCTGGATGTACGACAGGGTAGACGAACCTCCGTAAAAGTCGGACGGTTCATCTTGTCTTTCAAACGACGTGTCAGGCTCTGACGGAGGAGCCTCTGGGAACGATGATGTCGCCGTACCGCCACCGTTGGCGGACGTGGACTGATTCAAGAGCTGCGGCCCAGTATTGTTCAAAGAGCGATTCGAGCTTGCTGACTGCTGACCCATGCTGGATATCCCCGTCCATGCAGAAGAATTCATGGTACGGGATTGGGAATCCCTTTGTCGGCGACCGTCGAATTCACTTGACCCAAGCTCGGAAAAACGTGATACGGGATCGTTGTTGGTCTGTTCAGCAGCAGGCTGACCAAAAGTATCTGGCTCTTGACCGTACCTGTAAGTTGCCATCGAGGGAGGGTTGTTGCACTGGTTGGTGTTGTCGACTGGACCTCCCAAGTGTGTGTCAGCCTCATTCGCGGCTTCGGCTCGACGTCGAAGTTTCGAAATGTAGCTGTGCACAGTTTTCAAGGTTTAGTATATGTACATGTACACAGGGTCAAAGTATGGTGATGAATCCTACTCCCTTGAAACTTTTACCATCTGACTCGCATCTTGATAGACACAGTCGTGGAAGCCACGCACGCACGGAGAGCACGTCGGTCTCACACCATCGCATCGAGTCTTGCGTGAGCGACACGGAAGGCAGGCCAAACCTACCCGTCTCCGCTTGTGACGAGTATCTCGATTGGTCTCTTGACCTGTTTGCGATTCTGATTGTTGCATGGAGAGCATTGTTCCACGCAAAGTGAAAGGGGGAGTTTGCTGATTGCTGGAAGCACCCCGATAAGCCACTTCACATGGACGAAGACGATGATGGCTCTATGCAGTAGCGAATACGATTTGATAATTGATCTGCGTCAAAACACGTAGACTCAGACTGGAGGTAAGGTTCACGCTGGCCGGTCCCGACAATCAGGAAGCGAGGAAGAACGATTCATCGACATCGAGATTGACATGCTGCTGGGATGAAAGCGTTCAAACCCCAGGTATGAGGTATGAGGTATGAGGTATGGGGGACCCCGGGGTAAAGCTCGCAAGGTCTGAGCCTCCCCACAAGGAGTCCCTGATAGGAAGAACAGCATTAGAAATAACGCGTGGACTCCCTCCCTGAGCGAAAGACCCTTTAATGGGGCGCCCGCTACCCAGAGACAGAGGCTGGGCATTTGGGTAATGGTTCTGTAGCCATGGTGGTAACACTAGAAATCATCGTCAACACTACTCCGTACTGTGCATCCCGGTTATCATCAAACAAAAGCAGGGACAAAATCACAAAGTCTAGGGGAGACGGTGAATTATTGCTAATAGTCGCTGGAACACCTTCGCTCGACCACGAGCACTTTGAAAGGCCATGCGATCCTAGGCCAACTCTGTCCTCGGAACAAGGTCGCAACTATCGGAATTTTGGCGGCGCCATATGCTCAAGGACCCGTTGGCTCTAACCTCGTCTGCGGCAAGCGATCGCCACTGGTTTCTACCCAAATCCCGGCTCAAAGGGGAGAGCTCTTGCCGAATTGCCGAGTTGTACTCCGTACTTTGTAAGAACTCATTATTTGATGAGTGGCGAAGGCGACGCTTGCTGTAGAGAAAGGCCCAGGCCCGGATGACTGGCAGCTGTAGGATGTGTTTACTCTCTGCATTCACAAGTCCCACCTTGGCCAGGATCGAAGTAGTTGAGAAGACCATCGACCAACAACTAACTCTAGGCGAGCTGATTTTGATGACACGAAGAAGCATGCTGTCATGAATCGAAGAAGTAAATAAATTGCACTGTACTTTGTGGGTAGCCAAACTATACAGGATAAAGAAACAAGGCTCAACTCAAGGACGACTCTGTCATAACCATAGGTGAGTACTCGTACTGGTATGGGGCAATATCTTGCAGACAATCTACCGTTCCACTCTCTCATGGCGTTGTTACCACCTAACACCTGCTCGCAAAACCAGGAAGGCGCTGAGACACCCCCATTAGAGCTTGCCATTTGGTCTCTCCACAACATGATTCGAGGTAAGTTGGCTGTGGGCGCTTTGAAGAAGAGCTAGAGTATTGATTGTCAGATCATGCCCCTTGTCAAGATCAGAGACTTACCCTCAATGTTGTCAAGGAAATGCTGTTCGGGATCATGATCCCATAAGAACGTTTGGGTGGCCGCATCTCCCAGCAGGTCGGGATTGTCACCACCTTGTGACACGGAACCGAATTTCTGGTCCCTGGCTTGCTGTTCAGGACCGTCGTGAAGATGGAGTGCCTTTCCCGTCACTCCACTCTGCAGCATAATGAACTCTGACCTGGATTTCCGGGCCAATTCATAAGCCTTGAGGAGTGCGGGAAGATCGTTGGGTTTCTTGACGCGATCAATGGCGAGGTGGAGGACTGCAACGTCTTCGACAGCTTGGGCGGCACCTTGTGCATTGTAGGGCAACATCGGATGGCAAGCGTCGCCAAGCAGGACCAGCTTACCCAGTATCCATGTCGGCAAGGGGTCGTGTTGGCACAAGCGCCACTCCAAGACGTTGTCCTCGGGGATCAAGTCGAGCAACTTTTGTAATCGACCCGTGTCCCAGTCTGCAAAGTTCTCGAGCACCCTTTGTTTCGAAGCTTTCGCAGTCCACGACTCTTCCGAAATGTCGGTGTCGGGATGGCACAAGACCTACAGTAGATGTGGAGTTAGTTAATCTTTCACCAGTTCGGAACGAGGAGGGAATGTGTGTTTACCATATTGTAGAGTTGGCCATGGCGGATTGGATAGGCTTGGACATGTCTACCGCCTCCCATCCACCGTGTGGCGACTCTCTCTGTGACAAATTCACGCAGTTCGGGATCGTTGATCTCGTCAAGTGGTATGCATGCCCTGTAAGCAGCGTCTCCGGTCGGAGTAGCCTTATCTACCATTCCAAGGTAGTCGTATATAAGCCTTCGACATGTAGATTTCATCCCTGATGCTAGGTTAGACCCACTTTGCCTGACGGTGTCTTTCCTTCTCTCTCCTACTTACCGTCGGCCCCGACTATCAAATCTGCTCGTAGAGTTATCCCGTCGCTCAGTGTCACAGACGGGGCGAAAAAGTCGACGGCCGTGACCATACTGTTGACTCGAAGTTCCGACACGGTGGCGGCGTCCTCCAGGAGAACCTTGTGGATGTCCGCTCGGTGTGCCACGTACTGAGGCGCCCCGTGAAGCTCTTCAACCCGAGGCATGAGAGGTGCAGCGCCGAGAAACTCCCCTTTCTCCCATCGCCTCAAGCTGATCTGGGACAGCACGTCAATGTGCTTGCGTATCTCCGCGTCATGACCCCAGCGACTCAAGAGTCGTGTCAGATTGGGCGAACATGTCAGGCCGGCACCGACCTCAGAGATAGCAGGCGCCGCTTCCAGTACGGTGACTTTGTGTCCAGAGCGGCCCAACAGGCCCGCCAAAGCCAGCCCTGCGATGCCCGCGCCAACAATGATGATCTCCATGGTGAATAGGTTTCGATTTCAACTGATTTGTTGGAGGAGGGGGGATCTTGGATACTCAAAGAATTTCAAATCGATCTTGATTCATTGAAAAAAAAGCATGAAACTTGGCTACAAATAAAGTACTCTTGGAATTGAAGTTTGTAAAAGGCGGAAGGAATTTGAACGTTCAACATCCTGTACATCCGCTCCGATCCAATAGCCAATAGATGTTCTAGAGCAAAGCCTGTTAGGTTGAAGAACGGCACATGCAACCAAATCTAGCTTGAATCTCCGTTTCACCTTTGGGATCGTTCTGTCTGGCCCAGCCGAGACCGGATGATGATGATGACTACTGGAACGGCAAAAGCATTGGATGCTTCCCCAGCTGTCTTACCGGAACACGTCCGGCATTCTTTCCCGAGCATTATCGCGGTGCTTCTATCCACATCCCAACCGGAGGCCGTTTGAGAACCTCATGCTTGCATCTTTTCGGCTCCTCTGCCATCTGTCGCGCTCTTCGTCCCAGTCCCGGAGGTAGCACATGGTGTAGGAGTCACACCTAGGGCCTCGATCCCGTCTCGGTATTTCCCCCAACGGAGAAAAGCTGAAGTAGATGAGAGTGCGGCTCAACGGTCTAGACGACGGAACAAAGCAACCATTGGCATTATGAGTGGTTGGGCATAGTTGAGTGACCATGACTGAGAGAGTATATTTCCGTGAGCACTGTTGGGTGAACAATCTGGGACAACCATAGTTTGAATTTAGCACCCTGATAGTCGAGGATTCGTGCTGCGATCTATCCAATATCTATACAGATTTTCGTTTTCTACTGCTTCGAAAACATGGGCAGGATTTTCTGGGCGTTTTCAGAATTTATCATGTCTCGAATCTTGTCCGAGACTGGATACCCTTCCCATCCGTCATTCATTCGAAGAATGCCTGGTCTACGGGCATAAGGATAGTCGCTCCCGTACAGAATATGATCTTGGGGGATAAAACCTAGCAATGTATTTAGGGTGTTTTCGTGACCGGCCATGGCTAAGTCGTAATAGAAGCTCTTCATGTCGTCCCAAATCTCCTGTGCCGGCTTGTGCAGCGGCGACGCCGGGAAGATTTCCATGAAGCTAGCCCGTGCAGCGAGGTAAGGGAGTGTGCCTCCTGCGTGAGACAAGATGACCTTACAGTTCGGAAAATCGCGCTTTGTATTTGTAAAGATGAGGTCGAGGGCAGTGCGGGTTGTTTCGTGGGGAAACTCGGAAATGCTGGTCACGAGCGTGGCGGGAAACGGTGTTGTGTCTTTGGGCGCACATGGATGAATAAAGACAACCGCCTTGAGTTCGTCGAGGACCTTCCATAGCGGACGGAACGACTCGTGGCCCAAGTATCGATTTTCGTCGTTGCCGTAGCGGGTGAAGAGCGTGATGCCTTCGGCCTTCAGCACGGTCAAAGCATACTTGGCCTCTTCGATGGCTCCGTCAATGTCTGTTGGCGGAGGAATAGTCGCAAAGAAACCTATCTTTCCAGGCCGACTATCTCGTAGCTCGGCAGTCCACTCATTGACACGGCGTGCCATGTCTCGTGCCTTTGGTGGCTCGAAGAAGCCAACACCAGGAGTGGTCAAGGACAAGACGGTTGTAGTGGTGCCGACATCACCCATAAACGCCTCGGTCAATTCGAGGCTCCACGGCAAAGGCTTGGGAAGCACATTGGCCTTTTGGACCTCTTTGGTATATGTCAGGAGGTGTGACGATCCAATGGAAACTTAAAAGTCTGCAACGTACCTTCAAGCCAGAAAGGTGGCACTGGATGATGATGTACGTCGACCTTGGCCCTTGAGCTCGTCGAGTATTTTGGCTTATAATCCATGAAGATTGATAATCAGGAGTCAATTAGTTGAAGATAGGCACGAGTCTTTCTGCAGTACGTCTGGAAAGAATTGGGATATCAGAAACCAACGTAAAGAGCCGAGGCCACCACTGTGTAAATATGCTAAGAATTTTCAACGCCTGTTTAGATGAGGTGTTGCTGATTGTTGAGCCCCTCGCGCCGGCACCGGGATGTGCGCGGCTGGTCCAACCGGGGCCAACCTATGTCTCCATCATGAAAGAAAAACAAGGTCCGGAACAAACCTGGAGAATAAGAAATACCTTCCAATCCCGCATTTTCGGGATCCCTTGCCGGGGCACCCGCACGAGGGTCGTTTGCTCTAGCTGTATCTCCCCGGACCAACCCCAACCTGTTATCTCCCCCCGCCACCGCTCCAGGTTCGGGTTCGACGTAGAAGTAAGACGGGATGTTATCTATTCCAGCAAAATCCATGAAGCCCTGATACATCTCCTGACTATATATATTACCCACTCCGAGTCACACCACCTTTTGAAGTTTCCACCCCGAAAACCCAACAGCAGAGAAAAAAATGGCAACTGAAAAGGACATGGACGTGGCTCACGTCGAAGCAGAAGCCGCATTGCAATAGTCAATCACGGCAGATGAACACCCAGGGAAGAATGGAGTGCATCATTTGTATCTCGACGTTACGCTTGACCCAGAGCTCGAGAGACAACTCACGTATGTGGCCCATGCCGTCTATGTCTTTGACTCTATCCATCGTCCTCTTCATACTAACTAATCCAATTTTTCTAGACGCAAGATAGATTTTCGTCTTCTCCCAATCCTCACGGTCATATACATGTGGTCTCTCATTGACCGTACCAATATCGGAGTCGCCAGGATTTCTGGAATCGATGAAAAGCTTGGTCTCAATATCTCGAACCGTGCTTCTGTCGCCAGTAAGTATTCTTGCTGGGCTCCCCCTCGGCTCGACGATCCCGCAACAGAAATTACAGAATATACACTGACGTTGGATGATAATCAAGCCCTGATTGTGTACTTGGGATACGCCATCGTTGAGCTCCCTAGCAACATCGCCCTGCGGAAATTTGGCGCCGCCAATTGGATCTCCTTCCTCTGCCTGGGATGGGGGTTCTTGACCTTTGGGATCGGATTCAGCAAGAGTTATTCCGATCTAGTCATCATGCGAGCATTCTTGGGAGCATTTGAAGGCGTGAGTATATTCTCATTCTCTCGAAAAAGATTATCAAAGACTGACACAGGGCCCACAGGGATTGGTTCCAGGTTTGCTGTACCTGCTTGCCTCGTGGTATAGACCTTATGAAGTCCAGAAAAGGTACGTGTATAGAAAACCGGGCCTTTTCCATATCATCAAGACACGAAATGCTGACCTCAGATATAGGCTTGCTGCATTCTTTCTCACCGGCAGCTTTCTAGCCTCCTTTGCCAGTATTCTGGCATATGGTTTGATTCAAGTAGCAGACGATCCGGCCAATGGAGGTTGGAAGTGGATCTACATCATTGAAGGTTGTCTCACCATTGGAGTTGCCATCGTATCACGATTCATACTTCTCGACTTTCCCGACTCCAAGCGGAACAAATTTCTCTCTCCCGAGCTACAGGCTTGCCTCAGAAACCGCCTGTTGCGTGAACGAGGAGAGGCTGAAAGCCCCAAGGTGACTTGGTCCGTTATCAAGGATACCTTGATGAGCTGGCCGGTCTGGTCGGGGTAAGTTGACTGTCTCATTTACGATCCCCGATGTTTGGAGTCTCCTCTGACGATGCACAACAGGGCGTACCTCTTCTTCGCCGGCTCTGCATCCAGCTATGGTTTCTTGATCTTCCTACCTCTCATTCTTCGTAACGGCCTCGGATACTCCCTGGCAGCGTCGTTCTGCCTGACAACGCCACCCGCTGCGTTGTCCATCATCACGGGCTACACCACCGCTTGGCTTTCGGACAAATATCACATACGAGGACCGTTTGTGATTTTCCACTCCCTGCTCTCCGTGGTCGGGCTCGCGATGATGGCTTTCTTAAACAGTCCCACCCCTCGCTACGTCGGTTCCTTCTTGGGCTACAGTGGCACCTACGGGGTCATCATCACCGGACAGGCTTGGGGCCAGAACAATATCCGCAGCGACGCGAAACGAGCAGTCGGCACCGTCATCCAGGTTGTTTGTGCGGCCATTGGAGGAATATATTCTGCCCTGGTCTTTAGACAACAGGTATGCTTTTTGTAACCCCTGAATGGAAATTCGGCATATCACATTGATACTAATATGTATTGATTAGGACGCACCGAATTACATTCCAGGAATGATCGCCACGTTGCTGGCTATCGGTCTGGCGGCCGTTGTCGCCCCCGTCAGCATGTTCTTCTTCCGACGGGAGAACAGGCTTGCCGATGCTGGCTTGAAGGTCCTTGAAGGTGCCGAGGGCTTTAGGTATACCTTGTAGAAGACCACGCTGTCACGATGTGGTAGAAGCAGAAGTAGATGACATGGATGGACTAGATAAAACAGCTAGGATAAATCGTATGTGGCTCCAAACTATTGGGGTTAGAAAGGAGCCGCCAACCGGTGTATGGGAAGCGGATCGAATAGTGACTGTAGCCCAAAAAGTCTGGCGAAAGCACACTTGGGTTTTAAAAGTCTTATTTTGGTACAGGGACTCATTTCATTCACTCTCATCCCTTTGTCCATATTTCTGGCTTATCTGGTAGCATTCTTCCTTCTCCTCGAAGGTTTTGTGACTTCTCTCCGCGTTTTATAGATTGGAATCCACAAACACTTGTGATTGGCCACAGTCCATTTGTAACGCTTTGAGACGTGAATTTGATGTACACAGCAGGGTACTGTTACCCTCTGCAAGTATAGTATCACTATGAGTGAGGATGAGATGGTGATTTCGACTATGATCGTCATGGTGAAAGCTATGTAAGTCTATTTAAATATCTACTCGAAATGATGTTTCAATTGGATTTTCCCATTCTCATGACAGGTGTTTCAGTTGTATCACCAACTTGGAACCGGCCGGGCCAGCACTGAAGGTGTCGAACACTCGCATTCCTTCTTCAGTCACGCTTGGATCAAGCGTCACTTCAAATCTCCGGAAAAACGCGCTCGTGAGCTTCCATAGTTCCATTTGAGCAAGACTGCAAATGATATCAGTAAAATTCCTTTTTATATTGATATTCTTCCAGACACATACTTGATTCCGATACAACGTCTGGGGCCGACACTAAACGGCACAAAGGCATTGTTCCGACGTTTGGTTGCAAGAGGATCCTCGTCCAACCAGCGTTCGGGAATGAAACGCATTGGCTCAGGGAAAGCTTCAGGGTCTCGATGGATTGTACAGTTCTGAGTTCCTACCGAAGTCTGTAACTTTTTGTCAGGACACTGTTCGTGGAGTTTCTTCAAGACAAACAAAAGAAAGAAATACTGACCCCCTTGGGTACATGAACGCCCTGTACAACCACGTCTCTCTTGGCCGTCCTTGGCAGAGTCGCAACCACGGTCGGATATCGTCGAAGTGTCTCGTTGATGACGGCGGTGAGGTATGGAAGTTTGCTAACCATCTAGATTCGAGTCAGCATGTCTCTTCTTCTCAAAAATCATAAGATTCCAAAGTACTCACAGTGTAGTCCGGTATTATCGACGGGTCAGGCATCGCCTCTTGAAGTTCTTTCCTCAATTTCTTCTGAACCTCTTGATCTCGCGCGACAGCATAGCAAATGTACACAAAAGTGTTGGCAGTGGTACCGCTTCCCGCAAACCTTGAATAGGTTTTGTCAGTTTTGAACGGCGATCGGGAAACGAGGCAGGAAAACTTGTCTCCTTACATTCCGCCCATACTTTCCTCAGCCAACTCCGAATCTGTAAGCGGCCTTCCCAGATGCGCATCCGTGTCACGTAGAGCATGGCCCAGGTAAGGTGTCTTTGTGCCCCTGGCACGGCAGTCTCTGATGAGTCCGACCGCGTACGCCTTCCATTCCTTGATCAATCGAAACCTGTTGCCCAGAGGTCCCGGAAGCCAGATTGCCCATTTGCCGATGGACGGGAAGACCTCCCGCTAATAGTTTCGATCAGTACTCGGTGGTCTTGACGGCACAGAAGAAGCAAGGGGGGGCTTTACATAGGTGAAAAGTGGTCTCCAGGCTCGAATGTATTTCATAACCTCGTGAGCCTGGCCGGTTGCAACCTGTCGCGGATCGTGATCGAACAACAGATGATCTGATGTCAGTGTCAGTAGGTATCGTTGACGTTCAGGGGTCGGCGAGAACTGACAAACTGTGTCGAATCCTAACCAATGACACCAAGGATAAATATCAATGGCCGAACCGTCTTTTGTCCTGGAGGACCACTGATTCAGCACCGTTTCGATCTTTTCGGTTAATTGAGGCTCGAATTCTAGCAACGACGCCTGAGCGAAGCCGCGGCTGAGAAGTTTTCGTCGTTGCCTGTGCGCTTCGGGGTCCCTGTAGTCGCTCCAGTCAATACAATGACAAGTCTCATGCGAACTAAGCTCCTCTTACATCATGATGAACATGCGGATTTCGCTAAGCATGATCTTTGCGCTCTGTGTAATTCGCTTAGCACACGTATTCTAACCGGAGAATTTGGGCAATGGTTCATACGTAGAAGTTCTCCTCCTTTCCAAAATTCGCAGAAGTATATATTTCATGTACTGCATCTGGGTTGGCAAACGAGAGTTCATTCGGTGATACTCGAACGACGGGTCCTATGATTGAATATCAGTCGAGGTGCCCAGAGAACACTAATGGCCATGGGATGTGGTGGCGTAAAGTACCATATCGTTTATGAGCAGCATCGATACGTTCTGATTTGGTGCCACTGTAGTTCCCAATTCGTGACCATAGAGGAGAGATGCGAGCTAATCGAGGACCCGGCACCTTTCGGAGAGGGTGAAACCAAAGGTTGTACGCGACTCTGAGGAGTACGTAGACGAATGTAGTGACCAGCATGATACGCCACAAAGTACCGGTAAGGCCATAGCGCTCGAAACTTGCCTTCGCAGCGTTCTCGAAGTCGATTCTGGAAGAGAACATATCGCCAGCCCTGAGGGTTCTTTGTTGAAACGAGCTCATCGCGTGCAAAAGTTTCGATGTGCCCTTTCAACGAATGGTTTGCTAGGGTAGAAAGGAACTCCCGACTGCTTTTGTATGAACGAAGGCTTTCAGAAAAGGCTCAATTGATTAAGTAATATAACGAGTGACCGATCAAGACGGTACCTTGTTAGCATTGCTCATTCCGTTCACTCACAGAGGCGTCGCGACATCCTGCTCCACTTGGCATCCACTCGTCTGAGTCCGGCGGCCAGTTCACCCGGCAAGATGCCGAAGGTCTATCTCTAGTGGTCGAACCATCAGGTCTCCACTTACTGAACTAACCTCATCTTCGGGCCCTGGAATTGTTCGTCCCCTCCAGGATTGCTTTGACCGAGACTACTGGACTTGGAAAACCCGCTTGCACTTCACCCTGTTTAGCAACATACTGGTACCGCTTCATTCACTCCCCAGGGATACGCGAGCCGGGGTGTCGATTGCCTCGACGTAATGGGTCATCGAGGCGAAGCACTGTTGCCCCGACACCTGAACCGACTGGGAATTTGAGAGAATTTGACCTCGCTTTACCATATGTCAAGGTACGGAAACTTACAGGGGGAAGTTCGGCACTCATAGCCTGCTTCCACAGATCTTCTGCTCCAATTCCCTTCCTACCACCTTAGGAATCCCCCTGCCGACTCGTGGCTATAGCTATGTACTATGCCCTCCCTTTCCCGAGCCTCCCATCGACAGCAAAGTCTCAAGGGTCGATTAATCCGATCGTAGAATCGCGGCATGCTCCCCGGACCCCAGGTTCGTCGATCTGCGTCTCGGAAACACCCCTTCCCCCAGATGCCAGTTTCACCTTCCCAAGCCACACGCACCATGAGCTACGACAGTTTTAATCTCGGACAAATCGGCCGTGAGTACGCTCATGTTGCGCTACTCAGGAGCCAGGCTTGGAGGCAGACTTTTGAAACCCAGGTGTCCGCGGGCGACTTTCTTCTTGGTCCTCTTACCTCATACACGCCGAGGACAAAATTGATGAACAAAGCACCAAACTACTGTCGCAAGGGGTATATCCCGATCTCGACGATCCTGTTTTTCGATACTGGACTCCACGAACAACGTCTAGCCTATCCTTGGCCGTGGATCCGGCAAGACAGAAATAGAAGCACGAGCTTCCGAGAAAAACGAAGGGTCGAGGCATACTATTCCATCGTACGGCCTTCAGTGCCGACAAACCCCGGTCGGAACGCGGTTCGGACGGCGTGGGAAATTTCAAGAGATGCGACTTGACAATTTGACGTCTGCGACTGTGATACCATCTATGTACCGTACGTTTGTCTAAGATATATCGTGAGTGGATCTCAATGAGTTTCAGTAACCTCCTCTACCTGACGCGATGTCGCTTGCTCTTCGATTTCTTGGGCCTGAGCCTTACTCTGGGTATGGTGGTCTCTGATTGTGTGCGTCGTCGGATCGACATCGAGTTCGTACTGATAGACGGCCACTTCATCTTCGTCACCAAAGATAGCGGCAATTTCTTCTAATGGGATGTTCCTCGTGTCGGGCCAGTATATGAGGATGAGGATGCCTCCGAGGATTCCACCGATGATGAAAACAAGGAAGTACTTCCATCCAATGTTCCTAATTAGGTTCGCCGAGTCAGTCAAGGGATGGACAGAATGGGTACGTGCACTACTGCAACTTACGCCAGTCCTGTCGGGGCCGATTGAAGCCAGACAATGTTCATCAGTGCAATCATTGCTGAGCCCAGAGAGACCCCTTTGGCTCGTAGATGGGTGGGGAAGATCTCGCCCAGGTAGGTGAACTGGGTGCCATCGAGGCCCACGACGTAGAAGGGTTGGTACAGATAAAAGAATGCGACCGTCGCCTTCAGCGCGGCAGTGTTGGTGGACGGTACGAAATTGGCAATGAGGGCGGAGATGAAGATCAACATGACCGAGCAGCCAATGATGCCACCGCCGATGAGAATGTTTCTCGGTAGTAGATCGATCAATCCCGGCGCGATGAGGAAAAGGCAGAACCCCACCGTCAACCAAATTACGGGGAAGAGCAGCTGTTTTTCCGGTCCATATCCCAGGAGCTTGTAGATGACTGGGCCATAATCTGGTTTATGGTCAGTAACATGTCAAAGACACAACCGCGAGGGGGGAGGGGAGGGAGGTGGGTGGGGGTTGAGTTACTGTTGATGACCAACACTCCTGCAAACTGAACAATCCCCGTGGTACCAATTGCGTACCACGCTCGCTTTCTGTACGAGGGTTTGCGAAAGAGTTGGACCCAAGTGCAGTTCAGTTCTCGATCGATGGCCACTTGTTTCTGGATCTGGTACAGTTCTGTGTGGGCTCGGTCATGTCCTGTGCCGGAACGAGAATGCACCTTCTCCAACACAGCTTTGGCCTCATCGTCACGATTCTGCATGACCAGCCATCTAGGGAGTCCTTTGTCAGTTCGAGAACCGGTTTGGGAGGAAATGGAGATATCCAGAGAGGTTGGAATACCTTGGGCTTTCTGGGCAGAAGGGCAGGCCGCAAAGCAAGATTATCGGTGCTATGCATTGAACCGCGACGGGAAGACGCCAATTGTTGCCGTTGTTCTCCCAGAAAAAGGTCCCGAAGCCGATCCAGCCGGATGACATGTAGCCGATCTGGAAGCAGATGCCATGGATCTCGACGAGGCTACCACGCAAATTGACAGCGACCAGTTCACTCATCATAAGCTGCATACAGTCAGACAGAGGCCAGTACTTAGTAAACAACGGTCAAAGCGCACCGGAGCTGCTGCGACCGACATCCACGATCCTGCACCGCTGAAAAATCGAAAGACTATAAAGAGGGCTACATTGTTGCTGCCCGCCATGATGGCGCCCGAGACAAGGACCAGAATTGCAGGCTGCCGGAAGACAGGTGAGCATAGAGTATCTTATTGTCCTGCTCCTCGGAGAGCTTACCACTGCAAGGGCCCAACGCCGTCCCCACTTGTCTGCTATCCAAGGCAGAATCAGGGTCCCAATGAGCCCTCCTGTCTGGAAGATGCCATTCATGGTGGATATAAGGTCTGTGCCATTGGATCGCGTTTCCAGCTCAAAGTATTCCACTGACAGAGGAGAGTGTTAATAGGAGGGCGAAAGAGATTGCCATGGGTATTCCGTACAGAATGATGGTTGGCCTGGATCAACGAGTCGTCAGCGGCATAATCCCAACCACAGCCAAATAAATGTTTTCGCGGTTCCACTCACCAAGCAGCGTTCCTATCACAGCCGCAGGATATCCAAAATTGAATGAGCACAATCCGATATAAGCAAGCACACCGATGGTATACAAGTTCGGCTTGTCGTGCGTTTTGGAAGTATTACGAGCCATCTTGGAAACTGGCGAGCTCGAGAGACGATGGCGTACGTTTGAGGATCCCAAGCTTTTTTGGCTGAAGTCTTGGACGGGATCTTAGAAAGTTACACACAACTTAGCACTCCCTTCAAGCTTTGAGGAATACGAGGCCGCAGGCGCAGAGGTACATATACTGTGACGACCTCGGATTGTACTCCAGTTCCCCGCAAACGATCAGCCGTAAGGACTCCAACATCAGGGGGCCCATAAGCATGGAAACTCCAAAATCTGGGGGCCATGAGTACAAGTATACCCTCGGTAGTGACCGTCTTCTAGAGCCTCGGATCCTTGACTCGGTTTTTACGGTGTCATAATGTCGATGAGTCTTGGATCTTCGCTCCGACTATCCGGTGTTGGTATGATATTCATTAATATGTGCAGTCTATAATGTGGTGACACGGGAGGGCCGGAAAACCCTCACCCCGCTCCTCGGGATACGTCCTTTTGTTGCCATTTTGTATCACCTCCAAAGGGGATTTATGACGCCTTAACGTAAATGTCGATCTTTGATTTGTAACCAACGAGTTTTAAATTCTTCAGGGGGTAGGAAATTCCCAATCACATATGTCTTTGTTGATAAGAGAAACCATGATCCAGATGTAAAGCGTCTGCAATGAATCCGTGCTTGAATGTGGTCCCAGTCAAAGAGGAATTGGAGGATTGCCGGTCACAATTTTGCTTTTGTAGGGTCAGTTCTTCGCAGAAAATCCTTCACAAACTACTTTACTTGCTCTGTCACTCCTTGGGACATTTCTCGTCACGTCTTACTCCACCACCGTATGCCTACATTATTCAATTGCCTTTTCGTCTCGTCACCCACTGGTCCTTGGTCTCTTATCAATATCGAGTCTCTGGCTTCCCTCCGGTGGGGACAGACTCCTGACAATGCATGAATGAATCCAGGAAAGTGTGTGCTAAGTTGAGAGCAACAACACATCACAACGCCCGGGATTGCCTCTTTTGTACTTAGAGGATATGGTAGATGACTAGTCTATCTTTCCACAGAGAGCCCATTCCGAAATTCCTTTCGCATGTAGAGTGGTTGTTTCAAATGTAGGCGCCGTGAGATCCTGCGGCCGAAAAACGAGTCGAAGTTCTGTACATCCAAGGATGACGCCGCCGACTTGATGCTCCTTGACTAAAGACGCATAGGCCGACCGCCATGTCGACTTGACGGTCTCGGGAATTTCCTCCTTGTTCATTTCCTCGAAGATCATGCGGTCCGCTTTGGACCTGAATTTGCCGTCAGGGACCACGACCTCCAGGCCGAATTTCTTTTGTAGCCGCGAGACGTAAAAATCTTCCTCCTCCATGACGGCGCGTGTTGCGAGCAGACCGACCTTCTTGATGCCCCGACTGACAATCTCCGGAGCTGTCGAGTCCACGATGTGCAATACGCGCAAGCCGGTAGTTTTCTCCAGCGCGTCCGCGGCCTTGTGGGCCACGTTTGCACAGAGAGCGAGAGCCTCGGCGTTGGCGGCCTTCAAATCCCGGCCACTTTTACAGAGGAGTCTCGTCATGCCCGCATAATCTCTTGCGCCAGCCAAGGAGGCCAGGTCCGTGTAGTCGATCGAGTTGATGAGGAGGCGCGCCGAATGTATGCCTCCCAGCTTGGAATTGACGTGCTGGTTGATTTTATGGTAGTAAATAGCAGTGGTTTGCCACGAGAAGCCCCCAATGAGACCGACCACCCTCGTCATAGTGTGGTAGATAGTAGCCTCCACGAGTCTTGTCACTTGTCAGTGATAGAAACCTTTGGCGGCAGTATTGTCAAATGGCTTGCGGTGCAACGACCTTGTGAGCACGTGATACTCAGTTGCAAGTGACGCAACCAGGCCGGATTTACCGCGTTGCAGAGACGTTTCTGTATGGTGAAGGTTGATTTGAGCAAATATCGAAGTGAAAATGTAGAGTAAAATCTTACGTTCTTCGCCTCTATATCAATCTTCCGCTTTATAAAAAAAATAGTATCATTCAACAGCTTGGAAGACCGAGTTTTGATACGCTGGATGAAATGTTGATACTGTAAGAGGAGAGAAATATAACCAAGAAGATTTAGGTTTGATAAGATAACGTAGCTTGGCCAATACAGAGGAAGTGGAGAATGCCCACGAGGCTATAGCGAGAGGGGTTATCACTGTAGACCCACCAGTGAGCCTGGACCCACTGAGGTACACTATTTACTGTACTATATGTGAACAAGGTACTATATCATTACTTTCAACAAGGAACTAGAATTAAACTGAGTTCAAGTAAATTGAACGAACCCAGGGCCAATGTGACAAGCTAGTGTATGTTACCACGGATAAAACGGTCAGAGAATCCGGCTCAAACTTCGGCATGGTTGTCCCCGGAATCGGGACCGGGAGGATATTCCATTTTGAGATATCGAAGATGTCGAGCCGGGGTCTTCTCCAGGAATCAAAAAGGCCCCAAAGATGATTCTCCTGTAGTCTTCTTTTTTGAACAACACACAATAGCTCGAGACGGCTACCTCACACTTGATCGTTTCACTTCTTCACTTTGCCCTCAGCAGTGCAATAGAACAAGATCCAATACACTCGAAAAAATGTCCTATACGGCAAGACAAACGTCGAATTCTGCACGGAAAGTCGACGTGCACCACCACTTGGTGCCTGATGTCTGGAAAGAGGGTCTGCTATCCCTTTGAAAGAACTTGTGTCGAAGGCTTCTTAATGTTGTACTGACATGCCCTGTTGAAAGAAATCACAAAAATCGCATTGGGTCCCGAAGAAATTCCACCTCTGAACTGGACCCTGGCGGGCTCTGAGAGCTTCATGAAGAAGGCTGGCCTCACGACAACTATCTTCTCCTTGACCACGCCGGGTGTCACCAAGTTTGACCTAGTTACGGCACGTCGAGTCGCTCGGGCGGTCAACGAGTACTCAGCTGAGCTCCGGGAGAAGAATCCTGGGAAGTTTGGGTTCTTCGCAACGCTCCCATCCCTACACGACGACATCTATGGAGCAGTTGAAGAGGCTCGGTATGCCTTGACCACTCTCAAAGCTGAGGGGGTCATCGTTTTCACCCACTACGGTCCGGAAAATCACTATCTCGGTCACCCATCCTTCCGGCCCCTGTGGAAACTTCTAGACGACCTGAAAGCCATTGCGTTTGTGCATCCGTGCCCACCTCGTGACAAGGCGACGTTCCCGGACACACTTCTTCCTCACGTCACGGAATACCCGCACGAAACGACGAGGTCAGCGGTTGATCTGATCTTCTCCAACACCCGGAGAGATCATCCCAGCATAAAATTTATCCTCTCCCACGCCGGTGGAACTTTGCCGTACCTGGCGGGCCGAGTCAGCTTCATGGAGATATTCCCAAGCTCACCGAACAAAAAGGGTCACGAGGAGATCTACCAGGAGATCCAAAGCTTTTACTACGACTTGGCCATGTCAGGACACCCCAACACCCTGAGAACTCTCCTGGGCTTTGTTCCAGAGGATCATATCCTCTTTGGAAGCGACTATCCATACGCCTTGGAACCGGGTATTCGGCGAATGAACGACAACTGGGAAGAATTCCCACTGGACCAGCAAACAAGGGATATGATCAACTTTGAGAATGCGGAGAAAATTTTACCCATGTTCCAGAAAAGCTAAGATTGAGGAACTCAAGATGTTCCACCAATGTCTAATCTTGATCTCATTAAGAGTTTAGGGGTCAGATTGCATGAGAATGATCATTTCCATACAATGTAATATCACCGCATGTATTGCAGAATTCGACAAATGATAGTACCGTAACCGATCTGTGTAATAACACTGCTATTTTCTTCATCATGGCCAAATCAATACAGGCTTGATACACCGTCCGTGGTGCATATCGTCTATAGCCTTGTTTATTTCGGTGAATGGATATCGTTTAATCAGGCGCTCAATCGGAAAGCGACCTTGCTTCCAAAATTCCACAAGAGCAGGAATAAACTGCCAAGGTTCATGTGAGCCAAAAACGAAATGAAATAAAACAACGGATCCGAGGGGAAATATTGTGTCATTCTTACCGTTTGAGGATGAGCCGACCCTTCACAAGATCCGACGTAGCTGACATTCCTTCCGATCCACTCTGCTGGCTCGATGTTGACGAATTTCCCTGCCGGCGCTGCTCCAACCGTGGCGACGATTCCGTTGTTTGCGGCCGATGCTATCATCGCTTCAATGACTGCAGTATTCCCTGTGGCGTCGAGCGCACGGTCGACACCCTCGCCGGCCGTTGCAGCCTTGATCAGTTCAACAACATCCTTGCCGCTCAAGTTTATCGTGACCGTCGCCCCGAGCTCGGCGGCTAGCTGGAGCCTCGATTCGTTGATGTCAATGGCTATGATCTGTGTAGCCGGTGTGAAGCGTACCGCCGCCATGACAGCGGCCAGCCCAACTGAGCCCACTCCAAAGACCGCAATAGATTCTCCCACAGACGGTTTCAAGTCGTTGAGGACGGTCCCAGCTCCGGTTTGCAGGCCGCAGCCGAGTGGGCAGAGAACATCCAGGGGGACATCTTTGTCGAGCTTGACGGCACAGTTCGCCGTGACGATCGATCTAGAAGCGAACGAGGATTGTCCAAAGTAGGGTGAAGCAATGTCGACGTCGCCCATCGACATTGTATGACTGCCGTCGGCACGGGCGCCACCGAAAAGAAGTCTGGGACCGACTCGACAGTATGACGGGAGGCCACGAAGGCAAGGTCGACAGGCTCCGCAGCTGGTGATGGAGAGAAGAACATGGTCTCCAGGGGCGAGGTGATTGACATCGGCGCCAACTTCCTCCACAATCCCCGCCCCTTCGTGGCCTAGCACGGCCGGCGGGGACGGAGGCAGTTTGCCCATGGCGGAGCCTACGTCGGTGTGACAAACGCCGGTGGCGACCATGCGAACGATAATCTCGTCGGGTCTCATGTCCTTGAGTTGGACCTGTCTCTGTTCAAAAGGTCCATTGTGGCTTGTAATGACCAAGGCAGTTACAGGCTTGCTACTGGCGGATGGACCTGGAGACTTATTCATGATGCCGCTGGTCTGCATTGTATAATAGATTAAGTTAAGAGAGCGAGAGAGTGTGCTCAGTACGACGAGGTCGTAAGGATGACAAAGCTCTTAAATACAACACGGGGAACGGTGTCATCCTCTCTAGGGATATCGGAACGGTTAAATAGTTCCGTGAGAAGAACCGATCGTAGAGTAGATTCCGGAGTCAAGAGTTGTGAAGTTTTAGGAAGACCATTATAGACGCATTCTCCACGTTTTATCACCAAAAAAGTGCTGAAAAGTATTATCCCTCTTGTTCCTTACGTTGAGTTACACATTCAATTCATCTTGCTCTCAAATCACATCTGACGGCTCGTCTGTGATCGTGATTGTCTTAGTCTGTAGAAACTCATCCAAACCCCATTGTCCGTTGAATCTGCCAAATCCGCTTTCCTTCGAGCCTCCGTGCGGAAGCCACGGCTCATCATGGATAGTCATGGCATTAATGTGGCAGGCGCCTGTCTCTATACGCCTCGCACAGCGGACAGCCTTGGGAACATCCCTCGAAAAGATGCTTGCGGATAGGCCGTAAGCGGTGTCATTGGCCTGAGAAATTGCCTCATCAACAGTATCAACCACTAACAGGGTCACTGTAGGCCCGAAGGTCTCATTGTAAAACAGATCCATCTCTTTAGTGACGCCAGAGACTATCGTGGGCTGTAGCGCAGCCACAGTCACATTGGGCGTCCCGAACTCCAAGTGGGCTCCTTGTCTCACGGCTGATACGATGAGGCTTTCTGTCTTTTGTGCTCCAGAGACAGTCACGGCTTTGCCTGCTGGGAAGCTCTGGGCCTCTTTCACAAGAAGGCGTCGAAAGTCCTCGGCAACTGAACGCAAGACGATAACTCGCTCAGTCCCCATACAGACTTGGCCATGCTAGAAGTTTGTAAGAACAAGAAGAACATCGCAGCAATCATGACTTGTACTTACGTTGAGAAAAGCTCCGAGAACGACCGCCTTGGCCGCCTTGGTCAAATCCGCATCTTCCAGGACGATGCATGACGATTTTCCGCCGAGTTCCATCAACACCGGCTTGAGATGAAGTCCTGCAGTCTTTGCAATGATTTTCCCAACCGCTGTCGATCCCGTAAAGTTGATCTTGCGCACAGAGGGATGAGCTATCATCGCTTCGATCACCTCTGCCGCCTTCTCACGCGAGTGATGAACAATGTTGAGAACCCCAGCTGGTAGCCCTGCTTCTTGGAAGATCTCTCCTATGAAGTGATGCGTTCTTGGGCTAAGCTCCGAAGCTTTCAACACAGCCGTGTTTCCACAAAGTATCGGAGTTGCCACTGCTCGAATGGCCAGTATGAAAGCGGCATTCCAAGGAGCAATCCCGAGCACAACACCGTATGGTTCCTTGTATACGAGGGCAAGACGATCTTTCCCTCCGTCAGTATTCTATAGTGGGATAGCTGCTTACTCGTTCGACTTACCTCTACTTTCAGTCGTTGGCAATGATCCTGTAGCGCAAGAGGTCGCCATGCAGCCTAGCTCCTCCAATAACGCCGTCCCAAAGTTCAAATTAATTCCTGTAGCCCACTCTCTCGTACAATTGGTCTCTTGAACCATGACATCAATGATTTCATCTTTGCGGAGTCTGAAAATTTCTGCTGCCTTGAAAAGAATTCGTCTTCTTTCAGTTGGATGTGTCTGTGCCCACGCCGGAAATGCTTTGGATGCTGAATCGACGGCCTTTTTGGCCAAGTCGACGTCGGCGCCGGAAGCAGTCCAGACGACCTTTTGTGTAGTTGAATTTCGCACTTCAAATTTGTTTGAAGTAGTCACTGGATGATTGTCTATCCAGAGAGGTACATCTGCGAATTGAGGCTTGTCGACGTCGATTGAACCCATCTTGCATCAACTTGAGACGATTGCTTGATCTAGCAACTGTTAGTGGAGCAACTCCTTTTTCTCTCCCACTTTGGGACGTCGTAAGTTTTGTCCTTCTCACTGATGGACATTGCGGAACATTGGATTCCGGAGTCTATAGCTACCTGCTGCATACTCTCTCCGCGACAAAATTGAGATTATGAGATTGCGGAGGCCCTCATCCGGACTCGGAATCAGGATTACCAATCCGACCCTTACTAGAAGTCTTGGGCCGTTTCTATGATCCGGTAAGTGACGAAGGACTGATACCGGCTTGAGAACAGTGAAGTCGTGGTCGATGGCCCTTCGTCCCAATTAGGATGTTTCCTCCCCGTTCTTCGGATTGCCCCGTCTCAATTCTCCAGGATTTACCCCGGTCCGAGAATGACTGAAATCCAACTGCATATTTTCCTACTTATTGAGAGCTGAAAGAGTGCTCTGGCTGGATTGTTATCATCGTTTATCGCATGATTTCATTCCCATGCTCAACCCCAGACAGTAAAAATGCCATCGACACCAACGGTCCTCGTCGCTGTGGGATTGGTCACTTTTCTCCTGTATCGCCTACTCCAGATTGGTCAACGTCCCAAAAATTATCCACCGGGACCCCCGACTATCCCTATATTGGGAAATATTCATCAGGTTCGTTCGCATTCACGTTACAGCATTGTTGGGCCTTTGAGGTGCCGAATACTGAATTTCCCCCTCCCCACATACAGATCCCAACTCATGATGTCCACCTTCAATTCGAAAAGTGGGCACGTCAGTATGGTCCAGTGTACAGCCTGATACTCGGGACCAAGACCATGATTGTCCTTTCGAGTGACGCCGCCGTCAAGAGTCTCTTGGATAAAAAGAGTGGAATCTATTCCGACCGACAGGAAATGTATGTCGGTCAGGGTTTGGCCAGCGGCGGCCTACGACTTCTTATGATGGTAAGTATCACCACCCCTTAACCCTCAAAAGATGTAAAACATTCGACCCAGGTAGGCTAATGAAACCTCAATAGGGATATGGCGACAAGTGGCGCAAGGTCAGTCAGTCCCTCGCGGATTTTCCTTTTTTAAGAGAATGGAGAGAGCACTTTTCCTAACAAAAAGTTGTTAGTTCCGTAAAATGATACATCAATTGCTCAACGTCCAATCTGCCCGGTCTTATGTTCCATATCAGGTTCTGGAGAACAAACAGATGCTTTATCAGTTTCTAGAACAGCCCGACGACTTTCTCAACCACATTCGACGATATGCCAACGCTCTCACCACCACCATGGTCTATGGTTGGCGGACACCGACGTACGAAGATCCCAAGATGATGCAACTATTCGACGGGTTTTCTGAATTCGCTCATCTAAACGCCACCGGGGTGGCCGCCTTGGTGGACTTCTTTCCTCTATTGAGAAATCTGCCCGACAGCGTCTTGGGCACAGTGAGGGAAGCCAGACGGTTACATAAACGCGAAAAGGCACTCTACCTGGGCCATTGGCTGACAGCCAAAAAGGACATCGCAGCCAAAGAGATCAAACCATGTTTCTGCGTCGGACTCGACCAAGCGCAAAAAGTCGACGGGTTCAGTGACGACCAAGCCTCTTATATCGCGGGGACTCTTCTCGAAGCCGGGTCCGACACGACCTCGAGTACACTGTATGCGTTTGTTCAAGCCATGCTGTTGTATCCCGACGTCCAAAAGAAGGCCCAAATCGAATTGGACAAGGTGGTCGGGGAGGATCGTATGCCGACCATGGACGACGATGTCCAACTCCCCTACATTCGAGCCTGCATGAAGGAAACTCTCCGCTGGATGCCGACGACCATCCTAGGAGCGGTACCTCACGCGGTGACCCAGGACGACTTTTACGAAGGGTACCTGATCCCCAAGGGAGCGGCCGTCATGAACAACGTCTGGGCCATCCACATGGATCCTCGCAGACACCCGGACCCGCGACGGTTCATGCCGGAGCGATACGAGAAGGATTCGCAGAGTTTGTATGACGCCGCCAGCAACCCCGACGCGACGCAACGAGATCAATTTTCCTTCGGTGCCGGGCGTCGAATCTGCCCTGGGATTCACGTAGCAGAGCGAAGTTTGTTTTTGGGCATCAGTCGGATCCTGTGGGCCTTTGAGATCACACCAAAGTTGAACTCCCAGGGACAGCCGATCCTTCCGGACCCAAACGAACTCACCCAAGGGTTTGTCGTGTTGCCCGTCGATTTCCCTGCGCAGATCAAACCACGTTCAAAAGAGCGTGCTGACATGGTCAGGAGAGCATGGGAACAGGCGCAGAGTGAATGTTTGGATCCAGAAACAAAACAATGGATCACGACGCCTCCTCAATTGCAAACGACTACAAAGTGAAGTTCAGGGTGGTTCTCAAGGCTATACATCTAAGATTGTAAAACTTGGCGTGCTTGTAGGTATATTTTTTGACAGAAATAGCCATCCGACCTATAATTGATTTCATTGACAAAAGGTTCATTACTCAACTCTCCAGACTTTCTCTCTGCAATATCAGATGAAGCATCCGATTTTATGAACATAGGAGCGACTCATTAACTGCTACCTTACCCTATACCTGCTCTACACATGTCTCTCCATCTAATGTCATATATTGAAAACTAGATCTCATTTCATAAATTGATAGCTGACTTGATGTTCATTCTATTTGACTTGAGACTTGGATATACGGGGTCAAGTCCTTCGGATAACTAACAAACTAGCAACCGACAGACGAAAAGATCGATGTTTTAGAATCCATGACATGCATCCTGATGATATGCGACCAATGATCCGTGATCTATCTTCTGCGTCCTAACTTGCAGCGGTGTCCTTGAGGTGAATCAAAAGCCTCAGACCCGCCGGCCCGGCACTGAAATTGTCGTACGGTCTCATATCTTCATCCATCATCGAGGAATCAATGGTACACTCGAAGCGTCTGAAGAAAGCCGCAACAACTTTCCAGAGCTCGAATTGAGCAAGACTAATCGAAACAAGGGTTAGCTGGTGGCTTCGTCGTGATGGTAGAAAGAGACCAGAAAAACAAAGCATTAGGCATCCCTACTTGATTCCAATACATTTCCTACTTCCATTTCCGAATGCGTTGAAAGCAGCCTTCATGAGCTTTTGTTGTTCTTTATCCTCGTCCAGCCAACGTTCTGGAAGGTACAACTCGGGGTCGGGAAACGCTTTGCTGTCCCGATGAACTGTATAGTTTTGTGTCCCCAAGATGGTCTATCACAGAAAATAGATTAGCAGTGGTTCGGGAAGTTTCAAGGGGGCGAGGAACAGTCAACAACAACAACTTACTCCTTTTGGAAAGACCATGCCTTGAACCACGACTGTCTCTTTAGCTTCACGTGGCAAGGTGGCCACGATGGTAGGGTGCCTTCTCAATGCTTCATTGATGACCGCACTCAGGTAAGGCAGTTTGCTTGCCATCTGTTTCAAAAATTGGTCAGTAACCTATAGGAACTGCTCCCCCCGAGCGAGCGTGAAAGAAAAAGACAGAGGGTTAAAGGGAGAATCAGGCGTGATGGGCATGTTTCGACGCTTACCGTGTAACTTGGGATCGTCTTGGGATCCGGTATTGCTTCCGCAAGTTCTTGCTTCAACTTGGTGTATACCCGAGGATCACGGCAAACAGCATAGATGAGGAAAAGAAAGGTATTTGCAGTTGTGCCGCTACCACCAAACCTGGAAGAACGCGGTTAGAATGCGAGCAATTTGATCTCTTATCCTCGTGACACCAATCCAGAGTCCAGAAGTGAGAATCGGTAGACAAACTTACATCCCACCCATGCACTCCTCGGCCAGTTCACTGTCGTTGAGTGGTCTACCGAGAAGGCCATCCTTCTCCGCCAAGGCGCCCCGTAGGAAGGGGGTCTCGACTTTCGTCTTGCGAACGTTCCGGATGAGTTCCACGGAGTAATTCTTCCAGTCTCGGACTCGACGGAAGTTGTCCCCGATCGGACCGGGCACGTAGACGCCCCACTGTTCCAGCTGGGGGACGATTTCTTTGTAGATGAACATGGGCCTCCACGCCCGAAGCCAGGCCATGACGGGACTCGGCTCCCCGGCCTTGAGGGACCCGGCGTCCCGGTCGAACATGAGGTGATAGACGGCGTCGAACCCCAACCAGTGACACCAAGGGTAGACGTCGATGGGGGAACCGTCCTTGGTCCTCGTCGACCACTGCCGTAACAAGGTCTCGATCTTCGTCGTGAGGACCGGCTCAAAGTCGAACATGGAGGCCTGGGAGAAGCCCCGACTCAGGAGTTTCCTCCGCTGTCTGTGGGCTTCGGGGTCTCGGAACGCAAACGTGTGGTCCTCTCTGAACATCCTCCTCGCCGAGTAAAACTTCTCGTCCTTGATCAGACTCGGGTTGTTGTAGATCTCGGGGATGGCATCGGGGTCGGCGAACGAGACTTGGTTGGGTCCCACGCGGACGATCGGGCCGTAACGTTGGTGCGCCGCCTGGATCTGTTCTGCCCTTCGACCCTGACGGTTCCAGTAAGTCGCCCACAATCGTGTCGTCCGTGCGAAGAAAGGGCCCGGGATCTTTCGAAGAGGATGGAACCAGGCGTTGTACAGGAGTAAGGAAAGTTGATACGCAAGATAGGCGAGGACGACGCCAAAAAAGACCAGCGTCTTGAGATCGTACTTGACCACCAAGTCTGTCAAAGCGGTGGCGGTCATCATCATGACGGTAGAAAGGCAGAGACCCTGGTGTAAGGGGAGGGGAGAGATGTTGAGTGACGATTTGTGTTCTACAGGCTTGAAGAAGAACGAAATGTTACAGATTCATCCCAGGGGACACCGATCCCAAGTTTTATGAACCTTTTTTTGAACGCGTTCAAAGATCCGGCTTGCCATTGTTACGTGCTCCAGAGAAAAATAGTGATACTTTCAGTTCTACCGGTTGATTCTCAACATCCCCCCCATGGGATCCGGACGAGGGGGGAACTCCAGTTGGATGTGGGGGGGGATGGAACCTGGTATTGTTCCAAAAAGGGTTTATCTCCCCGGACTGGGGCCAGATGCCGTACAGCATTTCACTCCGACTTTCCCACTACCATCTCGGGGAGATAATTCTCTTCATTCGGTCTGCTCTGAACAAAGCATCCAAGAGTGAGGTTGAATAATTCCGAAATTATCACTAGAATGTGGTTGCGCTTGGAACAATCAGATACTCTAAGCGGTGGGTAATGAGTGAGTGCATTGTGTTATATTTCGGTGCAGTTAATGACTATTTGGATGTTACATTTTTCTCTTCCCATATCCGATGGAGTGTAGCTACTTCAATGGTCTCACTTTCATGATGGAACGTAAAAATCGGCCATATCCATCGTATCATCGGGGAGCAATGAAAAGTCCACTTTGCCCAACATGTCAAGATCCTTTTGCAGGAAATCGTAAATCCCATCACCGAAATAATCCTGATTTTCCATCTGGGCATTCTGTGACGGCGTCTGGATGAGGATGGGTTCCTCCGAGGAGGTGTTGTTCTCGCCGTCTCTGGTATTGCTTGCTACGGGGCAAAACATGTTAGAAGCCACAACAGTCGTTCCAAGCTTGCCCTTACATGGTTGTTCCATGTCATGAATCCTCCTTCCCAGGAGTGACACCGTGTGTAGGAAGGAGTCGGCCGCTTCGATTTGAGGTGCATAGTGCTCCAGAACCGTGATGCAGCGGTCCCAAGCTGATCTCAACACGTCATGGTCCAGGGCTGGATCGAAAGCCGGGCATAGACGAGCGGCGGCAAGAATGACAGCTGAGACAAAGATGTCTATCATAACTCTTGCATCAGTACACGATTGCCAAGGCTCTGTGTATGCGTTTGAGAGATTGAACTCACAATGACTATTCGGCCACGGTGGTCCCGCGCATGGGTCCGAAATTGTTTGGTATTTGAGGTTCACCAGTGCCGTAACCGTCAGTATGCAGTGTGCACATATTCGTTTCATAATGTCCATCTCCAACGAGGTTGTCTGGGAAGATGAGAGGTCAATTTCCCTACCGAGTCGTGCGACCAGTAGTAGCACAGGACGTAATAGTAAAGCACGAATATAAAGGAATCTAGAAAGCCAATCAACTCAAATTTCAACAGCCAAACGTCAGCCGCTCGGAAACTTACCGACCGTTGAACACGTTGGACTGGAATCGACCATGTTCGTGATGATCCGCCAGTGGTGTTAGCCTCAGTTGATCTGGAAGGGCTTCCTCCACTTCTTCAAGAGAATGGTTGATCTTTAGAAGTTCGGAAAGCCAATGTTCAGACCACCCGGAGAGATGCAACTTTCCACTCAGCTTGAGGCTGGCCTCTTTGGTGTACAAGGCCAACAAGGTGTCACGTTGTATCTCGAAAAGCTTGATGCAATGTATGAAGAGGGTGATTCGAGACTCTTGGTGTGCAGGTTGTACTCCTTCGCCGTCTTCAAGCAGATACTCGTCGTCAACTGCTTGCGGAAGAGGAAAGTCATTGATCGAACCGACCATCATTGGACGACCTAGATTGAGTGCCAACAACCTGGTTTTAGGGGTGGTGGGTTTTCCGTCAGCCTTCTCGGGAATGAAGAAATTCGTGGTGCTCGGACAAACCTATCGAATATGACGCAAGTATGCCACGCGCGCCGTCTCATTTCTCGTTGCAGTTGATTCCTCCTCGAGTAGGAGCCATCGAACGGTAAATTCAACCCAAGGCTGACGGCACCTCGAGTCGCTATGCCGGTAATGTTCCACCACCGATTTTCGTGTTTCGTGGATTGGAGATGGATTGTCTGTAATAATAGCAACTGAATACCTTCGAGTGGAATGGTGTCCAAAGCTTCGACGGCGATGACTTCCGTAGAACGTATGTAGAATTGGTTTGCGAGACACGCTTTGTCTTTGGTCGGACTCATGTCGCTGTACATGCATCCCAAGGCGAAGACCATATAAAGTGTGGCCATGAAGATGTGTTTATCGAGATCATCATCGCCGCCATCGTCGTCAACGTCACCTGTCCATACCTTGAAGTATCTTGCTTGAAACGATGGCCAGTGAAGCACGGGGAATATTGATAAGACGTATTTGAAGAAATATGTAGTATACTTGTCGGCGGTAGATCGCATTGGGAGGCCGAAACCGTGGTTGCTGCTGGTGTCCCATTTTCTATAACTGTCCCGGAATGACGACTTTGGCGAAGCATCACTCATCTTACCGGATGTTCGAGATGATCCTTGAGGACTCACCATCAAATCCATGGTTTGTATGACGGCCTCGGTGATAGCACGGGCCGATGAGCCCTGGTGGTTGGAGTTATCGGAAGGAGTCGATGCCGGTAGTGTCTCGACATGAGCTGAAGTGACCGAAGAAGGATTGTGTTGAACTTAGCCGTCTAAATTGAGGTCTGTCCTACCGCGGCCACCTTGTTCGACGGAAGCATTCTGATCAGCCTAGCTTTCTCATGTATCCGAAAAAGAGTATCGCCATACCCGTTGATGATGATGATGATGTGATCGAGGTGATCCTAGCGGTATCAAGACTGGATACATGGACCTCTCGGCCCCTTCGAGGGTGAGTGGCATAGCTGACCGTCAGTATACAAGAAGGACAAGAATATACACTAATGTATGAAACACCTACACGCTATTGACGAACTTACTTTCCTCCCACGTACAAAGGTGCTCTCGGTGCCTTTTCCGGCATGGTAGACACGCAGGTCGTTCACCGTTGCATCGTGACTTGCGCTCTCGACATGGAGTACATGCAAGAGCAATCTTTCGACGTGTTTGACGAGGTTTTTCTGTCGTAGGCTTCGTGGCTTGTGGTTGACCGCCGGCGTGGGTGGTGGCGCTGGTAGGGCTGGGTGTCAACCCGGCAGTCAATGTGTCTGCCTCATAGCTTGCCTGATCCGCCATGGTGTTGTCGGAATGTTTACAATACAGAAGCTGTCTCAGACAGCGTTTCCGGGTCTCATGCCACCGAATTTAGACACCTTCGAAAGAGACTTGGAGGTAGGAATCAAAGGACTCCCGGCGTTCATTAGATGTTCTCCGCCTCCCCGCAGTGACGGCTGAAATTCCCTCTTTCATACCCTTCGTCTGGGGTCTGTCTGGGGACCGGGATAATCCCCCCACGGGACGAACCCGGCATTCATAGCCGGTATACCGGTATCCGGAGTATCGATGAAGCTCCGAAACGAGCGCGGACTAACCAAAAGCTATTTGTATTCTGTAGGTGCTCGCGGAGGTGTCTCTTCGAGAGCCTGAATGAGACTGATACCTTGCAGTGGCGAGACGCTTTTACACCCTCTTGGTCGCTTCCCTGCCCTGAGGATACAAAGTATTCAGAGTGCCGAGGGTACTTATTCATAAACAGTGACGGCTGTGGGCACATAATTCCTCGATCTGGGGTAGTAATGGTCTGCATGACATCTCAAGGGTATCAAATAAATCTATGTCATGACTGTGATCTAGTCTCTGAGTCTGAGGTACTGTACTGTATGTGAGTCAGGCAGGATAAAAGTCTATCTACATTTCAAGTGTAAAGAAACCAAATCATAGCGCTTCACTGTACAGCCGCTCCTAGAAGACCCCAAGACGTTGCTGAACCAAAGAAATATCTTGTGAAGAAAAAAGAAATTCATAAGGCATCGCATCGCAAATCACATCACGAGCTTAAGTCGTACCAAACGCACCACTACCTCCTTGCTGAAATCACTCAATCATATCCCACCCATTGTGTCAATCCCCGAACTATTAAAGTTATAAGGGAAATCCACAATTCCATCAAGCATCCAATTCAGAGGGTCAAACACGTCGTAGCTCGCCTGGCTGTAATCCATGGAGTAGCTGTTGTTGCTGTCTACCATCCCCGTTGCCATGCCGGCCATGCCAGGAACGATGGCCGACGCTGAGAGCATAGGATCGTTGACTGCAGCAGTATTATTGGCGGCGGCGTCGACGTTTGTCGAAGAAGGAATGACGATGCTATCCGCCTGTTGAAGTTTGGCATCATGTTGTCGAACTATACAGGATGTCAGCTGTGCACTTTGACTGCGAATCCCAATCGCGAGTAACACATTGAAAGTAAAAAGGGCGGGAACGTGACTTACCATCAGATGGCTTTCCTCCGCCAAAATGGAAATTCCTACGCCATCGCCACACCGAGTCAAAGACCAATGAAACCGACATACGACATTTGACCTTCAATTGAAGACTGTCATCAACTTCACCTTCACCAATCTTGTTGAGATCAGGTTGCGCTCGAACTCGTCCACTCTTCCAGACTTGGGCCAAAACTTCAGCAAGCCTCTCGGCAAGATCATTCTCAACCACACTCATACTTCGCAACGCCCATACAGTCCTCGAAAGCAACTCGGACGCTCCTTGGACATCCATGTCGTGCTCGCCGAGGAAGTTGTGCATTAGCTTAAGAAGTGAAAACCCAGCTGCCAACATCATGTGAAAAATGTAGTTGGTGGCATGAGCCAATGACAGACCATGTGAATAGTTGGACGGTAGGTTTATGCTCATGCTGTTCTCCAGCCCTAAGCATACCTCAAGAAACTCGGTTGTGCTTTGATAGAGCTTGAACATGTCGGCGCGATATGATGGTAAAGAAGGTGGTGAGAAAAATGCGCTCAACCGCATGTGCAAGGCTGCGGCTTTCAAGTAGAGCTTAGTGATTGGCGAGGTATCATGCCTGAGTTTGTCTTCGAGCTCCTCGAAATCATGGGCTAGAAAGGATACGTACGTAGGACGTTCTGCATCGGAAGCTAGTCCCACTGGATCATGAGCGTTCATGTACAAGGTCCGCGAGACCTTGTCCACGAACTTCTCGATTAGTAACCTATTGTATATCGGCGCCGGCAGCTCGTAATTAGGATTCGTATCGATGGGTTTGGGGCCTAGAGCCCAGTCGTAGATGGTCAGAGGAGGCTGTCCATATGCTGTGCATATCCTTTGCGCGACGATGTTGCAAACACTCCAAACCACGATACGATCTTGTAGTTCCACCTCTCTGAGCTCGACGCGGAATTTGCTGAAATCCTGGGCATGACTCGGACGATGTAAGCCTATTTGCAAGGCAATTTGCATCATCAACCCACAAATCATGAAGGTTGGGTCCGTCGATGTGCTGCTCGTAGGCAATGGCCACGCGCACAGCAATATCAGTGCTTTGACGATGTGGTAGTTCTGAGGTACTTCGGCTATCGTCGACCACATCAGTCGCGTCAACGGGCCCGAAAGTGCATTGAAAAGCTCTGGTTCTGGGGTGTAATGGCGAGCACCCACGGCCAGGATTGTCCAGAACAACAACGGTGATCTCGTGTGATATTCTTCCGGCGTTCTATCGGGATTGAGGAATGGTAAGAATGGGTGTTGAAAGGTGAAGAAGCGCTGGAAGAGCTCTTGCACTCGATCCTGAGTCAGAGTAACATCTTCCAGGCGTTTGAATATTGACCTCCCAGGACTCTTGCCTTCCCTCAGGTCCAGGAGGCCTGCGGCGGCGGCGTCTTGTGTGAAGCCACCTAGTGCAGTCGGAGCGAGATTGGGGCCAGTATGTCCATTCTGCGCTCCGCCATTCGATTTCGATGCCGTCCCTGACTTTTGCGCCGCGACCTGTTTCCTCAACTCGACGATCTCCCGTTCCATTTCTGCATTGCGCGACCTCTTGCCCACTCTCTTGAAATTGTCTTCGATCTTGCATTCAAGGTTGAGACGTTTGCATCTCGAGCACGTTTGGAAGGGCTCTTGAGTAACATCGCATCGTAGCTATAACTCTGTCAGCAGCCGTGGCAAGGCGCAGAACCGGGGTTGTTGGCAAGTAGGAGATGACAACGGCCTCATCCGGCAGCGACATAGAACAACATCTAACACAATCGCTGGTATCTCACCTTCTGCTGTCGACACTCATTGCATGCTCGTTTGATGGGCCTGCGCTTGCCGTCACCGCGGCCATGTTCATCGTTCAGGTCTGGAGAACCGAAGCTGGCACTCGCAGGTGAGCTGTCGAACCCCGCGACAGAGGCATTTCTTTTGTGGCTCTGGGTCGGACTGGTCAGGCCAGTACCAGGACCATCACCATCAATCGATTGCGACGCCAGCTTGTATTGTGTGTCGCGTATTTCGAGTCTGGGGTCTGACATCCAGTTGGACGCCGATATCGGTTGGTCGCTGATGGTCGCAGTCGCAAAGCCGGAGTACGCAAAGTCGTCCATTGCCGAAAAGGGCGCCAAGTCCATGGTTTTTTGATCTGATAAGATAAAAATGATCAGTCGGAGTAGGACGAGGGGATGACAACAAGGGACCCCGGTGATGGAGGGGCACAGTCTCGGATTCTTGTAACGACAAGGGTCACAGCGTCGAATCGACCGTATCCAACACACATACTCAGGTATCGAGGTGGTCAGAAGCTCATGGCTACCGCTCAAAGCAAAGAGAAGCTCCGAGGACCCTTGAAGAGATTTCATGCTTCTTCCCAGGCGGCCGAATCAAACCACGCCATAAGCACCATCCGCTTCGCCCTACAACAAGACGATCATCGCGGTGAGCATCGATGACTCACGGCCAACCCCATCACTTAATTATACTAACAACTACAGTCACGGTCTTCGATTCAAGTATCACACCAGAGCCTTTTCTCGATACACTTGAACTCGAGAAACTTCAAAAGAGACAACAAAAGGCAGAGGAAATGTCATCATGAAACCCTGTCTAAACCCCGGCTGCTTAGAGATTCACGTCGACGTGGTTTAAATGTACATATCGTCAATTCATCATCCAAAATCATTCAATCATCAAAGGCATTGCATCGTGCACTCTTCACCTTCGTCGCTGAATTCAATATTGCCTTCCCAAAAGATATCAAAGCAAAACCAAAGCATTTGCAGCCACCAGGGCCGCACTAAAACAACGTCGATTATAGTGTCGTCAGCTTTTGAGCTGTTATCCCTCACGTATCCCGTGATAAACTGGTATTGCTGGCAGGGAACCTGGAATCTCCCTGCATGACCACGTTAGGCCCAATACTTCGTCGGAGATCAGCTCTTCTCTTTTCTCGTCGGTCGTCTTCCTTTCTTTGACGAGCTCGTAGTATGCGTTCTTGGATATTCTTGATTCCAACGAGGTGGAATCTGAGACTCAACCCTGGAGACGAACAGAACTGGCGCGTGGCTCGAATTCGCGCCAGGCTCCCGTGGCTGGTCTGTTTAACTACACCTCTTCTTTGCCGGCGACGTTCAGAGATCCGTCGAACAAGGGAAACCGGGCCGGTAACTACGGTTCTCTCTTGTGGCAGTCCAAGAGAGTTGTTTACCACACCTATTTGTCGCGACTGTGGTTGTTCTTCGGGTCGATGGCTGTCTACATCGTCCCAAAATGCTCGGGGCCGCCAAAATGGATTAAGTTGGCCATCGAGATCTTGATCCGCCTTCTTGTTACGCGCATTTTTCAAGCTCAACCCCCGCGAGATAGAACTCATCAAAGACTCCGAGCGGCGATGTGTCCCAGGCCGTCGCAGCGATGTTGCACGCCTGGGGGAAGTTCCATCAATACCGAGTCGCTTTTCGGACTCATCGCCCGGGGTAGGTGGTATCACCTTGACTGAAGGTGGTTGCGGCGGCCGCCTGGGGTTCCGAAGAGGAGAATCCACCTCGATATGAGGCAAATGCTGTAATTGTACTTCGCGAACAGCTCCTGATTCTGCCACGGAGAATGGTTCAATCAACTGGAGCGAATGATTATTGTGCGGGAAGAAGTTGATCACCCTGGCCTCATTAATCTCAGGAGACGTAGACCTGAAAGACGGCTGGGAAAATGGTGTTTCCAGGGTGGATGTAGGTCGCAACGCTGCCCATTCCAAAGTACCAGGAACAAACAGCCCGAGCGCATTGTTTGCCAGCTCACTATCGTAGGTGGAAGAGATGACTAAAGCACGCGGATGTGATGGTGTCCTGACCGTCGCCTGATCCGAATTGTTGTCAACCTGGCTGGTCTCTTTTGCGTGTGAAGCACCTTCGTCATCTTCCAATGCCCAGTCACGCACATTTGTCAATAAGCGATCAGACTCCATCCTGTCCAATGTCTTTCTCAAGTCCTTTTCTGCTTGTTGTCGGCGTACGCGCAGATTCTCGGAGGTGATCGAATTGGCTCGCGAAGTACTTCTAGATGTTGGGGCAGAAAGAGAAGAACTTCGTGGAGGAATCACAGGTGCTGGCTCTGTTTGTGGTCTGCCACGATCTGTCGTTTCAGACACCGTTCGCCTATGCTGCCAAGCTGAAGGCGGCTTTTCCGATACTTTCCGGGATTGCGACCGCGCAGAGCCAGTGGACAGAGATTGTCTTTTACTGCCGCTGCTGCTCGAAGCAGGCAACGAAGAACTTCGTTCAGGAATAACTGCTACTCGAATGATCTCCGTCTTGGGAAGGACAGCACTAGATGCCAGGCTGTGAGATCTAGAGATCTCGGATCCAAAGCTCCAACGGTTCTGGTTGCTCAGACGAGCCTTCTTATGCACTAGCCGGTGAGGCGAGTCTGAAGTTGAGTGCATGGAGTTCCGATTCGAGGCAGGAAGTGGTGAGCTCACCGACCTTAAAGACTCGTGTTTGTTGACGTGACGCAACGTGATCTTCCGCTTGGGTAGGGCGATGGGCTCGAATACATATGCTTCAATGGTGGAAGTAGTAGAAACTCCTGACAGGCGTCTATCATCATCACGAACCTCATTTTGAGTAGTCGTTGGTAAAATTTCAATTGGCACAGAGTCATTCCAGCCAATTATGCTCGCAAATTTCTCTGTGGAGGCCGACAGATCTTGGTGTTGCGCATCAAGAAGTCTGTCGCGGAGACTTTTCCCTCGCTTCAGGCCATCTGGATGCACTTCTGACGTATTGTCTGTTGCCGATTTGACATCATGCGACTCCTCCAAAGGCAAAAAAACATTTTTCCGAGGCATGGCTCTTCCTTTTTTCAATTCAACGGGCGTGGTTGAAGTGCTGAGTGGCTGAGGGCTTGCATGCAGTCTGTGTCCGTCATTGTCACCGTTCTGCCAAAAGTAGGTGTCCTTGTGACCAGACCCGGATGGAATCTCTGTCGGTACGCAAACTTCATCGTCAGGAATCTGTTTCTCAGTATAGAGCAAGGGCGACAGTGGCAGAGAACTGTGTCGCAGCTTGTGGGTGGGTTGACTCGGCTGGTGTAGAGACGAATGCGACCATGCCAAATTTCCTTGATATTGGGAAGTGTCCCCAGCCTCATCCTCTGACCCGATATCTTCTCGAGCGGTCGTGAACGATTCGGCGCGAGTCGAGGTTAGGGATGGCTGCGTTTCCAAAAATGGCCGCACGAACGAGATTTTCCTATGGCGTGGAGGTGTGTTATCCGGAGTTGGAGGGCTATTCGGGTTTGATGGTGTCACCAAAGCTGACCTGAAGGCGGTCCCATCAGAGACCACATCTTCAGCCGTACGTATCTCGCCGTTGCTCGCACCAGGTGGCGTGGGAGGAAGATGTGGGGAGGTCGGCAAGATGGCAGTCGTCGGTTGATGCGATTCTGATTCAGTCATTTGACCATCTTGAGCTGATGTCCTGTACAAGGTCCGCAAATTGAGCGAGGCGGTCTTGGAGTCTTTTCGATATGATGATGAGTTCAAGGACAGAGGCGGCGAAAGTCCTACAGTTTCCGCAGGGGGGCCCATAATGGTGTATTCAATTGTCCTCCCCATTTGTAACGCAGTCATAGTGCACGCAAATATCTTTAGATGCCCTTCCTCTTCATTGCGACTGGGGATCTGAGATTGCAACGCTCTTCACAGCAGTTCAGGTCGCATTCGAAAATATGCTCTCGTGGTCGCGCAAAGGGGTTCGCTCGCTAATGACTCTGAAGTCCGTGATGCGTCCGGAAGGGTTGAGGTACCCGTACGTGACGCGAAGCGTATCAGACCCCGGAGAACAGTGCGTGCGCAGTGGTCGTGCGCAGAGTCTCTGAACTGGATTGATCGCGACTATAGGTCGAATGAGAGGAATTCGTTCCCCTTTCAGTGGCACGGACAGCGGATTTCCGGCTGGGACAGGGTTCTGCGATGATGTTCAACGCAGTCGAGATCGAGAATGGTGGAGGTGGGTGGCTGGGGCACCTGAGCGCTAAAGGGTTTGAGGAGATTCAGCGATGAAGATCGAGTGAGACATTTGAAGCAATGAAAAACCGGAAGACGCAGTAAAGAATTGTATAATTAATTATTGATATGTCGAGTAAGATGGCAAAGTTTGCGCAGTAGGTATCAATCAGGTTGATCTCATGGATTCGTCCGGAGCAGAGGCTTGCGAAGTGGGCGGGAAGAAAGAAACATGGATGAATGGCAGATGGCGATGGCGAAGAATCATCCGAGCAGGCGAGAGGGACCAGCAGTTGGCACTAATAAAAGATGGTGATGGGGACGGAGCCACTGTAACGAGTACGGACAGGTAGTAGTGTAGGCTGAGGTAAAAGTCTCAAAGTACCGCAGCTGCAGGACTTTGGGTCTTTGGGTGAGCCGGCGTGAAGTGGGTTTTTATTAAAGAAAGGCCCTAATTACCTACAAACATGCAGTCCATAGGTACCTTATGCCCGTACTCCGTCCCTAAGGTACCCAAGGTAGAGTTTTAGCATTGTATTCTAGGTACTCCGTACTTGTTAGGCTTACTGGTGACAGCCCCAAGCCCCAGGGTTCAGCTCGTACTCGCAAGAATGGCTCAGCTCAAGACTTCAAGGGTCAGAAATAAATCACAAAGCATCAAAGGGTTCGGCCCTCGCCAGATTCGCATCCACCGCCGGACGGTCAGACGCGGGGCGGAGAGAACCGTTTCGCTGCCGTCAAGGAGCCCGACTAGTTGCAAAACGTGGCCAAACACTTGATGTCAGACAAAAAAGAATTTCTGTAAAACTCGGATTGTTCAATTTCTCTACCCACCAAGACACCTTGCATACAACAGCAAAAAACACCCCCCCAGTTCATATCACATCCTCTCTCGGTGACACACATCCTTCTTCTTTTACTGACTTTCCCGTGACAGTGGCAGCGGTAACGACAAGAGAGATAAAACCCTGCATTGGATGTGTATCCCCCTTAATCTTCGGTAATCTAACCACCGGTCGACATGACAAGGCCATGACAGGCTAATTTCTGCATGTCTCTCCACCTCACATGTTTTTATTGTATGTACCGTCTGCCGTTCCGGATCGATTCCAAACGGACCCTATCGTGGAATGTCTCTGCCGCCATCTACTCGTGTAAAAATAAAGCCCGGAGACCAACACCCATCACATTATTATCTTGTTGTCTAAGCAGGATCAGAATGGTAGTTACCTCCTCCGGTGGTTTACTCTCAGGTAGGTGAAGGTGAGGGACACTACACGCATCACAGACCACCACACACGCGCTCCCTCATTCCCAATCACATTCCTCGGTTCGCCGCATACCATTCTCATTCTGCCCAAAAATGGGCCCGAAGACAGAATCAACAACACAAATCCCGTTTATGGCCAAAGCTGACGGGTGAGATCTGTCACGTCGTAAGCCACCCATCTGTCAATGAAATACACGCGCTCTCCCCAGCCAGGGCATCTGCCCTTGATAGAATTGCCCCAGACATCTTTAAATCAACAATGCTCCGTTCACAAAGGTTCCATTCCACTTCTACAGAAATCACCACAACAAAGGCACCAAGAGCAACATGGCCTCTCGAAGCACAGTATACGGCACGCTCCTCGTGGTCCTGGCATGTGCTCCCCAGCCTGGCCTCACGGGTCCTGTGCCACAGATAATCCACCCGGATTTGGGATCCCTTTCCTTGTCCGAGCTGTTTCTCCAAACCTTCCGGAGGATAATGGAGCTCGGCTTTGTCCAGGGAGTCGTCTCTGCGCTGCTGATCCTGGGCTGCTTGATATGCATGCTGATATGCGTCCTCTGCGCCCTGGCTGCGTACTTTGACCGGAACGACAAGGGCCGCTGGGATCGGAACGACCTCGAACTGAACGACGACTACGTATACTCGTCGCCACGCGAGAAACGCCACGCCGACGGCAACAGCACCGGCAGCCCGGTACGTCGAGGCCGAAAGGCCCACCACTGTCTGAGTCGACAACAACCAGTCGTCACAAAGATCAGTGTCGTCGCGTCGCCGTTTTCGTGTCGACGGAAAGCGTCTTCACCTCCTTCTCCTCCCAGATATCATCCGCAAAATAACCGCACTTCCTCTCCCCCAGTCACGCCTCTACGGTCCGCACTCTCCAAGTCACCGTCACCTCCGTGCCAAAGGCACTCTGTATACCTCGGCGTCAAGAGATCGCCCTCGTCATCTGCCAGCCCCAAGTCGGTCAGATGGGCCGATGAGCTCGGCGTCTCGGTCCTCGCCACGGTTCAGGTCACGAACAGCAGCAGCCACGAAGGAACGGATTGGGAGATCGATATCGGCATGACGAGGCCTCAGTCAACGTCTGCAATCGAGGCTTCCGACAACTGCACACCGGCGGCTGACGCCCCTCCTGCCTACACCTGCGGCAGATTGGACTCCATCAAGTCATAATCTGGCTAACAACCTACCCGTGGATCGGGATTCTTTCTTTATTTTCTCATGCACAACTTTATCAGCGACTTTTGTTTTTTCTTCTTCTTTCTCACGGCCCAATGTTATGTGGTTTGATGACAACTTTGCATTACGAGGTGATGGAGATTTAGGGGGGCCGGAGTTGGTTCTTTCACCTTTTTCTTTTGGCTTAGCATTTGACTGAAAACTTGGAAGACTGTGGATCGATATATCTACACAGTCATCTTCATCTTCATCTTCTAAGAGGGCGGTGTTTGTGTGTAGGGGAAGCATCGGAGCCAAGGGCGTGTCCGGAGCAAGAAATAGGTTTGATTTGGTCTCAAGATTCCTTCATGAAATATGATCGACTTTAATGTCAAAGACTAGAATCATTCATTCTTGCTATCATTTTTCGTGACAGTTGATGTGTGAATGTCTTTGGTTGAGCTAATCAATAACTGTCTGCGCCAGGTACCAAGATCATCTGTACAAAGCCGAGCAGGGCCAGTCACGACAACAACAGAAAAGAGATAAACTGGGTATTCCGTAGATGACTTTTAATAAAGGTCCTTTATGTATTACTATACTGTGGAGTATATATTCCGAGTCCCCCGAATATGACACACTGCATGTGATATTAATGCAGTTCCCGATCTCCTGATCCCCTGGATGATTCGGAATTTCAACCAACTTTTCAGTGCCCACCACATCAAGCCTTCTGCGTCAAATCACATAGCATATCGAGCATGTAAACGAAACAAAAAACCAAACCTGAACACCGCGCTGTATGTATATATCGCCAAAAACATATTCCACCAAGCCTCACATATCATGGAGCTCATACTCCTCACCGTCAACTTTTCGTTGTCAAGCTGGAACACCTTCTTTTGAGATCAAAAGGAAACTCATCATGTTGGGCAAACATTGAACTATCATGAAGGCCTGCCATGCACTTCCGCCGTGCTACCTTCGTATTCTGGGTTGTAGTGAATATGATCACTTGCGCGGTGTTGCTGAACAAACCCCATAGTCGATGGCCGGTCATTCTGAATGTCTGCACCATGTGCAGCTCCTAGTGCCGAGCCAGAATTGCGCAATTGGCTAATATAGGACTGACGGGCAGGCACATTTTCCTCGCCGTCACGCGCTAAACTTGACGTAGTTGACTCTGCCCCAGTCGACCATCGCTTGTTCTGAGCTGCCGGTGACTGTGTACTCGAGAAAGGTATACGACTCGCGCTCAGATTGTAACCATAGCCTTTGTGATCAGGGAACTTCGTTGGGGGGAAAGGTGGTTGTGGAGCCCTCACCCTCGATCCAGTGTCTGAACCAGATTGTCTTCGCGAACTCTTCCTCGGGATAGCAGGGACAGCTGGGACGTCCGGGACTTCTGTAGGTAGAGGCCTTTTTCTAGATTTCTTTGAAGCTTCGGAACCGATTCGACTGGGTAGCTCGATGCCGCCCACCGATTCCACCAGAGGCAACGAGGGGGGCTGTGCAGGCACATGAGGAATTGACTCAATATCGTCGTCGGACTCGACAACTGAGTCGTCATCGTAGACGCTATGCCGCTGCAGAACGGGAGATGCTATTCTTGAACCTGTTGGATCCGGTCGACCTTCGTCGATATTAGGTTGCTCGTCACGGTATGGTTCGACATGTTGAGCTTCAGGCTCAGGCGTCGGAGGGAAAAGACCCGGTGGAGGAGCACGAGCACTCCTAACAACCTCAAAGCCTTTTGTTTTCTCCTTGGTTTTGCCACCTAGTAGTCCCTTGAACCAGCCTCTAGCTGTCGAGACTGGACCCGTTGGATCGGCTGGACCAGTTTTTAGTTTTCTTGTCCCACTAGATAATGCTGCACCACGGACGCCGTAATAAAAGTCCACTTCTCGCACAGCATAGTCGGTCTTGGCCCGATGGGGGTCAACATTAACATCCTCAAAGGCTTCGTCATCCTGTCGTAGGGGAGTAGAGGCACCTTCTCCAGCTTCTTCGTCTAGCGCTCGGTCGTCCAGATTTACACTCTTAGAACCTTCACCCCCCAGGGACGCAATCGGAAGCCCGTTGCTTCCGGCAAGAGGGTCAATGGTATTTCGGCGTGGAGGTCGGTAATAAGGATCTTTCGTCTCAGATTTGTGATGGAGACCGACTATTCCGCCCAGCGACGCAGAACCACTCAATCGGTTTGTCAGGCGTCTTGAAGTTTTGCTCGTACGATCTGGCGTGGTTGTACCCATTGCCTGGGCATCGATGTTAGAGCTCAATCTGTGCGCACTCCGGCCACTATCTAACAAAGCTCCCGAGGCGGCCGAGACGCTACGAGAGCGTGTCTTCGCTTCCTGAAGTTGTTTCTGCTCAGGGTCCATGGCATTGAGCATGGCGGCATTTGAAGCCATGCTATGACGAGAATTCGCGTCGCGGCGTGGGAGTCGCCTAGACAATTGTCGCATTCCAAAGACCTTGGTCAATCCTCCCCGAGTGGCGCCACCAGTATCTTGATCGCGTCCACCGGCCCCTGCAAGCCTGGCAACCACCTCGATCAGGGTCTGAACCGCGTTGAGAAAGAAGCCGAAGACAAGGGTGCAGGCATGAATAATCAAGATAGCGTATCCCATCCACCCTCGTGTGGAGGCTTCGACACCGAGAGACGGCACGAATGCAATCGACAGTAGTATGGTGATGAGTCGGATGGCCGAAAAGCAGGTGTGATAGATGTTCATCGATGTTGCAGACGGAAATGGTCGAAAAAGGTTGATCGTCAGAATGAGAATTACCTCAGAGATTGCCAAAAGTACAACCTGGGCCACGCCTGAAGGCTGTACAGCTCCAATAGCAATACCCCGTAAAAAGTTGATCATGAGGGGAATCATAGCGAAAGTGGCAGCATCATCACAGTAAGTATTATATAACGGACCATAGGCAAGAACTGTTAAGAGATCGTCGAACAGAAACGAACGTGGTCTTGTCCGAGTGAAGAGCAGCATAAGCCGCACTGAGAACAGGATCACCACGACCAACGAAACAGCCGCAAGTGCGACGGAATATGAGGGTCCTCGAGCGGCGATCAAGAGCTGATAGAAGGAAAGCGAGATCCAGGGCAGAATGAAGTAGTTGAAGGTGATTCGCACCACATTTCCGATGGTGAAAGGTCCGTTCTTGGAGCGAAAATCTTCGGCAGGTTCGTTTGCAATTTGCCGATATATCCAGCGAGCAGCAAAGCCGAGTTGTGTCAAAAGCGTGGCACCTGCAACGATCACAACCAGCCAGACAATCATGGCGGCCCAGATGTCTCTGTCCGAAGTCATGCCGACTAATTGGCTCATTTGGTCCAGACCATATTTAGTGCCTGGCCTATATTGGTAGATGCCGTCAACCAGAGGCTGGGTCCCATTGCCTCCAGAGACAAAGCTTTCGTTGAACATCAAGGACGACCAACTGACTCGACTCACAGCAGGCTGATAGAAGCCCGGGTAATTAAGACTCAAGCTTCCGGTCAAGACCACGAATTGGATATACTGTAAGCAATCACCGAAACCCGGGGTAACGAGGCGAAGCAAATCCTCATCACGGCCAAAATTGCTGCTCCAGTTGAATAGATCAGCCGACCCCCAGGGACTGAAGACGGAAGCGGCAATTGTTGCAATGCCAACGACAATCAGGACCGCAAGAGGTAGATACCTCAGTAAGCCATTGAGGTATCCTCCTAGATCTGGCGTGACCGTGGCAGTTACACAGCCGTAGTATTGCCCGCTAGCATCGCCTGATTGTACTTGTATAGTCGCTTCTAAAGAGGTGAAAGCGTAACTTGAACCCATGTCATGTGCGACGGAAAACGCAGGGAGTCGAGTGAGTTCAGTAGAATTGGCGTAGAAGGCTGGAGCTAGCGGGCAGTCGTCTTGCGTGACGGCCGTGCAAAACCTTCTGGGCTCGTCGTTCCATGGGGTATAGCTGAGAAGATTAAACCGAGTGAAGAGTGTCGTATACTTGTTGTTGGACTCGCTGACGTCTGGGATCTTGCCAAAGGTATCGTTCGGGTTCTTCCATGACGGATCGTCCGGCGCAGGATAAGGCTGATCTGTGGCCTTTCCGGTAACATTCCCATACACGGTCACATTGAGGTGGTGTCGGCCTGAAGTTGTATTGAAAACCGCCGATACATTGAGCGGGTCGAACTGCAGAAGTCGAGGTTGTGAATTTATGATATTCTTATCCAGACAATTGTGAAATTCGACATAGGCAGCTTCGACCACGCTTATCCAGAGGAGCAAGAACAGCGGGACGGTGAGTGAATTACTCGACATCCTCAACCAAGACCACCGACTTGGTCGATGTGTACTTCCTCCAGCTGATCCTGTCGGGTGTTGAGAGGGTTCATGCTGACCATTGAACGCCATTGAAGAGAACTGTAAATGGTCCTTGCTTTCGCCGCCTATTATGGTGGGCTTAATGATACGACATTTTTCTGGCTTCCACTAAAGATGTTCTGGAGAAGGTCGGTACTCCCGTTTCTTCCTCCAACACGTAACTCGAGCAAATAACTAAGCGTGAACGATACCGACGTCCCAAGTGACTCCGAAAGAAGGCCGTTCTAATGGAAAAAGAGGGCAACGAGCAAGGATGAGTCGAGGGGACAAAATGTCTCGGAGGGTTTGTGGTATTTTCCGGGAAGAGAATTGATAGTCGGCGGATCTGCGGAAGTCGTTCGTCAAAGGAGTTTGAGTAGCAGAATACAGGGTTTGCCCTTGGAGGAAGAAATGTACGAGATGAACAAACTGAGCGAATGACGAAAAAGGATGAAATAGTGTACAGTTCAAGAAGTCAAAGTAGAACAGAAGAGTGTGTCGAGGCGCAGCGCAGGAAAGACTTTTGAGACATACAGTTGGCGAAGAGGCGAGAGGCGAGTACAGCAAGGTTTTCCTGGTTTCCAGCCAACAAGCGTCATAACCGATTTGCTGGGGAGGATCAGGCTTGGGATGCGATGCGAAGGCGGGCGGGAAGCAGCTTAGGGCTCGTTCTGGCCTACCCAAGGCTCCTCCGGGCTGGACTGTTCAAGCACAAGCATCGAGTCCAATGATGCGGGCGCCCACTTACCCGGCAACATCCAGCTTTTGGGTCCTACTAGGCCTGAAAGCCACCCGCTAAAGGGGACTCATCGCTGCTACAATCCCATGTCGGCTGTACAGTATACTCGTACTTGTACGGAGTACGGAGTACCTACCTAGCCTAAGGGCAATTGCACTAAGTACCTCCCGGCTTCGTATCCAGTCAAACACCATCCTTTGGTCCTCCATCCAATATTTTACATGGTCACACAGTAAGGTCAATTGAACCCTTGAGAAATCGACCAGTCCATAACATCCACTAGGTCTGGCGATCTCCCACAATTGGAAGGGCAGTTTGTGCCAGCACAGATGGTTCACGATCCATCGTGCTAAGGTGGCGCGGGTGTGCTCCGTATACTATTTCTGGTTCACCTGTTATTTAGTTCTCGTTTGCAGCTTGCGACTCAAACCGTTACAGACATGGTAGTAGAAATCCATCGTCCTTCCTCTCGTACTCCGTACGCGGTAAGCGAAGAGTGCCAACCACCCATATGATTGTGCGACACCAATTCTAGCACGTGCCTCCAGGGTTGCCCTTTGATTCACGCTTGACTCCGTACAGTATCCATGTGCTGTTTCCTCGATCCGACCCTCAGTGGTACGCCGTCCAAGTACGAGACCATCTGGCACCTACATGAGCATGCCAGCGTCGAGCAGAGTCCAGTACTCCGTATAATGTTTCGCTAATGCTGGTGGCCGCCGCAGCCTGTATTGCAATCGTTGTGACCCGTCCGAAAAGCGGTCTTGAGGCTCGCTGACCCAAATCCCTGGTAGAAACCAATCTATCAAGATGAAGAGCCTCAGCATCCGTACTCGTACTCGTACGTGGTCGTATACCAGACGGAGACCGGATGTCACTTTCCTGGTCGAAGGGGTCACGCGAGGAGAAGGTGGAAGATGTTCTGAAACTGCATGCTTGATTGGCGGCTGTGGTGAATGACATTGCCGTAACAGGACCGACACATTTGCAAATCACTTGTCTTGTGATTTCACCATCGCCCTTGAAAGCCTCGCCAGGTTGTGGCGACTCATTCCGTATTCTTTCAACGAAAGTTGATTTCTCGTCATTCTTAATGCTATGTAGTCGACTTTCTTCGGGTATCGAATCACCTCTGTCGTCCCTCGCGGGCCTGGTTGCCCATGTTCTGTCGAGGTTGTTATCGCAGTCTGTTTTGGCCGAACATCTGACTGTTGCGTTCTTATCTCCTGCTTCATCCCCTCGCGGATCACTGTTCTCCGGATCTGACTGTGGCTGAAGACAATGTCATCTTCGGACTCGGTCGTTTCTTCCAGCAGTGCGAGTATCGATCTTGACACCGCCACGCTTTCCGGACCTCCCTCTGGCAGCCATGGTAACAGCAATCATCAGAGACCAACGTCTTTCAATGCTTTGAATTACAGACCGCTACCTAACCCGCTCATCCGCTCAGGTTCAGGTCAAAGCAGCCAAATGTCGACTGCAGCACTCAGAGATCGTTCTCTACCGACTCCTCCGAACGAGCAGACTGCTGAAGAGCGCAGACGCAGCATAATAGCAATGGACCGCAAGAGAAGGCTCACAACAACTCTAGAGGATGGCAGAAGAAGGACCAATAGTGGCAGCTACTATGATCGAAGGACCACTCATGATGGGTACCGAATGGATGGTCCTTCAACCCCGATGCGGAACGACACAGTGGGCACAAGACCTGCACCAGAATTCATCGACTTGACAGAAACTACTCCTTCGCCATCACGTCCAACACCACTCCATCAGACGGACGAGGTGAGGATGAACAAGCCTTCTCCAGAGTCCTCGAGGCGGTACGTGGTGCCTCGTTGGCAGCCAGATTCCGAAGTCAGCGAATGTCCTATCTGCAAGCGTCCCTTCAGCTGGATGTTCCGCAGGCATCACTGTAGGAAATGTGGGAGAGTAGTATGCAACGACTGCTCCCCTCATCGCATAACCATTCCTCGACAGTTCATCGTTCATCCGCCGGAATCAGATGCTGTTCCATCGCCGGGGCAAGGGGTTAGAAGCCGACACGACCCGATAGATTTAACAGCAGACGGTCATGATGATGATCCCTTTGATGCTCGAGCCTCGCCTGACCCATACCTTGCACTTGACGGAGGCGAGAAAGTTCGACTTTGCAACCCTTGCGTGCCAGATCCTCAACCAGACCCATTCCCACACTACTCCCTTCTCGAAAACGAATCCGGTCGACGTGGACCACCCTGGAGTCACACGATCGGACATGCAAGAGGCTCTAGCCATCCGTCAGGTATAAGGACAGGACCAACCATACCAGCAAGAGTCAGTATTAGTGGAAAAGTCCTTCGAAGATCCTCAGCAAAGGCTAACCGTTTATTGCAGGACGATTCTCTTCGTCATCCCATGAGATATGACGGGTCCAGCGCTTTCCCAAATCGTGCGAGTTGGACTGGTCATCCCCATTCCCAGATTTCTCCTAGTCGGTACCGCCCTGTGTTATCTACGTCAGTAGGGGAACGGGCATTCTCTGTGCCGTCAAGAGTAAGTGATGTTAATCTGGTCCCATGTATCTTTCCTGACCTTTACAGGATTTCATTCCTTCAGAACGCCGGTCCAGCTACGGCAATACACAACCACTCTCCCGTCAGCCGCGAGATGAGTCGGCCACTGGTTTCAATCGCGGCCCTTATGCTCCACCACGCGCGCCTTACGAGACTACGGCCACTCGATTTCCTGTTACCCTGCAGAATATCGTTGACGGCCCGCCGCGACCTCGCATTGACGAGAGAGATATCTGTCCTATCTGTCGACGTGCACTTCCTCCGAGAGAGCCAGACGGCACGGAGAATGCGCGAGAAGCGCACATCATGTCTTGCATCATTGCAAGAGACCCATCAGCCCGATTTGAGGGCGCTGGCGGTCCCTCCCAGTCTCGAGTTCACATGCTCCCATTCATTGCGACTGAAAAGGACTGCGTCGGCTCGGATGGTAGTCCACAAGAGTGCTCGATATGTATGGTTGAATACGATGTCGGAGATGAATTGGCACGGCTGGAGTGCTTGTGCAAATTCCATAAAAGCTGCATTGTAGAATGGCTTGAGCGCAAAGCGGAGTGCCCAGTGCACAAACTTCTGTTATGAATCACGACATGACGATACGACGATTGAAGATTGATGGACTGCTTCTGGGACTGATTTCCATCTGATGGGCATTTGGAGTTTGGAAAGGTTGGGTCAGGTCGGAGGTGCTACGTGGACAGTTATACAAGGATTCCCCCTCTGTTGATGGTATAGCTTCTCTACCTGATGTTATATGATGTTGACTCCTACTCATATCCGTACAACAACGTCATCTTCTCTCTACCTCGTGCTCTCGATCCACCACCAGCAATAGAAGAATGGAAGGATCACGCGAAAAGCCAGTCAGATTGTGCAGACACCTGATGTTCTATTATTAAATTTCGTAGTCAGAGTGGCTGGGTTCAGGCTCAATGGTTTTTGGCCTCGAAAGCCACGCAATGTCCCTGGAAGCCCCCCTGACATGGATGAAGGGTTGTCCTCTAAGTGATGTATAGAATATGTCATATTCTACATACTAGGTCAGGATGACCGTCTCCTGGCTCAATAACAACTAAACACTCGTGGGCTGTTGAACTAGGAACAGATGACAGCAGGGGCCAAATTACTGTTCGCGGTGCCTCGCCAAGAGCCCATCATCCGTCATCCTCAAGTCGGCCTTGAATTCGAGTGATTCACCCATTCGACGAGTTGTATGGATTGAAGTCTTCCTGGACAATGTTGAAATCTCGTATCTTGATGTTCGGAGAGTCAACATGCAGAGAACAACTTCCTGAACGCGACAATGGTGTCTTCAAGTCGTCGCGGTAATTGAAAAGGGAGATCAGAAGTCGGCGCTCCGGCCAACCCAACGGCGTCACAAACCACCGCCCTCCCGATCATCAACCTCGACCATCCCACCGCGTCGTGGCCACTGAAGCCATGGCGAATATCGAGCCATACAACCATATTGATCCTCAATTGCGAGCCTCTTCGTTGAGTAGTCCTCCGAATCCCCGCGATCCTCAGCATTTCCCAACCGGCGCCCCTGCTGCCTATTCGCCTCTACAACCGTCGCCCAATCCGTCCTTCCAGAGCATTCAAACACCCAACTACTACCCTACAAACCCCCATGCACAGGAAAGCCCCGACGATGGGAGTCCGTCAGGTAATCCCGCCGATCCAAATGATCTCAAGAGACCACGGGCCTGCGAGGCTTGTCGACAGCTCAAAGTCAAATGCGAGCCGGACGACAACCATCCGGCAGGTTCGTGCAAAAGATGCGCCAAGGCCAATCGACAATGCATTGTTACTGCTCCGAGTAGGAAGAGACAGAAAAAGACAGACAGTCGCGTTGCCGAACTAGAAAGAAAAATCGACGCCCTGACTGCCACTTTGGCTGCACGGGGTAGCAGCGAAGGTGATGGCGCGGTAGACCCGACCGTATCCCACAGTCAGACTCAGCCAACAAGACCCCCCGCGTATGGAGAACAATGGCATGGTCCTCCTCCGCCGGTCACAAGTCTGTCGCCACAACAGAGTCAACAAGGCGTAAAACGAAAGATTGCTGATTATGACTATTTTGGAGGTGAACTACACAAATCAGTGTCACCCTCATTCAAGTCAAATGGCCCGGCCTCCCATTATCAACCTGTCATGCCCGAGCATGTCAGGCCCAAAGTCGACCCGGACGAATTGCCTCCAGTTGACCCAGTCGAACGCGGAATCCTGGATGCCAATACAGCTAGGAAGTGCTTTGAGAGATATATGGCAGAGATGTGCGAACATCTCCCACTCGTTGTATTCCCCCCTGGCACCAATGCGGACGATGTACGAAAAAACAAGCCCGTTCTATTTCTGGCGGTGCTTGCAGTGGCATCGAGCACCATCAGACCAGACGCACAACAGAAGTTGATCAGCGAAATCACCAGAGCTCTTGCAGACCGCGTCATATTTCGAGGCGAGAAATCTCTCGAACTGGTTCAGGCCATTCAAGTGACAACATGCTTCTACCAGCCACCCGAGAAATATGAAGAATTAAATTTTAATCAACTCATCCACATTGCCGCTGTAATGGCCATGGACCTTGGTATGGGAAAACGCGCGAAACGTGGTGGCCCAAATATGTGGCGACCGTATAATGAAAACAAGCGTCCACTTGCCGATCCGAATAGTGCTGAAACTCGACGGTGCTGGTTGGGCTGCTATTACATGTGTTCCAAGTGAGTTTTCTTTGAATGATCTCAGTCCTCGGCTAACTCCATACAGTTCTTCCATGTCGCTACGACGACCATTACTTGTTCGATGGAGTGCTTATGCGGACGAGAGTATCGAAATTCTGAATACTGCGTCAGATGCACTACCATCTGATAAGGCACTATGCCATCTAGTCCACACTCAGCATATGGCTGAAGACATCGGCATGGAGTTTTCTATGGACGACCCTCTGTCCCAGTTGACCTTGACTGATCAAAAGACTCAGTACCATCTCAAAAATTTCGAGCGGAGGTTGAAAGACTTGCACGCCACTGCTAACCCTGAATTGTTGAAGAAGCCGATTATACAGCACAGCGAGGGAATCATTAACCTCTACATGCATGAAATCGCCATGCATCACAACCATAACATTGATGACTTTAGGCCGCCGTTCAACGCCACCCCAATTGAAGGACCGCCTGATCCTGATAATGTTACACCCGCTCATATTGAGGCCCTGACGACATGTATTCATTCTGCGCATGCTGCCTTTGAAGCGTTTTTGAGCATGGACGTCAAGATGCTCCGAGCATTGCCCACGCTATTCTTCGTTCGATCATCGTATGCTGCTGTGGCCTTGATCAAACTGTATTCCGCCGTTTCCGCGAAAGGCTCCAAATTTGCCCTCATCTTCAAGACCAAAGATTTAAAGGTCGAATACTATCTGGAACGAATGATTGATATGCTTACCAAGACGTCAGAGGGTGGCATGAGCAGGGTAGCCCACAAGTTCAGTCTCATCTTCAACATGCTCAGGAGCTGGCACATGAAGCGTATGGAGCCGATCAACAGCGGGAGCAATCGTGTCTCGCGACAGCACACTCCTGCAGGTCGGACTAACAGCCAGCCCATATACAAAGCCGTACCTCCGCAGCAAAACCCTGCAAGTCTCGGATGGAATTCACAGAACCGGTCATCGATGGATCAGAATGCACAAGCTCATCAACAACCACGGAACGGCCTCCAGATGCTCTCGGATGCAGCTATGGGACCAGGACCTGTACCTCCCTCAGTCATAGCCCCGCCACAGCAATGGATGCCGCCGATGAATCAACCGCCGATGTTGCCCGGTGTGACCGAGATGGGTATGCACAACCAAGGCATGATACCGTATGGCATGCCCCAAGAACTCGGACCCATGGATTTCACCAATGACGAACTCATGGCGTTTGGGTTTGGTGATGAGTTCCTTGCCATGAACTTTGGGTTTGAGCAGGGAAATTGGATATGATTTTGAGTGGTGTTGTGGACAACATCACCGCGGCAGGGTCGTTTTGTATGAGATGAATTTCCTATGTTGTGTCATGGTGCTGTACATATCATTTTTTTCATGCGTGGATGATCTTTAACGGGGTTGACGGCCTCCCAGAGCTTACCGGACTAGTTGATTGATGAATTTCGTTGTGTATGGTTAATGGTTTGATACTTACATGTTACCGTATGAAGGATGGTTGATAGTATTTAAATATGCTGGACATTTGGACCGAATCATGAATTGTCCTCTGCCTTTGGCCCTCTTACCTCTGATGTTCTTTCTTTGGCCGATACTAATTCATGCCTCTCAATGCTATCGATACCGATGCCTCCCTTCCCGGTTGCTTACCTTGTCTCGGCTCGTCCTGGCTCACGGACCGAAGGACAACAGTTTAGTTCTCCTCGACGACCAAGACCCATATGAGAGCGAGAGGGAGAGCACAGCCGTCGGATAAGATACCATGACCCGTTAGCAATTGAGAGAGTATAAGCCGGACGGAGGTAACACTCGTGGTACGAAGGAAGACATGTGTGAGGTTTGCTGACAGACAGGAGTCCAGATTGAACGATTGTGGTGGGATTCGATCAGTTGGTCTTGGTGAGCCAAGCCACACGGTTCGGCAGTTGTGTTATTATTTGGTTACTCATTGATCAAGGGATTTGGTTCAATACTAGGTAGGGACCATAGCATCTTATTAGACGGAAAAGTATTCAAGGACGGTGCAGCGTTGGAACAGTACCAAGGAGCTAAGCCGGTCATTCACCGAATTGACCACCCATCACCACCACATCCCACCACCACATTCCACCATAACCATCCTCACCCGGAAAGTCTATGGTTACTGTAATGTGCCAAATTGTACGGAGTGAGAGAGAGAGATGAGGAGGAGTGGAAGTTGAATTTTCTCCGGGTAATTCGTTGACAGGAACAGAGTATACAGAGTATAGAGTATACAGAGTGCTAATGCTATACCTACAGTTCTGGCTGTAGGTAATATTTACCTACTCGTCAACGTCTCGTTGGTAAAATAGGTCAAAGTCAACGTTTGGTTGGGTAACCGGGATAAACCCAGCAAAGCAGGGCTGTCAACATTACTAGTCATATTGTAGTACTCTATATCCAAGGGTTTGTTGATGGCGGAGACCTGCCGTGGAACTCCATTATTTACCCCGTAATTCGGTTCTCCGTCCGTATTGTACGGGGGCAAATACTATACAAGTCGGTACTGGTATTATTCATTTCCTAGGTACCCACGGAGTACGGAGTACTAGTTATTCCATGGACTGTGCCACTTTTGCGGAGTGCTTGCCACCGTACGGAGTACATGGAGGGGAATCCAACTAAAAAAGCACCACTCTTTTCCGCCATACCTGAAAGACCAATACAATACACCGGTACGATTACTCCGGTAGGTATCTTTTTTTTCACTTTACGGAGTAGGGTAACAATACAGTGCAAGAAAGAATAAATGGCGGACGATGCTTAGGAACAAACCTAACCTCACTGGTTCTGGGGGGAGTCTAAAAGTTAGAGTCGAGTCCATACAGGGGTCCCCTCCCCTTCGGTACTCGAAACCTACACGTATCTTTTTATGCTGATCTAGAGCATTGGCGTCTTGGGTTGCACTACTCGCTTTTAAGGGTAGTTGATATACATATTTAAAAGAGTACCTACCCAGAGAACTCCGCCCGCTCCCCATGCCCTTTTTGTGAGAAGTAGTCAGTTGTTCACGTGGCGAGAAGAGGAAAAGAGGAAAAGAAGAACTTGTCTTCCTTTTTTTCGGTCCTTCCAGGGATATCCTTTTCTAGCTCTACTCCTCCTATCTTTTGCATTTGTCCTTGCTGCCCATCAAGAACAGGACCACAATAACGCCGGTATTGTTTTTGATCAAGATCAAACGAAACTCGAAAGCAACCATGGTGGCCGCCACAGTCTCGGCCAATCCACTCAAACTCGATGTGAGAAGTCATTGGAAGTGTATTGCTATTTGTTTCGTAGCGACCTTGTCGACGTTCCAATATGGTATGTTTTGTTTTGCTTTTTGTGAACGACTTGACCTTTTTGTCACCGGACGAATCATGTAGCTGACGATATGGTTCTGTACAGGCCTCGATTATGCTCTTGTTGGAGGATTCCTATCGTATGTTGAACCGTCACGGTCGTATGAGACGAACCAGAGTTAATACGGAGTCTTTTTTTCTCTAGAATGCCTGGATTTCTCGAAGTGTTTGGGTACTATGATGAAGAGCTGAAGAAGTGGAACATTGACGTACGTGTTTTGTCCTCCCTTTCTCACATCCATCCGAAATATGCATCCCTACTTACACACACGTCTGGCAGTACACGGTCCAACAACTCATCTCTTCACTCATGACCATCGGTACATTCCTCTCGTCACTCCTCGTGGGACCCTTCAGTGCCAAATTCGGTCGACGACATGGCCTCTGGGCGGCCGCGATCCTAAACTACGTTGCGACGGCGATACAACTCGGCACCACCAGCAAGGCGGCGCTCTACGTCTCCAGATTGATCCTGGGTATATCCGTGGGCTGGTTCCTGACGTTCGCCCAACTCTACGTCCACGAAGCGGCCCCTGCCCACCTTCGAGGTGTCACTTTTGCCGTGTACCAGGTCATGCTATCGATCGGATCCATCGTCGGGGCGTGTGTCGATTACGGTACCCATACCATGACGAGCAGACGAGCGTACCAGATCCCCTTGGCCATCTTCTTCGTGGCGCCTACTTTGCAGAGTGTGCTCTTGTTCTTCTTCGCCCCCGAAAGCCCTCGATGGTTGTTCACCCAGCGCAAGGACGCCGAGGCTGAAAAGGCGCTTCGACGCATGCGCAACGCTCACATCGACGAGCTAGAGTTCCAGGCCGAACTCAATGAGATCCGGCAGTCGACCTTGGCACAATTGGAACAAAACAAGAAGGGTGCCTTCTTGGAGATGTGGCGTGGGACCAACCTCCGAAGGACCCTACTGAGTATTGCTGTCGTGTGCTTCCACTCGGCAAACGGGTGAGTGTTACCTCTTTTCTATTCCTCCCCCTCGACTCACTTTTGTACATTCCTTTCTCCCTCTTCCCTCCGTTTCCCCTTTGCCCTCCCCTTGCTAACAGCGTCGTCTAGCTCGTCTTGGGTGAATATCTATACGACGTACTTCTTACAGATAGCTGGCGTCAAGCAGCCGTTCTCATATTCCGTCCTTGTAACGTGCACAGGCTTGATTGGGGTGTTGGTGAGCTTTTTCTTCGTGAGACTGATTGACCGGCGGACGGTGATGCTTGTGGGGATCACCGCATGCGCCATCTGTCAGTTAATACCAGCAATCGCTTGGACAAAGAGTCCAGGCAGTGAATCGACTGGCAGGGTCGTCGTCGCTTTCATCGCTCTGTTTACATTTTTCTACGTCGCCTACGGTGAGTGTTTCCTTTCCTTCGGCTTCCACAACCAAGTAATCAGGCTGACCACCCCTGAATCTAGCTCCGTACGCATGGCTCCTCGGAGGAGAATACGTCAATAACCAGCTCCGTGCCTTTACTTTTGGCCTGGCAACGGCCATGAACTTCCTGGGCAACTGGGCAGGCACATTCAGCGCTCCTTACTTCATCAATCCTGCCAAGTTCGGCTGGGGGCCCAAGTACGGGTATATCTGGTTCGCATCGAACATTGTCTGTGTCATCTTTACTTGGTTCTTCTTGCCAGAAACCAAAGATCGGACCCTCGAAGAGATTCACGAAATGTTCGAGGCCAGACTACCTGCCAGGAAATTCAAGGGTTACGTGTGTGTTGGTGTAGAGGGCTACGCCGCCGAAGCAATGGGAGATGATCTTGCAGAAAGGAAGGGCATGCACGTCCAGGCGGCACACGTTGAGATGAGTGATACTACGGCTGCACCTGATAAGAGGGTGTGAGGGAAGCAAGTAAGGATTATTTAGGAGGCTGGCTGTGGATGGCTCTGAAGAGATCGATGTAGTGGTATAGCAGTATACGTGATGCAGACCATTCAGATTGACATTTGTGACATTTTGCATACACACAGTACATGTATTCCCGAGACATGGTACGCCGGTATCGTAATCACCCAGCAACTCTCCGACCATCCAAAACGACGTCCGAGAGGGGCCTACAGCCTTGCATCTACACCGGCTGGCGTCAGCATCGATGGACGACTTTGGGATATCCAAATCATAATTCCGTGGAATTTATTTTACCCCTTTGACAGCTGGGATCCATATTGTAGGGAGTCAAAATAACTGCCGTAGTCTGAAAAATAAAAGTCTGCCCTTGTCTGTGCTCGTCAATCTCGAGGTTTGAGTTTCGTTTGTACCCATTCCTTTCGCCTAATCTGCTCCATCACTAGACATGCTGAAGCCGATACGGCATGGATGGGTATAGCTTCTTGGACAATCTTTGGTCATCTCCAATCTTCCCCAAGTTATTTACTAGAGTACTGTAAAGATACTCGACGAAGATGGTCGTCAAGAAGTGTAACCAAGGAAAGGAGTCAACGAGTACCAATAATGGGTCAGGTTTACCCCTTAGGACAAGTATAGAATGTCGTACAGTTCGGCAGTTGTTTGTTCTCATTTGATTCGTTAGGGATCTGTCCCTCTGTCCCTCATTTTGAAAGGGAAAACTCCCTACGAATGGTAAAAAGAACATTTTTCTCCTCCGCGGAAGATCGGCACCGTTATGCTTTTTTTTTCCCATCTCGAGTCCTTGTTTGGTAACAGCTTCTCCGACTGCGATCATGTTCTTGTAAATATCTCCAACAGCTTGATACATTTTCTGCTATCAAGGCAGTTTGATCTTGATCTACCGAGGTTTGGAGAGAAATCAAGCCACAAATGCTTGGCCCGGAGTATTGCATCCCTTTTGATCGTTTCTTACCTTTTTGACTGACTCTTCTACCTTCGCTTTCGGTAACAGACATCTACTCAGACACTCCTTACCCAGACTTCGTGTTGTATCCAGGATATTCATCAAATCCATCTCGTAGTCTAGTCGCATAGCCAAGGAAAAAAAGACACATTGATGGTCCCGGACAATACCCATTCATGCATTTTGTATTGTTACTCAGTACATAGATTGATACTACTCGGTCCTTGAACATTTTCCAATCTGCTTTCTCGTTCAAATCCCATGCTATGGTAATGGCTATTACAGTATGTATGTACATACAGTATCGTCTGAGTGGCCCACAAACCTCTCCCTTGTTGGTCTCTCCGTGTTCGTTTCTCCTCAACTTCGGACAAGGAAACGCTTGGCCCCGTGGGGATCAACATCATCACCACCACCACCACCACCACTACCGTCACCACCCATGTCATATTTACTCGGTACTCGCTCTGTTGCTGCAGGTAGATACTCCCGTAAACACTCCGTAGACGCTCTACCGACTTTACCGACTTGCGGCTTACGAGACGAAAGATACCGTTTTGGAACCCACTGCCGTGCCCATGTCTTCCTCCTCCATTGTCACGTCCACTCTCCCCCTTCCCCACCACCTCCTCCTCTTGTCCTATGTTCTTTGCTGTACTCGTAGCTACTTACTGTTCATAAGCCTAAGCGACGAAATAGAAGAGCCCCACGAATGGTCCTCTTGCCTCGATCCATCGGCCGTCCTCTTCGTAGCCTTTAGCGTACAGGAAGTCAAGTAAAAAACAAAGTGGCACATGCCGTCAAAATAGCGCGTTTGTACTCGTTACATTCTCCTGTTCAAAATCCAGGTGCCGAACTTTGAGCTCAGGTTTCTTGTTCTAGTCCGAAAAAGACACAAACTGGCCAGAAAGTACAAGGGGCTGATTGTTTGAAAAAAAAAAGACTGTTCCATCTTGTCTTTTTTTTTCATATCCGTACTGTGTACTCGATACTTCAACTTCGTCAACTCACTACGGATCCATCTGCCTCTTGACGAAACTACAACAACCTTTCACAACTCTACAAACTTTTGCGACGGGAAGAAGAAAAAAAAATCAAACAAAATGGGCTCCATATCCCCCGTCAAACTACGACGCTCCCCGCTCAAGAACTCGGGGTCGATCGACCACCTCGAGTACGTCGACGTGACTCCCATCATCGGTCGCGAGTACCCGACGGCCAAACTCAAGGACATTCTCGACGCCCCCAACTCGGAGGATCAGATTCGCGACCTGGCCATCACCATCTGTGAACGCGGCGTCGTCTTCTTCCGGGCCCCTCAGGACGACTTGACCGTCGCCGAACAAAAGCACATCACGGACCTGTTGGGAAAACTGACCGGACGTCCCAAGGACCACGGGTTGCACGTCCACCCGTTGTACAATGACCCAAACAATATCCCCATGGCGGATGGCACCACCGATGAGAATATGTGAGCAACCACGTTTCATTTTTGTGTCGGTATCCGTGGCAATAACGACAACCGATTGTGTCCCCTTTTTTGTCTTCGCTGACCACTTTCGGTTACATTTCTAGATACGTGATCAATTCTGAAGCCATGAAAAAGATTTACGCAACCATGAAGGATCGACCAAATGCTCAATCGGAGCCCAGAGATCTCGGTCGAGAATGGCACAGTGATTGTATGTTTCCCCCCCTTCCCTCCCCCATCTCACCTCCTTTTTTTTCCCTTCTTTGCACACTCCTCCCCCCCCCTTTTTTTCCTTTGTCGATGTCGACAACATACTCACATCTCTGTGTCCTCGGATTATAGGTCTCTTTGAAGAATGTCCTGCCGACTTTAGCTTCCTCCGTATGCAAGATACACCACCTTCGGGAGGTGATACACTTTGGGTTTCTGGTTATGAATTGTATGTCTCTTTTTTTTTCTTCATCCCCCCGACACTGTCTCTCTACCTTGCCAACCATCCCTCCGTGTCTTTCCTCTCGCCTGACACTTCCCGACTCATCTGTGATCTGCCCAGATACGACCGCCTGTCGCCGCCCATGCAGGCCTTTTTCGAATCCCTCACGGCCACCTGCGCCCAACCCGTGTTCAAGTCCGCCACCGAGGCCGGGGGCTACGAGGTCATGACCCCCCGGGGCAGCCCCCTGAACACCGACCTCAACTTCAGCCCCGTCCACCCGGTCGTCCGGACCCACCCGGTCACGGGCTGGAAGTCGCTCTTCGCCGGCGTCGGCCTCCACGTCACCCGCATCAACGACGTCTACAACCACGAGGACCAGGTCATCCGGGACCACGTCATGAGGCTCATCACCCGGAACCACGACTGCGTCGCCCGCATGCACTGGACCAAGCAGGCCTGCGCCATCTGGAGCAACGCCTGCACCCTGCATGCCGCCACCGTACGTTGGGTCCCTCTGTCTTCTGTCTCAAAGCTTCCCTTCCCCCCTTTTACTCAGTTTCATGATCTCTGGCGAGCCCAGTGAAAACCTCCTTTTTGCCTCTCTTTTCCCCTTTCCTTTTCGTTTCTTGTTGGTCACGAGAGCTGACAAATTCATATGCAGCCCGATACTCATCTCGTCGACGGTGTCCGAACCGGCGTCCGCGCTTCGGGTGTAGGTGAGAAACCTTACCTTGACCCTGCTTCGACCGGGCGACGAGAAGCTCTGGGCCTGCCTAGGAATTGAAGATACACTCGAATCGTACAGGGACAATCGTGGCGGAGAGGAGAGACGTAGGGAAATGTTGACGCGGATTTGGTTTCGGGGTTGACGGGTTGTTGTTGTTTGGTACATTCGCCGCAGCGAGATTGGAAACCGAAAGATGACATTAGTATGAGTTCCGAGACCATCGTAAACACAAAATGACGGCAAAATCTAGCAGTGTCTACCATCATGTCAAACGTCAAGGCTAATTTCATAATCTTTTGTCGATTGTCATTTGCAATCGCTATCTAATTCGGAGTACTCGTAGAAACAAAAGCCCGTGGGCATCTTTGATCAATGATCAATGATCAATCTCTCTGTACTCCGAACAAACAAGCCCGTAGGCAATCCTGATGCCGTCAACGATCAACAAAGCCACACAGGCTACCCTAATCGATGTCCATCTCGTCATCCTCTGGACCACCAGCCTCTTCCCCTTCATCTTCATCTTCCTCTTCATCTTCCTCTCCATCCTCTCCATCGTCAACAATCTCCATCTTCTCGACCATGCCCGCCATGTCATCATCTTCCCCCTCCTCACCCTCTTCTGCCTCAGCCGCCGCTGCCGCATCGCGCTTGGCCTTGGCCTTGGCCTTCTTCAGCGCCTTCTTGCCCATTGTCGGAACACCAAGCTCCTTGACGGTCTTCAGGCACGCAACACATGTTCCATCGGTAACCAATGGAGAGACGGGATCCCTCAAGGGAAACCACTCGTCAGTCGGCGGCACCGCGGCAATACTGCGATAGTTGAAGGTTGCCTCATGTGCATAGGCAGGGTGCCATTCCCAGACGTTTCTGTTCTTGAAATCGTCGAGCGTCAACATGCTTGGGGGAGCTTGCCATTCCAAAACTTCTTCACCCATGCCAGCCGCCGTGAGAGTCTCCCTCATTGCCTTGAAGGCTGCCACCTGTTCAGGCGACAGGGGGGTCTTGTCTCGCGTCATATTCAATCTCATTTCCACCTTGAAGATTTCTCCTTGGTTCGAACCTTGAACAACACGCTCGTACCATCGGGTGTACACCTGCAAATCGTCCCATCCAACAATGATCCATCGACAATGTCGCAGGTGATGTTTCTGCACGGAGTTCTCTTGCAGGACAACCAACACCGGGTACAGGTTGCCAGTGTAGAGGCCAGGGCGGTCCTCTCTGTCGAGGTTGAAGAGTCCATGGCCCTTGGAGATGAGTAAGCATCATGTGTTTGATAGGATTCAAGGATCACTTACGCCAACGTCGGTCTTGCGACTGATTCTAAGGTAGAGATCGTGGAGCCTCGATGCCTTCGAAGCTGGAACCAAAAACGATTCGGACGCAACGGTGTCGTTGAAGAGGACTCGGACTTCAACGTACTTCTTGACTTTTCTAGCCACTTCTTCAGCCATGGGAGCTGCCATTTCCACGATGGGAACAGGAGATTTGTGGCGGGAGAGTGTCGAGACAAGAGAAGATACTGGAGGCAGTTGTGATGCAAGAGACGTCTTTCAAAGAAATGACTTGATGAAGACGAGCTTCAAGAGGGACGCGCTGATGGAAAGAGAAGAGGATGGACTGGTGAGAAAATATTTCGAGGAGAATGAGAGAATGTGTGAGTGTTTTCACTGAGACTTCACCTTTGGCGGTCAACAGAGATTTCGAGAAATATTTCAATCACTGCCAGCCTCGTTCACTGCATCTGCCACGCGGCCCCGCGTCCACACGTACCAGAGCAATTCACCGCTGGCCCTGTTTCCCTGTTTCATCACTTGATATATTAAACACCGCAAATTAATACTCAAATTCAGATGCATGAGAGGCCCAGTGGTAGCGCATGTAACCTGTCTTCTAGTCGATGTAGCCCGGGCCGATGATGGTCCATATTTAATGCTATGCATAGCTCAGATGAGGCAGGACTTCGCTACCACACGACTCTCTCATGACTCTCCTACTGGCCTGGCCAACCAGTAAGGAGGTATCAGCTGGTTCAATCCCAGTATAGGTGACTCCTGAATCACCTACCTTCATGGTTCCATTTTCTCAAACGGATTCTTCCATTTCAGAGTGGTCGCCGGTTCGAATCCGGCCTTTCCTTTTTGTTCTTCTTTTATTTTTGCAGTTTCTCAATGGTGGTGAGTGAATCACTTACACGTGATGCGTAGATTGCGATCACTGCGTACTGCGTGCCGCCAGGACGTTCACTCGATGCTGCTTTGGCGGTGACAATATAGTGCTAGCAGCCTCTCAGAAACTCACCAAGTAGGCCATCTCGAGATGATGGTGGAACAGTCAAGGTACTTCATTCGTACCTGTAAAGACTTGTGCCGTGCACTCTCGAGCTGCGGTAATGGTCAAGTCTGGGACACGTTTCTGGCAGTTCCTGTTATTGGCATACCAGGCCGGTCCTCGGGGCGGTGGACCGGCGAAATATTTCTCTGTGCATACGGACTCACCATGTCTTGCATGATATTCAACCTCCATTTCCGACGAATGCTGATGTTGTTCCTGGTGATGATCAACAACGAGGACGTGAAGATTGTTTTCGATTGAAAAGTCGTTCTTGCATTAAATTCTGCCGGTGATTACATAAGCCTTGGCAGCATACATGTACAAACATACTCCGTACACATGGTCCAGATTGCTCCGAGGTGGCCTTGGTAGGTGGCTAGACATCTAGGCATGGCCAAGTCTTCACTGGAGGCCCCGAATGAAGCGAGGAGGACCATGGTATACAAGAAGCAGCGTAGGTCGCCAGGATTCGTGGGCCAAATTCTTGCATCATCTGTCCAACTTCTCCTCCCCAGCGACACGGGCACATAGCAGCGTATCCTCTCTATCTCGCCATCATCCCTCCATCGACCACAATACTCGTACCGGTGACATAGTCAGAGGCCGGACATGCAAGGAACAATGTCGCCCCCCTCAAATCCATCGGCGCCCCCCACCGTCCAGATGGTGTTCTGTCGATGACGTGCCGTTCCATCTCTGGATACTGCTTGACCAGAGTTTCCGACAGGGGCGTCTTGATATACCCAGGACATATACAGTTCACCTGCCCGATCAAGTCAGTGACTTGGTACTTTGTCATCTTGGAGTTTATGCTCAGGAAAAAAAAGGATGCTCACCTGAATACCATGGACCGCCCATTCATTGCTAAATGCCTTGGTCATTTGCAGGACACCGCCTTTGGTCGAAGCATATGCAGAGACATTTGTCATTGCCACAAATGAAGTCAAGGATGCAATGTTGATGATCTTGCCGGGCCGTCCTAGCTTGATCAACTGCATGCCGAATTCCTGAGCAGCCACATATACTGCTTTGAGATTGACCGCGAAAATCTTTCAAGTCTTAGTCCTCGACGCTTCTGATATGAGAAATTCGGGTACCGACCAGATCGATCTTCTCGTCCGTCATTTCCTCGATAGCTCCTCTGCGGTTCAATCCCGCACAGTTCAGAAGTATATCAGGGACGATACCTGCATCCCAGATTTGCTTGAAGGTGTTTCGCAGGTTCTGCGAGTTGCTAACATCACATTCGAAGCTGACAATCTTGCGACCAACACCTCGAATGAGCTCTTCCAGCTTGGGTTGGGCAGGGTCATTGGGTGGGTATATTGACACGATATCAGCCCCGGACTCTGCCATGGCTAGACACATCTCTGATCCCAACCCTCCCGTCCCTGTTCATTGAATCAGGCTTTCTGTTTTAATCCACTAGAAGCTGGTGTGCACGACATACCGCCGGTGGCGATGACCGTCTTTCCCTCGAGGGAGAAGAGCTGTGAAGTCGGTATACGTGTTGGTGCTGAGGAAGCCATGTTTGAGGTCGATATGGAGACAAAGACGAAGTTGGACTCATCATCAGCCTGGCCTTCACAAGGCGTTGACTTTCTTTGGATAGAGTACCAACTCTCACTGCGTCCGAGGCCCGAGGGTTTGTTTCCCCAATCTTTTTCATGCGGAGAATTATCAAGAGTTCGGAGTTCGGATGTTCCCTCCGCGAAATGGTCGAGCCGCACAAGAAACATATAGGCAATCCACAAAATTACCAAGATATTGCAACATCATTCGGAGACTCCGGTTGGCAACAATCATGGACTTTTAGACCTTCGTGGATCTCCTTTTGCATAGTTTTTCGAGACGCTCGTTTGGGACTCGGACTCGGGAGACTTCTTCACACAAGCAGGGTCCGAGCCTTGTGGGCGTTCTCTCCTCGGGAGAGTAAGATTGACGCGATCAGGTCTCATGCCAGCATTATCCAGCCAGTTGCAGGCTTCCTCCCAGAAAATCCGACAGCCCTCGCCTTGAGGGCCTACGAATGGTAGGAAGAGCCCTGATATCTTCAACACTTCAGGCCAATTGCCCTTTGCCGTCGGAATTGTGCTTCCTCGCAGTTGTTCCGCAAACCACCATCTAAGAGGCCGGCCACGAGCAGTGACTCCTCCTAGTATAGTAGCCCAAAGCATCATATCAGGACTGGTTCGCCAATAGTCTAGCCGATCGCACTCATCGATGAGCAGCATCAATTTCCGAGAGGCGCAATCGTGGAATGGCAGAAGGGCCGGCATGAGGACGAGCGATTCGATGAGATAAACCGACAATGCGAGTCGACAGAGCATGTACGACTGGTCCGTGCTCGTTTCTAGTGAGAGGGCTCGGTGTTGCAGTACTCGACGCGCCAACACAAGATCCCCCAGTTCGACCGCTCCTCCACGTCCTTGCAGACACACAGAGTAATTGAAGAGGAGGTTACGGGTGCTTTTGACGAGGCGCAAGATTGACAAACCGTGACGTTTTGTGCAGAGGAAGTGAAACCCATCATCGCGCTGGGTGTTTGATTTATCCACGAGGAGGCGACGAAGAATTTGGTGTGGTGGAGGAAAGATAGGAAAGCTGGGTTTTCTCAGCGTTGAGAAGCTTTCAATCAGATCAATTCTAGTCATGTCAATAGATGTCATGTCGACCTGTCGGGGACAACATACATGAAAATCATTGCTGCTATTGACGGTATGGCAACGTTTTGAGGCCCACCTTTGAGCTTGGTCAGCTCAATCAGCGCATGAAAATGCTCCGGTACCCAGGGTTTGCTAAAGTAGAATTCGTTATCTCGGTAGTGTTCGAGAGTGGTCAACGCCTGCCTGTTGCTATAATCGGGCTCTCCGTTGATCGCCAGTATGGCTATGGCGAGTAGTAACTCGTCCGGCGGGGGTCCTTTCAGGGACTGGATCGATGTGCGCAATAGCGTCAGGGTTTCGTGGTAAGACTGAGTTCGAACCCGGTCAACCATGGTGCCAGGAGGACCGAGGAAAGACCTATAACATGAGCCAGCATAGATGATTGCTTGGAGTAGGTAAGGTGCGCCGATTGCGATCTTGACACTGGTCGCCTTCCACTTGTCGACAACCATGTTTTCGGCGGAGGTTGCATACGCGGGCCACTGGTGAGTGATGGCTGCTGCTTGTTAAACCCTGAGCTTTCAACCAGAAGGGGTGGGGGGGGTTGGGCCATTTGGATACCTACCGAATTGCAGCATCGATTGCGCACAGGCGGATATGCCAGTGATACAGCAGGCGTTGAAGGGTTCAATCTTTTCCGCAGCTGGAGAGGTCGGGATTACCGCCTTGTTTTGCTTCTTCTTGTTTGAGCGCCTCGACACCGCATGCTTTGTCCGCGGCCTAGCCGCAACGGTCTCCCGAGCGGGCCGCCTAGTTGGAGTGTGTGAAGCATCGGCCTGAATTCTTCGATTTCTGTGACTTGCCAAGGCTGTATGTTGATGTCTGTTGAAGAGTTGCTTGTTTCTTTCTTCTTCCGGCTGAGTACCTGGCTTCCAGATAAGGAAGGTGATATTGCTATCGGTTCTTGGAGGTGCCATGTTTTGCAAAAATCATTGTTGTTGAGAGAAGAACAGGAAACGACAATCTTGAGTGTGCGCGAGAGACCGAAAGGGATGTCTTCATGATAAAGAGTACAAGTCTGGTTTAGCCACCCCGTACTGGGGGTACAGTACCTGGTCAACCCCCCAAGAGTGATTCTGGTGGCTCCTTGAAACACTTCCAAGTACCGTTCTGGCCCTCCTTCGTTCCTCTAATCCTTGCCCTCAATTTTTCTATTTTTTTGGATGTAGCCTCACCGGTCCTGGTATCCGTACCCGAATGAGTAAAAGGGTTAAAAGGAGATAATCAGTCGGTGGCTTGCAAGGATCCCCTGCCTTTGGGAATAGCGAATTGGATGCTGGTTGTGAGACGCTTTCCTGGCGCTTTCAGCACTTGATGCCCCAAAGTGAAGAGGAATGGTGTCGGTTCGGATCTGGAGCTTGCATTTTGTTTATGTTTTTTGCTCTTTTATTGATCTGGCAGTGAGTAGTCGGTATTGCGACCCTACTCTCTGACGGTTTTCTCCTTGCGTCAGATTCCAGCCATCCTTTCTCCTTTGGTTGGTGTCGATCCCTGACCGAGCGATGATCAGGTACAGATGCAGTTCTTGGTGATGTCGGATTTCCGCTCATACTTGTACTCCATGATCCCCCTCCCTGTCCCCGAAATGCTTGTTTTCTTCACTTTGTTACGGAGTAGAAATGACACACTTTACCTTGGCATTGCGGGCGACTTGACTTGGTTGGGAAAAGGGATCAGGAGAGGTGTGTAACGCCGAAAAGAGGGGTAGTTGAGCCATTGCTTGATGGGAATATTAAATCATGGTCTATGATAAACTGCTACAGAGTTGTAGGACACAAAAGGGTGATGACGACCTCAGGAAGGGTGGTGGGAATCAATATGCATCTATAAGAATCATCAAGGTAGCCAGCGCTGTCAATTAAGGTCAATTAGGCACTGGTACTCCGTGTTAACTGGCCTATTTGATTATTAGATGCTTCCTTAGGTACCTCAAGGTGCTCCGTACTTCGGTCCATTACGTAGATCATCCCGCTTAAGAAGTGGTGATGTTAAGCCTAAGCCTTGCCTAAGCCTTTGCCGAAACATGGCCAGCCTCGCCTAGAAGACACCGACAACGTCCCCCACCACACTGCCGCTGTACTTGCAGTAAACACACTGAATATATCATATTGAGAGATCAAAAGACCAGTATCTTGTTCCCTGCTCAGGAATAAAACAGTAGAATGAAGGTATTTCTGGCCAGCGATAATGTCATATAAATCCTCACCAGCGGTATCGGTGGATAGTACAAGTGGCAGAAAATTTTCACATATACTATCCGTACATACGGAGAAGCCCCGACCAAGTTACATTTTTGCAGAAAAACTAATATTAAATAGCACGCCATTTTTCGGCCACATACGGGAGTATGATTACGGACCTTTTATGATATCTTGTGTCTCCAGGACTGATTGACTCTTTTCGAAATCCCCATCATTTTCCTTTCCCACATCGTCGTCATGGCGCCATCACCAGCGACTGGAGCCAAACATGTACAAGAGACTTCGGTGGTCGGAGAGGCGGACGAGGCACAACTTCGATCGCCATCTCACGTCGATGACAGTGACTTTGTGACCACGAGAGAAGATCAGGATCTTCGTCGAGGCTTGCATCAACGACATATTGGGTTGATTGCTATCGCCGGGGCCATCGTAAGGAACACAACCTCCAACCCCTTACCTACCCAATGTTGTGTACTTGTTCCGGAATCTGATGGCTCACATTACTGCGCGCATATATATAGGGCACCGGTCTCTTCCTCGGTCTCGGAGGGTCGATTCAAACCGCTGGCCCTCTGGGCGCTCTCCTGGGTTACGCCACCGTCGGTCTCATCGTCTGCGCGGTCCAATTCGCATTGGGAGAAGTGACGGCTTTGTTTCCTGTCACTGGAAGTTTTGTGCGACATGCCGAAGTACTGATCGACCCGGCGTTAGGGTTTGCCATTGGGTATGTTTTTTTTCACATCCTACACGTCTCTCACGTCACATCTTCCACGAACTCGAGAGATTGTACGTACGGAGTGTTGAATCTCACAATAATGAAACCCTACAGGTACAACCTGGTCTACGGCAATTGCCTGTCCATCCCGACCGAGATCACGGCGATATGCGTCCTGTTTCAATACTGGACGACCTCGGTCAACTCTTCCGTGTGGATCGTCGTCTTCATCTGTTTGACCGTCATCGTCGGCATGTCCTTTATAGGTATCTACGGCGAGGTCGAATTCTGGTTCGCCCTGCTCAAGATTTTGTTCATTGTATTCCTGATCCTCCTGGGTCTGGTCATCGACCTGGGTGGTGTCCCGGGCACCCCTCGAATCGGTTTCCGGTACTGGTCCCATCCGGGACCGTTCGTGGAGTACATCGGCAGCGGGAGTTGGGGGAGGTTTTTGGCCTACTGGGCCGTCATGAGCAACGCCGTCTTCAGCTTCGCCGGAGTCGAAAGCATCGCCATGGCGGCGGCCGAAACACGGAACCCGCGCGTGGCCATCCCAAAGGCCTGCAAGAGGGTCTTTGTGAGGGTCGCCACGTTCTACGTCCTAGCCGTCCTCGTCGTCGGCATGCTCGTGTCGAGCGACGACCCCAGGCTGGACGACCAGTCGGGGACCGCCGCCCAGAGTCCCTTCGTCATCGCCGCGAGCGCCGCGGGCCTCAAGGGTGTCCCGTCGGTGGTCAACGCCGTCGTCATCACCTCGGCCTGGTCTTCGTCGAACCAGGCCTTGCTCTCCGGGACCAGGGTCCTGTACGGTCTCGCGTTGAAGAGGCAAGCCCCCCGGGTCTTCCTGCGCACCACCCCTTGGGGTGTCCCCTACGTGTGCGTCCTCCTGTTCACGGCCTTCATGTTCCTGGCCTTCATGAGCCTGTCGGAGAACGCCCTGACCGTGTTTTGGTGGTTGGTCGACTTGACCGCCTGCGGCGTGCTCGTGTCTTGGATCACGGTGCTCGCAAATCATTCGCGGCTTATGCTCGCGATGCGCTCACAGGGAATCCCACTCTCGAGACTCCCGTGGCACACCAAGTTTACAGGTACGTGTTTGTGTTTCCAAATCAGCGAATATTAATGTCACTTCTTCCTTCCCCCCCAAGAAAGGCATCATTGACTTGTTGTCGTTCATGTGCTTGTCTGTCCCAAGGCTAATTCATTCAAATCCTTGACTGTAACAGAATTCTCTACACCTCTGGCACTGGTCATGTGTATCATTATTCTCTTCACTGCCGGCTTCCCAGTCTTCACAAAGGGTAATTGGTCAACGAGTCGCTTCATTTCTTCATATCTGTACGTCTATCCCACCGTCGAGGAACCTTGGGTCCGTCAATCTGCAGGGTATAACACTAACCTCTTTCCTTGCCTTCACAGAGACATTCCCCTCGTCATTACAGCCTTTGTGCTATGGAAGATCATAAAACGTACGAGAATCGTCAAGCTGGCAGACATTCCTCTCACAGAGGCTCTTGAGCGAGCCGCCGTCGATATCGAGGTCGAGCCAGAACTTCCATTCTGGCGAAAACTCGTCGGGGCTCTTTGGGACTGAGAATTGGATATCGGCTCACTAGGAAAAGTTCCATGCGGCACACCCCAGATTCAAGATCAGCGTCAAGTCAACATGATCAAGCTCCCGAGTTCCTCCATGACCTCTCTCCAATCCACGGGCCCAAGTCCCTGATTCGACGAGAACGACGACGACGGTTCATCTGGAGGCAACTGCCGATCGACCCTCCTCCAGATCTCCATGGTCAAATGTTTCGCGCGTGGGATGTTCCCTATACCCTGCCTCGCCGCTCTCGAAAACCATAGCAACGCACGATGCCTGAGGTCGACATTCACAGCCTCCGCAGCAGCCACGAACGCAGGCCACAGCGTGTTCGCAGGCCGTACATCCGTGCCTCGCGTGAGACAATCGATATTCTCCAGCCGTTCGAGGATCTTGTCCACATAGCGCTGGCAGTTGGCATCACTGTTGTCAGCCTCGATGATGTTATGCTGCTGCTGCTGTTGCTGCAGTGCAGCTGACAACGTCGAGAAGACGCGGTAATAATACACAATGACGGCATAGTGGAAAGCCCACTGGTGATTCTCCATGAGTTCATCACATATGACACCTGGAAATAGCGAGCGTGGCTGCGTCGAGGATCCAAGTGAAGCCACTGTCGCGCGACATTCCCTTGAGTCCAGCCTAGGTACCATCTGATGGCCCGAGACACTAGGTATGAAGGATGCAGGGTTTTCCGCTATGCGATGCAATTGGTTCCTTAACGCGCCTACATCCTGACTCAGGTCATCTGGCCAGCGTGACGATCTCGCTTTATGTTGCGCGCACAACATGCTGAGTCTGATGGTGCGATGGAGCAACGACATGGTTCGTAGACCGATGCCGAACGTCGTGTCGAGAATGTAATGGCCCTGGTACGGAAAAACGTCTTCGCGAAGAGTAGCCGTGTCTAATAATCCCTCGTTCGCAGACTCGTCGCTGGGTGATTCAGACTGGTCGCTAGCAACAGAACCAGTAGACTTTTGCGACGAGTTTTGTGAAGACGGATCATTTGGGCCAGAACGAGTCGTCGATGCGACCATGTCGTAGCACCGAAAGATCTGATACAATACACTCGTCTCGTGTGTCGATGTCCAAAACCTCTCGCCTCCAGTCTTTTGGACGATCCGCTTAGCCATGTTGACGTTGACGTTACAGTCGAAACCGTCGTCGCCGAACACGTCGGTCGAGATCAGACTCATGGCCGCAGCTAGGGATGCGCATCTGTCGGAAGTATCCTTTTCTTCCATGCAGGAGTGCACCAGGTCCTTGAGAATCTCCGCTGCTTTGGATCTGTAGTGCACGGCTCGCTGGTCATCCTTGTGGGCGCGAGGGTCGTCGGCCTGTGCGAGGTTATACGCCGCTACTGACATGAGGGCGTACCGCAAGGCTAGCTGAGAGGCAGTGGGCGGATCGCGCATGGCCATTGGCAGGTAAATCTGCAGCCAGGGGTTTCTCACAATGTCTATCGTTGGCATCATAATGTGACATACCACCTTCTTGTAGTGGAGCAACAGATCATAGTCCTTATAATCACTGCCCACGGTTGCCTGCTCGTTCTGGTTGTCCAGCTGGTTGTCCACCAGGGTCAGAGCCGTGTGAGATGGGACCCCATCGTTATCGAGTCGCTCGGACTGGATCTCTGAACGTGGGATGAGGTCTTCCCATGAAGTGGGTTGGCCGTCTTCGGTGGCCGTAACATTCGAAGGGGTACTCTGTGACCGGCCACCTACATGCAGCGGAGACCTGACCTTGCTTTGGTGAACGGCGTACTTCTCTCCTGGAGACCTGGTACCAGCATGAAACTGTTGCTGGAAGGGTATCGGCGACTGCGCCAGAGCAGTGTCAGGAGCATCGGAGAGGGCAGTAGTATGCACGTCGTGTGTTGCTATCCTTGCCTTGGATTTCGCAGCATCAAAGTCCAAGTATCCGCGACATGCATAGTGCCGTGACTTCTCACAGTTCGAGCAGACAGGACGTCCTCCATCACACTGTCGCCGTTAGTCACGACCAGAGTAATCCAGCAACACGGCCGTATGACTTACCTTGATCTTTCTGTCACGGCAGGTCAGACAACCCTTAGGTAGTTGGCAGACGTCAGCAAATGCCTGAATGCATAGCTGCACATTTTTTGATGATGAGAATTCCACTCACAGTATATGGTCTCCCCCTTCGCCGCTTCTGCGGTGGTTGCGGGCTGTAGTGATGATCGGGAGGCAGGTAGCTGAAGTCAAGAAAAGGGACCGCATAAGTGTCTCCTGGCAGATCAGAAAATGACCAAGCATCGAAGTCGACATTGTCTGGTAGCCAGGGATGCTGCTCGGTCTGTTCGAACATCAACCGCTGTGGTTGTTGGGTATTGGTGTCTGGCGGTGGTGAGATGTTTTCCATACTTGATGTCACCGTTGAGCGGCCTTGCTAGAATCGCTCGAGTCCGCCGAGGCCAAATTGAACTGTGATAGTAAAGTATCACTGTTTCAAATGTGAATTCCCAGCAGACCAGCTTTGTGTGTACCGTAGTCGTGATACTGAGAACTTTAGTGGAGTCATGAGAGTGCGATCTGAGCAAAGAAATCGTCTATGTTGAATCTCGTGCCCTACATTCTACACCGTGTGCTGATCTGCAGAATATGGATGCTTGGAACTCTTGAGAGACTAACTGTACTCTTAGGGTAGCCTAGTACAATATCATGCGGTGCTGGCTGCGCAGACCAGTAGACTGTCTACCACCCAAATCCGTCTCCGCGTCCACACCTGAACGGTTATCACGCTTCAAATCCAATCATTGTTCGCATTCGGCCCGAGTTTGTGGATCTTCCCCGGCAGCGACAGTCCGAGATTGATAACGCGGGATGAGCTGGAGTAGATCTGAACACCTACGTATTCTACCTCATGAGATGGAGGTGTGTGGATGACGTCTGCATGTTCTAATGGATTGCGATATGTATGAATTGGGTCGAGAGAATGATGCGCAAATCTATATCTGCCATTTGCTAAGTATTTTTGGATGTCTTGAGTTATCTTGGATTCCGCCAACTGCAATGTGAAACTCCATTCCCTCCATCGCTGCAAGCATAATCTCACACACCTTGCGTACTGTCTCATTCTTTGATGCTTGTGATAGCATATGATGATCATATGAGCCTTTAGGCTTGGGAAGCAGCACTCGCCTCCTTTTCAACCTGGAGCATGGCGTCTTAGCCTTGCTTGACGGCTGTTTCTGGATGACCTTTGCTAGCAGTGGTGTCCTTAGCCTCAACAACGACCGATCCGTTATGTGTAGCTTGACTGGTAGCAGCGTCCTTCGGTTCGGCTTTGCTGTTGGTACTGCCACTCTCATTGTGTCCAGCCACGCCAGCATTGTGAGACACTGCTCTTTTCTTGGCTTCACGTCGATTCTTCCAGTAGCTTTTCTTGGGAAGCTTGTTCGACGTCACATGGGCACTTGCTGGGGAGGTGTTTTCCTTCTCGGAGCCTGTGGCATTGCCAGGGGACTCGCCATTTGAGCTTGACTGTGAAGGTGAGTCTACCGCCTTGGCATTGACGTCCGCCTTTTGAGGAGTTGCAGATGTGGACGATTCAACCTTGCTATTGCCCAAAGCCCCCTTGATACCCTCACTGGTAGCACGAACACGACTGTTCCCGTTGGTGATGTTATGAGGTTTCTGGCCGCTGTGAGTGTTTCGACGTTCCGCTTTGCGATCACGGTGAGCCTGTGTGAGAGCACGGTGTGGTGGGACTTGACTCTCGCCTTGCATGTAAGCAACGGCTCGGACAATGATATCTTTGGCCTAAGACATGTCGTCAGAAAAGATTGCATGACGTTCAGACTAACTCACAATGTACTCTGCATTCAATAGCTGAATCAAGTTGGTGGCTAGATGGGCCAGCTTTGTCGTGTCTTTGTCCGATTTGAAGTGATGGGTCTTGTCAACATTACGTGCATTTTGCATCAGATCACGAATCTCGTTCTCAGTAGCAGGGTCGAACTTGTAATTGACATGGGATCGAGTTGTCGACATACCCTTTCCACGGTTTGCAGATGTAGCAAGCGTGGCAGGAGTAGCACCCAGCGTCTCTTGGGAGGGAATGTTGTCAGCAGTGCCGTTCTCATTAGCTCCGGGTTCAGTCATGGTATCTGCAGCCGGTGGTGACTTGACGCCAGTCTGAGGGGTAGATGCTATTTCAGTCATGGTAGACAGCGGAACAGCCTTGAATGTGAAGTCTCGCGGAGGTAGTGGCGTCAGGTGCTGGACTTCGAGATGGAAGAGAGGAAACACAACAGTCACCTACGTCTGCTTCGATCGCAGTGAACCCAGGTGACAACAATGATGAAGGTCAGAGAAGAGGAACTTGAAGCAGTATGTGGGAAAGAGAAGGGCAGCAGTTGTGTATTTGTAAAGTTGGCAAGTAGGCATGGCGACGTCTTGTTACAAGATGCAGGCACGATTACCTGGAAGTAGTGTCTGACGCCTGCCCAGGTAGAACAAAGAAGGTGCTGTAGACAGCCGCAAGTCAAACGGCATCAAAGGAAGACAACAAGGCAAACATGCGGAAAGTACTCTTGGAATTGTTTGGACTTGTTTTGGGCATTCTCTTTCCATTTGAGGCCATATCCTAAGGCTGGCAAGCAGTTTGCATCAAGTCTGAAGAAGCTCACCATACATGTTTGCTAAAGCAAATGTGATGCCCTTCGCCAATTGATATGGTGTCTGCTGCGAGCCGACAACGCACTATACGTACCCATGATGGCATGTTCCTTGCTTGTGATGGATGAATGTACTCGATGTCGTGGAACAAAATTGAAGTTCTAGAGGTGAAGCACCTCGGACTGCAAAGTCCGGCAGTTCGGGATAAAGTCCGACCTCCGATTGACTTACCTGGAGACTGCGCCCTTCACCATCACGACGGATTGCTTTAGAACCTTTCAATCCCCCACCATCACGAGTCCTGCATTGCAACTGTTCTCATTTTGCACACCATGGCAGGGTTATTGAAGAAGCCTTTCAAGCTGGCTCTCATTCAGCTAGCCTCAGGTAAGTGGTCAGTGACATTACCGGTCCAGCCATGGGAATAGGTCTAATGTATATATTCAGGTGGTGACAAGACGGTGAATCTTGCACATGCGCGGTCCAAGATAGTCGAAGCAGCCAAAGCCGGGGCATCGCTGGTCGTGCTCCCAGAATGCTTTAACTCGCCGTATGGTTGCCAGTATTTCCCGAAATACGCAGAGACCATTCTGCCGTCTCCTCCTTCACCAGAAAAGTCGCCGTCATGGCATATGTTGTCATCGGTAGCAGCAGAGACCAAGACATATCTGATAGGAGGGAGCATACCGGAATTTGTTCCAGAGACGAAAGAGTATTTCAACACCTCGCTGGTCTTCTCGCCGACAGGGAAGCTTGTGGCCACACACCGGAAGACACATCTATTCGACATAGACATTCCCGGGAAGATCAAATTTAAAGAGAGTGATGTGCTCACCGCGGGTAACAAGGTGACTATCGTTGACTTGCCAGAATATGGTAAGATAGGACTGGCCATCTGCTACGATGTTCGATTCCCGGAATTGGCCATGATTGCAGCCAGGAAAGGAGCATTCATGTTCGTCTACCCCGGCGCATTCAACACCACAACCGGTCCGATGCACTGGTCCTTACAAGCACGCGCCAGAGCCATGGATAACCAGATCTACGTTGCCATGTGCAGTCCAGCACGAGATATGGATGCAACATATCATGCTTATGGGCACTCAATGGTTGTCAATCCAAATGCCGAGGTCGTGACAGAGGCGGACGAACACGAGGTGACTGTTTACGCTGACCTTGACGGGGCAAAGATTGAAGAGACGAGGAAAGGTATTCCTATTTATACTCAGAGAAGGTTCGATGTCTATCCTGATGTGAGTGCTGGAAAAGTACGCTTCGAGGACGAAAGCGGGCCATAGATATGCCATGGACGAGAAATATCAAATTCCCTCCATACCTCAAATATGGATTCCACTCAGACCATAGGGAGCAGAAGTTGCCCATTGAACAAATTGCGCATCTTGTCTATAAGACCCGCCGTTGTATTTAGTGTCTTACAGCACTCCAAAAGTCTCATCACGTGAACGAAATCTTGGCCAAACTTGCCGATTTTGGAATAGCCCACACTTTGGAATCTTCAACTTTCAGTCTGCGCAAACCAGTAGGTTTTGTCTTTTGTCGCAGTTCAACAACCACCTTTTTGTCGCCCAACTTCCAACAACCTCCCCCTGTCCATCTTCTTCAGATGTAAGTAATCTTCCATTTCTTCTACAGCTGGCACGATCTCTCCATCCCCGGCCAACCGACGCAGACTTGAACACTGACGAAAACCAAACAGCACCGCCAAAATGGTCAAGGACAACCCAAAGACTCAGCCCAAGAAGACGGGAGCACCCAAGAAGACTCGATCAGCCATCTCCGATGTCGTCGCCCGCGAATACACCATCCACCTCCACAAGCGAGTATGTTTTAAAATCCTAAAGTGATACCTTAGTTTTGCACCTGCGTTTGGAGCAATGGGAGAAAAAAAAATTAAAGAGGAGGGACAATCAGTTTTATGAAGTCCACCCGAATGGCTTGCGCCCCCTTGACTCTCTCTCTCTCTCTCACACACACATACCCTTCTCTATCTCTCAACATGAACCAAGCATTTTGGACGGAAGACTGATTTTATACACTTTTTGTGACATAAAAGGTTCACGGTGTGAGCTTCAAGAAGCGAGCCCCTCGTGCGATCAAGGAGATTCGCAAATTTGCGACTCAAGCCATGGTACGTGATCTGAAAAGCATTCCGTCAAGTGGTCCAGCCACGACGAATTCGAATCCACCCAGACTAACGTAGAACAGGGCACCTCGGACGTCCGCCTCGACCCTCAATTGAACAAGAAGGTCTGGGAATCCGGCATCAAGGGAGTCCCCTTCCGCCTGCGCGTGCGCATCAGCCGTAAGCGTAACGACGAGGAGGGCGCCAAGGAGAAGCTGTACAGCTACGTCCAGGCCGTCAACGTCAAGAACAAGGAAGCCAAGGGCCTGCAGACTGTCGTCGTCGAGGACTCGTAAATCAAATCAACCGACCCACAAACGAGAGGGGGAAAAAAAGAGCGCCAACGAACGGAACGTCAGACCACTGGCCGGGGATGCTTTCTTAATCGGGGATGTTACCGTGAAGCAGGGGCAGCCTTCTCAAATTGACGGATGGCGGATAGATATGTGATTGTGCGGCCATGCGGGGGGGAACAACGAAGAACCGCGCGGTTTGAGACCCTGTTGTGGTCGGAGCACGGGGCGCACAACGTGAATGGTACGAGGGAAATCTCAACCTTGGGGATCTTTCGTTTGGAGAGATGGGACAATATGGAAGGCTCTGTTCTTTTTTTCTTTTCCACAATCCAAAAGAAATTAAGACCTCAGAGCACCCTCCATGATTATGGGAGTTGTTAAACTGCTCTACGAGTTACCATACCTACTTAGCATTGCAGCGAAATGTTATGAAAAAAGCTTCAAATCAAAAGAAATCAAAAACGATATAAACCTTCCAGGTTAGATCAACATCGATCTAAGTATTCTCCTGTTTGTGCGTGATAAGTGGCATTTACCAGTCGTATAAGGATAGCAATTCCGTATAAAGCTCGTCAATTACGGCCCCCCAGCAGACATGTTTAATGACCCTTGCTTTTGACACATACATTAATTTTTCCTCATATCTACGGAGTATACCAACTCCTCAAAAGTCTTCTTGACCCTCTGAGGCAAAGTCCAGTCCAGTCAATTGAAGATAGATTCACCCAGCCCCCGGCCAGGCCCAAGGGCACTTTCCTTCCTGTCCGTCACCCCCTATACGGAGACTCGGCTTCCCGTTCCGGCTTCCAACGAGGGGCTTGTAAAAGAAAGAAGAGGAAACTCGTTCTGTTGTTCTGTACAGTATTGCAAAAAAAAGCCAAGAACTCCTCCGCTGTGCATTGTGGGGGAAAAGTACAAGAGCTATAAAAACAAAACACAAAAGTAGTCAATGTTGACAAAGAAAAGAGATTAATACAAGAAATATAAAATCAATTCGACTTTTTGTTCTCCTCCATGGTGGTCGAGAGTTCGCTGGCCATTTCTGGAGTCTTGACCTTGAAGACCCATCGAGCCAGGTTTCCTTTGTAAAAGAGAGCACCACGGACGGCGCCGCTCTTGTTCGACGCCACGTTCTCGTACGTGACGCTGTCGAGAAGGTGGGAGTTGATGAGGACAGAAGCACTAGGTTCTACTCGGAAAACGACGCGTGTTTTGCCTGTTGTCTTGTCCTTAAGGACACGGAGAACACCAACGCCCATCGAATTCCAATCATTCGGGGTCAATTTGGTCCCTTGGGCGATGTCCTTGTTGACAAACATCAAAGCTTTCGAGCGGCCTTCCCAGAGACACGTTTCGTTCTCTTCACCTGTTCGTGAATCCATCAGTGTCACTTGTGGCTCGTCATTCGTTTCTTCCGTATCGTTGGTAGCATTAGACTCGTTATCTGTCAAGCCAGGTGAGGTGGCACGAGAAGACATGGCAGAGCTCGTGGCAGATCCGCCGCCAAGATGCGTGACAGCACCCAGAAACCCTGGAGCTGGTGTTGAAGTTGGAGCCCCGAATTGAAATCCAACAGTAGGTGTATCTGAAGGTTTCGCGCCCGGAGCCGGCGTGCCGAAAAGAGATCCAAATGGCTTTGGCGTCTCTTTTCCCGGCGACGGTGCGGTGAACTTGAAGCTAGGTGCATCAGCGTTTTTCTCGCCGTTCGCGAAGGAAATTGCGCCACCCTGTTTCCAGGTGTTGTCAGTTCCCGCGGGCGAAGTTAGCACTGATCTGGCCAGATTACTAGACTTCTCGCCATTACTGGGCGTGCTTGGCCGGGAGCCAAATAATCCTTCACCTGGGACAGGACCCTCTTTGGTCAAACCACCAGCAAATATGGAAGCTCCTGGAGTTGGCGTAGAAGATGATGCTGGCGGTGTCGGAGTGAAGGTGAAGGTAGTGGAAGGCTTGTAAGTACCAGTAGCCGGAGTGTTAGGTGAAAATGAGGGGGTCTCAGGGGTAGACTTGCCAGCTTGAAATCCAAAGCCGGAAGATGAGAAAGTGGGCTTGTTTGCTGCTTGTGCAGTGGGCGCTTCATCTGTCGAGGCGTTGGTGTTCTCCTCAGCATTTGATGTAGAGTCTTGCTTGTTCGGATTCGGCTCGATTCGATCAAACAAGCTCCTGCCTGCATTTGCACTATTCCTAGACTTCGCCATAGCAGTCTGGAAATCGTTGTCATCATCGTCATCATCTTCTTCTGCCTCTTCATCATCATCGTTTTGAGCTTCCGTGCCTTCATCTTCCTGAGTCTCTTCATCGCCATCTTCGTCGCCGCTGGCTGGTGACGCGCTAGCCTCTTCATCTTCATCTTCAGCCTGCGAATGGTCTTCGCTGGTTTCCGTTGAGTTCAGGGCTGCAAATGGATTCGAAGCAGAGGGCTTGAACCCGCCAAAGGTAGATGTTGGAGTTTCGTCTGCTTTTGGCTGGGTTGACGGAGCCGACTTGGTCGATGGAGTGAACGATGGGGTGAAACCCCCTTTAGCAATGGCATCAATCTTAGCCCGCTTAGCTTTCGCCTCTTCATCAAGCTGCTTCTGGAATTGTTCCTCGTCATCTTCATCTGAATCAAAATCTTCAGCTTTACGCTTCTCCATAAGACTCTTCTCAAATTTTTCTGCGTTGACTTTCGCCTGCTGACCAAAAGCACTCATGAAATTTGTACCGCCACCCCCAAATTTTGGAAGTTCGAAAGTCGGTTTCTTTGGTGGTGGTTTCGTGGGTGTAGTCGAAGTTGACGAGGCCAATCCAGAACTGTGGCCAGTACTCTGGGTCTTCAATGACGCGAAGGGGTTAGCAGCAACGCTTGAACTCGTCTCCTCGGCAGCAGCCGATGAAGCGCTCGGATTGAACGCCGTAGCTGCCTGCGCACTTTTGGCTGGCGCAGACTGTGGAATCATGTTGCTGAGCAAAGACGCTGCCTTGGATGAAGACTCTGCGCCCGAGGGTGGGAAAAGAGTAGTTGACGCAGCTTTGAAGCTGGAGGGCTGAGGTGTAAAGGGGCCACCGGAAGGTTTAGGAATAGATGCAGGTTGTGGAGGCTGGGCTTGTTCATTGTCACCAGGGCGAGTTCTCTTGCTGGGAGGTTCATCATCGTAATCATCGACGTCGTCACCCTTGCGTTTAGTGCCCGCGAAGCTTCTCTTGTAGAGGCCCAATGAAGCACCAATGCCGTCGCGTGCTGCAACATAATGTCGAATTATATTGCCAAAGTCATGAACGGAGGGGTCCAACGCAGCAATTCTTTTCTGCAACTCACGATTCAATGAGTGCAGACGATAATCCCGGTCGTATTCTTGAAACTTCTTTGCGTCAAGATGGCCAGGAAAAAACGGAGACCCTTTCGTGTACACCGGATGCTTCGAAGGTTCCGCCGCTGAGACGGTATCTGCTGCTTTCCCAGCTGATCCTTGGCCTTTGATGGTCGTGCTGTCCTTTGAGAAGATAGATGGGCTAGTGGTATCTTCAGTGACTTTGTCTGTGGTGGGTGCTGAAAAAGTTGGTGCAGGACTGGGTTTCTCCGTTCGAGGGGTCTGCTGAGCAGGAGCACCGAACAGTGGTTTCTGGATCGAGCCCGACTCTTTAGAAGGTGTGTGAGTCCTAGGGTATGAACGAGGTTCGGTCATTCCACCAAAATTTACACCCTTTGTTGAATCCTTTGCAAGTGCAGAGAACTGAGACATTCCTTCTGGCTTGTCATCTGGCTTCGCAGGAGGAAATAGCTCTCTAATCGGTGCAGGCGAAGCAGATTGCGCGAACCCAAACATTGGCTTTGTAGATGTGGTCTTATCCTCCTGTCCCTTGCTCCATTCTTCTCCAACACTACCTCCCACGGTTTCTTGAGGTCCCCGAGCGTTGGGCGTAGATTCAATTTGTGCAAACGAGAATGTCGACCTGGTGTCTGATGATTTTGGCTCTGTGGTACCTGCAGCTGGCGTCGATGCTTGGTTGATTGCACCGAAGCTGAATGTTGGCTTTGATGGCATACTGCTCGACCCCGTCGCGTTGTGGGTTGGCGACGTCGAAGGTGCGCCAAAGCTGAAAGCCGGTTGCGAGACGGGGGCAGGTGATGCACCGCTAGAGCCAGCAAATAAACTTGCGAATGGATTTGTGGCACTTTTCTCTGGTTCTGGAGTAGCAGCTTTTTCTGGGGATTGACTGCGCTGCTCGGTGGCTGCAGATTGTGGGGTAGTCGTAGACGAGCCAAACAATGAAGATGCAGGTTTTGTCTCTCCACTCTTTGCACCAAAACCTGTGAAGGATGTGCTCTGTGCTGCAGATTGTTGTGTCTGGCCGAATGAGAAGGTCGACGCTGGTTTACTTGCTGGAGTTGCAGCTGGTGAGGCAAATCCGAAACCGGGTCCGCTGGATTGACTTTCTGTCGTTGCAGGAGGCTGACCAAAAGAGAATTTCGGTGCTTCTTTGGGCGCCTCGGGTTGTGTTGTAGTGCTTGCTTGTCCAAAGGAAAATGCAGGCAACGCAGATTGAGGGGTCGCGGTAGTTTGGCCGAAGCTGAAGCTAGGGGCTGTTGTAGCAGGAGCTGGAGTACTCGTGTTTTGACTAAAACTGAAGCTCGGCGTTGTTGTTGCTGGCACGGCAGGAGCTGGAGTGCTTGTACTCTGGCCGAAGGTGAAGCCTGATGACTGTGTTTGCGTAGGTTGACCAAAACCACCAAAAGCAGGTTGAGGTTGTGAGGGCTGACCGAAAGGATTTCCCGGGGCTGCAGAGTCATCTGGCTTGGACACCGCATTGAAGGGGTTTGTGCCGTTTGCAGCAGGTTGTGTGCTTTGTGTCCCACCAAAAGAGAACCCTGAGCCTGATGGTTGTTTTGTTGTCTGGCCAAAACTGAATCCAGAACTTGAGCCAAAAGTATTTCCAGTTGCTGCCTTCTTCTGCGGAGACTCCATTGCAATGTCACCCTGTTGGCTGTTTCCTGGTCCCCCTGTCCCATTCAGCGTCGCAAACGGATTTGGAGTACCTGTCGGCGCGCCGAACGTGAAGGAACTCGATTGGGGAGGCTGAAAATTGAAGCCACTGTTCGTGTTCGAACCGGTTTGAGGGAACGACATATTTGTGCCGAAACTTGTGCCACCATTCATCGTGGGAAAGGGTTGCTGTTGTTGCGTGCTTTGTCCGAAAGTGTTCGTCCCGGCCATCGAGGAATGAGGTCGGTTGGCACCTAATCTACCTCTGGGCGTTGCGATTCTGTATAAAGTGTGTCAGTATGGCTGCCGCGTTCTGAGGAAAACGGATGATTCAGTGATAACGGAGCGCGTGATGCATTGGGACAGCGCGCCAGAGCCACGCATTGAAGTCTTATTCACTAAACAACAAAACGACAGGAAATGCCCGCCAAGGCGATCTGGTGGAAATCAAAGATTGAATACTGACTTTCTTCGCGCTTGTTGAGCAGCGGTGGACATTTTGACCTTGTCGTCACCTCCAGCGTTGTTTGGTATAGTACCGTGCTCTTTGGTTATATAATCTTCTGCACCACGTTTAGGCATGTCACTGGAGGCCTTGGAATGGCCGAAGGGAAGAGGTAGGATCGGTGAAGGGTCGAAGAAGCTGTACCATCGAGGCGTGCGCGTCGATCAAGAACCTTCCTCGGATGGACCAGACTTCGATTCGAACAACAGTCGATCAAAAAGTTGTCGTGATGAGATTCTCAGGGCTTCTTCGCTGCCACGGTTATTATGACCCGCAGCCCGGGAACTCGAGTCTAGCTGCGCTTGGCGCAAGGAGAATCACGTGACAAGGCTGAGGATCCAAGGAAATTGGTTTCAGCCTCGAGTCCACGAGGAGAGAGAAACCATCATGGATGATGCTGCAAACAGTAAGGAGTACTCTGAATGAATCTCTAGCTGGCCCCAAGTTTGCGCAGGCAGTGATCAGCTAACAGTTCTGAGATAAAGTAAACCCATTCATCCTCATTTCTCTTTGTTGCAAGCAGGCAGATGTCACCTCCTCTCGACAATCAGACAATAAAGATGCTCAGAAGCCACAGTGAGAATAGATAATGTCCTGCGTCAGGTTGGCTAGCGCACAGTACTGCCGTCGGTGACCTTTGAGTGGTATCAATCTTTCAAAGATGCTTTCTGAGCATATGACAGCTTGCTTAAGGCCATTCCTCACTTCAATCTTACAATAGTATCGGAACTCTGATCTCGATACTAACGACGAAGCCCATTTACCACGTTTGTGGGTTGCGAGGAGTTCCCTGTGTTGTGCTTTATCGAATTGAGCAGTCAGATACCGACTGCTCAGTACAATGCACTAGATATTCTTCCCAGTCTAAACGAGCACCTCGGTATTGGTCTTCTGCTGAGCGTTGGCAGAGGCCGCTAGTATCGTCTTATCATTGTCTGACATTGTGTTGAAGTTCAAACACGGTCCAACTCTTTAAATCCTCCCCAGAAAATGCTTCACTCGTTTGCTCTTACGGCAAACTTCTCAACAGCTGATCATATCGATTCTCATCCAGTCATGTCATGTCAGGCTCTGACGACAACAGCCCAGATTACCAAAGTCCGTAAAGGGTATGACATTGTGCTTGCCTCAAGCTTGAGTACAGTGCAGCCGAACACAAAACTGATAGGCTTACCCCTGGAGAACAAATCATGCATCCTCGGTTCGTCATGAAAGACTAGGATGCATTAGAAGAGGATATCCCGCCGGGTACCTTATCAGCATGTGGACCTTCGGAATATGTAGCACAGCAACGTGCTTCGAAAAGCACACACTTCAACAATCACATTGCACTACGGAGTACGGAGTATTCTCCAGCATTCCCAGGACAAATCATCCGGCTGACTGCTGTGTAACAACGAGTCACGACTAGATGAGCTCATGTTCCCCTCCTTGTTATGTCCCTGCCATCTCATATTTGATCAGCGACTGGAAGCAATTTCATTTCGAACACACAAGGTGCAAGGATCAACGGTTCAACACATGGCATTGAGGCTTCCTGCATGCTGGTGCTCGGCTGTTATTTCAATTGCAAGCAGTTAGGTTGGTTCCAGATGCGGCACATCCTGCAGCCTCATCGTTTAGAGAGCCCTGATGAAGCTGCAGCATCAGCTTTCAGCTGCAGCCCGATGTAAGATACGAGGGGGGAACCGGTCACGTAGCATCTCTAGTGGACCTGGAAACCTCGTATGACAAAAGTATATGCAAAAGATGTCACAGTTGAAGCGTCCGGGCTGGCCTGTCGCAATACGATCCATGACCCGAGTGGCTTGAAGCGCACCATCCGGACTTGTGTGCAGTGAGGCTTGCGATCAGAATAGGGCCAGGCATTGTAGAGAGAGTAATTCCGACAAAGGAGGTCTGGGGTTACCAATCCAATGCGAAATCGCCCAATGTCACATTGACCATTTCTGGCATTTTTTTCTTCCACAAGGATTGTCAAAGCCGTCGGAAAGAAGCTGGAGGAGCGAGGGTAAGCCGAAAAGACCAAAACCTCTCGCTCCTCCTCTCATCTCAGGCGCAGCCATTTGGAGCGAGCCGCATTGGCAGGGCTACCATGCACGCCCAGCCAGAGGCTCTCACTGCGCCTCTGGTTCTATCCCAATTCTGCTTGGAGAGCACCTCCACAACAATAGGTTGACCTGGAGAAGCTAGACATGGGTTAGAAGCGAAAGGCCGAGTCAGCCTCTCGGTGTGGTTTGCTTCGGGTTGCAGAATGATCTGGATCTAACCAACAAGAGTACCTGGCAACCCTGCCACATTGTCCAGCCTGACCGCCACCGGATATCATGATTGGCTGAACAGCGCATGTTGTACCCCAAAATAACCCTTGGCCGAGACTGTGACTACATTGACATCGCCACAAAACCATCAACACCCTGGTCGATTGTCCCGCCTCTACAACATCTTGGATTTTCTCTCCATCCCGCCTCTCTCGTATTGTCGGCGGGCCAAATGCAGGTAGGCTTGTTTCACGGAGTACTATTCGGTATGGCTGGAGGAGGGGTGTGTGAAGCTGAATGGGACCAGCCGCACTGTTGAATCAGTATCTTCTTACAAGGCTCATGGACTATTTAGTCCTCACGATGTCTCACCCATCATCCAAACAATCCTCCTCTCCATCACACAGACAGACACACACAGTCACTACAAAAAAGATACCAAAGTACTCGTCTGCCCTTCACTTGAAAGCATCATTGGCCCAATCCTCGGGCTCTTCCGTCGTTCTCACCGTCCCAGACTCTCGCTTTGATAAATACTGCCCCCGAGATGCTTCGTTCACTGTTGCCCTTTGTATCCGCCTCAGCCTTGCTCGCTTCTTCGGTCGTCTCCGCCATTCCCGTCGACACACAACACAATGCTCGGTCCACCTCTGCTCAGTGGGACGACTGGACGTGCACGTCGGAAAACATCCGGACTCGCGTCGACTTCAACAACATGGCTCCGGCCGACCGGAAAGCGTACACTGACGCCGTCAAGTGCCTGATGGCTCAACCTTCCCAACTCGACCAGACACTCTACCCGGCCGCGACCAACCGATACATGGACTACGCCGTGATCCACGTCAACCGCACCCAACACGTGCACCTCGACGCCTTCTTCCTGACCTGGCACCGGTACTTCCTGTGGCTCTACGAGTCCGACCTCCAACAGACGTGCGGCTACGAGGGGGCTTTCCCTTACTGGGACTTCGCCGAGACGGCCGACGACCCTCACAGCTACCCGATCTTCGACGGCTCCGAGTACAGCATGTCCGGCGACGGCCTCTACAACAACACCGGGCCGATCGTGTTGGGAGCCGAACTCACCATCCCCCACGGCACGGGGGGAGGGTGCGTGACGACCGGCCCTTTCGCAGACATGATCGCCCCGATCAAGTTCATCGACCCGACGGCGCTCACGACGGGGACGCTCCCCGACGACGCCTTCGCCTACACCCCCGTGTGCCTGATGAGGGACCTCAACGCCTACGTCTCCCAGACGTACACCAACTCGGCCCAACTCCTGGCCGCCGCCCACGCCGCCAACGCCAGCGACTTCGAGTACCTCCTCAACGGGGTCATCGGGAGCTCCAGCCTGGGCATCCACTCGGGGGCTCACTTCAGCGTCGGGGGCCAGATGAACTCGATCCACGTCTCGGCCCAGGACCCCATCTGGTACCCCCTGCACACCATGATCGACAAGGTCTACACGAGTTGGCAGATCAACTACCCGGACCTCGCCGACACCCTGGACGGGAGCACGGGGACCGCCCTCAACACCCCTCCCAGCGACGTCGTCACCCTCGACTCCATCGAACCCGACTGGGGTTATTTCCAACTCGGTCAGATCCAAGTGCGTGACCTGTTGAGCACCACCTCGGGTCCGTTTTGTTATCAATATGATACCGTCATTTCTTGAATAAAAGGGAATCGTTGAAGAATTCCGGATTGCTTGGAATCATCCAAAACCCGGTTTATCATAATAGGAAAAGAACCAAAAAAAAGAGGGCGGGAAGGGATTCAAACTAATGGGATGTATCTTGATGAACAAGAACGAGTACGCAGCATGTCAGTATGCAAGCACGCAAAAACACAGCCTTCATTGAAGGGAGAGTTGGGAATTTTACATCTGCAAGCACACTGAATAATGATAATAATTCATAATCATCACCATGTTTCCATTCACGAGAAGACAAGTATGAGGACCGAGTACATGAATAAGAAAAAAAGTACATGGTATGAATTTCAACATTGGCTCACATCAATATTCTCCGCATCTATTTGATGTCGAGAATACTTCGCCAGTATCCAAGAAATGTGTGTTCACTACCTTTCAAAGAGTACATCAACGTTGTGTATCATTTCTCTCGTAAGTAGTCTTGATCTATTCTTTCTCTCCCTCTCCCTCTCCCTCTCCCCCTCCCTCTCTACAGGCTGCTCCGTCCTGCCGTGGTCGATCCTACTCCACGAAAACATCATTTGGAATGCAAATGATGTACGGAGTATGCAAGTATGCACGCCATGGCCTCATGCTTCTATGAAACATGTAAGACATTTCAGCCGAGGGTTGAAACCAGAAACGCAGGAACGGTCGCGACGGAGCTTTCGGTCTTATGACAACTCCTCCGTAAGTAGGTAGACACGAAGATACTACTCCATAAGTAAGGCCAACCCCCGTACCCCTTCTTCGAGGCAATGTATATATTCCCAAGTACTCGTACGGGGTGCTATGTAAATACCCGTCTAAAATCTAACATGATCCACTGTGGTGAATGTACATACGGTACCCACTATAGAGTCAGGTACCTGACCCCAGTACACCACCTACACATACGGATGTTTATCTACAGCGTCCAAGTACTCCATACCTAGGGCTATTCTTGATACATCCCTGACTCAATGTATCGCTTTATCCTTCTAGTCATTTCAAACTCCACCTATGTATGTACTCGCATTGGCAGAAAGCGTAGCCTTGGAGCCTTTCTAGCCAGCTCTGGCCTGTCTTGTCTAACCAAGTGCTTACTGCCAGTCCTCTGTCAGCAACCCAAATCTAGAAATATCCCCTTTTAAGTCTAAATTGACTCATCCACCTTCTCTCATCCGCCTGTCTTTCCAAGGCTCGCCGCATTGTCTTAGAATATTCTTCGGCTCTCTCCCTCTCTTCTCTCTCGTTGGCATCTTCGCCCTCTTCGAGTGCCTTGACCATTTCTTGGTGATCCATAAACTGCGGGTTCGTCGTGATGATGCCGATCTTCTCGCCTGTCCATATCAACAAATCGGCATCCCCACGCTGTCTGTATTCCGAGTCGGCGCTCTCGAGCGGGATGATTTTCCGCGCGACTTTGTCTCCATGGATGGAGGCGCCGGTCTCGCTGACTTCGAAGTCGTTCAGGTTCCACTTCCGAACCAAGCTGCGACCGTCGCGCTCAACCCATTTGAGGCCACCCTCTGAATCGGAGAAGACAATCTTGGTGCCATGAGAAGCGACCGACAGCAGTTTGGAGCTGGCTGCTTCCTGTCTGTTCTTGTAACTGAAGAGAGTACCGTCTGAGCTGGTGCTGGGCGTCCTGCCAAGGTCAAGAATGTCGTCGGTTGATGGCTGTCTGGAGATTGTATCTTCATTCAGACTGGGCTGTCCAGGCTTGGTGTGTGGAAGAGAATATAGTTCCAATGAGCCGCGACCTCTGTACTCACCACAAGCAACCAGAGTCGAACCTCCGGAAACGCTGGCCGGGGATCCCGCCGGTGGATGTGGGATGCTGGCAAGGGATGACAGACTTCCTCCAGAGTGTATAACGTACTGAAGACGTGGGAAGAAGCGGCGATCATACGATAGGATGCTGGAGAACCTGCCGGCAAGTAGGATTTCGTTGTCCGCGTGGTGCAGGATAGAGAGTGGCCCGGGCTCTACTCTAGCATATGCCATCCAGTGAGGGTTCTGCCGGTGGTGAGAAGGTGGCAGATTGGATACCCTTGGGGTCCAAGCAGGAGGGTTATGGTCGGATGTGAATGGCGCTGCAGGGCCAAAGTTCGACGACGGAGCAAATATTGAGGTTTGCGAGAAATCCGGAAGTATAGCGGTTGACTTTCCTGACACTGCAGGAACCTCTTCAACGCATTCCGAAGGTGACTTTGAAAATATGGACACCGACAGCCTGGGGTCAAGGATATGTAGACTCCATTGCGTGCCAACCGTCAGCGGAAGATCAAATCCAGTAGACTGTGACAAGGCTGTTATCGGGTAGGCGTATTTTGAATGGGATACCACCTTCAGTGTGTTGAGATCGATTTCGTTCAATATATCACCAATGGCAATGAAAGCTTTTTGTTGAGACGAAACGGTACTGACACAATCGACAACCAATGACTCGCTCGCTTGTGAGCCGTCTGTGAACAGGACTCCAGGTTTGCTCCGACCGATCTCTGTCATTGTTCTACGCCCGGTAGAGCTCGCACTGAGATCCCAGAGGCAGATACTGGCATCTTCCAGATAGCCAACAGCATGTTCGGACCCACCGAGAGTTGCGACGCCTTTGATTTCAAGCTGCCTTGCAGGGGGTTGGACCGCCCAGTCAGCACTGAGAGGCGCATGTCGACTTTTGTACTCTGAGTACCAATCGACAATTTCATCTTGGGCAGATTGATCCCATTGATTAATTGCTCGAGCCCGTGGGCTCTCTCGCATCAAGCCGTCCGAGTCAGACTGATGGTTGCGTGTGGCAGGAGTCCGTTCTGATAAGGTCAGACCTTGTAACGCAGAAGTCAAATCGGTCAATGTACCGGGATTCCTTCTCATCGAGGCACTGGGTGACTTTTCAAAGCACTTGTTCCGCCACAGGCGGTTGATATGTGCTGACTTGGCCAAGGTAGTGCATGTCTTTCGGACCGAGATAAGATCTTTGGGTTCAAGATGGTCAAGAATGTCCACGACGATTTCCTCGGGGAGTCTGTCCATGGTGGCATAACAGACTCTACAACAACTGAGTTAGGAAAGGACGATGCCTCGATCAGAAGATTCAGCAGGCTGCAATAAGTAGGTTAACGTCTACGGCAGGCAGAGACGTCGACGAATTGGTGAAACTCCTTAGCCTAGGCTCCTGCGACCTTCAGGCTTGGGAATTGACCCTTGACCGCGATAGCTTCAACGTAAACGTCCGATAGTATCAAGTCCCATAATTTGAGATAGTGGTGAGTATCGTAACAGTGTAAGGATGAATGTATGGATGAAGGAGTGATGGTCCTTTGTATAAGGAGTAAGATAAAGAATGATCTGGAAAGAGTGGATTGGTCGCTGTACGAATACGAATTGCCTCCTAGGAAGCAATAGGCGGTACCTCAATTGCCCCTCGGCGGCGCACGGCCCAGGCGCTGCTTATGGGCAGCTGAAGCCCCCACGACCAATTTTCTTAGGGCTCGTCTCTTACCTAAGCCCCTCAGTAGCTAGTGCCAAGGGACCAATAATCAGCCATGACGAACACGTGCATGATGAAACCCAGGCTGCCTGGAAAGAAGCATCATTCAAGTCCCAGCAATTCAGCCTCCATACCGGCACCAACAACTTCTTTCCATCGTTTCTCGCGCTTGCCTAACAACTAATTGATACCCAACCTTACTTGATTGTGCATTTCATCAGCCCGAGGCAGGCGCGCCCGTGCAGCAATGCCTCCAAGTGCTACAGCCAGAAGAGGACCAAGTGTTCTAGTCAGTATCATCATTGCGACATCATGATCTATCCCGTGGCTAACATCGAACTTGAACAGGTTCAGGATCCGCGTGAGGGCAGACCAACCCTTTCAAGAAGACAGCCCTCGCGATTCATAACGGTCGATAGTGTCCTCCAATATGCTTCCGATATTCCGTCCGCTCAACAGAGACAACCTCAACGACCAAAAGTTTTTAGGACAGGCTCGGGGAACCCTGTCGAACCGAGACTCACCGGTCGTGTGATCAATCCTCGCGGGCCAGCCAGGTCTACTAAGAAATCCGAAAAGCTAGTCCTTTTGCCGGAAGCCGATGAAGAAGAGGATGAAAAGGGCGACTTCGGTCTCGATTCCGATAGAGGCCCGCCTCGGGACGACGAAGACTTCAGAAGACCCGGAAGAGAAGGCGTGAAGAGTTATGCAGAAAGATTACCGAAAGCCAGAAGAACGGAGAAAGAATTGCCTCGAGTGACTGCCTATTGCACCGCTCAAGCATACAAACTACAGTCCGTGGCGACGTTTGTGCGACAACGACATGGTGCACGAGCCAAACTCTACGACGATTGCTTATATTGCGCCTACCATTTACCCTTACTGCCAGGCATTGAGGGTTATCGGTTACGAAGTAGTCCGCCGGTAAAGAGCGCAAAAGGTGGAACGGTTTTGGACGAGGCTATCGAGCGCAGTGAACAGAGAGACTATCGGGGTGCATACTATGCTGAGGAGGAGGAACAACATTCAGTGAGAGGGCACTATACTCCAGAAGAACACTCCTCTGAATCAAGACATGATGACGGTGAGCTCGAGAGGCCACGGCTGAACGGCGAACGACGGGGCAGCAATCAGTCTCAGAGATCAAACAGCCCTGGTCCTACAGGTGTGCCTGTTGACGCCTATCGTTTTGCAGAAATGTTCGTGTTGGATTATGGTGTGGTCGTATTCTGGAACTTCACTGAGAGACAGGAGAAAGATATCCTGGCCGACTTTGCCTTTTCGACCACCGTAGACCCCGTCACCAACGTGGTGTCACCCCTTCCTTTGACCACCAATGCTTTGGACGAAGAAGACTTCGAAACCGAAGAGTTCCATTTCGAGTACAACAACGAAATCTCGCGGCCTCGAGTATACAACGATATGATAACTCTCCGCAGCGGCGACCATATGATCAAGCTTGCAATCAGCCACGCCATTGCGCAAAGTACCAAGCTGAGCTATTTCGAAGAGAGGATGGCCGCGCAGATGGAAGAGGCCAAGGATGTGCCAGGCAGGTTAGCGAAGACCGGAGAACTCGGGTTGAAGCGAGAAGAAGTCATCAAACTACTGGGCGGCCTCTTCAAAAGCCGAGTTGAGGTCAATTTATGTAGGTGGTATCCTTTTGTCGCTGGAAGTCGAATTTGTTGCTGACCATTTTTAGCCTCCAATGTCCTCGACGTTCCCAACCTGATCTGGGATAGTGAGCCGACGCTACATCCTCTCTACAATGCCGTCCGGGAGTATCTCGAAATCAAGCCCCGGATTCAAGTGCTCAACGAGCGATGCCGCGTGTTTCTCGATCTGGCCGAGGTTTTGTCGGATTATATTTCTGATGACAAGATGTCGAGGATCACCTGGATAATCATTGTGCTCATCTGTATCTCTATTCTGGTTACGTGCTCGGAAGTGTTCCTTCGGTTTGGAATGCTCAGCACAAAAGGACCCCAGGTGGCCAAGGCTCTACCAGTGCTATCACTTGGCAGTGAACTGTGAAAGGAGTTGATGGTTTGATCATTGGTTCAGCGTATTGCGTATATATCACACTAGCACGGTGTTTGGGGGTTGTTTTTGAGATCACACAGCCCGAGAATATCAAATCAAATCTCTTGTCCCTGGGACTGCTTGCCCACTCATGATAAGCGACATCCCTTGACATTACGGACCGCCAGAGTGCTACCTCGTATGACCTATACATATTTCATATCTCGGCCTGAGCAGCATAAATAGGAAGGAGGATGCACTGCTTGGCCCGCGTCTCCAGGTGTTTTTAACCACAAACAGGTGATGGGTGGCAAGAAAGATCAATCCGCTGACCATCGTTTATCTCTTGTTGGTGCCCACACTTCGCTGTGGACAGTTTCTTGGGATCTAGAGGCGGAGGTGACCGAAGTGTATCATGGCTGACAAGGACAGATGAGGAGCATCGGGGATTCCTATTTGACAAGGTATTGGCATACGGAGTCGCTGGGTTGCATTCGGATGATGGTACACCAGCTCTAGTACGCGCCTATCGACAAGGTACTGACTATACTCGCCAGGGTCCGTCCAGGGCGGCTTTGGGAACTTCGACCCGGTGCGACAGAGGAGACGTTGGCTTCATTTTCTTATCACTTGGCAAGAATCCAAGAGATGATGGACGAGACAAGCGAGTCGATCGAGTAGACGAGAATACAGAGAAGGATGCAGAATGCCCTTTTTCCTTTTCGACGACACCACGGACCAGACGGCCCATTTACTCGTTGTGTGCCCGAGTACCGTAGGATCGTCCGGTCCAGTGGCGCGAGCTCGTTCAGCATGGACCACTGAAAAGCTTCTCCCTCGACGGTATTTTTCTTGTTCTTACTCCATTACCCTTCATTAGGTCCTCTTTTGCCGAGTGTGTGAGGTTCGTCGACATCATGCCCAGACCAGAGACAGACCAGGGATTGGATCGGGGGATGGATGAAATGCTGCTGTTCCAATCCCGACTTCACCTCTTCTGTGCCCAACTTTGCACCCCAAGTCCTGGTTTCCATGATCCACCACCGATGTACCATCGAATGCGCCTTTGGACTCGCTAGGGTGAGGATCTTCAGATGAAACCTCGTGCTCTATTGCTCTTTACTGTACAAGTACATATATGTATGTCATTGGTAAGATCTCCACCATCATGTCTTCATGTTTGATCGTTGCCTCTGGTCGCTTTCTCATCCCCAGTCCTCCTCGTGGTGGCCCTGGCCTTTTTTTTGGCGCTCCACTGTTCTTGACCAGGTGTGCCTTGATCAACTGGTTGTTCCCAAAAGACGGTGACAAGTGGACAAGAACATACAAAAAACATGGGTGCGAATGATGATCCCATACATCCCGTCGCCGCTCCCACCGAAGCTGGCGACGCTCATACTCACCACACAGGCACGACCACCACGACCACCACTACCCCCAAACACCATGGCATTCCCGAACATGGTCATAACCCTTCAAAACAGATAGGTGTCGACGAGAACCCAGACTTGACTCTACACTACTCTCATGAACATCAACATAAGCATCTCCACCACGGTCGTCCTTCCTTGAGTGGTCGCGACGATGAGGTCTTGTACGCCGAAGGCACGACCTTTGACAAGTCCAACATTGGCGAAGTCGGACCTCAAGACTACAAGACTCATCATCTCCGAGCGGCGCAACAACAACAACAACAACAACAACAGCATCCCGTCGTCGTCGACGAAAAGGACTTTGTCGCCGCCGACGCCGAAAAGGGCGCCATCGGCCAGATGGGAGGCGTCCCGGCAGACTCGACCAGCTCCGAGCAAGGCGACGCTCGAAAACATCGCGTCAAGAGGGCCTATGTCAAGTACAAGATCTTTGTACATTTGTTCATCTGGTTATTCTTCACCGGGTAAGTTTGGCACAACCCAGCCGTCCGTCCTCTTCTACCACCCATGACATGATGTTCTCTCTCCTGAAAAGTCAGAGTCCTGACGAGTCCTGAAATCGTTAGCTGGTGGATCGCCGGCCTCGTCCTCCATCGTCACGACCTGGGCTGGCTGATCCCCTTTTTGTTGTACCTCGCCATCACGCTGCGCCTGATCTTTTTCTGGGCGCCCATCACCGTCGTCACCGTGCCCATGCACTTTGTCTGGAACCACACGGGCGTGCGAGTCTACCAGATGGTTCCCGAGAAATTGCGACTCCCGCTGGCCGCCCTGGTCGCCCTCGCCGTCATCCTGGTCGGGTCGTTTGTGTCCGAGGAGTCGGCCGACAACACTCGCGGCAACCGCGCCATCTCCCTGCTGGGCCTCGCCATCATGCTGGCCTTGTTGTGGGTCACGTCCCGCGACCGCCGCAAGATCCGCTGGCACACGGTCATCGGGGGCATGCTGACCCAATTTGTCATCGCCGTCTTTGTCCTGCGCACAAAGGCGGGCTATGACATTTTCAACTTCATCTCCGGCCTGGCGCGAGACCTGCTCGGGTTCGCCGACCAAGGCACCGAATTCTTGACCAACGCCTCGGTCCTCAAGCTGGGTTGGTTCTTGACCGGGGTCGTCCCGCCCATCATCTTCTTCGTCTCCCTCGTCCAGGTCTTGTATTACTTTGGCATCCTCCAGTGGTTCATCCAAAAGTTTGCGACCTTCTTCTTCTGGAGTCTGCGGGTGTCCGGGGCCGAGGCCGTCGTGGCAGCGGCCTCACCGTTCATCGGCCAGGGCGAATCCGCCATGCTCATCCGGCCCTTTGTGTCTCACCTGACCCTGGCCGAACTCCACCAGGTCATGACTTCGGGGTTCGCCACCATCGCCGGTTCGGTCCTCGTGGCCTACATCAGTCTCGGGTTGAACGCCCAGGCCTTGGTCTCGAGCTGCATCATGTCCATCCCCGCGTCGTTGGCCGTGAGTAAGATGAGGTACCCGGAGACGGAGGAGACCATCACCTCGGGTCGCTGCGTCATCCCGGACGACGACGAGCACCGGGCCACGAACGCCCTCCACGCCTTCGCCAACGGGGCCTGGCTGGGCATCAAGATCGCCGGAATGATCGTCGCCACCTTGCTCTGCATCATCGCCCTGATCGGCCTGATCAACGGCCTCTTGGGCTGGTGGGGTCGATACATCGACATCACCCAGGACGGCGAACCTTACCTCACCCTGCAGCTCATCCTGGGCTACATCTGTTACCCCGTGGCCTTCCTGCTCGGCGTGCCCCGCGACGATCTGTTGAAGGTCGCCCAACTCATAGGCATCAAGGTCATCGCCAACGAGTTTGTCGCCTACAACAGTTTGACTTCGGAACAACAGTACATCGACATGAGTCCCAGGTCACAGTTGATCGCCACTTATGCATTGTGTGGTACGTCTCTATCTTTCCCACCGTTCCTTCACTCCATCCTCCCGCGCCCTGTATTTGTCCGTGGCTAATCTCTGTGGGGGTTTTCTTTGTAGGATTCGGCAACTTTGGTAGTCTGGGAACTCAAATCGGCGTCCTTTCACAAATCGCCCCCTCCAGAGCCGGCGACGTTTCTCGTGTGGCCCTTTCGGCCCTCTTTTCCGGGGTCTTGTCGACGCTGACTTCCGCTTCCATCGCTGGACTCTTGGTGACGGACCAAGTCAATTTGAATCAAAAATCCGCTTCGTCTTGATTTGACTTCCCCGAAACCCCCAACAAATGGGGATATGAGAAGCACAAACAAAAAAGAACAAATACAGATAGCTAGTCAAGTTTCAACCATCAGATGCTTACGGAGTAGCGTAACTATCACATATACTCGCTCTGTGCCTGGTCATATAGCCATAAGTCATGAACGTCTAGTTCTAATTCAGTCTTGCGAGATCACGAAAAGAAACGAGAAAAGAAACACAAACACAAGCCGAGTTTTTGCCAATCTCGGGTTTTCCTTGAACCTCATTTACCAAAGTAGGTATCGTCGAAAGCGACACGTCCAGCAACAGTGACAACAACAAACCAGTAGTAGTGTACGAGACTTAGGAACTCATCATCTATGCATATATGGATGGCTGTGCTGTTTGATGCTTAGGTACCAAAAACGGAAGAAAAAACATGCAATGAATGAATGCTTCATAGATCTTGTTCATTCGCCCGTTCGTTGAAGTGTGCAATATCAGTGACAATTAGTGCTGTCAAGTAGATGATGGACGGGACAAAGTACGATGGTATCTGATATCGGAATACTGAATATCAAGTGGACACCCGCATGCGCACACCCCAATCCAATCGTCTCTTCGCTTTCTAGAGGGAGTAAAGATTCCCAGTCCGTTACACGAGCCATGTTCTCCCAGCTTGAGAAGATCCATAACAATAAGAGGCGAGAGAGAAAGAAAAATCCAATCATCAATAAATTTAGACTTGCTCTCTACTATCCTGTCTGTGCTTCATTCCAGCTCGAAGATAGCAAACCCCAACTTTTCCTGGCCCATTCTTGATCCATCGACTTACGGCGAACTGCAAACCCTCCCACCCAACCATTGCAGTCGCCAATCATTTGGGTACATGGCTTCTTCGAGCGTGCAGTATTGGCGCCCAGTCTGGCACCAATGCAGTCTCGAAAGGCCTCAGCTGGATGTGAAAAAAAGTATCTATCGTTAGTATTACAGGGGGAATGCATGGCTGCAAAAATATAATCCAGGGGGTTTCGACGAATGTCAGGAAAGAATCTTTCGTTGTAGTAACAAGGGGAATACTAATTCGACCTAAAATATTAGTTTTGCATTTGGTTAGTAGGGTTGAATGCGTCCTGGATATCCTCGGTATGTCGAAAATGGGTCGTAGCCGGGTCCAAGAAAGGGGATCACGAGGGTCGACGACGCTTCGGCTCAGGTGTGTCGAAATCCAGGAGATCCAATTCATCATCGTCCTCGACTTTTCGCTTAGCGTGCATATTCTTGGATGGTGTAATGGGAGGACTTGTAGTTTGGGGCGGTTGCAAACCAGAATCTGCAGATACATCGGCACTGTTTGGTCCAGGAGAGGCGGGTGCAGGAACAACATCATGCAGCTTGGGCGACTCTTCTCTATTCTCTGAATTGACCACGGAGGGCTGAGGGTCAGCAACAGTGGTCGCAAGGTCATCATCGACAAGATCGACCTCATCATCCTTGGTGATCAGTTTTTCATCGTCATAAGATTCGATGCCCTCTTCGTCTTGAGGAACAGAGTCATCATGCTCCAGATCAATATGTTCATACAACTCGTCAAAGAGGTTTTCGACTTCGACTTCGCCATTGACTTGGTCTTCCTCGGCTTCTTGAGGGTACGCTTCAAGGGTATGCGAGCTATTAGTCTCGTCCTCGTGGACGTGGCTTTCTGGCGCATGACCAGACTCAGATTCGTCGGCAATCTCGTCATGGATCTCATCGGGAAAGCTCTCAACGGCAGGTTCATCATGTAGGTCATCAGGCACTTCTTCAACAGGCACGGATTGATCGGCTTGGGGTGCCTCGTCCACTTTGGTTGGTTCTTGGGCAGTGGTGATGGCTTCAGACTCAGATGGAAGTGGCAAATCAGTCTCTGCATCATCGTAGGTGGCATCAGCAACGGCTTCTGGAACTTCGCCGGCCGCACTCTTGGTAGTGCCATCCTCATCCTGCGTCATGTCCTCTTGCTCTGCCTGATGGGCAACTGTACCTACAACGTTGTCGGGGTTTCGCTCAGCGGGACCTGCATGCTGTTCAGAACGTTCAGGGCTCTGCGCAACGGCCGACTCATCGTGAACTGCCTCTGGCTCGGGCGTATCAACGTATTCAGCAGCTATCTCGGAGAAGGCCTTGCCTTCAGTAGCTGAAGACAACAGGTAAGCATATTGAGAGGCCAAGCTCACCCGGCTGCTCAGGTAACAATACAATGGAGGAATGTCTTGACTGCCATCGTTATGGCAAAGAAGCAAGTATGTGTCGAGGATTTGAGAGAGACTCAGCTGAGAAGCATACTTCGAGTCCTCGCAAATGTGCAGTCCAAGAGAACCGATATCGAGAACAAGCTCGTCATGATGTTCAAGTGTGCCCGTCAATATCTCACGGCACGCCGCAAGCAATTTGTCCAGTGGTTCGAAGGCGAGTGTAGAATCCTGGAGGAAATACACAGCAGACGCGTCTTCCATCATAGGAGGAAACAGTGACATCTCTTCGTCCATGTAATTTAGTGTGACAGGGTGGAGGGGTGGATGCTCGTTGGTGGTCGCGTCTAGAGGCTCGTACTCTTGTGGCACTGATTCCGAAGCACCAAAGGCGTCCGGCGCCGCGGCTGACGGATCTTCACCATCAGCTGGCTCCGGCGTAGGCTCCTCTACGCCGCTCACATTCTGGGGTTGACCATCATCGGCAGATTGATCCTCTGGAGGAACATGATCTTTCTCACGAGAAACATCTTCTCCCAATTGCTCCACTGTGGATTCAAATTCTTCACGGACGATTCCTTCAGAAGGTACTGGGGCAGCTTCGGCAGAAAGTTGCTCATCTTCAACTGGAGCGACTGTCTCTTGAAATGGCTGAGGTTGTGTAACGGCATCAGTGTCAAAATCCCCAAGATCGATCTCCGTACCGACCTCTTTATCATTCTGGGCGAGGTCGCCTTCTGGTTGGGTGGCGTCTTCGACGTCGTCTTCGTAGAGAATATCCTCATCTTCGTCCACATGAATTCCACCAGCGTCTCCATCCATACTGAAATCAAAGTCCTCCTCGTTGGTCTCATCAATCATGTCATCATCGGCCACGGCGGCCTCGGGTTGGTTTTGAACAAATCCAGCGGCATTGTCGTCCATTTGGTCCGGGTCGTCATCAATCATGTCATCATTGACCGAGCCCATGACGGAAGGATCACGAACTGAGTCAAGGTCGATGTCAATATCGTCAGTCTGTCGAAAAGGTGATGATGCCACGTCCATTTGGTCGTCCAGGTGTGGCGCGTCCATGTCGTGGAAAGCGAAAGAAGGTATCGTAGTCATTACTCTGCCGACGAGCTAGTGCGCAGTCTGCCCACGTGTATCAAATCTCTTTGCCTATTACTGTGGTTCTTGGAAGTTCGCGGTTTCGATGGGAGTGGAAAGGAAGGCAAGCGAAAGGGACAAATAGTAACAAGACGCGCGGGGAGGTAGGTGTAGGCTGCAAGCTGGAATTTATCTTGTAAGGACGTAAGTCGGCAGAAAGTTGTTGCAATCAGATAATGATCCAATCATTCATCTCAATAGCAACAGCTTCATAGGAAGCATTGTCATGTAAGATTCACTTCACAAGAAGGTCCGATTAAGGAGGGTGTGAAGAGAGAAAAGGGAGACAGCAGTTGTTGATGGAATGAAATGAAATGAAATGAAATGAAATGAAATGAAATGAATCGAATCTGAAAGCGGGAGAGTTTGAGATTCACGTGACCAGCCACTGTAGCCCAATATGGTTTAGCTCATTTGATGACCACGCGAGACTTCTCGAGGTCCTCTCGTACTCGTATGGAGGATATCGAGTAGAAGGTCAAGTAAGGAGATCGTACTCTGAGGTGTCATATGAAATGGACAGTTGCTACAAAACCAAGTATAGTCTCTATTTCTGTCTATGTCGTTGCTATGCCGCTGTCATGTACGTCTATACCTATTTGTGCAACCTCAGTAGTCTTCGCCGTACATACTCACCGTCAGCTCGCGTCCATTAGTAGTAACACCATCCTTCACCATATTCGTCCAGGGTGAACCGAAACATTACTCTTCTGGCGCTCTATATCCTTGAGCTCTGGCAAATTGTCGACATCGAGATGCTCGTATACAATGCCTGCCTCTCTAAGACAATATTCCACCACACCCATGTATCCCAACGTCTTCTCCTCCGTCAGTCTTCGTCCGACAACCTGTACTGCAATCGGCAAGCCCTCCATCTTCGACGCATCGTAGTATTTGTAAGTACCTCTCTCGATGCTGTTGTTTGGTTTCCATCCTGCTTCGAGCGCATCGAGCTCCTTATCGACCTTTGCAACGGGCACAATGCCTGCAGAGTAATCCAGCAAGTTCCAGAGGAAAGTGTACCCACAGCTTGCCACGGCATCCTTCATGGCACCATGTGGTAGAGCCGGCGTCGCATTAGCGGGGCACAGTATCAAGTCAAACGCCTGCTCCGGCCTATTCCACCATTCATACCAGGTCGCTCGAAATGCTTCGCGCTTGGCCACCCATTGCCACTGTTCGGCCGCGCTCAGGGGGTGAAAGTACTGTAGTATGCTCGCCCAAAGAGGATCACATTTCACATACCGCGTCCAGAGATACCACAGGTACTTGACAGGTCGAGGGAGGGACATGTAGAACTTGATCTGCGCTGCGCCAGGGTCGTTGTGTTCGCCTGTGCGGAAGAACGAGCCGAACGTCTTGCCACCGTCTGCGCAAAGCAAGACACTCGCAATCTGAAGGCCCTGTGCGGGAGTTGCCTTCTGAGGGAAGGATTCAAGCGGAATCTCGACGACTTGATGGCCTGCTTTGCGCAATGCATCTGCCGTTAATTTGAGGCCTCTTGCTATTGCCGGCGAAGGTCGAACCACGCCGTCCGTGCTGATCAGTCCGATCCTGAGTTTCTCCGCTGAGCGGGCTTCGTCGTAAAGCTCCTGCCTCCACGGAATAGGGTGGACAGTGTAGTCGACCTCCCATGGTTTCATTTCGATGAAGGCTTTTGTGAAGTAGGTAAGATCATCGAGCGTTCGCGCCATCGGAGAGAATACACTTGGAATGCCTTCCTGACCAGGCATACTGGTATTCATGCCGACCTTGGGCCACCGCCCCGTGCTGCACCGCAGACTATTGATGCCCGCCCATGCAGCCGGTGTACGTACACTTCCTGCTACATCTGAGCCGATTCCTATCCTGGAGCCGTTCAGTGCAAGAAGTGCTCCTTCACCTCCTGTACTCCCTCCTGGCGAATAGCGGTCATTGTGGGGGTTTCTGGCCACACCCCAGAGGTCATTCGTGCTCTCGAAGGAAAGTAATGTGATAGGCAATGCTGTCTTGACATGTGGTATGGCACCTGCTCGTTTGAGCAATTGGACCATGACTCCATCTTCTGCACACGGTTTAAAGACGTGCCGTGAATATCCAACCGAAACGTCGAAGCCTGCCACTGCAATGCTATCCTTTAGAGACACCGGGATGCCAGCCAGGGGCCCTTGGAGGTTCACATCGGACGATCTGGACCATGCCTCAGCTTCGGGGAGAAGCAATTCTGTGACGCAGTTTGTGCGTTCTTGAGCGATGGCCGCGGTTTTGCCGTACGTTCGAAGGATGTCAACAGGCGAGAGAGTTCCGCTGTGTACGTCTTGTACGAGGGTCGCGATTGGCGCGTTGAGGATGGACCGTTGATGCGATGTCAGTGGTCCTTTGTATACGTCTGGGAGGGATTCGAAACGCGCATCACGCTGGCGCTGCTTTATTACGCTGGACAAAAAGTGAGTACCTCGGTGGAAGACCGATACAGGACAGTAGATGACGCCTTACCAGGCCCGGCGGTGCTCGAAATAGTCAAATGGAGGATACATTGCGGTGATTACATAGTTGGATCGGGCGCTCAAAAAGAAATGTGAGGATCAGAGCGTGGGAATGGCAGAGGATCGAAGTGCCAGATTGAGACATCTACCGATACACGTATTTACGTTGTTTGGGTGACATCGCCGAGTGTTTTGAAGCAAGACGAATATTCGCTTCTCCACGCTTTGATGGCCTTTAATGTACCAATAAATTTCGCTTTCTCTTTTTGTAGGCTCTGCTAGACTTTGAAGACCGCGCCCAGATACGATTACATTGAAACAGATCGACTGTAAATTTCAAAAATCCGTGCCATCCATCATGTCATTTCGGTCCATCGCTAAGGGGAAAGAGAAAGTCGCTCGCTCGCTCGCTGTCCGCTACTGATAATATACAAGGGGCACCTCAGCTGCCCATCTTCAAAACCACTGCCATCGCTGTCGTCTCGTCGTACAAAGTTGGTATAGTGGGTATCTCATACACAGCAATTCACACTCAATATTCTATGTCCACCAGTGTTGTCCCCCATTGCCTGGGTAGGCTCCGGTTGAGACGATTTGATTTGCTTGTAAATGTCGTTGGTATTGCTGGTCGTAGCTCATAATATGTCCTATAATGCCGTCGGGACTTTGGTACACCACCGGGCCGCTGGCAGCCATGGTCGGAGCATAATTTTGCCATGTCTGCATGTCAGCCTGTCCTTGAGGCGAGACACTCGCATTGGTCATAACCACATCAGGAATTTCAGCCGCTGACTGTCTGCGTGAAGGCGGCTGAGAATAATGTTTTGTTTCTATCGTTTGACCGGGGACCGCCAGTTGAGCACCCGCAAGCGGTCTGTCCGGAGGCTGACCGGAGTATGCAATCTGTCTTGGTGTCGCCGAATTTCGTCGCGAGCCAGGATGTACTTCGCTGATTGGAGATAGTATTCTTTCTTGCGGCGGCGTGGGAGGATGGCCAACATCTCTCCCAAACCGGGAATGGGATGGTACGACCTGGTGCTGTCGGATATCTGCAATACTCCTGCGTCGTAAAGCCTGGTCTGCTGGGCCGAATCTGTCTACAGGCGGCGCAAAGCCATCACCTATGATCGGAGAGCTGACAACATGCCCCGGACGTGCAAACTTCGGGTCGTAGAACTGCACGCCATGTTGCACGGTGATGTGCTCGGCTTCCATACTCATTGGACGTCCAGTAGGCTCGTGAGGGACTCTGGGATTTTCCATTGGTACGATGGTCTGGGGAAGAGAAGACTGTGCGCCAATGTTCTGTCCGTCATGCACCTCGGATGCCCGCTGCTCATTGATTGTCATGGTATGTTGGCCGTAGTATGTACTAGATGCTGGCTCCTGAGACATCATGTCACAAGGCATTCCCGGATACGGCCATATCGACTTGTCGTATAGGGGTGGATAGTGTACCCACAAGGGAGGATGGAATTCGGGATTGGACTCTGGTGGATAGCTGATGCTCGGAAATTCATTTTGCTCCGTGGCATTAAACGATGTGGCTGTACTCGTCGTGAAGGAGGGCCGCTCAAAGCTGTTCTGGGGCGGCGCCTCATGGAATGATGTTGCCGTCAAATCGCCATACAGGATTGGTTGTCCAAATGACTGCTGCATATTTGGCTGCCACGGCTGTATGTCGCCTTGGGTAGTCTGGTCAAAGCTGGTGTGTGGCTGTTCGAATTTTAGTTTTTTCTCGACTTGCTGCTGTTCTTGAAATGAGGAAGATGCTGAGCGTTTGAGGTCCCCAGTTTCAACCTTTGTAGGTGGTTTCGATTGACCATCTGTCGATAATGGGCCACCTGTGAACCTCTTCATGCTTTCAGCCTCGGAGTCTCCTTCTGCAGAATCCTCGCGTTGCTCTTGCTCCATCTTCTTGATCTCATCGAGCAGGTCACCCAGAGCAGATATACCGACAGAGGCGATCGAGGATGCTGCAGGGATCGCAGAATCTTGAAATACCTTCAAGGCTCGTTCAACCCGGAGGACATCTTCCTTTACATCGGTGTCTCCACGCAGTCGAGAAATGGCCAAAATGACAGATGCGGAATACAGACCGAAACACCGGAGCCATGAAGAAGCAGCTTTGACGTGATCCAAATCATGGATGTACTGAAATACATCGATGGCATCCCTCACTGTCTGCAGCAAGTTTCTAAAATTGTGCTTCACGACCTTGCGTGACAGTCGAGACCTGCCCGTCTTGGTGGTACCATTCTCCATTTCATTGGTATTGTGAGCCGGATCCTGCAGGTTCAGACGGGCCATATTACAGTGCAATGCGACCTCGAACAGCTGCACCTCGAATTGATGGTCCGCTATAGCAGTCCAAAGTGTCGGATCGGTCAAATTCTCCTGTCGAAGCTGAGGTAGACGGGACTTATGCTTCTGCAGACGTTGGAGTGCATCCTCGAACCTTTGTGCTTGTCCGTCTTCAGGTTTTTCTGACCTTGATTCATTCAAGAACTCCAGCATGAAGGACGAAAAGTCCTCCGTGTTTTGACGAAGTTCTCGCTCCTCGGCCTTCATGTTCTTCAACAATGGCCTGGGGCTAAAGCGGTAAGAGAAAGTTATGGGTTGGCGACCAAGGATGAAGCTGAGTTGAGCATCGAGGTCGATAATGAGCCACCATATGCGACGACAATACTCCGATTCCTCAACAATCTTGTCTTGTTCCACTTCTCCTGGTCAGCTGGATATTAGATCTACTTATGGAGCCTGGGACTTACAGCCAAGTAACTCAGCTTCGCGCACAAGGCAAGGTAGCAAAGTCCAAGCTTGGGCTACCATGCCCTGATCGAGTAGCTTTCTTGCTGACAGACATCGCAAATACAGGCGCCGAAGCGAGCGTGACGAGACGCTGTCCAAATCAGCCACTAGGGCTGAGCGAGGTCCGGCCACAGCCAGGGTTCCTTCATGCTCTTCCAGCATGCCGACGGGGGTACTTGCTTCCTCATCATATTGAACTCTAAAGACTCGAAGCGCTTGAATTGAGTTAACAATGTCGAGGACTCGGCCATCTAAAGACACCATCGATTTGTACTGGACAACAACCGAGTTAGGAAGGAGCTGCTAGACGGCAAAATTGTACATCACGTACCTCGTCTATGCAACGTGCCAACGAGAACTCATCATAAAAAGCATCGTGAGGGCGCAGCACGAAGCGGCCTTCCTCAGCATCATCTTCATAGTCCGAAACCTGATCTTGTGGGCCGAGCCCATCAATTTCGTCGGCTTGGTCATGGGAACTTGACCTGGTCACCTAGAGTGAGTCGTTAGCAAAGCGACGAGACGTGGTGGTACAAGTGCGTACATCATTGTCCTCCCCATCTCTTAGGTGCACACTGGAGTAGTGGCAGCGAGGCTTCTTGCGCTTCTTTTGGCATGTTGTGCAAGGAATTCCGCCAGAGCACTGTAGGCCTTGTCAATCATCATCGAGCGAGACGGTACTGGAGCGAGAGCATACCTTGGACTTGCTCACACGGCAAGGCACACAAGAATTCGCTCGTCTCTTCGGAACTTTTGTGATATTATCACCGTGTGACAATGGAGGCACCGGAGTTGACATTGTCAGGTGTAAATCTCATGGTTCTGTGTAACCATATCCTCCCGACGAGCCGTTGCGTAACCGCAGCCACAGTTGGTCTTCTGGGAGTACCCGTTCGGGTAGGGAGAGATCGAAGCAAAGCAGTGGAACGTCTTGTCAATGCCAAAGGTTAATGTCACAGACTGAGTACTAATAGTCTATCTCACTGATGCGGAGCACGAGGTGACCCAGAAGATAAATACTGAGATCCAACTGTCCTGGTGATCAGTACTTGAGAGGAGCTGAACCTTAGGAGGTAGAGACAGTGCGTTGAGAAAGTCCAGTAGTGTGGGCACAGTAATAAGAAACATCGGTGGCAAAGCAACGGGCTTGTTGACAGCAAGCTGCACGCAATTATGGTGCATTTCATCGGCCTTCCATAGCTCTAAATGCCAATGGAAGCGAGAAGAGGAGTGGTGGAGGATGAGGAGGGGACCTGAAATGGCAGTAGCGTTGGTATCGAAAAGCTGCTAGGATAGAGATGTCTGATCATTGTACCAATCGGGCACAACTTTCAGCTGAAAAGGTTCATAAAGACGACCGCAAAAGAGTCATGGCCAATTCAAAGGCGAGACGAAAAAGGGACTTGGTGGAAGGGTTAGACGAGAAACTGGAGATACGAACCCACCGACGGCTGGTATCCGTAACGCCAATCGAGTCCCACCATCAGCCAGGCCCATTCACGTCAGCTGTGGAGTCCACGAATGTCGAGACGAGAAATGAATACACCGGCTTGAATCAGCAATCAAAAGACCCCGGTACGGGAGCCAGGAGCGGCGAGCATTAGTTTCAGGTCTGTGCTTGACGCTGCAGTGAGTACTGGGGTTAGCCAGCTTACTAGGCGTCAATGGTTGTCTTGGGGCCTTGCAAGATTACACAACAATGTGCCGACCGGGATGGTGCAATGTCGGGCTGCAATGGTGATTTGAGAAGAGCAGATCTGAGGTGCATTTGCTTCCACGAGTCCACGAGATCGTGGTCTCTACCATCCGTGGAAGACAGACAGCCACGAGTCTGCATCGTGTCAATCTCGTAGAGCCGAATTGTGAACGGCCCGAGCAGGTGAACATGATGGATGCAGATCATGACAAATGCTGGACTCGTTTGTCCCTGGCGGCGAAACGACGATCTTGACACAGCGAGGGAGACTCGAGCCTGGCCTGATGCTGGCGGGCTGTGATGGAGATGGAGAAGGCAAGGCAGGGCAAAGTTCAAGGTCATGACAACACTGTGCTCGGACCGGAAACGTTTTCGTGAGCAAAGATAGACGAGATCGCGGTCAGATCTTGCTTGGACGGATGGGTGGGAATTTTGGATCGATCTTGTGTGACCGGGGTCCAACCTGGGTATCACCATTGCCGAGCCCTTTATGCTCTCGAGAGTAATTGGCTTTAAACAAGAACGACAAGCCCTGGAGGTGCGGAGTCTTGAAAAAAGCAAATGAAACTGACGAGGTTTCTAACACTGACAGGCGACCGCCGTGTCGTGTTGCAGTTGCGAGATGCAACAAGAGCATTCTCTCGAGGCCAATCTTGACTCTTCGAGTTGCCCTCCGAACAACCCTTCGTATCCGCCTGGGAGGGCGAAGCTGGCGCTTGAGAGGACCGTTCGACCGAAGGGACGTTCCTAAAGCCCGTGATCCCTAACCCATCCCGGACTCCTCATACCTGAAGCAGTAAGGCCAACACCGAAAAGTTTGAAAGACTCGCTTAACTAGTGTCCCTCAGACCAGAAATTTGACGCCTATTTTCACCTTTCCGGTGCCCCTACTGCACCTAACGTTTGCCTTTGTCTCTAGTTTGGCGAGCCGGAATTTCCGTTTTGCCAATGACCTCTGTAGGCGTCCCTGGCAAGCGTTTGTCCCTGACTTTGACAGCCCACACCGCCCACACCGCCCCTCCAGCAAACAGTACTGTGCAGGTGTCGTGCTGTAAGGATGACGCGGTAGGGCTCAGGCAAGCATGGAACAATGCCATGGTCCTGCAGGATGCCCAGTAAGCACCTCAGCTTCACACTGTCCACGCTAAACATTTGAGCTGATACTCGTCCCAATTGTATGCGTGTCATTGTGTGCGTGTTCATCATGAGCCGCCTACGACACCTCCACAAGAGATCTGGGTATCCATTCGTATTGCAGTCGACGCTATCGACGGGGAGAGGGGGAGAGCCTTCGCCAACGGCTCAGCCCGGGAGCCAGAGAGAACACGGTACAACAGCGGCTTTGGGCGGTGGGCCATGGCCCCACGGCTAACTAGAATCTCAAAACGATAGGAGTGATAGGAACGCCCTGGTGTACCCTAGAGATAGTTGTTGAGGCCTGGGACAATAATAAGAATGATACGCCCGGAAAGCCAGCCAAGACGGCGCGCACATTATTGCTTCATTGGCGCAATCACGCCTGATCGATTCGCTGACATCTGATCCCAACACGAAGCTAGTCTGAATTTTTGGGCGCTTCAGGGAAACTTGGCACTGGGGTATCCCCTACATGCTTCACGTACAATTAAACGGGCCTCGAGACCTACCCCCTTGCTGTGCGTTTCCGCTGGATGACAATAGCTTCAGTCGCCTGAGACGCGACCCGGGGGAATTCTCAATACGGTAGTGGCAATATGGATAACTGAGTAAGTGCTTGCTTGTTCGAACACACCGGGAGGCCTAAACTAGCCGCAATCGACATCGCCATGGCCATGCTTTCTAGGTTCGGGGTTCGCCAGGCCACGACACAATGTCCAGAACGTCAGTAGTGTCGAACATTTAGTACTGTTGAGGGGGGGCAAATTGTGCAGGAAATCAGACCTCAGCCGGGCAGAGTGCGATACGCACGCACTGTGGTGTCTGTCATCCGCGGAACCGTTTCCCCCCGGTCAAAATGCGACACTGACAGCAGCCATATTCATTCGACTGAGTGGTCAGAGGCAACATTAAGTCCCAGATTTGACGTGTATAGATTGGCGCCGGCAGACTCCTCCGACATCCCTGCCATCTTCTGGTTGGCTTTCACGCAGGTCCAGCTCCCAAGTAACAACTCTACATGCAGGAGTAGCCAAGAAGGGTGTCCCCTCGTATTTCTCGCGAACTGCAGGTTCCTATAGGCAGACGAGATCCATCTCCACCACCTCGCAAGTCGCCTGAATTTACGTTCACCCGCAGATTTGGTCTTATAAAATGTTGGCAAAAGCGTGAATCCACGGCGAAAACTGCTCTATTCATGGCAATGATAGTCCATCAGGGGCAATCTGAAGGGGTTCCGAATGATACGGTGTGTCACTCGGCGCTCCCACAGGCTTGCAGTAGACTGTGCCCATCGAAAGATCTACCAATTCCAACTTCACTGGTATGTATGAGCCGGGTCTTACCGATTTCTCCCACCCCTCTGGGGATTTGAGTAACCACATTGGTATGCGGAAGGGATGCAGCCAACCTCGGATACCAGTGTCGTCTTGTCGTACATCTGTTGAAGGTGAATCCCGTCTGATGACCACGACATCCCAGATCTCAGGTAGCTTTGCCTCCTTGAAGTGAAAGGCTCTAAACAAGGCGCGAATAGCCCAGGTGTACATTGGGACTTTCGCCAGCGCCATCTCGGCCCGTTGGAATCTGTCGAGATCGCCAAAACTGGCTTCGATGTCGGACCGCTTGAAGGGCAATTCGATGTTATTCGCACTGTCTCCCCCTTTAATTAAGCCATTTGCCACTGCCCGTAGATACGCGTCAGCCTGCCACCATACACATAGATCAGTGTATCGGCGAAGTGGGCTAGTGCATCGAACATAGGAAGCAACATCTAGGAAAACATGTGGGACTGGACTGGTTGAGTTAATGTGCTCTGGCATCCGCCGTTCAAGGTCGAAAACACCGGTCCCCTTCAACATGGATAGAGGAGCCCCTGGCTGAAAGGAGGACCCAGAGAAATACGCTGGTATATCGCGATCGCCAAACCACTTGCCCGCAGACTCGCAAGCGAGCTGCATGAGCATGGCAGTCAGGGGCCACAAGTCTTCAACATTGGTACTGCGTGAAATTTCAAGATCGTGCGGATGGGTAACCGTAATTGCCGGGTCTCCAACATAATGGTAACTTTTGGAGAGGCGTCCCGGGTCATATTCTTCAACGTAGTGAACGGTTGTCTTGAGATTTGTTCGGAGAAATGCGACGTCCATGTACTCAGAAACCTCCCGGCGCCTCGCTTTCATCCTTGCAACGACGAGTTCCTCTAACTTTAAGAGGGTAGAGCGGTATGGCTCAACATTCTTGACCTCAGCATCCGTCATCGATGGGGGCCCTATCATATCAAGGCGTGGAGGTTGGCCAACAATCATGTAGGATATCCGTTCTGGTTTTGGTTTTCCTAAGAGCGCGAATTCTTCTTCAGGAGTCAGCGTGATCGTGTTGTGTATTCTCGTAGGGCGAACGCGGATGTCTAGCACTTCACCAGACTCGGCGATCAGGGTGCTGACGGTCACTGTAGGCTTCCCAGGGCCGAGACTCACAAAGTCTGTAAACGGCCTGGGAAGCATGTGTTGCATCGTCGTCGGGGTATAGTAGGATCTGGTCACAGCCCGAGCTCGTTTGTTAAATATGTGATCCGGGTCGATGAATGCAGTGGGATGAGCAATATGGACATGGATCCAGTACGTGTCCGGCAAAGCTGGGTGAGGCTCCAAAGAATAACCATCATCCTTGACCACCGTTTTAGCACTATCGACAATGAAGACAGGCATATCTCCTAGATCTTCACGCAAATGCCCCATGGAGTCTTGGAGCAATGCATGGCTCGCGTTCTGGCTCAGTCCAATTTCTTCGCACGTACGTTCAGACTCTGCAAAAATGGCGTCAATTGCCTCAGCCCCTCTCCTTTTGGCTAGAGGCATTGATGTATTTTGATCTGTTGGCTCAAACCACGGTGTCAAAACGCCCAACTCCTGGAGAAGAAGAGTGCCAATCTTGCGTTCGAGCCGCAGTTTGGGATATGCACCGATGGCACGAAGGATCAAAGAGCCGATAGAATGGTTTTTATTTCGATGTAGAGGTGTGGGTAAACGAGCATAACAGTCCCAAAGAAATTCTAAAACCTTCATGTCGTCCTCCGAAAAGACGGTTCCAGTGTCTTTTGGTTCAACATGTCGGCCAGTGGAAGGCTGGATCGAGCTTGGTCCTAGACTTCCAATCGTTGTGGGAGACCGCAGGTCTCGACTCTGCAATATCAAGCCTCGAGCCTTTTCGATGAACTTGGTCAGCGGATTCCGTGCAAGGAGCGAAGACACGTTCTTTCCCAAAGCTGCTTCCGCGGCAGCCTCCTGATATTCGCGAGCCCATGTGCAGACTTGTTCAAAGTGCTCTGCTGCTCTCCGAGGGATAATCGAAACTCTAGAAACGATCAATCCCATCGAAAACGACCGCATCAAAGTGGAGTCTTTCTTAGTTTGGAGGTAAATGCTCATCTCAGCCTCGAAAGGAACATCACCGGAAGTGTCGTTGAATGCCTCGGCGTAGATCTCAGCGTAAGTCAAAGTTCTATAAGCGTCATGGTGGGCAATCCGTTCATATAAAGAGTCCAGAATATCAAGATTGCTTCGGCGAAAGTCCAATACTAAATCGGCCAGCGTTGCAACACGTTGCATTAGAGCAGCACTTTCGTCGTGCGGTATATCGCCTGAAAAATTACGAGCGATAGGGATCTCCTCAATTCCATCCGTCCGCATGTATAAATGCTTGACTGGCAAATGTTTCTTGATAGGTCGCAATTCTTCCTCCGAAGCGAAGTTCTTATAAACAGGGGCGCACTTAAAGTCGACAGTAGAAGTGGTAACCCATCTGCCGTCGCTGAGGAACAGACGATGCTGGTTTTGTAGTACGGAATCCAAGTATATCGCCCACTGCCCCCGAGAGCCAGTGTGTCTTGCGTGTAGGTAGACGAGATCTCCTGGCCAGATTCGTGCTATTGCCTCCGTAGCTTCGACAGAGTCATCTAGCTGGTCAACATCCTGTTCAAGGGTGTCCTCGTCTGATGTCGTTTCTTCAATGAAAAGAGAATTCGGAAGGGTGTCCAGTCTATGTCCCTGGGCATACTGCGCCTCTGCGCCTTCGACCTTCTTCTTTTTGTTTTGGATCGTCCACGTCCGTAGGTGATCCCGAACCACGGACTTTGGAGATTGCGGACGGGTAGATTCTGAGCCAAGTATCGATTCGAGAACGGGAATAGACGGCACGGGAGCACTCTGTTCAGCCTCTGCTGACGACCTACGACCCGTCTGATCATGATACTGTCTCCTCTTGTTTTTCGATGTCCGCGCTTCCAACCCGGAGTTTGTGATCTTGTATGATCGCCATCGTGAATAGGCTGGTGGTCGACAAAGCAACTGTGAGTAACATTCAGGGCATATGTATGGTAGTCGCCGTGTTATCGAGGAGCGCACAGGGCTCGCTGTTGTCCACATGTCCAGCCAGAGGAGAAAGGTCGAGGTAACCAATGAGAAAAGAAGAGACTGAGGGAAAGCAACATCAAAGGAGACAACAATGAGACCAAATGCCTATAGTATCCAGGCAATTACTTCGCATCAGGTTCAGGTTCTCACAGTGATGTATCGACTGGTACTTCGTATGTATTATCGCCTCCCATACGCAGGCAGTTGAAAGTCGTCGAGACTTTTTTCTCCGCATCTCCAACTCATACGTGTCTTAGTAACAAATGCTCATCAAATGCATGAGTGAGTGAGTCAAGCCAGACCGCCACACTGCATACACTGCCTACACCTCCTGCAACTAAACTCACCCTCTCTTGTCCATGATTCTAGTTCTTCTTTCTATCTGGATGCATGTGCTTGAATACGCGAAGGGCCGTGAATATCAGAGCACATTTCAATCTTCCGCGCATTGAAAACGTCACTCCGTCGGTACCGATATATTCCTCCTACTTACTACCGTCACCATGCCTATGATACAACAGCCTGCGAACCAGATCAAATTGACCAATGTCTCACTGGTCCGCTACAAGAAGGGCAAGAAGAGATTTGAACTAGCATGTTACAAAAATAAGCTGCTCGAATACCGCTCAGGCACCGAGACCGATCTCGACAATGTCCTTCAAGTTCCCACCGTCTTCCTCAATGCATCCAAGGGCGAGACTGCACCAAATGCCGAACTTGCCAAAGCCTGGCCTATGCCACCATCCGAGTCCTCGCACAGTGGCAGGTCGGGCGGCAAGGGTGGGAAAAAGGGCAAAGGAAAGGCTGCAGACGAGGGCGAAGACGAGAAATCCTGGAAAGATTCCATTATAGAAGAGATTCTCAAAAAGGGTGAAATACAAGTCAATGCCAACGAGAGAAAAGAACTACTGGAACGGATGGAGCGAGAGATTGTTGAAGAAGTCGCCCAGAGACTGGTCGACCCACAGACGAAGAGGGTGTACACGACCGGAATGATCAAGAAGGGATTAGACGTTCTCACCAAGCAAGGCGGTCACGCCCCCCCTCAAGACTCACTTGGGCACAAACTCGGCAAATTGAACCTGGGAGAAGGTGGGAAAATGGGGTATGGTCTACCGAAAGGCTCCAGCGAGACAAGTGGTCAAGCCACCCCCATGACCGACGACGACAACGACTCGACGAGTGCCAGCACTAGAGGCAAAAAGAGCGACATGCCCATGTGGACCGGCGTCGTGACAACAAAGTCGGTGAAACAGCAAGCTCTTGAGGCCATCCGCGCATTGATAGCCTGGCAGCCCATCCCTGTAATGCGCGCGAGAATGAGGTTACGCATTACCTGTCCGACGAGTATCGCCAAACAGTCAGCAAAGTCCAAGGTGGCCGTGGCGGAAGGGAGTACGGACGGCGACCAAGGCAAAGGTACGGTCAAAGATAGGATCCTTTCATTCGTCGAACAAGTGGAAAGTCAAGACACGGCAGGTGATGAATGGGAGGTCATCGGGTTCGTCGAGCCAGGTGCCTTCAAGGCCTTGGGCGAGTTCTGCTCCGCCGAAACGAAAGGCCGAGGAAGGCTGGAAGTTCTCGATATGGCAGTAACACACACCGACGACTGAATTGCGATGCATGAACACCTACAACGAGGCGCACACACCTCTTGCAGCTATAAATCTCCTTTACGTCCCAAAAGATGACATGAGACGCTATGGACCGGCACCCCGATGTCGCGGCACATGACGATCGTCTCTCTGCCACGAGGTCCAGTCTCCTCCTACCACCCTGGACAAAACAAAACATGCTATAGATGGTAACATCCGTGGTTACGATGCATCACTCACCTAGAAAGGGTGCTGAGTCGGACATGGAAATCGGAGGCATGAGCCAAGTTAGGCAAAAAGAAACAAAAAAAAGGCCAAGGCTCCCACCCCCCAATGTGGGAGAGAGTTAATCATACTCTGACATGACACGAGAAGCATGGTCACAATGATCTATGAAATGAGGACGTTGTTCGGGGGGGTTCCGAGAGGCTTGCTTGCTTGCTGTATGCGACAAAGCCAATGTACTGTGTCACTCAACGACATCTCGCCTCTTCAACGATTGGGGTCGCCGTAGTTTGCAAAGCCTCGATGTTTCCCGCCCCGGACCGAAGTAGAGCCTTGACTCGTTGAGTGGTTATTCACTATAAATATACCTCACATGATCATCATGTTACACCCTCCAAGAAAAAAAGCACGAGCGCGAGGAAAAAGGCCAGAACGATCCCACCAAACCCCCAAGTCATCATTGCGTTAATTTCACCACACAACATGGATGGGACATGGGGTGGTGAGCCGGGTTACTTATCAGGTCCGTCGAGGCAATAAGAGACCGACACCGCCCATGTTTCCTTACCAGATGACAAGGCTGAGCAGTGAGGTGGCCTAAGGAATGGAGTACGTCTTTAGATGGCCTGTTTGTGAGACACATGGTATACAGCACGAAACTTAACGATTTCAAAGTCAAGCATATTTTTGTCATGGTTCATTTAATCATTCATTCGTTGAGTGAGGGCAAACCCCTTTGCTCAAGCTCGTTGTCGTTTCCTTGGATCTTGCCGTGTGGTTGAGTATCAGGGTCTGTCCCCAACCAAGGTGACAGGAGAATAGAACGTCTATAATGCCGCCGTTCAAACCCCTTCAAGTTAAGATGGTTCAAGTTCCCATGCTCCACGACCCATGTTGTTGTTATTGCTCGTAATTCGAATCCACGCCTCGCCCACAAATGTCGTGCCATGCCGTTCCCTGTCGTCAAAAGTTCGCGCCATACCGTGCTATGCCATGCCGATAAGAACCCCCAAAAATCCCAAAATCCCAAATCCCCAGCTTTCCTGCGCCGGGAGTAAAATGCTGTTCGAACACGAGATGTCGAACACGGTTCGTGATAAATCCAGCACACAAGCCAAAGGGACCGTATCCGCCAGGTCGTGTCGTGCTTTTGTTAATGTGTACAAAATCTTTTGTATAACCAGTATAACGAACCCATCACCAACGCCACTTCTTTTCCATAACGTCGTGTGTCCCATCATGTTCATCAAGACGCAATCGCACTCCTCCGGCCCATCCGCACCGGTGGCTCATCGTGGTTTCTGAAATCTCGAGACTTCAAGGTCGCTCTCGTCATTGCTTGCTCCAGCTCCTCCGCGGTGAAAGGGGTGTCGTGTGCGGTTGTCTGCTTCGTCAATACGATCTCGGGGATGTCCAGCGCGACACCGCTGTCGTGTTGCGTCAAGCCCGAGGCGGTCGTGTTGTACTTTGGGTTCTGTTCCGCAGGAGCCGAGGATACGGCGGTGGGTTGATCGGATATGCTTGCTACAAGAAAAGAAAGTCAGTTTCTTGGACGATAGCGCAGGTACGGGGATATGATAAGGGGAGAAGGAGCAACATACTACTGGCAGTCTCGACGTCCAGGGCCGTGCTGGCGGTGAGGCTCTTCTCCCTGGACGTGCTTCCGCTGGAGCTCAGGCTCTCCATATGAGTTTCCGTACGGAGCCCAGAATGTGAGGGTCGGCGACTGGGCGCTCTGCTTTGTATTCTGCTCTGAACTCTGCTTGGTGCACGACTGTGGACCCTACTCGCCGCCCTGCTCTGGACTCTACTTGGTGCTCTGCTCGTCGCTCGACTCTGTGCTTTTGTGCCACCGGGGCTGAAAGTGCCCGAGAGGGCAACACTCGACCTCCGCTTGACTGAGGCAAAGGCGTCGGCGAGGCTGAAGGCGGCAAGGCTGGCGGCATGCTCGGGGTCTACCTTGCCTCTGTACTTGGACCGCGGGATCTCATGGGGCTTATAGTACTCTATGTCTGTGCGGTCGGTGTAGTACGTTTCGCCTGGAGTAGGAGTGTGATGAGTTTCGGGATTGGGCTTTTTATGAGACGACGAGAATGTTTTTCGTAATCTTAATCGGAGACCCATGTTGATGTCTTGAGGAGAAAGTCGGAAGACTGAGGGAAAACGAGGTATATGGTGTCAAGAAGGGTGTACCCTGAGGGTTGTCTGTATCTTCGTATGGTGGTTGAGGTTTTGTAGGATCAAACTGTTTCGGTCTTAGGGATAAGAGATCGGTAGAAGTAGGAGGGAGAGGCAAGGAGTATACAAGCAGGTCAAGGCTATAACAGCTGGCACATAAGTGATTCGACCACCTCCGGATAGATAAATGAAGCTTGGAGTTAAAGAAGAGTTTCTTCAATCAGAACCAGACAGGAAGGATGACAAGACAGAGGGATCGATAGTACGGTTAGTCGAAGCCTGGTACAAGTACAGTACGGAGGAGACTCAAAGGCAGTGGGGGCCGGGGTGTTTGGACATAAAACCAGCCCAAGACGATAGCTGGAATTGCGCATCATTGACGGATTCGCCGTAGACATATTGTGCTAAGGATGAGAGAGTGTTGCACTCCGAGTTATGCGTAGATTGTGAGCGGGTGTAGTATCCACTTGTAGACATCATCTTTATCGCTGAATTCAGGTGTTGTAACGTGCGAGGGCTCCGTATGAGACGTACAGAGGACGTTGAGAGGCCAGAGCAGCTTGAAAGGATAAGCCTCGACCATCCGATAATTCCGCCGCAGGACCGCCCGATAGGTTCCTTGACGTTCCCAAGTGGCCAGAGGCCCGGGCGGCGGACCTTAAGGGCTCCTGATGGCTCCTGAGACAGGCCCCATTGGTGCAGACGCCCGCCTCCCGGTGGGCTGGCAATCCTACCTCACTAAACCCGTTGCTGCTTCTTCTTCCTCCCTGTTTTCTCCAGATTTGCCGTCGTTGCAATGCAACCCGCTTGGAGGCATGGGAACGCCCCGTGGTTGGGATCAAAAGCAATCTCCGATGTTCAGGTGATATTGCAGGGAGAGCAGGCCACGGTTTGTTTATGCAAGTACAGTATGCGAATGGGTCGCCAGCTTCGCAATAAACAACGATCTGCATCTCGTGTCACCAGCACAGAAGGGCCGGTGTCACCTTCTAGAAAAACCTTCTTTCCAGGGGGATCACAGCCTATTCTGTACTCGCCGAGGTCTGGTTGGGTGGCGAGACTGTGGTGTGCTTGTGCCTTGCATTGGGCGCCTCGCTGGGCCCAAACCTGGTGTTGGCGATTTTATCTGGGCATCGCTTGATTTCTGTGCCGTGCCGCGTCAGACTTGGCTCGAGGTTGTGAATCTCACACACGCCATTCAAGGACCTTGTTGTACTTTCTGGACTCGTCCGAGTACTGGTAAGGATTCGTGTCTTCTTGAGATAGAAATGCTCTAGGTCTAACACTAGAGTCCGGGACGAACAACCATTCAAGACATCTATCGGCAGGTAACGAGATCGAACACGAGGTGTTCGTTGGTCGATTAGCGAGTGATTCCTATTGTAGAATTGTTTGCCGCAGTGACATGTGCCTGTGGACTGCTGATAAGAAACCTCTCCGGTGGCAACAAGGGGCACAAGGAGGCACAGAACTCGTACTCGTAGGCTCTTGTCACCATACAGTACTTCGTACGAATACGGAGTACCCATCATCATAACGGGAAAAAGTCGGAGCGCAGGGGAAGCGTCTTCCACGTGACAAGAGATCACATGGGTATCACGTGCAATCTCTCTATCTCAGCCTACAATATTCGACATGTCGTCATCTTACTCTGTGTTTCTATCGTACCGAAATGTGTGTCAGCCTCGAATTTACGGGGAGTATGACAACCCTTTTCCTATTGTCGTGCCTTGAAATTGATCAAAACTAATGTGGCACGTCCTTCAATACTCGTGCTCGAATGGAGTACAAAGTACATCAGCCAAAGTGGGCAAATGATGTGCAGCAGTGCGACACACTGGCGAATCCTCATCCACCAAGTCAAGTCCCTGTCGCTCAAATTGTCCGTTTTGGCTGAGCCATGACTTCATAACAGGTTTTCCTCCTCCACCAGACAGCTGAACTTCCCACATCTCGACTGGTTCAACCAACAAGTCGTTCTCCTCTAATGATCCCTGGCCATCACTGTTTTGGCTGGCCCATCACTGATCGCGAATCTTGGATATTCGCTACCCCACAAACTCGCTCAGTGGCTGTCCACAGGCCTTGTTTGTTCGGTGGCTTGAAGATGATGCCCTTGACGTATCGAGCTGGTGACATACACAGTACTCGTACAACCAAGATCACAGGTTTTTGACCACCAGGAATGATGACGCAACCCCAAACAAGACATTACGAAGTTGAGCTTCACCGCGTTTTTCTTCCCTTGCGGTCTTTATTGATGCTTTGAGCCCTTCCTCAGCTTGTAGAAACTTTGCCTGTACTGCTGGTTGCTACTAATTGACAGAGAGCAGCAAAGATATGGACAAGGTGAAATCCGTGCTGTGAGTGCTGACTTGAATCCACTGTGCGTCATCATAGCCTGACCAGGAGGTGCGACGACAGCCATTCCAACAAAGAAGATCCAGAACCATCTACAAGTGCAGGTCCTAGTGGTCGAATGACTGGACAGGGATCCCATTTTCCACAGGCAGAAGACACGATCTCTTCAGGTGGTGGTCCAGGTGAGTGCCTCATACTATTCTCATACCTTTGCTGTCCTTACAGAATCTCTAACTCGTCTTCAGGCTTGGACACACGTCAACCAGCCCGACAAAACCCTGACGACGGACTCGGCACTGCTGCCATTGGCACGACATCTACTTATAGCTCACACTACCTAGCCAAAGGAGATCCGGTTGGCAACGTCGCTGATCCCCAGTCGGCAGATCCTACGACTTACAAAATGCCTGAACATATGTATGGCTCCTCCGGCACCGGGGTGCCCGAGGGTGCAGCAGGCACCGCAGCATCCCTGGCCTTCAACAAGGACAGACAACAAAGTAGTATGTACACGGCTGACATGGATTCTGTTTGACAGAATATTGACGAGAGTCTAGCTTCGCAGATTCCGGGCGCTTTCCCTAAAGACGAATCTTCTCCCCACGATTCAACTCGAGCAGCTTCAGCAGCTACGTCGGGCTTCACTGGGTCTGGTACTACACGAGATCCTTACGGGTCAAGGGGCCTCGAAGCTGCCTCTGGAGGAGCGGCAGGCACGGGTGGTTCCAGTAGCTTGGGTCAAGGGGTCTCTGCTGCCGCGGCCGGTGTGGCCACTGAAAATGCACTTTCTCGCGGTGGCACAACTCACGATGCGACCACAATTGCACCCTCGGGTCTAACATCAACCACGTCACCAGCCGATCGCTCTGCTGGATTTGGTGCAGCCGAGAAGACGAAGGTTCCCGATGAGACGGCGACCGGATCAAACCAGGGTGGGACATTTGGAAAGATCCTTGGAGCCATGGGCCTGGGAGCAGCAGCTGGTGGTGCGACCGCAGCTGCGACCAGAGGAAGAGAAAATGAGAAGCCTGATGCAGTGTCGGGCACTCCAGACCAACCTACAACTACAACGGGCGTGAGTTCATACACTGCTCCTACCGAATCTACACCCAGTACAGCAGCAACACAGCCGCCGACCCATTATCGTAAGGAGAGTATTCCGACAAGCGCCTATCCTGCTGGCCAGGATTCTCCTGCTCCCATTAATCCTCCAGTAGGTGGCACGGCAGCCGCTGTCAATGAGCGAGAGCACAAGGACCATACCGGCCGCAACGCAGGCCTTGCTGCGGCCGGTGTTGGTGCAGGAGCTTTGGGAGCTCATGAACTCGGGAAGCACAGATCAGAACCAGGAGAAATCAATGAGTACAGCATTGGCTCCAGTGCCCAGAACACGACTCCAGCTGCACCGTATGCTCCTGCAACAAGTACTGGTACTGAAAGAGGCATGGCTCAGGGTCAGACAACGGCAACACCCTACAACGACTCAACTCCGGAGAGTGACTCGAAGGGGTATGGTAAGACTGCTGCTGCCGCTGGTCTTGGTGCTGGCGCAGCTGGCGCTGGTGCCTATGCTCTGGGACACGAAAGGAATAAGCCAGAGACCGGAGACCTTCGAGCAGAGAAGCCCTACACATCTTCTGAATCTGCTACTCAGCCTCCGGCTACCACTTCCCAACTGCCTGTCCGCGAAAAGCAAGCTGGCCCAGCAACAACCTCGACTTCTGGAGAATATCCCACGGAACATACTCCAGCAGCAGATGATCGTCGCACTGGACGCAACGCAGCTCTAGCAGGTGCTGCTGGTGCCGGCGCTGGTGCTTACGGGGCCCACGAATACAACAAGCATCGCGCTGCAGAAGATCCATCAGTAGGCCGCCAAGGACCAACTACCAGTACCAAGGATACAAAAATAGCTCCTGTCGCCGCTTCCTCGCAGCCTGCAGTTGAGAGATCTACCAGAAATGATCCAACTGCAGCGCCGGAGCAAGACAAGAGTCATGCCGGTCGTGATGCTGCTTTGGCAGGTGCTGCGGGCACTGGTGCCGGTGCTTATGGTGCTCACGAGTACAACAAACATCATGCGGAACAAGACCCGTCAGCAGCCCGGCAAGTACCTACTACTAGTACCAAGGACACCAGCGCGGCACGCAACGACACAAAGGCAACCCCTATTGCAGCCTCTTCGGGACCGACTTCGGACAAGGCCGCCAGAACTGATCCAGCTGCCCCAGAGCAGGGGGAGAGTCACACCGGCCGTGATGCCGCTCTAGCTGGAGCCGCCGGCGCCGGTGCTGGGGCTTACGGTGCCCATGAATACAGCAAACACGAGGTTGGACAGGACGCTGCCAATGCCGAGGCTCGACGACAAAAGGATCTCGCTGAGCAGGAGGCAGCTCGCCAAAAACAATTCGAAAAGGATCAAAAGGCAGCAGAGAAGCAGGCTCACAAGGAGGAGAAGCAACACCAGAAGGAATTAGCAAAGGAGCACAAGGCACAAGAAAAGGCCGCGGCCAAGGAGGAAAAGGAGCATCAAAAGGGGCTTGAGAAGGAAGAAAAGAAACACGATAAAGAGCTTGCCGCTGGCGAGGCCGAACATGAGAGGCATCCCAAGAAGGAGGAACAGCCTGGGGCTGGCGTTGAGGCTGAAGAGGCTGAAAGGCACAGGCGTCGTGAGAAAGAAGCCGCGGCCGCCGCTGCAGTCGGTGGAACCGGTGCTGCCGCCGCATACGGTGCCCATGAGCACGACCAGAAGTCAGATGCACAAAAGCAACACGAACAAGAATCTCTGGACACTGCTTATGGCATCGGAAAGCAGTCGGCCGGTAGTCAGGGAGGACGCCCTGCTGTCGTCGCCGACGATGGTGGTCATAACGTTTTGCACAAGGACCCTCCTCACGAGGAGAAGAAGCCCAACATCTTCAAACGCATCTTCAAACGACGCAAGAACAAGGACACTGGTGAAGAAGAGGAATACAGCACCGATGACGATGAAGATCACGGTCACGGTCATGACGGTCGCCACGCCGCTGAAGCAGGAGTTCTGGGTGCCGGTGCCGGTGCTGGAGTCGCAGGTGCAGAAACCTCTCGCCACGAGCCTGGTTCAACCACTTCTCGCATCAGTACAGAGCAACACCATGGAAGTTCTTACGAGGAACAGAGTGGTGGTCTCCAGAAGCCATCTTACAATCCCTTTTCCAAGCAAAGCCCGACATCGGCAAACTATGGACAACAACAACAACAGGAGCCTGTCGCCGCGGATCCCAGCCACAGCGGTCCAGGAGTAGGCAGGACAAACACGTCGACGACGACCGACCATGCTCGTTAAGAGAGGGTCTCTTATGGATCAACAAAATTGGTCCGGCGAATACGAACGACCCCTGAGCAAGAGTGATTACGATGATACCTTCCCAGTGTTCACAAACGAGTTTTCTTTTTGTTCTTGTGGGCTTCTGGCCTTTGCCTGTAAACAAGTATACGAGACTGAGAATTTGGATTTCGGTAGTAATGTTTGCCTAGTTTTGCCAAATGGAACCCCAAAGAGTGGCTCAATTGTACCAATGGTTCTGTTCATACGGTGACTTCGGAAAGGCTTCATTGATGATTCGTGCCGTCGAGGAATACTTTGGTACGTTTTAATGACCGCACGACAAGTGGTTTGCCGCCGCGATTTGGAATATAATTGATAATACCTTGGACTCCTCAAAAGTCCGGTCGACGCGCGCGACACTGTTTGCACCCTCCCGATCACTCCCTACTCGAATACATTTTAAATGTTCGACCGTCGTTGCATTCGTTTCTTTCACATGCGTCTTCTACCTGCTACTAGAAGACTCGACTTGCGGGGTTAGGAAAAAAGACGATCGTACCAGTGTCTACGGAGTACGTGTGAATCAATTACACTTGGGCAGGTGAAATAGACAAGTCAAAGGTTGGCAAGTTCAGATGTGGCCAATGCAACACATTTTGTTTTATTTCTTCCTTCTTCTGGTCTCTCTCTCTCTCTCTCCCTCTCGTCGGCAAGGAATTTCTCTTTATAAGTAGCGGCAGTAGCAGATAGTATCATGTTACCAAGTTATAAATACCTCGCGAACGCCAATGCTACTTTTTTCCGAATAATGTTACAAAAACCCAGCCCACCCCCGACCTTGCATTTCATGCTTTCGTGCCCTTTTTTTTGGTTTCCTTGGATGGCTGTGCGCAAACTTGTCTCGATGTAGTGACTGACCTCCGCCCCTGGTCCATGGGCGGTCAATGCAATCCCGGGGGAATCCTTTGCGATGCAGGCAACAACAGACAAAATTACACGATACGGGCTTTTTTCTCCGTCCTCAGGCGTCGCGAGACCCACAACTCGTTGTTCCTCTCGTGTGTCGCACTCTGCAAAACCAAGACCTTGCAAGATCAGGATCGAGAATCGAGAATCTAGAATCACCAAAGACTCGACTCTTGCACTGCTGGAGGGTCGCAAGCCAACATTAAACTCTCTCTGCCTCTCCATCGTCCCATCCCTCGCGGTTTCGATAATATCGGCCATCGAAAAGGAAACAACCGATATTCGATTAGATCCTCAACATTGACCTGGCACTTGGCAAGTCGGACTCAAATCTCAGAACCGGAATCCGTCGACACACGATTAAAAGGGTCCAAAGCCTTTTTATCCTGAGCTCGCTCCTAGCGACTCCGTTTGGTATACAACCTAGCCGCGATGTTCATACTCCAAAGTTCCTGGAACAACAACTTGGCGGCGTAGGGCAGATAAATCTGGCTGATTTTGTTCTTATTATTGCAATTCTTGCACTCGAAGGTGTTCTTTTTCAATTTCGCAATCACCGTCATCAATCCGCAAATGTCGCACACGTGAACCCTGAACGGGTCTGAGACGTCGAAGAGACGTTCCTTCAGGAAGGAGCTGGCGCCATGGGCAATCATGCAATCGCGCTCCATTTCTCCGAAACGCAAACCACCATCCCTTGCTCGACCTTCGACGGGTTGTCTGGTCAGGATCTGGGTTGGACCACGGGCGCGCGAGTGGATCTTGTCGTCGACCATGTGTCGGAGGCGTTGGTAGTACGTGGGGCCCAAAAACACTTGCGCAACGAGCTTCTTGCCCGTGTGCCCGTTGTACATGACTTCAAACCCACGAGATTGGTAGCCCATCTTCCTCAAGATATCCGAGATCTGAGTGACTGTGACTTTGGTGAACGGAGTAGCGTCACCTTCTTCTCCACGCAAAGTAGCGACTTTGGACAGCTGACACTCAATCAAATGGGCAATGGTCATTCGAGAAGGAATGGCGTGTGGGTTGATGATCAAGTCTGGCACGATACCTTCTCGGGTAAAAGGCATGTCCTCGTGGCGATAGGTGATACCGATAGTACCTTTTTGACCATGACGGGATGCGAACTTGTCACCGATCTGGGGAACCTTGGTAGTTCGAACACGGACCTTGGCAAACCGATGGCCGTCATTGGTCGTGGTCAGCATGACCTGATCGACAATACCTGACTCGGTGGACCGTAGGGGTGTCGACACGTCGCGCTTGACGTGCTGTTTCTGTCGTTGACCCAATTCTTCTGCATCCGGAGCCATGGGGGCTGTTTTACCCATGATGATGTCCTCGCCACTAACACGAACACCCGGAGCCACGATACCATCTTCATCGATCTTGTCGTATGTGCCATGCTTCAATCTCAAAGTGTCGGCTCTCGTAGGCTTCTCAAATGACTCAATGACAGCATGCCCGACGCTCTTTTCTTGGTCCTGGTACGCACGATAGAATAGTGACCGGAACAGACCACGATCGATTGAACTCTGGTTCATTATAACAGAATCTTCTTGATTGTAGCCGGAGTAACAGGCGATGGCGACAATGGCATTCTGCCCAGCCGGGAGTTCTCGGAACTTCAGATAATCCATTGCCATTGTTCTTGCAAGAGGCTTCTGAGGATAGTAGAGAATGTTGGCCATTGTTTCCATACGTTGGTCGAAGTTTGTGAGGAAAACGCCCATAGCTTGTTTACCCATGGCGGATTGATAGGTGTTACGAGGCGATTGGTTGTGGTCGGGGAAAGGAATGATACTGGCGCAGACGCCCAAAATCATACTGGGGTGAATTTCGCAATGGGTGAAAGAGTGCGAGTTTGGCGTAAGCAATGGTTCGTTTCTGCCCAGCGGATCGTCAAAGTTTTCAATCTCCATTCCTAGCCATCTTGCCTTCGAATCGGCCAGGACTTCAGGCGTCATGACAATCATGGCTGTCTCTTCCTCCTCCGCGTCCAAGTACTCGACGACACCAGCTTTGAGCAGGTCATCCCAGCCGTATGCGCTAAACTCATCGTTAAATTGGTACCCGCCTTCTTTCAGATAATTGGTCTGGTCGAGCTTGTTGATATGCTCCTTGTTCAGAACCAGATTGCCAACGTTTTCGGATGCCTTATCGGTCTCCACAACGAAGAGCGGGCGGATTATCCTGCCAGAGTCACCAGAGATCCTGAACTCCTTCTCTCTGATATCCCAGACCAAGCTGACTTGGGCATCGAAAGTGCCCTGTCTTCGAAGTCGGCGAAGATCGTCGACGAGTCGCTTCGGATCTCTCAGGACCACTGCAAACCACACGCCGTCGATAAAGATCTTTGTGGCTTGAGGGTTTAACCTGGGTTCCCATTCCTCGATGGCGTCGACGTGCTTGTTCAGGACATAGGCTCTCAACGGTTCAGTCTCGTAGGAATTTGTAACCATTGACATCAAGGACAAGTTCTTGACCAGGCCACAAGCCTGACCTTCAGGTGTTTCTGCAGGACAGACGTAACCCCAATGAGTGTTGTGGAGCTGACGCGGTTTGGCAATTTTCCCTTCACGACCGATGGGTGCATTTGTTCGACGAAGATGTGACAGAGTTGAAGCAAAAGTGTATCGACTGAGCACTTGAGAGACACCCGCTTTGGCCTTATCGAGCTTCTTCTGATCACCCCAATTACCAGTGGCGAGTGAGTATTTCAAGCCGCTTGTGATGATGGGGTGCTTGAAGCCGGCGTGAATGCTGATCGGCTGGCCAGCTTCGACACGTTTCTGCATATAACGGAAAAAGTCCTTGGTGGCTTTGTCGAACTGCAAGCGGAAAAGATTGGTCATTAGTGGTCCGGCCAGGTCCAATCGTTTCTTGCCGAGATGATCTCTGTCGTCTGGTTCGGCACGTCCAAGAGCGGCCTTAAGCAGTCGATTCACCATGTAACCAAGGAAGAAAGCCTTCTTCGTAGCAACATCAGGACCCTGTCCAATGTGCGGCAAAAACTCCTTCTGCAGAATATCTATAGCATGCTTCTGTCTCTCGTGGCTCTTGAGGGTGGGAATATTGCCACGTCGCGCGATAAAGTCTCTAGCCAGGTCGGCGCTCTGAATGGGTTGACCTTCTTGCAAAGAACCCATCAGCATATCGAGCATCTCTTTGTCACTCTGGTCAAAGCAGATCTTCTCCAGGATGTCGGCATCCGAGACGATATCCAACGCTCGAAAGACAATGACAAGTGGGATATCCTGCTTGACATATGGCAATTGTACCCGGATGGGGTTGTCGATCTTGGTCCCGTCAGGGCCGTCGACTCTGCGGAAGAGCTTGACGGTACATTGAGACATCATTCGAGCACCGCGATCAATGACGGATCTGATTTCGGCGAGATGTGTAAAAGGCGCAGGCGCGGCCTTCTGGAACACTTGCACAATGTTTCCAGCACTTCTCTCTTGAGCGATGAGCACCTTTTCACTGCCGTTGATGATGAAATAACCTCCCTGATCGTAAGGGCATTCGCCCCACGCGAAGAGGTCCTTGTCACTTTGGAATCTTTCACCCTTCAGATGGCATGTCATACTTCGTACCATGATCGGGATTTTCCCAATGTAGACATCTTCCTCTTGATTCTCATCACCCTCTTCGAAGCCTTCGCGCCAGAAAAGCTCAGAGCCGTCATCCCTCATCACGCCTTGATCCGCGCTCTGGTCATCCCACGGTCTCTCTTTCGCGTACCAAGTCTTCTTGCTCATCTTCACGTAGACAGGACTCGCGTACGTGAGGCTTCGTAATCGCGCTTCGTGCGGCATGCAGTCTGTCGTGGTGCCATCTCCTTCGACCATGTTGGGCTTGCTGAGCGTGACTTTGCCGAATTTGACCTCGTGTCTCTTGATGACAATCGGGTTGGGATCGTCATCTTCGACATTCTGTGCGTGGTCCAGCGTGACGCCTCCCTTTTCGTTGACCAAATCTTGTAAACCGGACCTCATGAAGTGATTGAACGAGTCGATCTGCATGGAGGCGAGTTGCTTAATGTCGAAGAAGGAACTGATGACTTTCCAGCAGTCTTCAGAGGTGATGTCTTGGTCCGCAACCTCCTCCCCGTAGTAGTCGCCGACATCTTCGTACTTCTCCATCTTGACGGTGCAGGCGAGGTAAGATGGAGAATGAAGAATGAAGTCGTCCAGTCCGTCTGGAAACTTTTGAGAAATATCGCCTTCGAGATCGCGACTCGGGAATGAAGCGCCAGGCGCAGGCTTGGCATTAGCGCAGTCACGTGAAAATCACTGCCTGCAAACAAAATATGGCTTACTCATCAGCCTTATAGAGTACAAAGGTTTATTAGAATCCACAACTTCAACATTGTCTACCGTACCGTATTCGTACGAAACGAATCGAGCAATATCGAATCGCAATAGCCTCGAGCATACGATTGACATTCCCCCGTTGCCATGAGTCAGCATTGGTGGCCTCTCTCCTCACAACCAACCTTACGTGCGTACCTGGAAAACACGGAGCCCTCGCTTTCAGTATTACGCTCCGGTGAGATTGGTGGAGACTCAAACGGATCACGATTGTTTGACTCGAACGGTCTTCAGTGCGTCAGCTAGATGATCATGTCGTAAATCCTAAAGGAACGTCAAGGATGTCACCGTGACGGTCTTCGGCATACTCCCGACCTCCCTTAGATAGCTGGGTCCGTGTTCTTTGCGAGTCGAGTAACCATTCCGTCAGCCTCCCGGCACTCTCTGCCTTTATATACCTCCCGTCTTGACCGTGGATGCCCTTCAGATGAGAAGGATTGACAGGTCACTTATTCAAGGCCTTATTTAACTTTCTTCATAGTGTCACAAACGGTACAACTTCTCTCCCTCCGCAACGATGCACGGCTCCTGCAACTGTGGCGTTGTCACTGTCGAGGCCAACATTCCTCAAGAGGAGAAGCCAAATGCCATTGTCTGCCACTGCAAGAACTGCAAGAAGACAAGCGGTTCAGGTATAGATTTGCCCTGGCACATTCCCTTGCTAGTCTGCTGGATTTTGACATTGCTTTCCATGTCTAGTTGGAGCATGCATCCTCATCCTCCCTCTTGCAGATCTCAGCATCTCTGGACCGATCAAGTCTTACGAAGACAAGCAGACAGACACTGGTCGCTCGGTCCATCGACATTTTTGTGAAAATTGCGGCTCGCCAGTGTTTGGTTTACTCAAGGAGGTATTCCCTGACAAAGCGTTCGTGAGGACAACGCTCTTCGATGAGTTCGAAACCGCACCACCAACTCCAGCGTTGGAATTGTACACCAAAGACCGCTGGGTGTGGAATCAGCCAATTCCCAATGCCCACCAGGTTGAGACTCAGATGTGACATGTGAGCCTCCCAGTCACAGGGCCTGCGATGGGGACTGCTAAGTGCGTCGAGTTACAGACTACGACGACTCTGTGGCATGCCTGTGCCTTGGCCGTCGCCTCGGCCACTAGCTCATTTGCGGCGGGTGTGTTTGGATTCGTGGTCCTCATTAGGCATCTTCGTCATTGATGCTCGAAGAATACGAGGTTTTGGGTAGCAGGAATCACTGCAAACATGCGCACCGCCATGGGAGATGCGCACGAATGGCGAAAACAAGAAATCGAGACGGGTATCATGCATTATGTATTATCGTCAAAAGTCATACATTTGTTGCTGGTCCCCGATTAGCTGTCATGCGCAAGCATAAATACTAGCAATCATTGCTCAACGCACAATAACAATGCTTCCAGCATTTCTTCAGTGGCCTTGCCTCCCTCGCCCTGACCAACCTCCATGCCATCCAACTGATCGCGCAAGCTGCGCTCCAAGACCTTCAGCCCATCTTCCCCAAGAAGAACAGTTATGGTCTCTCGGGCGCCAGTATCCTCCGCTACCATCCAGCTCAGAATAAGTTCGAGAGCTTGTAAGGAGAAAAGTCCTGCATCGAGTCGGCGAGACAACCATTCGTCTGCATGCTCCTCTAGTTGTGCCTCGTCCATGTCCTGTCGCTCCCTCTGGATTTGTGCGTCGGTCTTGATCAGCCGTGTCTTGTACTCTTTCCGAAGTTCCACCAGTTTGTGAGTCTTCTCGTAATTGTTTTCGACGAATTTTGCGAGGGTACGAATTCGTTCAGCTGTTCCGCCCGGGAGGTACCTCAGTAAGCTTGCCAAGATACCGATCAGATGTTCCAGCAGACTTCTTTCCATCTTATGGCTTTTCATGAGCATGCCAAAGATCGTCTTCAAACCAGCTGCATCGACGAATTTCATCGAGACGGCCACGGCATTAGCGCCGCTCATGGCGTGGTCGAGCACTCTCAACGCGCGTGCTTTGGCTAGTCTTCCTTCTCGCAGCATGATGAGACATAATTCGACGCCTTCGCCCTCGATGAATTTATCGGCCGGAAGTTTCTCTTCCACAACACAGGCCAAGCAGTCGAATAGATTCTCGGCGTATTCTTCCTCGTCGGAATCTTTCTCTGGATCCCGTTTGCGGTATACGCTCAGCAGTTCGAGCAAGGTATCAACTCCCTCTTTTCGTGCGAACCTCTCTCGGTTGGCCCTGCTGCTTTGGAGAAGAATGGCCAAGAGTTCGGCGGCATACTGCCTATTCTGTCCCACCTTTCCACGGGCAGTTGGGTCGGCCTTCTTGACCCGTACAAGCAGCCACGACATGAGCCCATCTTTGGAGCCAGCCACCTCCTGGTACTGTGTATCCGAAAGTATGTTCTCCAACACGTTCAGGATGTGGTAGACGCCAGCACGATCGCTCTCATTTGCTTCATCCAATCGTCCCAGGTTACTCACCAAGAGATCGATCAGATCTGCCTTGATCATTGCCTGCGCCAGTGACTTCCATTGCTCTTCATTTGTTGAGGAGTCCTCGTCGGTCAACTCAGCCAGCAACTCGCACACTGCGATGGCGATGTCTGTGTTTTCATGTGCGAGCAGTCCCACTAGACTCCCCACGCAGCCCAGCTTGACGAATTCCTCGTACAATTCACCATGTTCGCTGAGAAGACTGAGACCTTTGATTTCCGCATCGAGATCGGCTTCGCTACCCACGAATTTCATAGGCTCGCTTTCATACTTCGCGCGTAGTTCCGCATTCTTGTTGATCTTTCGCTCGAAGTTGATCGCCGTCCGCCGTAACCAGGCAGAATCAACCTTTTCTTCAACATCATCGCCTTCGTTTTGTTCAAGAAAGTCGATCACTTCGCGTTCTTGCTTTGTTACACCACCGCCAAAGAAGCGGCCTTCATCGTCGTCGCCGGCTTCGTCCTCTACGTCATCCTCGCTCGGAGGCCGCGCAGGTCCGGCTTCAACGTCCTCTTCGTCAAGAATTTCGTCTTGGACAAATGCCCCTTTTCCATTGGAACCAGAACTGGGCGTAGAAGACTCATAACCGTTGCTTCGTGGAGATGATCCGTCGGTCAATTTGGAGGATTTGTTAGAGAGGGCATGAGAGAAGGTGGTATTAGGGTCTTCCAACTTGCGTTTCGGTAACGCATTTGGCTTGCGAAAGATCTCATCAATCGAGGTCATCTTCCAGAGATGAGATGCAATTATTCAAGGCATGTTTAGAGGCACTGATTCAAGGAGACAATATGTTGCGGATTTTGTGAAAAAGTGTCAACGGGATGTTTCGCTCTCCAAACCATCTCGCCGGACTTGCCTAATACGGGATGAGATGGGAAATTCTCGGAAGCCGCACCCTCAGCCTCGTTGCCGGCAACTTTTCACTATTTTGTTCTTGTATTAACGCATCCGTGCATCCGGCCGACAATTACTCCGTATTCTTATTTGATTCACTATTCACTATCATACGGAGTAAATCTTTCTCAATGTGATCGGAGTTTCTCGTTGAACCATGAGCCTTGCCCGTCTCTTACCGTCTGTTGACACTGGACTGGCCATCACCAGCCGTCAACCTATTGCTTAGAATTGGCGTAACTCGATATAATACGGAATACACCAAGTAGCACCGTTATCGGCCACTTCGTCCATGAATATTGATTCAACAAAGCAGTGGGATCCGGAGAAAACCGCTTGCGAAATACTCTTCTCTCCAGTGCGGCTTGAATCTTCAAGACTCAGTCAACACTGCTAGAGAAATATCAAAGCCATCTTGAAAGCCTCATCTTTGACTGTAATTGTCCAGAAATCAGTTACGCGGACAATATTGTGCGATATTATATCCGTATACAAGTATCTGCACCTCATATGTTTCACACAACCCAGGCGAGTATTAATATTCCATCACATACTCTGTACTAGGGATATCACCATATCAATATGACTATTCTTGTTTTTCCTGGCCATGGAACTCAAGGACCTGGCTCTTAAGAATTCCACATTCCTTCGTGCGCACGCCTTCCAATTGGTTTCCGGCAGGGACAATAGATGCAGCTGTGGTCATTCCCGGAGCGTCGCTATCGGACAGTAGTCGGACTCACTCTCGAGACTCCGTCCCATGCAGAAAGTACCAACACCAATGCTAAAAGCCTGACCATTCCCGTATGTACAAATGACTCCCGGCTGTATATACACTTTTAAAACATCAACGTTGTCATCTGCCATTCCCATTTGTCATCCGCAGAGAGGCAGGAACATTCGGCCCATTTTGGGCTTTGAGGAAGGGCTCCACGGCTGCTGAGACAGGTGTGCTCGTCCTGGTAGGAGCGGCACTCCTGTTATGCGCCATATGAGCCTTCACCAGGTGTCCTGCACGCAGAGCAGCACACAAGCTGAGTTCACCTGCGAGGACAGCTGCGGCGATGATTCTCGCGAGCTGTCGAGCATTATCACCGGGTGTGGTTTGGTGAGCGCCACGAACTCCAAGCAGATCGAGCATCGATGATTGAGCTTCCAGGATGGTGCCTCCACCAATTGTCCCAACTTCGAGACAGGGCATTGATACACTGATCTGAAGATTTCCATTGTTGCTAGAACTTGTTAGATATGTTCATGCAAGATGACATGTGGAGACTTACTTCTTCATGAGGGTCATGCAGCTGGCGCTCTCGACAACTTGGGCAGGATCTTGGCCTGTGGCCAAGAAGATCGCAGCCACAATGTTTGCTGCATGAGCATTGTTCCCTCCGATACTGCCTGCCATGGCGCTGCCAATCAAGTTCTTGGACACATTGAGCTCGACAAGATCATCGACGTTGCTCTTGAGAACATTCCTTACCACATCGCCTGGGATGATGGCTTCAGCAACGACTGCCTTACCTCGTCCATCGATCCAGTTGATGGCGGATGCTTTCTTGTCGATACAATAATTTCCAGACAATGAAACAATGGTCATGTCTTCAAAACCACATTCGGTCGACATGACAGACAAAGCCTTTTCGACACCTTTCGAAATCATGTTCATACCCATAGCATCGCCCGTTGTTGTTTTGAACCTGACGAACAAGTTCGTACCTGCAATTGCCGACTTCATCGACTGCAGACGAGCAAATCGACTAGTTGAGTTGAATGCTTCCCGCATTGTCCGTTGACCTTCTTCTGAATCCAACCAGATTTTAGCTTCTCCAGTTCTTGAGACGGTTGGAAAACTCATGCAAGGTCCTCGGGTCATACCATCACCAGTGACGATGGTCGAAGCGCCACCTCCAGCATTGATGGCTTTGCAGCCACGACTTGTGGACGCAACAAGCACACCTTCAGTTGTGGCCATAGGTAAGAAATAGCTCTGACCATCAATGATGATGGGCCCAGCAACACCAAGTGGAAGAGGGAGATATCCGATAACGTTCTCGCAGCAGGCACCATGGACAAGTTCGTAGTTGTAATCTCTGTAGGGTGATTTTGACACTTCTAGTCCAGCTGCAAATTTCGGACCTGATGTTCGCGAGACTACAGCCCTTCGCACTTTGACAGCCCGGACGAACGAGTCCAAACGAGTCATAAGTTCGGGAGCTTCCAGCGTCTTCTCGATGGCATAACCGGGGATTTTGCCCTTCAAGGATAAGTCAATTAATTCCTCGTCGGTAAGGTATGCGGCCTTCTTGTCTTTCAACATTTGCTCGCACTCCTCTTTCGAGCGGCCAGAGGCTGCTTGCAGGTCAATGTTGAGCGGCTTGGGTTTAGGAGTTTGGGGTAATTCAAGTTTCGGCACTTGCGGCCCGGCGGGCGAACTTGTTGATGACTGAGGCTCTTTAAGACTCCAACGTGCAGCATTGAACAAGTAGCCATTGAGTATCAAGCTGAGCGTTAAAGCAATCAGCACCCATTTGCTCAAGACCGGATCTTCTAAGCTCTTGAGGACACCCTCAATGACGCGACCACCCACCACGTTCAAGAACTGATCGGTATATTCTTGATCAAACCAGCCAAGAACGTCTTGTGCATCTTGCTGTGCAGAGGGATAGTCGATTTCGTATTTGATTGGGGGTATGACTGTCACAAAGGTATCAAGTTTTCTGCTCTTTGCCGAGACGTAGATTGAATCCAAGCCGTTCTCGGCCACTTTGAACGGATCAATAGGCGCAGGTGTAAGAACGCTTGGCATTGCAGCTCCTGGTGCGTTGATGGTAGTCGAGGTTCGGAATGGAATGGTGCAGAGATTTACGATATTGATGATCACGAAACCACCAACCATCCAGATCTTGAACTTCGGTACACTGCTGGCTCTGATCTTTTGGCCGAAGATATTGAAGCCCGTCTGACCCGATGGTCCATTAGGCCAGTCGCTGTTAGAGGCTACATTTTCGGCTACTCGGTGATTGATGCCATCTTCCTCGAGAGTTTTGCGGAGCGCAACATGACGCTTGATTCGGTTGATTTCCAGTTTGATGCACAGAATAGTAGTGTACCAAGTGAAAAGGAGGACACAGTCATAGAAGAGAATCCAAGCAGCTAAGAAGCAGAACTGTCGTAGACCACCTTGCACGCCAGATGCAGCACCAGCAATGAGAATAGCAATCTCAACTGCGTAATCTCGCACAATTTCAAAGCCGGTTTCCTTGATGGCGATTTGAATTGCATCCTGGATTGAGTTGGGGGCGTTTGGCGCAACGACGGGACCAACAACGTTTCCATTGGCAGAGCCATTGGCAGTCGGTCGTCGTTTTGTGTCATAAGAGGCCGATAGAACAGCTTTCGTAAGTATTATAGACTTTTCGAATCCCACTGTCACAACAAGGAAGGGCAGTCCTTCGGACAGCAGTACCATGTTGATCGGTACACCAAGTTTGGTGGTCGTAACCAAGCCAAACAGAAAAGCGAACAAGCTAGAAAACAGCACCGAAACAGCCAACCATGCGTTGGACCCTAGTCTTTTCATGGATAAAAAGAGTGAGATGAAGGTCAAATGCATGGAAAGGTAGCCCAGCGCCATGATGATAATGTCCAGCGTCTCAGCATGTTTGATCAGATCCACGAACGATGTCCAGCCTTCCCGAAACCAGGTTGCGTAGGTCGCCTGGCCATTGCCCACGCGAGCAGCTTTCATAGTCCATGACGCTTGTTCGTCCGTCTCTGATGGTACATTCTGTGCTGGTAATTCTTGAGCAGCCCTGAGAAAGTCGGGTAATTCGGAAAAGGTGGTGTAGAATGCGAGGGAAGTGTCGTGCGATATCGGAGAAAGGAGGTTCGAGGTGGTCGGAACATTCGTGGCTGTGACATTGACGGGGATAGGAATAGACTGAGCGTCAGGAGCAGACGAGGAGTCTGGGAAGACAAAAGTTGTAAGGGCGTAGTGGTTGGGACCCTAGCACGAACATGTCAATACATATGTCAAGGTCATCCGGAGTATCACTCACAAGTGATACCTCTGGGACACCAGAGTCGTCGGAGAACTGCCACTTCCATGCCGTATTCTGCGATAGTTCCAGTGTCCTGCTTCCTTTGAGAAGTGCCTCGACGTCTACCCGGCCGTTGTGTTGAAGGGATTTTATACCACTGTCAAACAGACTCTCTTGCAACAGCCCGATATAGGAGGTACTGGCCAACAGGGCGATCGCAACAATGGTATGAATAGGATGCTGGCAAGCCACATGCGAGGTCGCGAGGAGATTGGAAGTAACAGTCCGGTTCAGCCAGCTATCGCTTTTTCCCAGCGAGCGAAGTTGTTTGGGTAGAAGATGAGAGCCTCGCATGTTGAATAGCGGACAGGACGATAATCAGAGAGAGGAGAAAGTGTGTGGCGCAGAGGTTGGAGGTGGCTTTCTATGTTGCCATACTCAAGATGGAGAGGGAGGAATCCTACTTGGACGGTTGTCAGTCGCATGCCAGACGTACATACAGAAAATAGTGTAGGACGAAGTCGTGAGGAAGGAAAGTGAGTGGCGGTGAAAGGGGAGTGTGGTTTACGAACCTGGTTCCGGTGGAAGAGTGCGAGCACAGAGACGAAGACTTTCGGACTCGATCTCCCTGAGGCACAGCCGAGATATCAACAAAGTAGGTGTAGACAGGAGCAGAAGTAAAGATTGCAGAATAATGAATAAGTTGGCAGAAGGTCAAGACTTCCAACCGTCGCATACAAGAACCAGAGCGATCGCCTTCAAAAATTTCCCACCTCCACCCGAAAGTACAAGGACAGGGAATCCCTCCTTAGCAGGTCTCTGTCCGCCTATCGTACAATGCCTACGGGGTACCTAAGCCTCCCTAGGCAGGTACCTGCTGTACTGTACCCTGTAGAGGACTCTCTACCATTTACAAGGTAACGAACCCTTAAAAACATCCCAGTCGCCCACAATCATCACCACCTAGGGGTGCGAGTTGCTTCCGGGTAAAGTACCTTACCATCGCCAAAGCCCCAGTCTATCAATCAATCCCTTCCATCACAAATCTTCTTCTAAGGCTTAAATTACACCCAATCATCCGCCTCCATCGACATGATTTCAGCCACCATCTGCTGCCAACATTTGATTGAGTGGTGGCAATCGTGGGCCGACTCGGCTCTCCAAGCTGCCATCTCTCAATCCAACATCCCGGTCAGCTTCGTCATGCATTAAGCATCGGTACCTGCATATACTGTTTCCACACACCAATCAATGCGAAAGTCTCTATTTCAGACGTGTGGGCAGAGGGTTGCGTGCGCTTCTATCACTTTTCTCAGTCGGAAAATTGTGATGTAATAGTCATCAGCCAGTTCAGCTACAATTAGTCCCCATACGAGCCGATGTACGCGCATCAAAGGCACTGAGTATAGGAGGCAATTACAACATACTACCATGAGATGAGAAGAGGGATCGCCATGGTCGCCGCGATGGTGGCTGTTGCATTGGGTCTAGACACATCTGACGGCAATTCGATGCGACAAACTCCATACATCTGTACTTTACCTCTTCATGGGCTATAACCAACCTTCAGGGGTGAATCACCTATGATAGTTTCTATTTAAAGACTCGGGATGTATAAGTGAACAAGGTGTTGGTGTACCCCTGCAGACAAAGCCATCCCTGGATTTCTGGAGGCAACAACTCGGCGTAGATTATATTTCTCGCCAGCATGAGTTGTTGCGTGAGCGGCGAGCTTCCTTTTCACGGCTCAAGAGATAGCTTTCCAGACGTAACTTCAAGATTGATCTGGACTCATCCGCCCCTGTTCGACGCTTTCAAAGCACCGAATGTCGCTTCTGATCGCGTCGAGAACTCAGACGTGTGCTACATCGTCGCCATTCCCACGCGGGCAATCGACCGGGACTCTCATGAGAAAGTAAGTCGACCGTTACTGCGGGCGTATACTCTGCGGCGCCTTCATTCAGACACAAATGTTATCGATCATGGTGAGGTTATTGGTCGCAATTGGGATGTGTTTTATCCCTTATTGAGCCGTGATGCCAATGCTATGCGTAAAGAGCTCAACAGCGAGAGTTTCTGTAGCCTTTTTCGTCCTTCGTAGCTGGATCCCTAATGTTGAGCCGGCCCTCTGGCACGCTGAGCACAGTCACCCCCTATGTCAGGGCCTCTAGGCTGTCGTTACCACGGGTTCATTTCCTGCTCTGCATGATCTTTGCGCCATGCTTTCTGATCACATTCTCCATCTTTCGTCTCACTTGTTGGCATCCGTCCACACCAGTAGCCAGCATGCTTTCCATCTTATTATTCGCTCCGCCAATCTGACAACGGGACTCCATCAACAGCACAGATACCCGGTCCTCCATTCCAGGCTGACCAGATACAGTAGCGATGGACAAGAATGGAAGCTCCTGCTCCTCTGCATTATTGAGGTCGAGAATTGGTTCTGCCTTCGCAGATGAGTCGTCTGCGGGCGTGATGTTTCCGCTTGAGACTGCGGCGAGAATCGACGGCATCGGTACACCCGCGTCGATGAGTGCAAGACTCGCCGCGTTCAGACATGCCACCAGCAAGGCGCCGTCAAGACTAAGTATGTGAAGAGATATTGATATCGTCGATCGCGGGTATAGATGTGTGAATAAGTGACTTTGAAAGGCATTCGAGACGGTGGTCTGCAACTCCTGAACTCGTTTGTCCATGCGGCTGAAGCGTCTGCGGTCCATTTGCGCAAAGGGAGCAATGTTCAACTCTGTTTCGACAGTAGCATTGTTGTTGTCTCGCTGGCCTCGCCTATAACATTATCAGAATTTCTGGACGGCTTTGTTTAATTGTGCAGGATGCATACCCTTCTCTTGGACCCGTCACAGTACAGACAACCATTGTATTTCCCATCGTCAATAAGCTGCTCCCGTCGCTCGAAGGCTGCGTTGATATTGAGGCAGTGATTCTGCGGAGTTCGTTCCATCGTCGTCCATCTTGACGAAGAAGGGTCTGATAATATGTGGAATGGGTGTCGAGAGGCATTTTGAACGGTGCACCAATGAGTGGAGGGGATGGTAGCGGGTGAATATGCTACTGCCTCCGTCTGGCAGGCATTTTTGCGTGTGTAAGTACTCTTCAATGTGAGGCAGTGGTTGAAGCGTTGGTGTTGAAGAAATCCATTGACATTTCACGTGCTGTCGCGGAAATTTCGCGCAGGCCAATAATGAAGTCATCTTCGCCCCGCGTACTTTGGTGCCCGCGGTAGACACAGTACTATGTATTATCTAGGTACTTAGTACAGTTCAACTCGCATTCCTTCTAGCCAAGTTTGCTTCCCAAGGCTGTGCATCTCAATACAATGGTGTTTACCGACAGCGAAGATGACGATCTCGAAGCGCCACGCAACAAGCGCGAGGCTGCCGTTGTTTTCAAAGATGCCGTCAAGGGCGAGAGATCTTCCCCGGGCGCTCACCAGGCCATTTCCGCCGCCCATGCGAGACATTCTGGTACAGAAGCTTCCAAAGAATGGATGTCCAGGCACAAGCAGCGCGATCCGGCTACAACTAGTTTCGAACGGGTGCAATTGGATTCGGACGATGAGTTGAACTATATGCAGTCGGATGATGAAAGGTTCAACAATCGTGAGAAGAAGGCAAATGCCAGAGCGGTCAAATCTGCCCATAGAGCGAGAAAGGCTGAGAAAGCGAACCATCCACCGCCAGGATCGACAAGAGGTAGTGCTACGACTGGTGTCGGCGTGCGAGGTCCTCAGAAGAAGCGCAAACGTGTCCAGAGTTATGGCGATTCAAATTCAGACTCCGATCTCATGGAATGGACAATGCCAGACTATATCAAGGACCGTCGAAGTAAATTTGATAGACGAATCAAAGATTTGAAACAAGGCGGTTTATATTTGCCACCCACCTACGACGACGTCTACTTCTCAGACGATGAGAATATCCAGCAATTGAGAGAACGACCAGAGTTCCCCGTGTCTACGGCCTCCAGAGAGTACAAGGACATCCAATTGCCATATTCCCTAGGCCTCATACCTGCCCCAATAGCACAGTTCTTGCGAGACTACCAAGTTAAAGGTGTGGCATTCTTGCACGAACTGTTTGTTTACCAGAAAGGAGGAATCCTTGGTGATGATATGGGCCTTGGAAAAACTGTACAGGTCATATCATTCCTAACCGTGGCCTATGGGAAGACCGGTGACGAACGAGACAAAAAGAGAATGCGCAAGATGAGACGAGCAAACCAGAAATACCCCAAGACGTTGATCATTTGTCCCGGCACTTTGATGGAAAACTGGAAAGACGAGTTCAGACATTGGGGATGGTGGCACATCGATACCTATCATGGTGGCGCTTCTCGTCGGCGTGATGTATTATCAGAGGCTCAAGCAGGCATGTTAGAGGTTATGATCACAACTTACCATACCTATCGCACGCACAAGGAGGAGATCAATATGGTTGAGTGGGATTGTGTCGTTGCAGACGAGTGTCATCAGATCAAAGAACGCACGTCGGAAATCACAAAAGCCATGGCCGGGATCAATGCCCTGTGCCGTATTGGACTTACAGGAACAGCTATACAGAACAAGTACGAAGAGTTGTGGGTGCTGCTCAACTGGACTAATCCTGGCAAACTGGGTCCGATAACGACATGGAAGAATACGGTCTGCATACCACTAAAGCTGGGTCAAAGCCACAATGCCTCCAATTATGAGCTTGCTCGAGCGAGAAAGACGGCGAAAATGCTAGTCACTAATCTTCTACCGCAATTCTTCTTGCGCCGTACAAAAGCCCTCATCAGAGCCCAGCTTCCAAAGAAGACCGACCGTGTGGTGTTTTGTCCTTTGACATCCACACAGGCCAAAGCTTATCAAAATTTCCTCGATAGCGACATTGTCTCCTGCATCAGAGACAGCGGCCAGCTGTGTGAGTGTGGCAGTAGAAAGAAGGCTGGTTGGTGCTGCAGCATGGTGCTGGAAGACGGAACTCCATGGCAGCACTGGGTCTTCCCTGCAATAGCCAACCTTCAGAAGATATCAAATCACCTTGCCAGCCTCATTCCTCAAGGCAGCGACTCGAGCGAGAAACAGGCGAAAGATCTCGACCTGCTCGAGATAGCAATGCCCGGTCAATGGAGGGAACTGTACAAAACTCGCGACAGCATTCTGCACACTGGCAATCCCGAGTATTGTGGCAAGTGGAGGGTGTTGAAAAAGCTGCTCACATTTTGGCACAATCAGGGTGACAACAAGGTGCTGATCTTCTCGCACAGCGTCCGGCTGCTACGCATGCTGCTCAACTTATTCATCAGCACGCAGTTTAACGTGAAGTACCTCGATGGGAGTATGTCGTACGAGGATCGGTATCAAGCCGTCAAGGAATTCAACACTGATCCGACCCAATTCGTGTTCCTGATCAGTACGAAAGCCGGCGGCGTAGGACTGAATATTACTTCCGCCAACAAGGTCGTGATTGTCGATCCCAACTGGAACCCGAGTTATGACCTGCAAGCACAAGATCGTGCGTACAGAATCGGACAAACCCGCGACGTCGAAGTGTTTCGTCTCGTCAGTCAAGGGACATTGGAAGAAATCGTATACGCACGTCAGATATACAAGCAGCAGCAAGCCAACATCGGATACAGCGCGACGTCCGAGCGACGATATTTCCAGGGGGTCCAAGACAACAAAGATCAAAAGGGTGAGATTTTCGGACTCCAGAACCTCTTCGCCTACCAGAATGAAAACCAGGTGCTTCGTGATATTGTGAACAAGACCAACGTCGCAGAGTCCAAGGCCGGCGTCCGCGTCACGAGTCTTGAATTGGAGGATCACGACTCGGACTCGTCGTCAGACGGCGAGGTCAAAGATGAAGACCACCCGATCAAGAGCGAGGAGAAGGAAAACGCGGCCATGTCTCAGCTCGCGGCAGAGATCATCGGCGACGACAAACCTCGTCGAGGGAACAAGGGCAAATCCTCATTCCGATCCGAAGATGCCCCGAGAAAGAGCGATCCGGTTCAAGCCATCCTGTCCTCGGTCGGTGTTTCGTACACGCACGAGAATAGCGAAGTCATCGGCACGTCCAAGGTGGAGGAGTACCTGTCGAAGCGGGCCGAGAAGGCAGCGGGCGACGCCGAATGGGGGCCCCGGGAGCAATTGACCAAGGTGTTCGAGGACGAGTCACAACAATCACGGCGACAGCGCACCGCGGCCGATGACGAGGGCGTCTACACGGACGACGACGACAGGATCGTCACTCCGTATGGCGATGTTAGGTATAAGTTCAGGCCGCCTACGCCTGTGAAGCGGCGACAGTTCTGCACCATGGCTCGCTGGGCGGGATACGACGACGTGGTCTCGTTCGCTCTGGCCGTTGAGAGCTGGACGCAGGCCAGGAGGAGAGAGTGTCTCGATCGGTTTTATCATGCCCGACGGGACGTCCTGGCTGGACTTGTCAAGAACAAAGGATTTTACTCGGCCGATGTCAAGCCAGAACACGGGGTAAAAGGGGAAGAAGATGAAGACAAGACAGAAGTGAAGACGGAAAAGACTGTCAAGCATGAAGTCAAGGATGAAGTCAAACGCGAAGAGGCAAAGTGGATTGACCCCGACACCGAGACGGAGACGGAGACCGAAAGTGAGAGTGAGGACGACGAACTTTGATCGACTTGTGAATGGTTAAGAAGCTGAGATGATACGACGACTTGATGATGTTATGATGGATAGTTCAATGTGTTTGGAGATGGTGATACCCCCCCTTTTGTTTGCTTAAGAAAGTTCGGAACAGAAGCCGACCCTTCCGTCAAGCATGCTCTTTATCATTGTAAATGTGTCATCAGTCTGTTCAGACGGAAAGCTCTAGAAATATCCAGTATTGTATTGTACGGACTACTATAGACAACATCTGTCCTTGTCCTTGGTCGGAGTAGATGGGTTCGCTAAGTGTCCGGCGCGGTGCAGGTTACTCTTCCCCAAGTTCATCATCAGCGATATGTGTCCCCTCGATCCTATAAGACTTGAACTTCCTCGTGGGCACTTTGAGCTGGAACATCAGGTCCAACTCTTCAAACGTCCGACCTCCGGTCTCCGGAAGGAAGAACCGACACCAGGCGACGTTGAGCACACCTAGCCCGGCGAACAAATAGTGCTGGTGTCGCTGAAAATGCATTGTCCGGAAAAGGGGGCCTTTGTATCAACCGAGCTCAACGTTGCTTCCTCTTTGCTTTAATACATCGATACAGTCGAGTTTGCCCACATCTGCACCAAATAGGGCTTCTTGATCCTTTTGACTCCAGACGTCTTCCATTGCTCGTCTGATCCGGAGTAACGACAATAATTTTCGGTCATTGTACATGTCGTCAAGCCTTTGGCGGCAAAAGTCTCGCTCAGAAGCATCCAATGCCTCACATCCTGCCGTAAATATTGGCCAAGCATGAACGGATAGTAAAGGCGAGGTGATTGCAGTGGATCTCAGGGCGTCAATGCAATGCTTGACGTGTCGCAACGTGCGGGGATCAGGTGCGCCGATGTTATCGATGACACGATACAAGTAAATGTACGCGGCATGACGAAAGGCCTCGGCCGTGTTGACCCAGTCTGCGTCGTTGTGTGGTGCAATCCAGCTATTCAGTTGACTCTCCAGGAGTGAGCCACTTACGCGAACAAATGAGGCGTGGGATTCTCCGTCAACATCGCCTACTGTGTTCCAAGATGTGAGCCTCTTCCGCGGCCGAAGCTCACTGATCTGGGAGATGATCTCCAGTAGTGGTTCGATAGTTCCAAGAAATGCGTCCGAATCCGAGGCAATCGTTCCATCATAATGTAGAAGAGGGCGATCGCTTCTCGATATTGAGGACATGATATCGTGGTACTTGAACAGACTTTCCAGGAACCTTCCACAAGAATCGGGCTTATCAGTGAGACGACGTCTCTTCGTGATGATGTATTTTGCACCAACTAGATGATCTGCTTTCGGCTCCTGATCCGAGGCGAACATCTGGCTGAGCTGCATCAATAGCACCGCGGCTAGGGTGGGATCATTAAGAGCTTCACGCTCATTGCTCAAAGCTTCATTCAAACTGCGAAGGGCAAGGCCCTGGTAGCGCAGAACCTGTTTCTGATCCTGCTGTTGGCCAACAAGTAGAGAGAGATGTTTTGCAGCGCAGAGCAAAACAGTATAGAGCAGTGGGCTATTCTCGTAAGCCATAGGGATTAAGTATTGCTGGAAAGGGTTGACTTCGTTCTGCGAGGCGACCGACAGCAAAGGCGCTACAACTGTAGACCAATGGTGCAAGTGACGATATTCCTCGATCTGTAGCCCTTGGACCATACTGGCAGGGCCGCTATAACGTGACAGCTCTTTTCTCGGCACAACCTCGATAGCATCTTCGGACTTTATTGATTGAGATGCAGAAACTGTGCTGGCCACCGATGGCGTTGCATAGTGACCACGCAGATTTGGATTTGAAGACGATTTGGAGGTCTGTTTTCGCTTTCTACTACGTCCACCCGATTCTTGGGTTGCAGTATCACGCCATGTCAGTCGAGGCGCATAACCCTCGCAAGTGATTTTGAGTCTGGCGCATCGCCCACAGGTTGGTTTGAGTTCATCACACTTATATCCAGCTTGCCTAACGGGATTTAGTCGAGCAGATATGAATGCCAATGAGACGGCTCACCTGCAAGTCCAACAGCCTGTCCTTGTTCTGGTCCATTTCTGTCGTCCGGGTAGCATTTAGGTCACAATCGAAAACTCGTCCCTGGTCGCAGATAGGTGTTGGGGCAAGAAAGTGGTATCATCCGAGGAGAGTGAACGAAGAGGCACATCACATCACGAGGCATAATCTTCTGCTAGAACTAGACCGATGGATTGTGGGAGAAGAAGGTATGAGAAGAGGTATGAAGGTGGGATGAAATGAATGACATGTAAAGTCGATGCCAAGCTTGGCCATAACAGCAGCAGATGAGATCAAATTCTCGAACACATATACTCCAGACTCCAGACTCCAGACTCTGTTATGAAAGAAATGGTCGGTCTGAAGAATACCAGTGTATATTCGTAAAGCAGATGTGCAGCGACCTGTTCACAGAGTCAGCACCACCAAAGCTCAATCCTTAGTGAGGTGCCTCGCTTAGTCATCCGAATTCAACGTCACGTTTCTCTCTACCTTTGTGACTTCGTGCCTCAACCCTATAAGCCTTCCGATCTACATTAGTTCATCGCTTGGTACCAGCTTGCGGGTGTTGCAAACGTACATCATAAGCTTCCACATCTGCTGGGATCTCAATACTGCGGGGCAATTCTACACCTACCATGTAGGTACGTGGCACCGCGCCACGACAATGCCGGACTCAGGGCGTGAAGGCTGGCAGGAACTGCAAGTGCCGTCTCGGAGACAATGCCCCAAACTGTTTTACAGTCTGAACGTAGAGGATGAGCATCTGACCTTGTTGATGACCGATTTGATTTCGGTATGGGAGAGCTCACTCGATAAATACGACATCATAGGCGAAGCCGCCCGACAACACACGAGCATCGACCCGTCAGTTTCACCTGATCAATTCGAGGTTCTCTTGACCAAAATCACCGAGAGCTTGAAAGATGGCGAAAACGTACTTTCGAAACAAGAAGTTCGCAACTCGCAAATCCTACTGCTAACTACCAAAATCGATCTCCCCAAGCCACTGAAACCGCTCGAATGGACCTTCAAACTCGGCCCCCGAGACGCTTCGGAGATGGCGGAACGCATCCTCCGGCCCAGTCTACACGAAGTGGCTGTCTCACAGGGGAAGATCAAATCCCTACTTCGTACCATCGAGGACAAGGATCACATCATCTCTCGACTGCTCGAGAGAATAGGCAGTTCCTCGATAGATCTGAGCCTGGTGTTTCCTGGGATCACGGGCGCGGCTCGTCGAGGGGCCCAAGTCACTGTGTCAGACGCCAAAAGGCACATTCCAGGGATGGCATCTTTCGATGAGAAATCGTGGATCAAGCAGTTCGCCAATGACGACGTGTATGAAGGCGCCGACCGCACGGGCCTGGGGAATCTTGTCCGTGGGTGCGAGAAGTGTTTCGCTCATTCCAAGGCCGAGCACGAGGATTGGATCAGAGACCTTTCTTCACCTGCGAAAAAGGAAGTGGTCGAGTCGAAGAAGACAGGTCCGCCCGACAAGTCAACTGCGAAGAAGAGTGTCCGAGGCGAGAGCAAGTCGGGCGATGAGTCTACAGATTCTGATGACGAATTCGAGGTTCGTGTTTGAAGCATATATCTTCGAGGAGCGTGTCTCTCGATTTGCTAACATTGTACCTCAGAGACAATCTACACCACCAGCCCTCAGATCCAAAGGCCGTGGCACAAGTAAGACAGCGGCAACTTCTACTGCTCCCGAAGCAGACGAGAAGGATGAAGAACGTACAAACAAACGAGCCAACCTAACCAAGAAAGGCAAACTGGGTCGCCGCAATGCCGCAAAGTCATTTGGTCGCGCAGATTCAAAAAGCAAATCACCTTCACCTGATGCATCAAAGGTATCTTCACCCCAGCGCCGTGGTTCCGACGCCTCTACGTCTACAGCAACAGCGACAGCATCCGAGGACCAGGACGAGGAAGTCAAACCGCCATCTAAAGAGAGCGACCCGAAACCTAGAATTGGCGCCCTCAGATCGAAGCAGCCTTCGCGGAAGTCACCATCCACGTCCCCATCTCCAAGCCGAGACGCATCGAAGGAGAATGTTCATCATCGGCCCTCGCCTTCGGCACACTCTGACGATTCGTCTGACCTCGATCTCGACAATTCGCCTCCTCCGGCCAAAACACCCCCACGCCAACGCCACCGTCTTGGACGTCTAGGCGGCAAATCTGCCACGACGACGACGACTTCGAGAAGAGGGATGGCAGCCACTTCATCGTCTCCTCCACAATCTGATCTGAAGAAGAGCAACCCCACCACCACCACCACCACGACGAACAACAACCCATCTGGATCCGAACCGGATTCCGAATCCAAGGCTACTGCTGCAACTCAAACCACGCCACGGCGAAGATTAGGCAGAATCGGCATACGCAACAGGCAATCCACTCAGACACAATCGCGCGACTCGGACGCCACAGACTCACCATCGCCGTCACCCTCACCGTCCACCACACGACTTCGGTCAGGAGACGTACAGCCTCAGGGGCAGACCGAGGACAAGGACGAACCAGAAACAGAGTCTGAACCCCATCGTCAACGACAAAACTCGACGTCCCCGGCAAAGGAAGAGACGGCGGAAGAAAGGGCCAACCGTAGACGGATGGAACTCAAGCGTAGCATAGCTGCCAACGCCGGTGCGAAGAAGAAGAGACGCTTCTGATCTACCCAGGTCACCACCTCCCTGACGGACGAGAGTACACGTTTCGCCTTTGTTTTTCTTTTTTTCCCTTCTTTTTTTCCCTCTTTCCCCTTCCTCCGGAACCGGTTTTTGTGTTGGTTTCTACATCTATGCGTACGTGTGTATACGTTTATGTATATGTCGCAATGGATGTGTGTTGCATGTGGGTAAAGTAGGTTAACTACAAGTAGTAGCAGAAGACTATCCAGGCCCTCCTTTCCCTGCGTCTATTTTTTTTTGGCCGCGTAGCCTCTAAGATTCTCTCAAGAACAAGGAAAAATAACAAATTCCTCGTTGCGGAAAAAGGAACAAGAACAAAACCAAGAAAAAATGGAAAAGAATAAGAGAAAACAGTGTATTTTTTGAGTCTCCAATAAGGAAGAAAAAACAAGAAACCAAAAACACAAATTACCTCCCTCTGGTCATAGATGTCGTTGCAGTCGTCGCAATGCTCTCCCTCGTTCCGCCCAGTTACCTCTCTCTGTGTGTGCGTCTCTCTCTCTGTGTGTGTGTGTGGGAGGTCCGCTGTTCCTCCTGGCTTGTTGTACCTGGTACCTCTGCAGAGTGACAAAATACTCCAAAGTTGCTTCAAGTCTTATCTCAACGTTAAAGGGTTTGTGCAAGAAAGGATCTAAAACGCCTCCCCAAAAGACCAAGACTGATCTCCTGAAATCGAATGAATGGTGCCATCGTGATCGTAAAGAGCATGGGTTTCTCTTTCCTGCCCTCCCTCTGCCAGTCGAATTCCTTTTCTTCGTCTCAAGGATGGCCTGGAGGTTTGCCTCCATGTCCATGATCATCGCGAGAATCTACTGACCTTTGATCTTGGTCTCGATCATCGGTACCCCAAGCCGCCCGTAGGTTACTACTCTGGCTGAAGTTCACCCTCTTGTGACCTCTGACGACTGATTTGTCTCTCTTCTTGGCTTGTTCAATTTCTTCCTCGCTGACGCTGGCGCTATCGGCTTCAGCTTCCTCCAATGCTTTCTTCGCACGTGTTCTCAGCTCGGCAGCTTCCGCTGCAGCCTTCTGTGCTCTAGACTGTTTGCGCCACATGCTCGCATACTTGCCTCCAAGGGCAATAAGCTCTTCGTGCGTGCCACTTTCTACGACCGTGCCATGTGATAACACCAAAATCTGATCGGCGTGGACGATGGTACTCAGTCGGTGAGCAATTATGAGCATGGTACGACCCTCAGCCAGGGTGTTGAACGACTCTTGAATCTTCTCCTCGGTCTCTGTGTCGAGAGCAGCTGTAGCTTCGTCTAGCATCGTAACCCGTGGGTTCTTCAAGATAGTCCTTGCGATAGCCACTCTCTGACGCTCTCCGCCCGAAAGTCGCACTCCACGTTCACCAACCTTTGTGTTGTATCCGTCGGGAAATTCCATGATGCGGTCGTGGATCGATGCAGCCTTGCAAGCATCAAAGACGTCCTCGTCGGTGGCGTTTTGATTTGCATATTTGAGGTTGTACATGATTGACTCGTTGAACATGTTGCAGTCTTGAGGTACAACACCAATAAATTTGCGAAGAGAATTGATAGTGACGTCTTGAACGTCTTTCCCGTCAACCATGATTCGTCCAGATTCCGGGTTGTAGTACCGGAAGATCAGCCTCATAACCGTGCTCTTTCCTCCACCCGATTCACCGACAAGGGCAGTGGTAGTACCCGGAGGACATCGGAATGTCAGTCGATCGAGGGCATTGCGTCGTTTGTCGTAGCTGAAAGAGACATTATCAAAGATGATGTCGCCTGAACAGTCTTCCAGAACCTCTGCACCCTCTTTGTCAACAACATGAGGTTGTTCTTTGAACAATTCAAGCATCCTTTCTGCATTAATCAGGTTCGACTGAATAGACCTGTAAAATGTACCGAAAAAGTTCAAAGGACCTTGTAGTTGTGCCATGTATGTGATTAGGAGCACAAAGTCACCAACCTTCTGATCACCCTGTGCGACTTCGAAAGCTTCAATGAAACTGGCAATGAGCAGCGCAACCATAAAGAGGGCTCCTTGAACAGTATTCATATAAGCCAAAGTAACGTCAACCCAATACTCGAAACTTTGCATGACCTTGATCGCACTTCTATACCGGTTGAACTCATAATCCTCGGCGTTGAAGTACTTGACCGTATCCCATGAATGCAGAGAGTCGTTTTTCACTGCCTCCATCTCTCGTTCTGCGTTGACATAGTTTCGTCGCAGTGCCACTCTCCACGAGGCAAGTCGTATAGTAACGTAAATGTAAAGGAACGTAGTCATGGCCACAACCAGTCCCAGGTAGGCGTCGAATTTAATGGTGAGATAGACAACGGCGACAACGAGATCGAACACCATAGGACCGACTTGGAACGTCACCATCTCCAGGAATGAATTGATGGCACTACCCTTGTTCAATGCTGAGATCAGTTCTCCAGTTCTTTTACCGGTATGGAATTCTGCGCTGAGCCCATGAACATGCTCGAACGCAGCTGTTGAGATAGCTCGATACGAGTACTGCTCGACCGGTATCCACAGAATAGATCTTGTGGCTGACAAAATGCCTTGAGAACCTTGAAGCCACCTAAACAAGATGTACAAGGCAATGTCAAGCCACGGGGCATGTACACCGTTACCGTCGTCTCCAGACAAGGCATTTGTGATTTTGCCGACCATGACGGGCACAAAAACGTTGATGACTCGTTGTCCGACCATTATAAGAATGCAACTTGCCGCCAGAAGCTGCAATTTGAGTGACTTTTTAGGCCAAAGATAAGGTATCAGTAGCACGAAGCCTTTCAAATAAGCATACCAGGTGATGTTTGGGACCTCTGTTGGCTTTGCCCAGGCATCAACTTGCTCCTTAGGTTCCGAAGTTGGACCAGGCACCCGTGCATGCCCGTTCGGACGAATCCCGGCTTCTGCATCCCCACGAAGTAGCGGTGTTCGTTCATCCTGGGTTGTCGAGCTTGACTCCTTGGGTTTGCGAAACTGGATCTTGATGCTTAAGAAAACAATCGAAAGTCCAAGAAGCAAAACAACCCGGATCAGATAAACAATGACTTCGACAGTTTCCCAGCCTGTGATCGACTCTCGAAATTTTCCACCCAGTTGATCGCCAACGCGGGGTTCAAAATGAGGGACACTGTACACTTGCAGGCTTGCGACAATGATCAAAATCTCCAGAGGGAGAGCCGACAGCCAGGTAATAAAATGAGCCGAGTTTGGCGAGGGCTTTACATCAAGTATGGAGATGAAAATGACGAGCCAAAGAAATGTCGAGGCGATAACGTATATCTAGTCACTGTCAGTCTATGTCGTCAGGATTGAGATGAGGCAACACCTACGACTGCATTTTTGCCGGGCCACCATTTGTCCACACGCTCCAAAAGCGTTTCGAACAGAATCAAGCCGGCATTGACGAGGAAAGTCAGAACGACAGCAATTTGAGTGATTTTGAAGAAGGTCTTGGTTGCTGGTGGTAGGTCCTTGACCGCCGCAGCAGCTTTGACTTGATTGGCGGATTTTCGACGGATTGGAAGAGGCCTGCCCCCCGGTCCTCGCATAGGATGAATCTTGACCTTGTCCCCATTGTCTGGCGCTGTTCTGATACCGTGGATGATAAAGGCGACGACAAAGATGACCAGGACGATGGCGGGGTAGGCGGTTTTGGCTACATTGAGCACCCGTAAAGACGTCTGCAATGCACCCACGTCTGGTTTCCCATGCATATTCTCCCAAGCCGTGCCACCGCCGAGGAATTTGCCCCAGTGAAAACAAGAATGGCCTCCCAGATACGAAAGAGATGACGACTCGACAAGGTGTTCAGGTCAACGACGAGGAAGGTCGAAGTCGCGCAAAAGTGGCGTATCCAAAGAATCGAGGGCGGGACAGGCCGCTCGTCTGTGCTGCCTCGGTATCCTGAAAGAAAACTCTGAAAGTCGGATGACCGTTCCCCAGCTGCAACTTGTCGAGGTCGAGTATGAGCGAGTGACAGAATTACAAGATGCCTCAAGGAAATAAAATTAAAAAAGAAGAGATAGATGCCGGCAAGGAAATAGCGAGCGAGCGTGGACAAACAGTCAAGTGATGAATCTTTAAGAAGGTGTAAAGTGTACGTGATGGAATGACGACGTTTATGGGAGGAAGCCTTCTGGTGGCGAGCTGGGTGATGGGCCAGGCTCCCTCACTGTCCTGCGGCAGTCTGGAGTAAGCCAAGTGAATACTGACTGCGCTGAAGAGACTTTCGTAACTAGCGGCCTAGACGGGTACGAAGAGGGTTCGCTTCGCCTCTAGTAGAGATGGCGCTGAAGTCGCGTGACGGCGAGTCTGGTAGAGGTCGGTGCCAATGGCGGGTAAGCTGAGTCTGGATTCAGCAACTGTATTATGGCTTTAGCGACCGCTTGACTGGCGGTAGTGTAGATGGTGGGGTTGACTGGTGGCACTGCTGTTGGTCGAGGCTGAACGGGACGACGCAGCGGATGACGGCCTTTGTAGCCCTAGTTTTGTCACTAGAGACGCTGTCGATGCCGGTAACAGAATTAAAGAATTGTCAGATCGTTTCTGAGGACCGGCTAGGGCTCCGGATCGCAGACAAGGAGGATTAGGTAGAGAATACGTTCTGGAGGATACTCGCAGTGGTGGTGGTGGCGGAGGTTGCAGAGTTGCAGAGGAGGGGGCGACGGTCAGTGGATATACTAAGTATCGTTGATGGCGTTTGACACACGGGAGACAACGATGATGATCAATGTCATGTAACTGGCCGAGGAAAAGACAGTCGAGAAGAATGAAGATATATGACTAGAAGGAGAGAGAGAAGAAGACACAAGATCGAGAGAGGGAGCAATGAGTGACAGATATACTGATTTGACTTCTGGCCATGGTGGTTTGGGTACACGGAAGTAGGCGAGAAGAGAAAGAGAGAGGTCAATTCTCGCGAGGCACCACGCCGGCATCAAACGCCGCAGGGACTTGAGACGACAGCACAGATGACATGGACATCGTGCTTGACCTCAGACCTTGGACCAGTCTGGCAAATGGAAAGATACGAGTAAATGGCATGAGGGAACGTGTCGCGTCGATCCAGGGCCCCAAGGACGATTGGGATGGCGAAGTAGCGGATCCTGCGAGGACGAAAGAGAGCGACCAAGGTGATGAAGCCGAAGAGGGAGAGTCGGAACGAGGAATGAGAGTCGAGCAAAGAGGGCGGGCGAGAGGGCGAAAAGGGGGATGAGAATGAGCGCGCGAGTATCAGCAAGAGAGCAACAGAGTCGAGTCTTTCCCTCACCGCCAGGTTGTGGAAATAAAATATGGAAATAAAATAAAAAAACGTCGCTACTCGTATGAATTAAGGTAGGCAAGGTATATGGAGAACGGGATATGTGAAATGCAAAGTGTCTGCAGTATTAATGCCGGTCGCCTGCAAATCAAATGCGAATGATATCTGCAATTGACCTGGTATTTTCATGCCCAACAACACGCCACTCGTCGGAAAGTCAGGGACGCAGCTCCTGCACATTAGGTCTGCTGCTGCCGGCAGGAGCTAGTTGATACATTGGGGGCCCACGGGCGCAAATAGGCCTAGTCGCTCCCTAAAAGCCCCTGCTATTCGTGCCACCCTCGCCCGCCCAGACTGCGACACCTGGCACCCGCCGACGCGCATAGCCGTGGCCTTGTAAGGATAACCCAAGCATGCCTTAGGCCTTCCTCAGGGGCTTCTGGTAGGTGGTTGACCCCCCCGGGGAAGCTAACCACTTGAGCCTGCCCTCTTAGCGATCCGGACAAGCTGCCCACTATCTTCCTGTCGCAGCCTCACCAGCCTTGCAACCACTCATACCACGTCGTCGCTCGCTTGAATTCTTTGTGCTCTACATGCTTCACTTGAATCCTTCTCCAACGCATCCTGATGACATCTGACACTGCAGCCACCGCGCATAAGTGAAGACACGTCTTCGCTTACCGACTACCTCACTGTTCCAATGATGCTCTTCCCCGTCAGCCATGAAGCTAGGAATTCCATCCTCTGCCGCCGCCTTCACGCTACTAGCCCTAGACTCATCGTCATCGACATCGACAATGGCTATCTGAGCGCATATCGCTAATGCCGGGAAAACACAGTCATGTCTGATCCTGTCTCTGCCGAAAGTGAGACTGTCCTGCCTCCACCTGCGCCGCCGCTCCCCCCCAGTCGGTTGGGTCAATTGCAAAGAATCATTGCACCTTGGGGAAAACATATTGGCTCAAAATCGCGTGGCGGCCCAGCGCAAGGCGACGGTGATCGTGGTCTACGTCGAATCAGTGGCTCACACAACTACAGGTATGGACTGTTGTCTCTCTGGATGTGGCGCACAGCTAACAAGGAACTTCAGTTCCCTACCCTCCCAGACAGCCACCCATCGTACAGGCATACCGATTGCTGCGCTCGATATAAATCAGTCCGGGACACATGCGATCCTCGCCGGAAAGGAGATCCTCAAGACTGTCCACGTCCACGAAGGAAAAGTGACTGAGGATCTGAATCTTCGGGCCTCCATCAATTCATATTCCTCCGCCCATACGACGCCTCAGTTTGACTGGGCGGCAAGACGCAGGGACTTCCTGCCAGCAAGAGATGTGCGATGGTCTACCGGAAATTGGGCCCATGTCGTTGCCACAGCCGCCACAAATGGCCGCGTTGCACTCTATGACTTGAATGCCCCGGGCCCAAGAATTGAGTTGGCATGGCTGCATGAACATACTGGCCAGATCAACAAACTGGACTTTGATCCTCATGCCGGCTACCTGTTGCTGTCAGCATCCCAAGACAAGTCGGTAAAATTATGGGATATGCGAGAGCCAAAACCAGAGAAGTCTCGACAGCGCTTTGATGTGCGTAGCGCTGTAAGGGACGTTCGTTGGTCACCGCTTGAGCCCTTTGATTTCGCCGTCTGCGCTGATGGTGGCATTGTCCAGAAGTGGGATGCTCGATCTCCCACAGGACCAAAGTTGAGTATCAATGGCCACGAGAAGGCATGCTACTGTCTCGATTGGCACCCAGATGGCCGCCATGTGGTTTCTGGAGGCTTTGACAAGTTCGTTCGAGTATGGGATTTTCAAAGCGACAACAGACGGCAAAAGCCAGTCTTACAGTTTCGGGCACCGCATGCAATCAGGAATATCAGATGGAGACCTCCATGTAGGGAAACAGAGTCCGCAGCGAACCAGTGCCAGAGCACTCAGGTCGCGGTGTCGTATTACCACGACGATCCACGACTTCATATCTGGGATCTCAGGCGGCCTCTGCTTCCCTTTCGGGAGCTTGACAGATATGCTACACCTGCCAATGACCTCCTGTGGGCGGATCAAGATTTGCTTTGGACGGTTGGGGACGAAGGAGTCTTCACCCAATGGGACGTGAAACATGCAACTCCTCTGTATAATCAGCTCCCCCCTGGTGCCTCGATGTTCATGCCAGATGGACAGTACTACACATTTACTGAAGACAGAGAACCCTGCTACGCACCTGGATTAGATGATGCCGCCTTGGGATTTCTGAGCATTCCTCCGGATAAATTGAGCGGCGGGGAGGACGCTGCAGTCAGTCGCAGTTTTACGGATGATGAAGCTAGTCAAGAGCCAACCAGTGGGAGAAAAATACGACGTCGTGGTCGAAATACCACGTCGTCAAAATCTATGAGATCGCTCGCTAATAGTCCCCCTTCCCTGGACGACAAGCCGCACGTGCTGTCATTGGATCGCACAGTCATTGATCGTCAAGACCTTTTTAGCAACGAACAGGTGGGTGCTTCAGGCTACATTCCTGGTGTAGCCGCAGAGCCCGAGGTTGTGGAGTATCTGGCCTCGAACTGGGCGGCTCCGGCCACAGAAGACGAAAGAAAACATTGTCCGGATACCATTCTTCCTCGACTGGAGGACGCCTTCATTCAGAATGCGAGGGCATGTGACGCGGTGTCCATGCACCGTATGGCACAGTCTTGGAGAATCCTAGCCGCCGTCATCATTCCAGAACTGAAAGACTGGGCGGACAGCAATCGGGCCAAACGAAGGGCGGATGCAGCCAGAAGACGGCAAAATCTGGAGAACTTTCGTTCAGGGACGACAAAGCCCGGGCTTTCTCCGCTAGCAGGATTGCCCACTAGAAAGGGTGACCATAAGTCCCATACGCTCATAAGCAGCTTGTTCAAGTCATCTGAACGAAAACATCTGGGCAGTGAGATGGATAGTACTTCGAACATGACCACTCCTCTCGCTAAGCCTTTGCCAGACACGCCTCCTTCCGAGCGGAAAAGATGGAGTCACTCTAGCAGTGATGATAGTATTGATGAAATCGCACCGCTGCCCCCTTCTATCTTGAACTCGCATTCAACCGCGGCCGCCGCTTCTCGGGCTCTTCTTGACAGTCCGGGACGAGTGAACAAATCTACGCCTTCATCACCCGAAACTTTGAGGTCCAAACAGCCTAACACACCCCAGCCGAATACTAAACCCGCGCCCGCCTCTCAGTCCTTCGTCCAGGGCAGCGCACGAGCCCCAATTGATGTTGCAGCAACGCGCGCTCTGGCACAAGAAAACCAGACACAAGAACAACGAAGAGCAGCTTTGAAGAATTATCGGGTCCAGGCTAGACCCATATTTTCGCTGGAAGATAGAGCGCATAAGCCGGCATCAGAGGCGCACCCCGACTCAGGGGACAGCTTTGCCATGTTCTCGGCGTCGACAGATAGCTCACACAAAGCCCGGTCTTTGGGACTTTCTGCTGACTCGCCTCGGAGTGGTACTAGGCCTCCTGTTCAACGTGGAGAGTTCGAGTTCGAAGACGATTCAGATCATTCTTCCCTCGGAGACACGAAGATGAAGCGGCCTCATTTGCAACATGGGCCAAGCGATCGATCCGAGGGGCAGGAAAGCCGGGTCTCAGATATCGAGACTCCATTGGATATGAGCTTTGACCAAAATCGATTAGACCGCAATGCCCTTGAGTTGCATATGCACAATGACAAGTCAGTATGGCAACCTGACTCTCACTCTGGACCTGGGCATGGCTTTGAACCCGAGACCGGGCCTGAGCATAGCATGAAGTCCGCATCTCACGTCGACACCAATATCTCTTCTTCACTAGAAGCGGTCTCTTTTGAGGATCATCTACCACTTTCGAAACCACAAATATACACTTCCAACCCAATGCGCCTAAAATCTCCTGAGTCCATCGATTTTCGCCATGTCCAAAGACAGAACGAATTGTTTCACACCATAACTATGGATGAACTTGACAGTGAGACATACCTCTACCAGGATTTTCGGCCCATCGATCTATCACATTATGAACCAAGGCTTCCTTTTGCGTGGTCAGCACTACCTTTGATCTGCCATAGCATCGCATTCGACATGGAAAACGGGATTGGACATTGCCAATTTGCGGCACATCTCTTGATGCATGTCCATCCGTACTTTTTCCACCCGGAATTCCGAAAATCCACGAAAGCTGATGGATACGAAGCAAACAGCCTCGTGGACAGGTTGATGACGCCACGCCTTGGGCATAGGATTATTGAAGGCATTTTGGAGGATCATGTGTTGTTCTTGGGACAAATCGACTTGTTTGCATCGGCGGCGCTGATACGAAAGCAGGCCGTGGAATTGAGTTATTCCAGACTCTACAGTATGACAAAGGCTAACAAGCAGGCCAACGGTAGTCTTACCAATGGAGATGCTAGGAGCTTGTCAATAGCCTGCAGGCATTGTCAGATGCACATGGCAATCGGCCAGGGAGTCTGTGAGCGGTGTCAGCTGGCAAGGTCTGTATGTCCAGTCTGCCTGTCATTAAGGCAAGAGGCTGTCGGTGACCGAGAGTCATCGGGTGACAAGAGGCATCTCTTAGGGCGAAGTCAAGACTTTTGGTGCTTTTGTCAGGCATGCGGACACTCAGGGCATGCGTCTTGCATAAGCGAGTGGTTTGCTCAACCCTTCAGTGAAGGTACATGCCCTAGCCAAGGCTGTAGCTGCGACTGCGGCCCCGGCATGACCAGGCAGCTTCGTATACAGCAACAGATAAAGCGCGACGAGGAAGCAAAACTCATTCGCGGGTTTGGGTCTGGGCGGGTGTCTACTAAGCGTGATCCTCTTCGAGCGTCAGCCAGCCCAGCAGTTGACAAAGCACGAGCTGCACTTCGGTCCACCATGGAAAGCGAGAAAGCCACGCAGAGCAGTGATGAACGGAGTTTCAGCGGGAAGCGTGAGAGTAGTCGTGCTGGCGTGTCAGGCTTCAGCACCTCGCGCAAGAGTGTACGATTGGTCACCCCAGGCGAAGAATATGGGCAGTCCCATTCCAAGTCTTGAGGAAACACACCAGGGCATGAGCACTATTACCATACGGTGTACAAAGAAAGCACTTGCACCCGCTGACGGTGCAAAACGAATTCACGAGCTGATGCGGATCCTCAAGTGAAACCACCAACTACAGATATGCCGACTGGGGTTGCTAGTGCTGAACGCCACTCAGCACACGATTGCCTCTTGTAACGAAATAGGGAATGCCACCGGTTTTGTCGAATGCACCTTTACTTGGAACGACTTTTCCCAACAGGCGGCTCTTGATGCAGTGCAGACTCCTAACAAAATGCCTGTCGCTTGTATAGCTCGTGTTCAGCGGGAGTGACCCGGTATATGTTTTGTGGCATGACTCTTGAGTGGTGCCCAGAGTCCGTAGCCGAGCAGAACACTGCAAGCCACCGGACTTTGATGCATGCACCAGATTGTATATTCCGAATTGTTTACCAATCAATTGTACAATACTTGGGGTGTCGAAGGTTGCCCCTCCATAGTGGAAAGGACAGCAGCAAGAAAGAGAGACAAGGTGGGTGTGACAACGAGTTCCCCGCTACTTGGCCCAACAAGTCTTCCCTATACTCGCAATCACTACTTGACCTACTTTGCAACAAATGTCCGGTTGTACCGCATATTGAGGCGCCGAGTGCTAGCGGAGTTCCATGGATCAAATCCGCATCAACCAAGACGGTGAAATTACTGCACTATACGGAGTACATCGTAACCGGCAAACATCAACACTGCAACCTTGCTCATGGCAGAGTACCTCCAGTAGGAAGTCTTGGGTGGTCAGAGATAAAAATAAATACCCACTGGTCGATGTCCAATCAGGTGGTGCAGAAGCACCTTGCCATCTTAACCTAATTAGGGCAAATCGCCTATACTCTGCGGCTCATGATTCGCTATAGTCGCCGTATTCCATTCCTCTTCAAGACCAAACTATACTTGTTATGCGTTAGTGGATTTGTGTACCTCATTAGGTACAGTCAACAAAAGGCCCAATTATAAATCAGCACTATGTACGTACGGGCTGGGTGGCCCCAGGACAAGAGCAAGATTGCTTTGGAGCCTCAAAGGGTATCACGAATCGTCTGGTCTTGGAGGTTTTACATCTCTCACATCAGATTATTGACGACGAGTGGTTCCTAGATCCTTTGGTCCCTTGGTTTTTGGCAACTCGGTAAGCCGCTAAGAGTTGGGCTAAAGGCTTTGCAATCCAGCCCGCGGAGCTAACACGGCAGAGTTCCCAGCCTTCGCCTCGCCAGCCCCGGAAAGACATGGGGGCGCATGCAACATACCACATGATACAGCAGAAGACCAAGGCATCTTTACGGAGTGTTCACGTACCCAAGTCCTCCGTATGCATGTGGAGGTATTTGGATCAACTAAAAGAGTGCCACACTCCGTACGGATACGTGGGTCTATGAGAAAGCTCTACGGAAGTGTATTGAGGCAGCCTGCAATTTACTTCATAAAGTGGTGGTTTAGACCTATATCTCTCCCTTTTGGTTCTTCTACCTTTTTCGTCTGTAACTCGGTACATCATTTTGACCAACAGGACAAATACCTATTGCAAGGTCTGCTGAGAAAAAGTATTTCCAGTCGCTACTTTTTTTTCTCTCTCTCTTTCTCTCTCCCCTCCAGCCTTTCGTTGTGTCGGTACTCGCACTCACAACTCGCACATATATAATCTGCATCCCTCGGATTTGACAAACACAGTCATTTCTCGTTTCTACAAGAGTTGATTCAACTTGCCGTGTTTATTGAGTGGCATCGGCATCGGCAACAGCAACATCAATACACACAGCAGCAGCAGCGGATCATGCGTTTCTCCCAAATCGTCGCCCCGATTGGCCTCGTGGGCATGGCGGCCGCCTTCCAACCCGTGGCCAACAAGCGAGGCGGTGACGGCCAATGCATCCCGTACGCCACCGCCCAGAAGCTCGTGGCCGACTGGGTCACCACCTTGACCACCCCTTCGGACGTGGCCAACATGGAAAACGTCCTGGCCCCGAGCTTCTCGGACTATTCCGACTCGATCAACTTCGTCGCCGGCATCCCCCTGGGTTCCGTCACCTTCCCGAACCCCGGGGCGTACATCGCCGGCCAGGGGGCCCAGCCCCCGATCGGGGTCGACGTCCTGAACCTGGACGCCGTGACCTGTGACGGAGTCATCGCCGTCCGCTGGGTGGGCACGGTCGGCTCCAACGTGGCCGAGGCAAAGGGCATTTCCATCCTTCACGCCGTCCAATCCGGGTCCGACTGTGACGCCGTCGGCCCCACGGGTTGGCAGTTGGGTCAGCTGTTCACCGAGTTCAACTCCGCCGCCTGGGTTCTCGACATCGGCGGTACTTGCGTGTCACCCGCCGCCCAGGCTTCTCGCAAGTTGAGGGGTTGAGACGGGCCAAACCCTCCCCCTCCGATATGGAGTGTGGAAATGTAATGATGGGGGGATTCACGGTAATGGTGATGAGAATAAACCCGGTTTTCTTTTTGGGGCAAGTCAGTCGGCCACCGGCCAAAAGGTCGTGAGTAGTACGCAGCATATAAATAATATGATAGGGGAGGGGATGTAATTACATTCATGAAAAAAATCAGGTGTTTTTTCTTTTTGGCAAAAAAATCAAGAAACTCTGAGATTTCATCATCGAAGATCCTTGTTGATGATGAACCATATCGGTTACTCTAGAATCCATGGTAATATGATCCTTTGTACTCCGTACTCCGTATACCACTCGTACAGCGGTCAGGAGGAAATTTCGGAATCCGAGGGGCACCCTAGACTCACCATGTAGGACAAGTTTCAACTCATACCCAACCATTCAAAGTGGTGAAGATGCGCTTGTCGTCTAGATACACCGTAAAGGAGGTACTCCACTTTGTGTGCACGGGTGTGTATGTCACCGGTATGTCACTCTTACATTGTATACCCCGGAATTTGTTGGGGCTTGATAAACGATACCTCAAAATTCCGACAGCAATGGCAGATATGAAGTGACAAAAAGAAGCAAGACAAAGTAACGATCGACTTCATAATCTACGTTCGTTGTCTATAAAACTATGCTGCATCATTAATCAAATTCCGTGATGCCAATTCCCCGTACTCCCTATTCATGATGCATTCTATACAATTTGCCAACATCATATGATGCCCAGGCCCTATTTCCTGAACCGCGTTGTATAAGCCGGTGGTATAATGTGTTGTGCTGTGTCATGCAATGGCTATACTATTCCGGTTGATTCACTATCTCAATGCTTTAGCCCACAGCCGCAATCCGAACTAAATTCGGCCTCGCGCTTTCTATGTTTGAAATCGCCGTGGTATTCATCGAGATGAACGAGCTGTCCATTCTCGTTTACCGGTAGTCCGAGGGGACCCATCCATTCACCCCACTCCTGGTCCTGTTCTTGTGATGAATCAGACGACGAAGTCTTGACGCCTTTGGCCTTCAATTCCTCCGTGACCGCATCGAGGTCAAGGCCGAGATACTCGGCAATGAACTCGCCGACTTCGTTGTTCTCATGGTTGCCCACTAGACCCGGGGCGTGGTCGGGGCTGGAAGCGTAGATGTTCACATCGACCGCACTGTGGCCGTGCGTAGACCAGCCTATCTGTGCGCGACGGGAGATCATATCCGCGAAAAGGTACGACGGAGGCCAGATGGGTTTGGCATCAATGACTGCGTCGATCTCTTCTTGCGTGTAGTCTACAATGCCCAGACCGGACTTCAAAAGATCAGAAAGCTTCTCAGTCTTGTCTTCTCGTGACCAGTCTGGCGAGCTATCCGCCCACTCGGCCCACGCGCTGGACATCCATTCGCCTGAGTGGCTTGCGTTGGCGAGAACTTCAGGATACCATCTATACATGGGATATGTTTGGTGCAACTGTCGTGCGGCGGCGAGACCACCTGTTTCATGGTCCGATGTCGAGACCAAAACGCCCTCGGTTGTGTCTTGTTCGAGGAATTTGAGGACGGCCGCAAATGCTTTGTCGTGAGCCATGACTTCGTGAACTTGAGCCGCTGGGTCATTGCCGTGGCCTGCATGGTCGATGCGGGAGCCTTCGATCATTAGGAAGAAACCCTTGTCACTGTCCTTGGTTGCGGCGGAGAGGGCCTTGAGTGCGACCTCAGCCATCTCGGCTTGGCTTGGATATGTGTCAGAGACGTGCACACGGTCAATCTCGTAGGGAATATCAGTCGACGCGAGAAGCGCGAGGAGAGGCAATTTAACTCCACCCTCAGCCTCGAGGTTATCGAAGTCGGCTCTATTGTCGACATATTTGAAACCGTATTTTTCTTGAGCCAAGGATACGACGTCCGTGGAGTCGGCCCGGCAGGAGCCTTGGGTGGTGTTGGGCAGAAAGTGGCATCGTCCTCCCCCGATCATGATGTCGACGACGCGACCGAGGGGATAGTGTCCGATCATTTGCTCGGCAATCAGATCTTCATATTCACGCCTGTTGGCATGCGAGGCGAAACAGGCAGGAGTGGCATCTGTGATGCGTGTTGTGACCACAAGTCCTGTCATGTAGCCTGCCTTTTTGGCCGCTTCAAGAACGGAGCCGCAGGGTGTGTGGTCTGGCAGAACGGAAATGGCACCGTTGTATGATTTGAAGCCGCAAGAGAAGGCCGTCGCACCGGCAGCCGAGTCAGTGATCAGGCTGCTTGTGCTGCGAGTGCGGGAGGAGCCAATCAAATGTCGGTCCAGCACGAGAACGTCGTCGATAGGCAGACCGGACGTGTGTTGGCGAAAGTTTCGAGTCATGGCTAGGGAGGTAGGACCCATACCATCTGACACCATGAATATCATGTTTCTTTTGCCCGTCGGTTTGCCATCAGGGCCCCAACCCCCGGTGCGGTGCCGCTGAATTGATGTTTCATGTTGATAGACCACCGCGAGGATGACAACAGCAATCGTGGCGAGGAGGGCCCAGACGAAGACACCTATCTCGCGCCAACGGGCGAATTTGGAAGGTGTGTGGTGTGCGGACCGGCCTGTGAGGAGGGCATCTTCTTCATCGATGTTGTCAATCGAGGAGTTGGGGGAGCTTGGGCGCGCCAGGAGAGGTTCTTCGGAGCGTGTCATTGCGACACGAATGTTATCGGGTGGTAGGAGGGATTGAGGTCAGCATCGCCCGTCTATGTGATGATGGAGGGCGAAAGGTGCTGTACGTGTAGGACGGATCTGTTTGAGAGGGGGGGTTGATGCATGGCTGCGGTGTCATGAGGACATTTGGAGCACGCACGTGACTGCACGTGATGTCGTCAGCAAGAAGTGCAAAATCCACGTCGATCTGAGCAGATAAGCAATGTATCGTGGATGCTCGGTGTCAATAGAGGTACGCTATGTCGCATAAGAGAGCTACAGTATGGTTACACGTGTGCATACATTCGAACAGATTTCAAGTGAGAATGAGGTGTAACCCAACAAGGCTGATATAGGTAGGCATTCGTCGTGTTGCCCTAGGAATATCGTCTAGGATTCAACACACTCCCTACGACTTTAAATTGTACGGGTGGGAGATTGTCATATCATCATTGATCACTTCAGAGGACACTAGGGGACGATAATATTGAAGTGCTGAATGGTGCGTCGTACAGTGTATCACAGCTGAAGATACATGGATTGAGACTTACACCAGACGAACTTCACAGACAGATAACTTCATGTGGCAGCCCTTTTATGTCCAAATTGTTGGCTTGAGCTGACCAGTCAGACTATGCTGGAGATCTAGACATGTGTTATCAGGACGGGGAAATGATAGATGTAGATGAAAACACTTTTCTCGATGGGGACAAACAGAGGTCAACTCGTTTAATCATATTTTTATCCTGCTGGGCCAATGTTGAACCCGATAACATGGATATTCCCACCAGACAGATCAGAACGCCACAAAATTGAAGAGGCTGGCTCGTTATCCAGGTCCGAAAGGCCAGCCTGATGCCATCTTAGCGGTGATTGCGCCATGTAAGGGGCATATTATCACACCCTGAAATTGGCCGACATCTAGTTTAGGGACATGACTTCGTCGATTTATTTTAATATAATCTGTGCCAGAATCGAATGTCGCTCTTCTTGCTTTGTGATATCAACCAATGCGAGTAGGACCGTCTCGGGATGTGTTTGGTCGGCATTACTTCCAACAACCGCAAGGCTGAACTCGTGCTTTATATTTCCCACTCAACGTTACTTCACCATCCGACAAGTATTAGGTGCTATTCAGGTGAGACTACGGCACTCCAGCGCTAATCACATCAATCTGAGAACTCAGGAGAGGGAAGCCCCATGAGTGGTAATATCGAAGAGATATCACCCAACACTCATCGAAACGACGCTTCACCATTGAGAGCAATTGCAACATTCGTGTATTAATGAATTATACCAAACCCAAGAAAGGGTCCGCATATCTGTCCCACATGAACCCGAGCGCCCACAAGGTAATTGTTCATCTAGAAGTCTTTCGACTACAGTCGACGCAGTCTATGTCATTCATCAGGGTTGCCAATATCATCCCAGAGATAGGATCCATTGCCCCTCCTCATCGTCATCAATACGTCTTGCCTGCCAGAAATCTCAACATAGGATCAATCATCCATTCGGTATCTTCTGTTCGACGATGTCCAGAAACGCCAACCCATTAAAAACGTACCCATACTCCGAGTGAAGCCACAAATACCAGACCGAGAACGACTTTTGTTTTTATAACACTTTGGCATATTTGGCTGCCGAGAAGCCTACAGCACCAGCAGTCAAGAAGATGCCAGCCCAGGCCATCAACCCTCTCCTCATACTCGCTTGCATGAAGGATTCCATGGCCTGAGCGTCGTTCAACTTGGGGAAAGGTACGTCCTTTGGAACAGGAACGCCGAGGATAGCGCATAGAGGTTCCCAGCCATCACGGACATCATAGAAGAACAGCTTTTCCTTTGGCACGACTTTCTTCAGGTGTTCGATATGACGGTCCCACATGGCTCGCGTTGGTCTTTGTGGTTCACCCTCACGGAAGTATAGTTCTCCGACTCGACCCTCGTCCAGGGCGTTGTGGTAGGCGCGGAACATTCGGAGAGTTGGTAGCGGTGCTAGAATCCATGACAGAATTGTAAGGTTTCCCTTCTCGACGATTGGCGCCAGACTGTTCCACCATTTCTCTGGGTCTCGGACGGTGCAGATGACCTTGGCATCCGGATACATGGCCATCAACTCTTCGACAAAGGCATTCGACGGGAGATCAGTGCAGGCGACGTAACCGTCGAGCATTTCCTTTACCCCTTCGTTGAGGGCTTTACGATCTTCTTCGGACTTGATGGGGGTGTGTCTGATGATTTCGATCCATCGTTTGATGTGGGACTCTGGAGAGTTGAGCATTTGAGTACCTCCATGGTAGCATGGACCGTCGAGGAGGTATGAGCAAGCGGCGCCAAAGGATGTTGTTCCTGTTCTCGACAAGCCGGCGCCAATAACCCTCAGGGAGCGGTCATGTGCAGGCTGAGATGCGGTCTGACCCATGGTCAATTGTAATGGGAGGGATGGCGAAGAGGTAAGTGGGATGTTGTTCAAGCAAAGGATAAGGCGAAGCAAGCAGATCACTGTGTAAGGCGAAGCTTTATGGCAATTGACGTTGACAGGTACACACGATAGGTTCCAACAAGCACGCGAAGGAGAGGGGGAAAAGACCGACCTTATCTCTTTTTTCATATCCAGATCGCCTCTTGTTCAACCCTATGGAGTTCCCGGAACCGGTCAGGCCAGCCCAGGCACACACGAGAGATCGAGTTAGCCCAAGGAGACATGGGTTTTGAGCAAATGCAGCGGCCCCGACGATAAACCATCCCCCAAACAGATCCACCTCGGCGAGCTTTGATAGCGGCTCGTAAGAACTTAACTTCAACAAGCAAAGTCGCAGGGAAATGCCACCTAGGCCGTTTCTTTTGCGGATGTCCTAGCGACCTTGGCTGTTGATCTCCCTGCTAACCTTTCGGCAGAGTTCGAAGTAACGAACGCATAATTTCCGACTTTGCGTACGGAGTACAGATGCGAAAATCCCCAGTTCGATCGGTCAGGATCTCAATATTGCTCTGATCTGACTGAACCACACTCGCGTTGCTGCATCTACAGGCTCAAGGGTACACAACATCGCTAGGTATGACTTACAACGACCTTCGATGGAGCACTCCGCACTGCTGGTGGAATGTGCTCAGCTTCGGTGATACAAACCAAGCTTTTTAGCCTTTCGGGCGAATTTGAAGATGAAACAGGACTGGGAAGAAGTGGCAGAACCGCTGCGAAGAGCCGTCAACTTTGACTCGAAATTACGGAGAAGGCGTTCAGCCACTGGCCAGGGACCTGCAGGAGACTGGAAATCTGCAGAAAACGAGGACCGCAAATGACGAATGACGAGGTTCCCCTGGAGGGCGCCACCCTAGAGCCACACTTGTCTCCTGGAAAGGGGGGTTGGATTCGACTGCAATTACTTTGTCCTGCCCCTCCGCGCACGCGACGACCTCTAGTGTGAGGGCTCGTCGCACTGCCTCTCAACTGTTCAGCATTCATATCGTGGTCCAGTTGTTCTCTATGAGGCGTTCTCTCACTCTCTCGCGCGCTCTCTCTGACTCTATTTGTCGAGAGCACGAGGAATTATCTCACTAGGCGACGCGAACTCCCACTCGAGACTCTTCCCACCCAACCCAGTCTCTACAAACGAGTTTTCCACAGACTACCTGACGATCGGCAGTGTTTGTCTGTGCTTGGCACTGTTGCTTCGCCATCAAGCAATCTTGTCATGTCTCTGACACCTTCTCCGTATTCAATGAAGCAGGGATGATCCTAAGCAGGGGTCACTAGGTAGACCGGGCCGCATGACATCCTGTTGCTTAGCATAGTCTGTTGCCATCGAAGTCAGTCTGACGACGTTGGCATGCCCTTCGCAACGGCATCATTTCTTTTGCATTTGCATCTACTCCGTAGCTCGCGAGACTGCCAATCGCCGTACCCCTACGCAATAGCTCACGAACTATCGCCAAAGCACATTTTAAATATCGAGACATTGTTACCAGAATCATCCACCCTAGTCAGGGGGACGTGCGCCACGCATGAAGTCTACAGTACTGTACGATCGCATTTTGAGCGTCATGCCTTGAGTTCGAGCGACGCCCGAGGTAAAAGCATCGGGGTCTCTTGTCTCGGGTGTCCACTGGTCTGAAATGACTCGCTGAGACAGAGCATGTTCTGCTTTACTCGCGCTCTCACTCCATACTAAGGGGTATACGCCACCAATGATGATGGATCATACCGAGCGATAACTCGTTAGATGCGTTTAGTCGATTGCGCTTCGACACGGGACGTTAGCTGGCCACTGCGCAACTCGCAATCTTGTCATCAACTTTGACGAACAAGCATCTGCACCATACAAAGTCTACTGGACGTAATCCACGTTAGACTTTGAGTACCCAACGAAGATTCAACCATATTCGGTCGACAACTCTCAACCCTAGCTCAACCACATCGACAACCTGGAGAAAGCCCCTTTGTCGCTGGGAACCTAATACACCCTCGCGTCAGTCACACGCTACAAGGAGTACGGAGTATGATAAGGCGTCCCAAACCGCGTTCTGTTGCCCATCTCCTTGTCAAGGCTCGCGCGTTAGCGCACACATGAACTCTTCCGTTGATCGTTGCTGAGTGGCGCTTCGGTGAAGTACACACGAGTCTCACTCTGCACGATTCCTCATCATCGGTGATTGAACAGGTAGGCGTAGCCGACCCGGTCTATGACACTACAACGAAGAGACACTTCCTTTGAACGCGATAGATGCATTGGTACGGAGTACACGTACTCTCGACATGTACTTCTCTCGGGACATTCCGAATGTGTCAAAGTCTCGAATTCGCAAACTCTTTCACCAAAGTCTGGACTGACATTGACGCGCTACGTGACTATCTTCGTAAAGATTCTTGCGAGACACAATCTACACCATATCGTGCTCGGAAATTGCTACCACGATGTCGTGTTTTCAAGTGCACCGGTATATGAAGGCAAAATAAAAAGATCTTTCCAGGTTAACTCCCTTTCACTTTTGACTAACTGGGAGAGCTCCCACCAGGTCTAGAACCGTCGCGCTCTGACAAAGATTTGCAGGTGTTGCTAGCAGAGTCTGTCTAGGGAGGTACTGAGTTGAAGTATGTCCAACTGGTCTTGCTCATGTCGAGCAATACCTCGATATCGGAGGTGCTACTGACTGAAAAGGGAGAGTTAAGTATCGACTTTCCACTCCCACCACATCGATCTGTCGAACTATGGTGTGGCCTCCTCATGATCGCCCTCGACTACTTCACCTCTACAGGTGTTCGCGAAATATACCGCACACCTTGGTGCTTTCCAGTATGAAAGAAGTGGCCAGACGAGCTGCGACTTGAGCTCTGCATAGCACCCCATTTCAGTCCCTGATCAAGTCATGTCGAATGTACAATATTTTCCAGCCATCATTCAATTTGCGTCCGGGCGTCGAAGAACTGGTCTGCCATTCATGCTTCGGGACCAGCCCAGCAGCTTTTACATATGGAATACTCTTGAACGACGGAAATAACCATATCAGTCAGTCTCATGCATCGTCGACCTTTTCCACTTGAGAGCCATCTGGAAGACTCATTCCCAACCCAAGTTATCACTGCGAACAGGATGTTGTTTATGTCTTGATGCCATGCTGTACATGCAAAGTACATTGACACCATCAGGCCATTACAAGTATCATTCCAAGGCCATTGCTATGGATATGGCTTGGGCAACACCTGGTCACGATCTTCCCTCCGAACCGTGCCGACCTTGTCCAATATTCTCCCATTGGCTCTGTTATCACACTAGCCACATTAGTGTCTTACCCCTGAAAGCAGCGCCACAATCGCAAGTGCCCCGGAGAATTAATTTACGAATGAACGAGCTTCAAGAGTCTAAAGCAGCAGTAGCACGTGACCGACTAACTCTTTTGAGGCTCACATGTTTCACGCGCCGCGTCAGTCGGTGGCCAAAGATAATGTTAGTAACAGTGCAGACTGCGCCCTTTTTTCCCTGATTTTCGCTATTCATTCAACGCACTCTCACCTGTTCAATCGTTGTACATTGCCATCTCACTTTTTTCTGTAATTCAAGCGTTTGCTGCTTCTTTAAAGTCCTTTTCTACAGCAGACGTGCCACTCTCGCTACATACAATACCACATTCGTTGTGACCCGTCGGTCTTTGTCGAGCAATCTCCCCCAGACCCTCAGAACATTCCTCGAATTCCTCCCATTCGCTCACCTGCGAAAGAAAGCCCTTTCTTTGTACTACCACCGGACGGGGTTCTGTCATACATCGTTCTCTCTTCCACCCGATTCTTGACCTCCTTTCATTGACGACTGCATAACGACATGGCCGGCCGCTTCTGGCTCTTAGCCGCCTCTTTGGCGCCTGCGGCATATGCTGCAGTTTCCTGCGGTGGTGGAACGCAATGCCCAGAGGATACTCCTTGTTGTTCACGTATGTCATCTGCCAGGAAAGACGACTCATCGATACTAATACTGAGGCAGAGTACGGCCAATGCGGTGTCGGCGCCTATTGTCTGGGTGGCTGCGATCCTGTCAACTCTTTCTCGCTTGAAGCCTGTGTACCTGCGCCTGTCTGTCAATCTCAGACATACAAATTCGACAACCTCGATGGCATCGTACCGAACACCAAATATCTCGGAGATGCCAGCAAAGCAGATTGGGTGTCTTCTGGACAACCCCTCGAGTACGATGGCTCCGTGTTGCTTACGATGGCCGAAGGAACGGTTGGAACACTCCTGGCCAGCACACACTATGTGTGGTATGGCAAAGTGGGGGCTCGATTGAGCACCGCTGCTGGTGCTGGTGTCGTGACTGCGTTCATTCTCTTGGGTGACTCTAAAGACGAAATTGATTTCGAATTTGTCGGAGTGGAACTCGAGAGTGCTCAAACCAACTTTTACTCTCAGGGTGTCACTGACTGTAAGTTTATCGGATTCAGCAATGGAAGCCGGTACTGACGTATATAGATCACAACGGTGGCAACACTACTGGCTTGACCGACGTGCACGCAAACATGCACGATTATGAAATCGATTGGCAACCCGATACTATCACCTGGTCCATCGATGGCAAGGTTGTTCGTACCCTCAACCGTGAAGATACCTGGAACGCTACCGCCAACCGATACTCATACCCTCAAACCCCATGCAGAGTGCAGCTGTCTCTCTGGCCTGGTGGTCTGTCCACTAACGGTGAGGGTACGATTCAATGGGCCGGTGGTCTTGTTCAGTGGAATTCCCCGTACATGGAGAATGGTTACTACTACGCCACCTTCGATGAAGTGTCAATTCAATGCTACAATCCTCCTAGCGGTGCCAACTCAAGTGGCAGCAAGTCATATGTCTACAACAACGACGCCATGACCAACAATACTGTCGAGATTACCAACGATAACACGATCCTCAAGTCATTTATGGCAACTGGTCTGAACATGTCGGCTGGCGACGCGAGTGCCTCTGCTAGCGCCAGTGGTTCTGCGAAGACGAACAATCCTGAGAGCGTGCCTGGTTTGAGCGGTGGTGGTACTGGCAACAACGGCCAGCGTGGTGGTGATAACAACTCCGATGGCAGCAGCGCTTCGGGTACTGATTCAGGGTCCGGAAGTGCTACAGCAACCGGTAGTGCATCAACTGGATTTGTCCAAGGCGGTGGAAGTAACGGAGGCAGCAATGGTGCCGGTCAGATCGGCGGCAATAGCGAGGCTGTCCTGAGAGGCAGTCTATTTGCTGTTGTCGTTGCTTTGGTTGGACTTTGCGTGCTATAGTTTTGAGGTTGACATCAATATGGGTGTATATGCACTGACTGACATTCTTTTGGTATTGGGAGGGTTTTGCATTGCGAGGATATACTGGGACCATAATTTTTACATGTTCATGCTAGATGAAGAATCCAAACAAAAATGGTGTGGGTGTGGTTGTCCATCAGTTTGAACTCTACCACTTCAATGCCTCGATGAACATCAATATGTGTGATCTCAATTACCAGGTATCAGGTACAACTAGGTACTAGGCACTACATAGGTTCTCGAATGGTTTGTGATTGTATGGATCAGGTGTATGGGATACATGGTAGGTAGGGGATACAGAGTACTGAGTAATGAGTATCGAATTATGTTGTGTCTGGTTGGTGCATCTTCGGCAAAGAATTTATGAAGTCATTTCTTTGCTGCGTGTCATGGACCTTTTTTTCCCCCGGGTGCTCTGTAATGAACAACTTTCCAAGTCTCAATACCAACTTGATCCAGTAGACTCGGTGATTGAGAACAATTCTCTTTTCTTTTTTGGTCTCCTCATCGTTGCAGGCGAATCCAGTTTCAAAGCGACATTCAGCTTTCTGGAGGAGAATCAGCCTACGCGACGAACCTACCTACCTTGAGCTTGGGGGGAGTCAATTCTCTCTCTCGCGGGCTTCACTCACTCACTCACTCACCAAGCTCGCAAGAGCATATGTCATGAGAGCTCCATCTGTAGACCTTCTCAGGGTCTTGCGCCTAGCTACTACATCAACACCTTCCTCATCGTTACGAATCTCTCGGACCTCTACCGGCGGTTTCTGCGCATCATCATCATCATCATCATCGTCACCTGTTCTGACTTCCTCACACTCACCTCGTCCATTTTCGACATGCATGGTTCGTAATGCATCTCAACCTCAATCTTCGTCCACGAGGCGCCGCCCCGTTCGAGACGTATCCTCGAATTCTACCTCGGTCGGAAGTACAGGGGCAGGCGCAGGCGCGGGCTCGACGACCGGTACATTGGAAAATGCAAGTACGAGCACGAGTCTGAACCGTATCAACCCAAAAGCCCCCAAGTCTCACGACCGAGGTCCGGCTTCGACCGAAGACACTCAGACCGACTTTTCCGCCATGGACATACTCACGAGTTCGGGCGTGGCGGTCCCGGCGACGGCCATTGACGCCTGCACACGCGACGGTTTCCATTTGAACAACGGTACGCAAACCCACGGGGGGGTGGGTGTGATGTTGTTGGACGGTGAGACTTTTGTCTGGACACCGTGGGGTACGACCGTCGACACGACGACGACGAGTACGGAGACCACCAGGGGACGAGAAGAGAGATTTTCGACGTTCCTGTCCAGACGTGGCACCCTCGGTCTACCCCCTTCGTCGTTGGGGGTCCTGGGTTTGTTGTACCCGAAACCGGACCTGCTCATCGTCGGCACCGGGGAAAAGTTGTGGATGTTGAGCAAGGAAACTCGGAAACACATCTTCGAGGACCTGGGCATCAAGGTGGACGTCATGGACACACCCAACGCCGCCGCCGCTTACAATCTGCTCGCCACGGAAAGAGGCGTCGATCAGGTCGCGGCCTTGATGATCCCTTTGGGATTCAGGGGGTTGTGAACTTTTTGGTTTTTTTTTTCAAATGTACTGTACACTCGTGTACTCGTATAGTCGTACTATTGAGTACCCAGTAAGTAGTATTGCTTTCGCTTACCAACGGAGTATCTCGAGAGTAGACCATACTGATATAACTTGCCTCGACAAGGATACGAGTGAACGAGTACAAATCATTCTCAATATTTCGTTAATCAATATCACAAGTCATGTTCATATTCCATACAGACTACACTTATCGCATGACACACTATCATAGAACATAAAATACGCTCATGTACATATACATGCCTATAAAAATATGCTCGCCAAAACCTTTTTGGAAATCCTAAGCAAAAACATCCTCCCTATCAGCCCAAATATCCTCCAGCTCATTGAAACTGCTAAAATGAATAGGCCGGTGCCTATCATCGTAAAACCGCCTCGGCGTGTCGATCTTGACATAGACCGGTCTCTTTTCTACCGAAGAGAATCCTGCGCCCATGAAACTGTAATTCCAAACCTCGGTCTCAGGGACCAAAAAGTAACCCCTGATCTTGTCCGACAGGAGAAGTTGCGTCTTGACTCCAAACGACGTCGAGAACCCGACAGGATTGTCGGACTGGGTGTCCTTGTTGCTGGCACCCCACGTGTACCCGGCGGGTGTGAGGGACCAAGCCGACAACGAGACCGATCCGGGCGTGAAGCTCACAGTCAGAGTGATTGTCTTCTTGTCCCAAGACGAATGTTGAGCCATCAAGCGAGCATGTTGCGTCACGTCCCCGGGTGTCATGTAGCTTGTTTCATTGCCCGAGGTCGTGTGGATGATACCCAACGGCTCCATACTCTTCAAGTACTCATGTTGGGGCAGCTGGTGAGGCAATTGAACCTCGCGAGTACTTCCGACCTGAGGCATCATGACAATCGTCCGGATCTCCTTGACTTGGTCATTGTCGGGCGGTGATGAACCGTACAGATATCCGGCTACCTGGACACGCAAGTCTGCGATTGCAATGAACTTCTTCAACGTGTTCTTCGGCATGATGTATGTGTAAGCATCCTCGGCTTCATGGATGTCGTCGCTCGAGATGTAAATGTTGTTCGAACGATTCCGGAGATTGGTCGTGGCAATGGCTCGAGTACGCCATTCAGTCTTGGACGCAAACGACTGTTGCTCATACTGAGATGTCGTCGTCACGATGATCTCCTCACCACGAACATTTTGGGTCTTGGTGGTCACAGCGGTCAACTGCTGCTGATCTTGTTGTTGCTTCTCAATCTCGGCGGCTTGTTGTCGTTGCATTGACGGCGCTGCGATTTCTTGACCAAGAATGATATCCCTGATTTCGCTGTTGGTTAAACTCTGGACATTGACATTGTTCTTCTTGCCATAATCATTCAGGATCATATCTCGAAGCTGCACTTCTACCTTGACCCAGTCCTCATCAGACAACGAAGGCCAAATGTGATGGGCCTGGGTAATGACGGTCTTGTCGGGTCTCAGGAGCAGCTTGGTCTTGTCCGTATTGACATGCAATGCTCGCAGAAGCAGGATCAGTCTCGAAAAGGCAGTATACGACGATATGGTCTTCAACCACTCATCGTACAAGTTGAAGAGCACCATCTGTGGTTCTTTAGCTTGCAGAATCATGTCGGCCAGCTTTTCGACTTTCATTGCGGCTTGGAAGGGCAGTTGGAGCTCTGACGCTCTAATCGAAATATTCGGGAAATCCAACAAGTGAACTTCGAGTGGATCAAGAAGACCCTTGCGAGTGACAATGAGCTGCTTTGGTTGTTCTTCCACAGGCAGGGATCTGATAAGCGCTGCTACTTCTTCAGCCGTCTTCCACTTGGCCAGTTGACCGAGACGTTTCTGACCAGCCCATACACTGGTATGGATGATCTTCAAGAAGAGTTGACCAGTTCTGGGATTGAAGATGAAGATTGCGCTGTATAACCAGTTAGTAAATACTAAGCACGAGTGAATATATAACGACTAACCCGTTGATAGGCTTTGTTGTCAAGTTACCTTCGAATGTCTTGTGAATGGTGACCCGATAGACATTCGTATCGTCAATGAACAGTTGAGTCTGGTTGCTGAACAACTCGGAGTAGTTCTGAGAATTCAAGAACTCTTGCGTGCTTTCCGAGGCATACAATTGAAGACCCTTTCTGATACGTTCACGCAGGACATAAAGGGCAGGATTCGCCTTCATGATCTTGGCCATGGCTTGCTGAACCAGAGCCTTCAGACCTGGGAAGTACTGGCCGTAAGCCGAGTAAAGGTTGTAAGCCAAATCGATACCGATCATCAACCCAGTTGCCGAAGGATAGATACTCATGCTATCCGTGGTGTAATCGAGATACTTCGCACGGACGTAACGTTCGATATCGTGGGAGTCATAGTCTCCGTACCTCAATTGGACGTCGAGCCACATTTTGTTTGTAGTAGTGGCTTCAATTTGGTCCTTGGTATCAAAGAGAAGCGATGGTCGCGTGACGTTCCATTTGTGACTGGCAAATAACAGGATGTCTGCACAAGAACTGTTCATCTTATATGACTTTCGAGGATGAATAGTCTCTTTCTGTACAGTCTCGATACCAAGCTGCTCCAGTTCCTGGTCAAATACCTGGCACAAATCCATGACAACAGACTCGTGGATCTTCTGCCACAAATGTGCTCGGAAGATCTGGATCAATGAAATCTTCAATGTGGGAATCTTTCCGTGAAGGAAAATGCCTGTGAGATCAAGTTGGACTTGGAAACCGACGTATACGTTGGCTCTGTTAATGGTCGGTGACCACCACAAAGTGAATCGTCGATTGGGGATTTGATTCAAACCGGATCGCTGAGCGTTGGTGAGCTTTTTGTACTTCATCGATTCCCTGTAGTCAAGTCAGTCAGTATTAGATCACAAAAAAAGCGAAAAGCACGAGGGAGCCTTGAGAAAGAAGCTCTTCAGGTCTAGCCAAAACGCGTTCTACGCCAGGCATGTAAGATCTCCTCTTAGAAGAAACCGAAGACTTTCGGGGGACGGGATGTGGGAATAAGTCTTTTGGGCTGATGAAAATATGATGGACTTACTCGAAACCAGAATTGTGAAGGACGAGATAATCATATCGCAAGTACAGCTGGTCCTTGTCGACCCTGAATCCAGACCATTCCATTGGCTCGGCTTCGAGTGATATGCTTTCAATCTTGAAGTCATGCATCTCCGGGACGAGACGATCGCAGGTCTGCTTCCGCGCGAGAAGGGACGGTATCTCGGCCAGAGTGCCGGATGTGGGGACTTTCTGCTCATATTCAGGAGATCGGAACAGTTGATAGCTCGCTTGCTCGGCCGAATCCAGAGCTGCAAAATCAGCAGCAGTCAATTCAACAGTGTCGAAGCGGTCAGCGGCAGAGGCCTTCTCAGCAGAATTTTCTAGGATTACGGCTTCAGTCTTCTCCCGGTGCAGTACTAGGATATGGTTAGGAGTCACAACAAGATCTTCCATGAGAGAGCCCATCTTGATGCGATACAGCCGATCGGAGCCATTCACGATATTGAACGCGCGGCGAGGGCCACCGTCAGGACCAAGAAGTAAATCGCCCTCTTTGACATCTTCAACTGCAACCTTGTAGCCGTCATACCGCAGAAGTAGAGTTCCATTAGCAAGACAAGCTCTCTCCCAAAAGAGACCTTCCCAGGACGGGAATGCTGTTGCCTTGAACAAGGTATGTTCAAGAATAGTCTCGACACCACCGAGTGCCTGGATGACATCGGTTCTGTACGAATTGAGATTCCAGAGTTTACCGTCATGTCGCTGACTAGTCCACCAGAAGGGGTTGCTCTTCATGATCTGGTACTGCTTGAACTCAGTCCGGGCTCGGAAACCCTTGTCAAAGGACAATGTGCTTCTATCCTTTTGGAAGAGGGTGTTGATTCTTGGCAAACCTCTGTCGAACGAATCCTCCAAATCCTCGAGTGTCAGTCTTCGGTTCTGTTGTTGAGCCTCTAGTCTCTTTTGGGAATATTCGGTCCACACACGTTGTGAATCGATGAATTCACTTTGCCAGGGGGCCACGTAACGGAAGATGTTGGGAATTAGCGTTTCCTCGTCGTGAGACATACCAGCACGATAGTGTGTGACGCCAGTATCAGTCTGTTTGAACCATCGCTTGTCACTGGTAGGGATGAGGATATGAGAACCGGAGATCATGCCGAGACCACCAAGTTCCTTGGGGGTATAGAAGACTGCCGGTGGGAATCGAGAAGGCATCTTGGAGTTCAGGCCAATCTTGACACGAGTCTGGATCTTCGTCTCGCACTTGACAATTGTGTCCAACAAGTTCACCGTTGACACAGCAGCTTCTCTGTAGTACGTGAAGAGTGCGATCAAAGTCGTGTTCCACTTGTTCGCAATCTTGGTGAAAGTGGTACTACCTGAAGACATCAAGATTTGTCTGATACGGTTGTTGAACTTCTGAATGTCTTCCTCGGTGACTTGCAAGAACGCATATGCAGTGCGTTCTTTGGTCTCATTGTTGGCAAGAGCCCAAACGCTGTCCTTGATTGGGAATTCGTCATTGGGATTTCTGATCTTGGGCAAGATCCTGACTTCGAACCCGCACATAGAGAACAACAGGTTCGGGTTGTCGCGCGAGTATACGCTAGCGAACGTGTCGTCCCATTCGATTGTGGTAATGGAACGAGGCAATCTGTTCTTGAGATCCCAGAATACCGCCCGACCGAGGTTGACATCGTGTCTCATGAGCCTCATTCGGGAGTCGCGAGGCCAACATTTCTTATTCCTGTACCCAATGACGTTCTCGAAGTTGGGGTCAGGCTGCTCGGTCAAGAATCGTTGAATCAGGTCTTTCGAGTCTTCGGCACTGAATCTGAGGAAGACCCAGATCTTATCGATGTAACGAGTGTACAGTCGAATAGGATGTCTCGTCTCTGTTTCTCTGTCACGGAATTGCAAGAAGTCATTTGGTGCATTAGGTGGTCCTGCAAGTTCACTGGCCCGTTGAAGACCGAGAAGAAGCAGGTCAATAACCAGGCCGTAGTACTGGAACACGAAGCCCGAGAATTGTAGACCTCTGATCAGACCATAGCTGTTGGTATGATTCATGTCCTTGTAGTTCAGCTGGACGTTGTTCTTGGACGTGATATAATCAGCCAAGTTGTGATCCATGATCAACCTCAGAAGACGGTTGAGTAGAGTAAGATCGATCTTCTCATAGACCTTGGACAATTGAGTCTCAATCATCACATTGCACTCGCCATCGGCAGTCTCCCAGACGTTGGTCAGGTTGTTGATACCTTGAGCCCACTTGTAAACCAACAGTGGTGGAACCTCTGAATCTGACGGTTTAACCCATGATGGGAACAGCTTGCGCTCAGAAGCTTGGTACCAGAGATATTGATCGAGATATGCATCGGTGATCTTCTCGATCGGCTCAACGTCATAAACAGGATTGATGGAGCTGTAGTTGTCGTTCATATCAATGCCAACTTCTTTAAAGGCTCGCTGAGTGAGCAAGAAGCGCTTGATTCTTGCAAGGGTGGTTCCGGGGGAGTCGTACGCCTGCTCAATGAGAGCAAGCTCCTCTCGTTGACTTTGGTTCAATCTTCCTTTGACCGAGTATGCTTCTCTTAGTCTTTCGAGAGCAAGAATGAGGATCTTTGTGTCATGCTTGTAGGAAACGCTTGGGAACGGAATAGGCATGAACTTGCGCGATTCGAGCCAGTGAACAGTGGTGGTATAGATGGCCACCGCCTCTTCGGACGACACGTAAGGACCATCCTTGAGGTAATTGTGCTGTCTTTCTTGTTCAGCTTTGAGCCACAATCTAGTCAGACGGCCAAGATTCTTCTTCGCAACGGTCTTGTCGACAGTGGCACCTCTTCGAATTCGTTCTCTGTTGTAGTGCGCCACTGAGATCCACCAATCGGCCTTACTCTTGACGTATCGCAAGATGATGTTCTCAATTGGTGCGGGCAGGCCAGGCACTTTCCATGGGATGTTACTCTTCCAGCAACGCCATGCTTCTGAAAGATGCTGAAGGACGGTGTTGACCTTGTTCTGTCTGATACCCTCCGGCATCATATCCATCAGATCAGCCATGACCGAAGCACGCAACTCCAGATCGAAATGTGATTCAACACGTTGTTTTGTGACAGTCTTAGCGACGCCCTTACTGTGTCGGCCTTCGAACTGTCTGGACAACAGGTTACCGAGCCATCTTTCCAAAAGAGGGATGATGCCTCTCATGAAGAACAGCCAGACGCGCCACGAAGGTGCCCAGAAACCACATCCGGGACCTTTACCGACAGGGCCAGAGTTGAAGCGGTAGTAAATTAAGTGCTTCAGATCTTTGCATGATCGGATCTGGTGCATGAGCTTGTACTTGTATCGGTACATCCCCGTCAGCTGTCCAACGTGGTTGAAGGCATACAAGATACCATCGGCAAGTTGGAAAGCATCAATGTTGCCCAGTCTGTACTGAACTTGAGCGTCCACAATGAGCTTGGTCAATCTGAGGATTTCACGCATCAAGTGGAAAGCATTGCCGAATCTTGACTTCTTTCGTTCCTTTGTCGTCAGCGTCTTGACGGGCTTAAGGTTGAAATTGTAGTCGAGATGGAGGTATGTCAAGTTCTTGCGGTGAATGAGTAAATTTAGCATGTTGAAACCTTGTCGGCACACTTGTAGACCGGCTTCAACCCAGTCGATAGTGGTCTGTTGGAAGAACTTGGTCTGCTTCAGGGTCTTCAGAAGATCCTGCTTGTTCTGTGCTTTTGGCTTCTTCTTATGTAATTCGTTCAGGACAAATGACTTCAAGAGCTTCTGATACGAGACTCTGACTTTGACCGGCTGGCCTGGAGGGCAATGCTCGAGGTACCACTGCTTGACAAGCGGCACATCCTGAGCACGAACCATTTTCCCGGATCGGCGGTCGAATGGGAAGGGAGCCCACCACAATGCGATGGCAGATGATGTGTCATTGTTGTACAGCTCCTCGTCGGCAAGGAAAGGTTCCACATTTCCAGGAAGCTCAAATTCGTCGTCCTCGTTGTTCCCTGCCCCAAAGATCTCGTCCTCATGACTCACGGTGATGTTCTTTGGTGCTACCGACCGCGAAGAGATAGGGTTGATGACAGGGTCGAAGTAGAATGCTGGCAGGTTGGGGTCTTCGGATCGAACATAGACGACCTGGGGATGAGAGTACCAAGAGATTTTGACGCTGCGCGGCAGAGAGTTGTAGAGGTATGGGAACGCCACTCTGTATTCCGTCCGGATGGGTGCTCTGAAAATGATGCGATCGATAGCGTTGAACTCGCCAAAATCTTCGTCATTCGGATCAATATCCTTGTAAAGAGGTTCAAAGCGTGGTCCACCAGGAATTGCAACGTTCAGAGCTTTTGCGGTGAAGAAGCTTTCCCGGTCGAACATGTGGAAATAGTTCTTGTCGACAACGTCACTGAGCAACTGATGAGATAACCGATACAGCGTCGCCATCTGTGGCAGTGACAGATTCCACTTTTTGTAACTCGGCCCATTGACGTGGGGAGTGTCGAGCAGCGGCCGGTGTTCGTAGAACCACTCGTAGACGGGACCGTCTTCATTCTCGTCCAACTCCATCTGAATCGGCTCGAGAGGTTCGACATCTTCAATGTTCTCGGACCACGACAGAGGCGGCTCTTCGTCGTCGAAAGGTGGGAATCGCATGCGCTTGAAGTGTCGTCTGTCGCTCTTTTCCCGTCTCATGCTCACCCACATCGTGGCCCATTGCGCGTGAAAGACGGGCTCGATTACTCGAGGCGTTTCGTTGACCAACGTCAGACATCCATTGACGTGGTACAACACCTTCACTTCTCTCGCACTCTCCCAGGGCATCGGCATGTTCTCCAGGAGCTTGAACACAGCGTGTGGCATGTACTTCAACGCACCAAGATAACTGCGCTTGTCGCTGCTGAACTTTTTCTGACTGACATCACCGATATCCTTGACAATCTTCCTCAAATGTTCGGGCGGCATATCGGCCTTTTGCGTCTCGACGAAACCACCCTTGCGCTTCTCGCTGAAGCGGTTGCGCTGGCTCCGGAGCCATTCTTTCTTCTTCTGGGCGAATTTGGCGATCCGAGGGTCTGGCGGCGGACGATAACCCGGCGGAGGAGGCGCCATGCCAGGAGGCGGCGGGGGAGGAGCGCCGGCACTCCATCCTGGAGGCGGAGGAGGGGGTATTGAAGCCATCCCGTGTCTTCAGGCGGCTGAAGGTGACTATTGCGACGAAGGAAAGGGAAAAGATGAATCGTACTGTCCTAGCCGAGAAAGTGCATTGGTAGAATTCTTACCATTTACCAACCACGCAGACAGCTCTACCCTCTGCTTTTGGCCGAGAGAGCAAGCTTGATCAGGATTGATTATGTCGCAACGGCCATCCACCTACAGTGAACCCCAGAGGAACAAAGGCGTGCTGATGGATTGATGTTTTTCAGGATTTCTTTTCGTGTCCATTTGCCTCGCAAACGCGGCGAAAGGAACTTCTTTTCGATACTCCACCAATTTACTTACACGTGACCTGGGTCCCGCCCTAACACGAATCAGGCATCTGCCGCCAAGAATCACATCCACAAACGAAATTTTGAGGAACTTTGATCGAAGCCGTCGAGACAACGACAACGACATTTCACACACCCAGCCAACTTTCTTCTTCCTCCATCAATCCATTGCTTCTTCAATACCGTCGCAATGGCAGGTGTTCGACTCCAATACCGCCGCCGCAACCCGTACGTTCCTCCCTCCTGTCCCCCTCCGCCCGATTGAGTTGCAGATTTCACAAGTTGGGATCGGGTTATAAACTAACATCACTTTTTGCGCCGTACAGTTACAACACCTCCTCGAACAATGTCCGTGTGATCAAGACCCCAGGTGGAAAGCTCCGACTCCTGCACATCAAGAAGCGAGGAACTGCCCCTAAATGCGGTGACTGCGGCGTCAAACTCCCAGGTGTAAGTTGTTTCCAGCATCCGAGTCTCACACACGTCGATCGAGTCTTTTACACACAACGACGATCGGAGGAGGCAGGCACCAAAAAAATTAACGTTGTTCTGACTTGCACGCGCTATCATAGATCCCAGCTCTACGACCTAGAGAATACGCAACGACATCCCGACCGAAGAAGACCGTCCAACGTGCCTACGGTGGCTCGAGATGCGCCAATTGCGTCCGAGACAGAATCGTCCGGGCCTTCCTCATTGAGGAGCAGAAGATTGTCAAGAAGGTGCTGAAGGAGACCCAGGAGAAGAAGGGAAAGAAATAAATGGGTAGAAGTTGAAGGGGGGGTTGATGGATTTTTTTTTCCTTCGATGGAAAAAAACAAAACCCAAGCCGACGGGTTTGTAGCAAGGGCATTTTCACGATGAGCAAGGCTGTCGACTGCAAACGAGGCAGGGAGTTCTCATGTCCAAGGAAGCATCAGCATAGCGAGAAAAATATTGGTTGGATCCAAAGACCGTCCTTCCAGAACTCGGGGCTTGTCTTGATGCGAAAATTTCAGATACGGTGACTGATGGGAGTCAAGAACATCCAATGCAAATGATACCTGAAAATGATCACCTTTGAGATGCTTTTGTTCTCGGTCGGAGACTGTTACGCTCATCCGTGACCATTGCGCCGTGCACATCGTTCATATGTCAGGCAATGGAGTTGTGTCAAGGTAATCTCGATGAAGGATCCTTGGACAGTACCAGTGAACAAAAAATGTCCAGGCAACCTCGACACAGCCGAACAGCGAGCTCCCCTCCATTGCGTCGTTGCGGTTCTTGGCCTAGGCCCGTCAACACTTCATTGAGGTGATTCTTGCGTGGCATCGAAGTGCCCAAATGTAACCGACTCCTTAAAGCCATGCCCACACACACACACACACACACACACGTCCCCCTCCACAATCAAATTTCTTTTGGGCGGCACAACTGACGAATGTATTTGTACCTCTTACCTTACCCTGGACTGCAATGAATGCTTCCAGGGTGGCCCTGAAGTTGCCCTCCCTCAATGAGTGAACATGGTCGTTCAAAGGTCGGTCCTCCCTTGGACGGACACACAAGAATCAATGCTTTCCCACCACTCACTGTACTACTTCCACGATTAGAAGCACGACTGCTATTGTCTACACTCCCCAAAGGAAAGTAATACCATCGCCCACAGTTCTCATATATTCCTTGATTTTACCTCCTTTCAACAACCACAAGGGCTGAAAACTTGGGAATGAAACGAATCATTTAACTAGTACAGTGGCACCGCACAACGATTCACGAATGCTGTCTAAAGACCAGAGTAGGAGGAATGGTTGCTCAAGAGCTCGACTTTTCTCCCTGAAGATATGCCACCAACTAGGTAAGTTGTACTCCGGAACATGCCCTACTAACTTGAATTGAGTGTTCTCTCTTCACTGATTGCATCATCTTCCAGTTTGAGAGAGTGAGAGGTCTCGATGGATCAGAAAACGACTCGTGACAATAGTGCAGGCCATCTCAACCAAGGTTCACACAACGAAGGGGGTCAATTGCTCGCATATTTCTAGGGTGGCACAAAGCCGCTGTCAAAACTGTCATATCTGTTGCTCTCCGTGACGTGGAACTCATTGGGATGACTCGGGGAATTTCTGGAGTGCTCAAGATCGGATTGTGCAACATGATGTGGTCAACATTTTATCTCTTTCGCAGCAGCATTTGATTGTAATTATAGCGAAACTTGAGAAGCAACGGGAATATCCCGTTGTCGCGAGGCGCAATCTCACGATTATGCCGTCTCATCAGTGCCACATACCTTCTCGAAGTGTTCTCAGGGGAATGAGAGACTCAGTGACTTCACGAGTGGGTTGGTGATGGCGAAGGCCCTCGAGGTCCGGCAGGTAACACAAGGGCTCCCGCGCAACGAGTCTCTGAGCTAGTTGCGATGACAAAGAGAATTCGAAACTAATCCACCTCTTGTCGGTCGTATTTGGGCATTGGCAAATTGTCCATGCAATACCGGCAGCATAGCATGCCAGGGCACACCTGCACGCCAAAACTAGAACGCCCTCACCTACGCCTAATCGTTAGACTGCCGTTACAGCAGCGTATGCGCTACACAAAGACTCGAAAGGAAGGGTGCATCAATGCTGACCAAGATGAGCTCGACCTCGAAACTTGCGAGCAACAAAACATCTCAGAGTAACAGCAGCAGGAGGAGGCCTATCAGGCCCAGTCCACGTGCAGGAGTTGTCTTCCCCCTTCTTCAGCCTCTTGCCTAATGTAGCCATGACACCCCGGAAGCAGGGCGTCTTACCAGAGGCATCCGATCAATAGGGGGGAACGGTACTGCGAATAGCTACAGCTGCAAGGAGATCGTAATACAGACAACAAAATACCTGACATGGCCGTGCTGCCGTGAGCTGCGGCAAGTGATGCTGATTTGGAGGAGTGGACCAGGTTGTATTGTGATACGTTACCTGACATATGTCAAGCACGTTTCGAGCAGCTGACAAGGTCCAGGGCGTGCGGAAAGCGGCATGCCAGGATGACACTAACCAGCCCGGAACTGTCTTGGGAAAATAGCATGCTTCTTATTTCGAGAGCCTGAATCGGGATAGAAATGGTGGTTGTTGGGGAAGAGAGCATGATGTCGAAGGGGATGATCGAGATCCTTCAAGCGCTAATGTAAATGCATCGTCCTTGCTGGGTTTCAGTCAGATGAACCGAGATTTCATCTAATAAGTTGTAGTGACCATCTGCAATCGATCGGTCTTTGGGACCGACGGAAGTGCAAGGGCTCTGAGAATCGAGCCCTACATGGACTCCGAGCTTCATTTGTCGTTGCATAAACCAGTCCCATTTGTCGAACTCGAGTGACTATTCCATGGCGCATGTCCGAGGAATCAAGATTCCAAGATCAATGAGATCAGTAGCCATCAGCATGCAGAGATCAACATCCTCAACCGCCCCCAAGATCCGCATCCCTGATTGAACGTGGAATAAAATCTGGGACCAGCAGAGGCGTCCAAGCTGTCATTCTGGCGATAGAAGCCGAACTAATTGACTTCATCGCTTCATAGCTTCCTGCAACGCAGAAGGACGGTTTCGTCTGTCACACGATTGTTTCGCTTTGGGATCCTCGATCCTTTACGAGCTGATTTGTGGTGCAGCTTCCTGCTTTGTCCCGAATCCGCAGACCGACAGAGCCTGGGCGCGATTGAATCATCATCATTCATGACCCCTGTAATGCTCGTGGACTAAAGCAAGAGTCAGCCGCAGTGGCTATCTGAAAGGGTGGTGACAGGGGTCTCAAGTTGCCGACGTAAAACTGATGGATCTGCCTCCTCATCGTACTTATCTTGGATTTTGTCGGGTGACGGACCTAGATCTCGGTTTTAATTCGCCTATCTAGTCGCTTGTGGAGGCTTACACGTCCATTGTTCGGTGCCAATCAAGCGATCATGGGATTAGTGCAGTCAGGACCGGCGTAATTGTGAAGGAGGCGAACAGGGTACGACTGCTCCCTGAGAAGTGTCGGGGAAGCAGAATCACGCATTAGTGCCTTGAAAAAGGACCAGGCAGTTGATCTTTCGCTTAAAACATGGTGGGATTCGCCAACCCCGGGTTGTTTGGAAAGGACTGCGAATCTGCGGGTTCATCTGCAGCTAAGCTGGCACAGGCGAAAGATGGAAGCGAATCTGACTCGAGAGGCAGTCTTGCTTAGCAATCTTGGATGCGGTTGGGGCTATAGCTCAAACCAGCCAAAGCAAGGTGTTTGACGAGCAAGAGCACTTGTGGCGGTGGAAACATGAAGAAATGCGTGTGTCTCCTGTCGGTCGTAGCGATTGCGTTTTTCGTTGGCGGCTGGCAGCGGATACAGCCAGCCCAGCTTCAAGTGGTGGTTTCGCATGGTCAGGGGTGCCTGGTAAAGTCAACCCTGTTCTTCAGCGTCGTCTCACAAAAGCCGTTGAATTTTGACGTGGCTGGAGCTGAAATCCCACACGAGGCTTAAGTCGGGTTTGGAAGTTTTGTGGATCGTGAATGGAAACACTTGATGCCGGCCACCTGCCGGCGAGCAAGCACAGGCACACAGGGCTTTCTGCGTCAATCGAGGGAGGTAAGTCACATCGCCTGGAAAATGTTTATCTCAACGTAGATATTTGTGCAGAAAACATGTACGATCATGGGACTAGTACTAGATTGCATAAACAGACACCCTCGCTCCTACATACAAGCAAACAAACGAGATCCCTGACACATTGGCCAGGAATAACCGCGATAGCCCCCAAAATATCCCACACAGCGGTCCACTCCTGCCGACCCTGGTCCCTCTGACTTCGTTCACTGATGTTTTTGCATTTTCTTATGCCCTTGTCCGTCGGATCCATGCACTTCGCCTCTGCTGCCTGTGGCATCGATACCTATTGCAGAATAGCACCTCATTAAGTCTGGATTGAAGAAGCGTCGTGCAAAGACTGGTCGAAACTTGATCGCAAAAGCATGCTGCGGAGGCGTAGGTCCTCTTCTGAAAGACTCTGGCATGATCGAGTTTGGAGATCGAATCCCATTGGAGGTGAACTAGATAAGAATCGCACTAGATCCTCCGGTTGGTTATGATCCCCAAACATCACGGGCCAACCTCCAACGGCTGGTTGTAGGTCGTAGCAATCGAGACTCCGGTAATCACTGAGATCGGAGTATTGAGTGGTGGGGCTGCATGTCAAAGGCGTTGATGTGACATAGGGGTTCTCTTGACGCCGTTGTCTTGCGGCACGGCTTGCAGCACGACCTCCCTTTGCTCCTGATCTCTGTCGTTGTATTGCAGGCGCGCGATGCCCATTATGACGTTTCCCCCCTCCAGTCTTTCGATATCTTGTCGTTGACTGTATTCCGTTCTTGATCGCATCTTCGGTCAAGACCCAGACACTATTGGATTTCCTCGAGCCACCACGAGCATTATCTCTGTCATTTTCGAACGCCTGGTGGCCATATGTCAGCAAAATCTCTTCGAATATGGTAGAATTCTCACCTTGTTCATAGACAGGTTATGTCTGATGCTGTTCTGCCAGCCCTTGGAACCCGATTCCTGTGGCTTGGTTGTGTTGTTGCAAAACCACTCATAGATATCTTTCAACATCATCCTGTGCCCTGGCGCCTGCTTCAGAGCATCGTAGATCAGCATGGCGTACGGCTTGTCGTCAAGAGGTTCCGCCTCTTCGGAAAAAGCGGGCGCTTGACTGTAGATAACATCGGATGCGACTGACCAGGGACTTTTGGTATCGCATTCGTCATAGTATTGGTACGACGAATAGGGAGATGCCATTATGTCTGAGCTGTCATGATAGAAATGCATATCAGGATGTCCAGTCTTGCTAGTCTGATGACTGTGGACGTGATTGGAGTAGGTCTCATGAGTTGTCCATGTTGGGGCCAACTCCAGATCGGACAGCTGAATTTGGGATCTCGGTGGCAGGAGCTGATCGGCATCGTTACCAGACGCATCAGCAGGCTGATCAATTACGTTGCTGTCGTAAAAACTGTGGAATTGGTGGAGTTCTGCTTGCAGTGCGTCGAAATTCAAGCTTCGTAGACTAGAAAGGCTGAGGCCTCTCTGTAAGTCGACATGGCGTCCAAGCTCAAAGCTCTCGTGAGCGTCACATTTGTGAGGTGAAGTATCGTCCTCCATTTGGGACAGTGGGTATGGATTTGTAGACATGAATGGATGCGCTGAATAGCAGAACAATGGCAGTAACCCCATATGTGTTGACTGGTTAGAAGGAAGTAACACTCCCACGACAATGGCTTGTGAGTTTGTATATTAGGGAGGGACAAGGAGAGTATATGGTACATCAAGCCAGACAAAGAAAGTCAAGGTTGTAAATGCTCATCATCTCAAGCAAGCAGGTGGTATGGAGGCACATAGATTGGTACATGCAGAAAGGGGAGGATCAATACAAACAGACAGGGATGAGGAACGGAACGCAAACAAAGGGTTCCTGAAGTCAAGCCCATATCCGCTTCTGCAGGAGGAAAAGACCGCTCGAATTCAGGACGGTTGATGCTAGTGCAATACAGCAGTCAGTGTATCACGGTTACCCAGAAAGCCCGGAAGCATTCTGGCCCTCCTCTGCCCAATCAATTGATATGCGGAATGAGGAGACCTCTTGTGCTACAACAGGCACGTTAACGGCTGTCATGAAGACGGGATGTTGCATGATAGTTGGATTCAAACTGCCAACCTGCAGTAACCCACAAGCACCCGTCATCCCGTAGGCCAAAAAATTTCACCTTGTCTGTTTCCCTTTAGTGGTGTGGAGATGTGGGCAAAGCGGCTTCCGTAGCACTTATCAAAAAGCCACGCTGGAATCCGAAAATATTGGGGGTTGAGTGCGGATCGGACAAGGATACAAGGCTGAGCGAATACGGGACGGACCATGCAGCATACAGGCTTGTCCTGTGCGGGCCAACAGCAGGTCTAGGCAAGTAAGAAACAAAGGATGATCAGGCTGAGTATGCACCTACCATGCAGAGCTCATGCGTCTCCGGAGAGAGGGGGGTGGATGGTGAGATCTGGTGTGTTCCCTGAGGAGGGTTAAGCTCCTCGTCCAGGACTAACTGGCCATTCAGTATTGACCTGTGTTTCAAGTGCGGATGAGTGGTATTGACAAAAGATCAGAAATTCCGAGGTTTCTTGTCTTGTTAAAGGGGCCTTTCTCTTCTGCTTTATGACACGTAGGTAGTCTGGAAGGTAGAAGGGGGATGGAATAGCCATTTTGTTCCAACCTGAGGCGGAATCTGGGAGCAGATTGTGATTGTCACGGCAGATAAGATAAGATTTCTTGGCTCAACGGTCTCGGCCCCAATGTTATTCCGCATTCCCTTCACGGAGTATTAGGATCTTCTAGTGTGCGAGCCCATCTGAGATGATGTGTACTACTCCATCAGAGATAGTGCTTTCTTTTACTCCGAAAGGCTCGCCTCGTCCCATTGGTGTTGTTCCTCGTTTTGCTACGTCAAGTTGCAGTTTCATATCTCCTTTCTAAGGCCCCGAATTGCTGATTACGCTGATATGATCATCGCCGCTGATGTAAGTCAGCACAGCCTCAAATCAACCCTCTTTCAGAAAGCGCATTATTCTGCATCTACCGTCACGCTTCGACCAAGCACATCTCTGGTGTGATACCAAGGCTCGGCATACCACGGCCCTGTTGTCCCCAGGTCTGCACTAGCTTTCCGCCAACATCCTGCACAGTCAGAGTCCTCTTGAACATTTCAACGCCCAGACAGACCATGATCTTGTCCTTCTTCGTACATTTCATACCCTGAACGATATCATATCGCCATGCCGGAAGTTGTAAGAGGCAGTCGTGCCAGTCTACAGCTGGACCGGAATGTCTCCCCCGCCTCTCCTTCGCAGGAACGACGAGCCGTCCATTTCGGGCTCGAAAGCCCATCGGCCGAAGACACCCCTACACCCGGCATAAATGCTGTCGACACAGGTCTAAGCACGGATTCCGGGCGTAGGAGAAGCTCGCAACACAAGAGAAGGCGGACCCAGGACATGACCTCTCCGGAAAGGGCCGCATATTATGACAGTCGTGCTGCAACCAAAAGAGAATTTCGAAGACGAGCGAGTACTTTACAGGAATACTACCAGGAGCATCCTGAATTGCTTCCACAACTACCTTTTACCTGGCGTCATGGTATCAAAAGATGGAAATTATTCTTTACGATATTTATAATGGTTGTTGATGCATGTGTCATTCCACTTGTGCTATACTACACGATGAAGTTTGTGGGCCATGTGCAGGGATATATAAGTATGAGAGCCCTACGCGTCGACGTCGGAACACATTGCTAATGTTGAGCATGTAGTTTTTGCCGTGGTTGCTACCATTTGGGGTGGTCCGACCTACGTTGAATTCGCCGTACGATCCTGGAGACTTATCAAGAAAGAGAACTTCTTTCGACCATTGGGCACCTCTAATCGCTGGGCGTTCGATATCACACATTGGATTTCAAGTTTGACTATCGCAGCGGTCACTGCGTTCCTCATCATTGGCAGCGCGCCTCACATTGTGTGGCTGCGGGTGCTGTCAATGCCGGCTCCTGCGATCCTCTACTGCGTGGGCGGCAGTGTGTTCATAATCACAATGTACAGTCTTACGGGCCGAAAAGCACCTTTCCGAATCAGCTCGACACCGAAAGGAGGAGACGTGTATCCAGGAGTGTATTATATCATGGAGGACATCATTGCCGTCAATGCCGGCGCCGGAAGGCCTTTCCGTGAAGCGCTTGCTGCGCGGTATGCTGCGAGCCCCCGCTTCCGGAGAATGATCAAAACACAATCGTTGTTCTGGTCGATACCATCCCTAGTCGTCGCCGTTGTTTGTACGGTGGTTATTGTCATTCACCCCGTGTCTAAAGAAGTGGCCTATGGTGTTGGTACGTTTCTCACATCGCTTCTTTCTGCAAATCTACTGACACATTCTATCAGGATGGGGTGTTCCGTTTGTTTGGGTCGGTATATGGGTCGCCATCTCTTTCCCCTGGATCCGCCGTGACATGCACAAGGAGACCGTGACGTGGGAAGAAGATTTCGGTATCGTGCCCGAGAAGAAGCACAAGCACGCCGTCAACGATCTGGAGAACGGAGAGGCTCCCAAGGAACCCAAAATCCCCGAACCAGCGCATTAAAACATTAGGCCTTTTTCTTTTGTTGTTTGTCCCCCTCTTTTCGAAACAAAGATACCCTGTCGCAGTCAGTCGGTCGGAGTCAGATTCAGATGGATATATAGCTTGTGTGTTGCAGAGAAAAAAAGCTGGTTGTGATGATAACTTGGTAGCAGTGAGCGTTGGATCCTCCTTGTCCTCTTTTTTCTTCCTTCTTTCTTATAGAGTCAAAATCTTTGACTTGTTGACTATTTGACGATATACACGGTAGTCTTGAAGTGTGGTGTGTCGATGCTGTACTGGAAAATCACTTCCAAGTGGAAAGGATATCTATCACCTGCCTAGGTACCTAATGAGATGATACATGTGAAGTATGGCTCCAATTGACATGGAACCCCCGGTTTTCACTACAAGTACGAGTACAATATTGTCCTCCTTCTCCTTCTGCCTCCCCCCTTGCCCTATGAGCCGCACTCGCAGGAAGACTTGGTCCCCCGGGCCTTTTTCTTGCGGACACCGATTGATCGAGACCTCCTTGTCCGTGCATGGTCGCCTCGTCACTTGTATGATGGACGAGATGATCGGGCGACCCAGTACTCCGCGGGAAAGAGAGACTTGTAAAATCAGCCCCTTGCACGATCATTCCTTCACGCTTGCCGAACACGAAAAAAACAAAGCCCTGGGCGCCTAGAACTGGGGCCCGGAAATCACCTTGGGACCCGGAAACAACAAACTGATAAGATCGCGTCGCAGTGTAAATACAGACAGAAGCCCGAGGCCTTTGTTCCAGTAACCTGAAATTATGCAAGTAATGCATGCGCACATGCCTGGCACTGTACCTTGACATCAGGAGACCACCCGAGGTACCTACGTACCAGGTACTGTAGGGAGGTACACGTGGGTGACCCGGTGCACCACGCCAAAACAGCAGACTAGCCTAGGTAGGTACTTTACTTTCTATAAACGATCCTCTTGAAACTGAAATGGAGGGTCAAGATACCCTTTTCAAACGTACTCTTGAACCCGCGGTCGTGCTTGGCCGAGTAATCCCAATCGCGATCCACGATGCGGAACGCCACGTCCTCGTAAGGGGGGCCGGCCATGAAGCGAATGATACAGGTGTCCTCCTCGCCAGCGGGGGCCAGGGTCTGACCCTTCTTCCTGCCCCCCTCTCGGACAATCTTGTAAGTGGGAGCCTTGGTCGGGTCGATGAGGTCCGGGTAGAAGATGTGGAACTTGTAACCCTGGACGACCTTGGGAGGCGGGTTGTCGTGGTCGTAGTGAGTCTGGTTGTACTTGTTCCACTCGTAACCCATCTGGACGCGGTTGAAGTATTTCGGTTTGCGGGGACGGTATTTGTTGCTCCAGATCGGTTTCGCGGTTGTTGATGTTGACGGATCGTCGAGGGTTTCTTCGCCGGCAAAGATTTCTTCGTCCTCGTTGACACCCCTTGCAACTTCGCGGTCAAAGAGCGCTTTGGTGGCAAACGAATCGTCGACGGTGTCGAAGCGAGACGTCGGATCGGGGCGAGCGGCGGCGGCGGCGGCACGCGAGGTTTGTGTTGTTGTGATTGTTGTGGATGACGAGGATTTTGAACCCGTGGATTTTGGTTCGGGTACGTAACCCATGTTTAGAACTTTACGTCTGGCACTGGCGACAGAACGTAGAAAGTCCTGCTCGTCGACGATATCAAGACCTTTGTCCCTGGATGGGATCTCAAGTAATGGGTCCGGGTCCAGCTCTTTTGTGTACTCGACGGTCCGGGCGGCGGGTTGGACGCCAGCATCGAGCATCTGCTGGCATGCCTCGTTCGCTTTCCCTTCGTTCTCGTCTCGTAATTGCTTGAGTCGTGAATCGAGAACGTCCTGATACACCCTTTTCAGTTTGGCCTTTGCCTTCCACACAAGCAGGCTATCCAGCAGTTGCTGCCAGTAATCGGTGTCGATGGGCTCGTCGGAGTCGAGCTTCGACCGGATCTGTTTCTCCAGCACTTCCAACTGCTCGTACGTCTTCGGGGAGAGCAATTTGTCAATGTCCGACGCCACAGAACTGACCGCCCGTCCTTCCGGTCCACCTGTCCGTATTTTCTTCTGTCTGTCCTTGCATATGATCTGCATCGTCCGCCAGTATTCTCGGTTCTTCTTGTTGGACTCCAAGTTCATGTACGTCTCGATGTCCTTGCGCAGATCGGACAATTGTGACTCGGCGAGTCCTTCGAAGACGCTCTGGGGGTCCATGAAGTCCAGGTCCTTCTCGTCCACCTCGTCATCCAGGGGGTTCCTCGTGGGGTCAACCACGCGCAGCGTCACGGCGAGCCAGTCTATCGGCCTCGCCCGGCCTTCTTTGACTCGAATCTCGGCCTTTTTCTTGGCCTGCTTGAGCACGAAATCGTCCTCTTGGGCGACCCATTCCCTCATCCGTTCGTCTTCTTGCAACTGGTTTATTCTCATTTGGTCCTTGTGGGACCATCGTTGTGACTGTCCTCCCCCTCCCCCTCGGTCATTTCGAGGCACATCGCGGTCTCGATGTTGTTGTCGGTCATTGTCTCGCTTTCGCCAGGGTGGAGGAGGGGAGCGCGAGCGCTTTCGTTTCGTCGCAGAATTGTAGTCACTCATCTTGACGTCACTGAGTCGTTGATGAAATGGCCGTCGTGTCTTTGAGAGGCGTGGCACCCGAGTTGTCTCACCAAGTACTTCCGTAGAATGTAATGGCAACAGGCGGCCAAAGTTGATTTTGAAAAGTTGCCGTTTAATCTTCGGTAAAATACTCCGCGGTCTCGATAAGATAACGACCATTTTATTTGGGAGCATCAATGATGACAACGACTTCACTGCATCTGAACAATTGTTCGAATCACGAATCATCGTATCCATCTACAGTTGGGCCGACCGAGGAATGGGCACTCTAGACCATTGGCAAGTAAGAAAATCAATGCAGTCTCAAGTAACTCTTCAACGAGTGAACGGCATTTTTCTCTAAGATCGACTTGGCTACTATTTGGAGAGAATAAAAAATATTCATGGTACGGTGAAGGATGATCAATATTCTTTATCCTCCACACCGCCACAGACACACTCATTGACATCCCTTTGACCTGGTCCGTCTCATGCGTGAACCCTTCCAGACAGACTCTTCTTCTTCCATCTTTTGTTGCTCCTTTCTTCCTGACTGCGACGTACGAAGTAGCAGTCTCAGCAACGATGCCTGGCAGAAGTAGTGAGAATACCCGGTAAGTCTGATGGCTTGTGTCAGTGAATCTAGTGCGCGAGAGACCGTGGATTGTGGACACGTTTGAGAATGGCTGGATGAGCTTCTCCTTGATCTCTCATATAGATACAAGTATTTCTGAAACCTCCATTCACATGGAACCCAAAGTATCACCGGTACAAATATCAACCAACACTTAATTCAACGACACGCGCAAACGTCCAGCGAACACACCCACACACACCCACACACACACACACCCCCTCCTCATAAAAACATCGGTTCCCTCTCGATGATCCTCGGTTGGGGCCCTCCTCGACGCACTCTGGCCTGCGGTGGAAACATGGGCTGTCTCTGCCGTCTCCTATCATCGAACAACCAAGGATCAGGATCTTCGGGGTCGACAAACATTGGACGAAACCCCCTCCTCGGCTCTCTGAACAGATAGATGGGTTCTGGCCTCCTGAGGTGCTCCCTTTCTCTCTCCCTTCCCCTCTGCCATTCTGGCGACCCCGGCCTCCTGGGTTCTTCCCGTGCCATGACAAACTCTTCCAAAGGCATCCCTCGAGGTGGTGAATGTCGAGGTGGTTGTCGGACCCGAAACCCCCCGGGTCGTCCTCTCCTCCGACCCCTCAACAGATCGGCGGGTGGAATGTCGTCGAAGGCGCTTTTGTTCTTGTCGTTGCCGCCGGAGAGACAGTGGAAGACGAGGAAAAACACCAAGATGGAACAACCGACCGTGACGGGTACCCAGATCTTTGCCGTGTCGTTGTCACCCATGTTTTTGCTCTTTCGGAAGGTGAGAGTGTGTACCGATGTCCTGCTGTGGACAAATTCGTCAAAGGATGTAACGACCGCGCGTTTGGTTGTATCTTCAATGGCCGTTGAACGACTCTTCATCAAAGAAAGTGGCCGGCTTATCGTTCTTCAAATCTACTTGATATATCCCCCAAGTCTGACCCTTCTGTTTGAACACCCCTTCGGCGTGCAAACAAAACAATCGTTCAATATCTGTTTGCATTCAAGAACGAATATCACAAAGTTGGCAAACGAACAAATTTGTTCATACTCACAAGAGATCAAACAAACGTGTACGTCGCATTCAACTACATACATGGAAAACGTAGAGACACAATCTTTTCTGTAGTTTGCTATTAATGACTCTCTCTTTGATATGGCAGTTCAGGGTCAATTTGCGCGACACCACACCATCAGCAATAGTTTTGCGCAAGAAATGGGGCAAATGACATTGGCCCCCAGCAATCAACACAGGTGGTGCTCGTGGTGATGCCATCCTGGAACATATCTTTCTCTGAATAACAGACGTTGATAGCTTTGAAACACCAGCTTGCGAATAATTGTAAGTCAGGAATGTGTTCACCATGTAATGTCTACTTTATTGACGTCCCGCTCTGCCATTATTCCTCATAGGCACCACTGTTGAATTTTTGCCGAACCCAACAAACATCCGTTGCATGCTCTAGATGATGTATGGGTCTGTGCTCAGACGTGTCATCTGAATCACGGCAGATAAAGTGTTCCTGATCAATGACCACCTCCCCCTTCTACGAGTGAAGGTGTTGGAATAAGCACAAAACCTATGGCTTGATTGCCCCGAAGGTAATCGTCGGGTGGGAGAGGGTGGTAGATTGGTGAAATATGTACAGTATATTCGTGTTGCATATGTTGCATAAGCAGAATCTGTACATGCGGCACATAAGGAGCACTGCGGAGTGTTAGCAGGTCAAATAAACAGTTAGAGGAGATTTCAACAGGCAATAATCAGCACAGACTTACCCAGATCTCACAACATATTGAGTGATCAAAACAACTTGTGCTCGTTCGGATACGTCCGGGCGGAAAAAAATCGCAGCAGAATATCCCATATCAAAAGACTACCCTTACAAAACGTCATCGTGTTTGCCGAGCCCAGGAAGAGTAGGAAACCACGCAGGCTAATCATCTGAGACTGGAAAAATATGAACTGTTGCGCTGCTTGTAAAATCGCTTCGAGTCGGCCGACTTTCATGTAGATTTTCGATACTCTCGAATTAGAAGTTCATATTAGGGTATCCCTCCATCGCTTCTGAATGATAGACGGTGGCGAAGTCGACCTCACTAATGGCACCGTACGCAAATGCGTCTAGGGCCATCATGGGCGTGATCTCGGACAGATTATATGCGTGCGGATTCGAATTCGAGTGATCACCATTTTGTCCGTCCTGAAGGTACGCCTGTGTATGTGATTGCTGCACATGCATATAATTATGCTGCATAGGTACGTAGTGGGCTGATGCAGGTGGAAGCTTGATGACTTCTTCTTGCTCGTTGGGCGATGATGTTGCGGCCCTGGGTGATCTAGGCCTGGCAATGGAGTTGTTCTCTTGCGTTGACACTCGAGTTGACATTTTCTGCGGAATCTGGTTGAATGAAGGCATATCACTGTAAAGTTCTGGGTATCGCTGAAAGATATCGGGCCCCATTGTCCAACATTTGATATCAGACAATCTTTGGTCAAACGTGGGATTGATCTTGTACAACCCAGTTTCCACCTCGTGCGTGTAGCAGTCTCGGAATTCGTACGGCCACAGTATACGCAGGCTCTTGCAGAACAGATGCCAAAATTCGTTCCCACAATAGTTATGCTCACCGAAGATGAAACGCTCGCGGAGCCCAGGCCAGGCGTAGTAGTCGATTGCGTAGGAATGCGCGATTGATTGCGAAGGACGACGCATGTACCACGGAGGTAAGCGCTGGAAAAAGCGCGAGTTGGACTGGGTGTGAAACTGAATGAGTGCATGCATCGCCCTCATGCAGGCCAGTCGTTCGGTCTTTGAACATGTACAGAACAAATTCTCGTCGATCTGCCGGAGGATCTGCCACGAAGGGTGCAATGGGCCTCGTTTGGCAACAGCATCCCATCCTTCTAACAGAGCACGAATGGGCACATCGTCGGTCACATCATCAGATGCCGGCGTTATGTCCTTGGGCCAGGCGAATCGCTGACTCAACACCTGGTTGGCATACACCCAGTAGTTCCCACGCCAGGCGACGGGTTGTCCGGGCACATGCTTCGAGAATGTATGGCATGTACATGACTTTCTCGGCTTTGCCCAATGATCTGTCCACTGTGGGAGCTGTGGAACATCACTTTCACTGCTCTTACATTGTACCATTGCCTGATTCTTCGGACGAGGGACGTCGCAGCTCAGTTGCACGATGGGCCGTGCAAGGAGGGTGTCTTGTGGCTTGCCATTGCTGAATGGAGAAGGAGTGAAGTTGGTTCTGTCGAAACTGCAGACAGTAGACACTTGTCTATCTTCCTCCGGCTCGGTCTTGAGGTTTAGTGGGGTATCATCGGATAAGGACATCATGTTCGGTTTCGGTTCATCATCTTCGTCTAGGAATATGTGTTCCTCGTGTGATGCTGAGGATTTGCGTAGGTCGAGTGCCTTTTGAATGTCTTTCAATGTTTTTGCCATCAAGCTCCGATCAGCTTCCACCTCTTGCAACTGCTTCATCAGAAGCGCTACTTGTCCGGTGGCATCTTGACGGCGAAACTCTTCGACGAGGCCTTCCAGGTGAGCTATTCGAGATTTGGTACGTTCACGGGCTTGCCGTTGGCACCGCCGGTCAATCTCTCGTTTCTTGAGCCGTCGAGAGGAGACGAGTTTCTCGCTCGATTCGGCGGAGTCGTTGGAGGCAGGCCGCTGACTGATGGGCGTGGGTACAATTTTGGTCGTCATAATGCTCATGTAACCGAAGAGTCGACTAGGCTGGATGCTATCGAGTGCCCAGGTTCATATTATTGTAATAGAATGGGGCAGAAATGAAGATGTCTTCAAGGTCATGATGTGAAAGTCTGCGGGCATGACGACCAACGAAGCGCAGCCGCCGGTTTAAGGTCGATCACCAAAACCCCGGACTTCGAGGTGGCCAGGGTTGGCGAGACACAGGCTTTGCGGGGGTTTCGACCGGTCTTGACCAGCCAAATTCTCTGGCGCCAGCTGACGAAACTAATGCCTGATGCGGCTGGGATGGACTCTCTAGGAATGGCCCAGAGAGCCAAACATCAGGGTTGGATCTCGGTGAGGCAGCGAAGTGGGATGCCACTAAAATCCACTAGGATCTTTAGGCTTCGCTAAGACTCCTACTTGTAGGGCGGGCTCCAGATAGGCTCAATGAGACTCACTAAGTCCAGTTGATGGTGGGAGATTATTGGCGAGGACAGTAGGGAGTGCTTTTCCGCGCTGCTAAGTCATTACTTAGTCAAAGAATTCACATGTCTGATCCGATCTCTCGGACACGGTTCCACCGTCAGCACATCAGGGGATCCAAGCCACGAAAGGCGAAAATGCTACTGTATCCAACATCTTCACAAGGTTTCTGTCAAATCCTAGTGCCAGGGGATGGCCCACGAATGAAATCCTCGCTCTCGCCATTCAAGGAGGGTGCAAAGACACCTGCCTCGCAGATTCAATTCTCTTATTCTGCTCAGCGACATGATGATCAGGACGGAGACTACGCCTTGGGAACGGTTTTCCTCAGTCCATGTACGCCTGGATGGAATGTACCAGGATCAATGCAGTCACAGACCCCGAAAGCGAAAGTTGAATGGGAAATCTCTCAATAATTTCGACAACTCAATGTTCTTGTTGCCACCGCCCCTGAAATTCGTACGAGCGACTTGCAAGGCAGGATGATCGGGATGTCCGGAGATCTGCAAAGTTGAGCGATTCCCTCTGGTCCCTGAGAAATGAAGACCTCTTTGTGACCAGATCATTTTCGGCTTGCCTCGTGTATAGCTCGGGTTTTGACCGGCCGTAGTTTTCCTCATATACACACCTACTACTCCTCTATTGAGGGTAGTGTTGGTCACTCCTGGACATCGTGGTTTCACATACATTTCAGACATGTCGGATCCGCTTCAAAACCATCCTCAGCCCATCCAAAGAGCGATATTCTTGTCGCAGCTGGCCCAACTTCCATGATGTCTCTCTGGACTTCTGCTTGCTCCTTGCGTGGCCGTGACGCAAGTTTTCTTTGTCTGTCCTGTTGAAGTGATGCTCTAGTCAGGCGAGCAGTCACTCTCTTCACCACCAAGTTTCTTTCTCACCCATTGACTGTCGGCGTATCTCTATTCACCTCAATTCCTGTTCTTTCCCCCATATGCCCCTTACCCCGGATTTTAAGCCAAAGCGCCCACTTTGTTGTGAGGTGGCATGGTGCAATGGGAGCATACCTTCAGCTTGAGGAACCCCTTCAGATACCCGACATGCTCCTGGTCTTACGCCAGGATGTCAAGTCCGGACTGGATTGTGTGCGCTTCCACTTTCGTGAGGGAGATTCCGGTTCAAATCTGGATGCCGCCAGCCGATGTTTTTTTGGTGGTTCATCACACACAGTACTAGCTTAATGTCGTAGCTCAGAGCGTCCCTCTCTCTGAACTTGAGCATATGTGGCACCTGAACCGTGGAAGTAATACAACAGAGGCATCTCAAGTGGGTTCGGGAGTTAGGGGCATATATGGCTCGAGAAGCGTAGGAACTGGACTGGCAGCCATTTTAACATGTTTGACTCATTCTCGAACAGCCTCTAGAGATAAAATCACCCTGGATCAAATGAAGCAGTCCACTGAGGCTGACAGAATGATTTCGACGATGTTGCCATTTATCAATCTCACCTTCGATACACTGGACAGCCTTGTCAATATGAGCCTTGCATCCTGCTCCATCAATTAACTGAAATAGTTAAACACCGGACATTTTGCTGTCGTTCACTCGTCAAGACATGGCATTTCGCTGATGTAGTGCAGTGGTATAGCATATCCCTTTCCCACAACAAAGACACCTCTCTTCACGTGGAAATAGGGGAAGACCTGGGCTCAAACCCCGGCATCAGCATATTCTTTTTTTTGCCATTGTACAAAAATGGTTGACTTGTTACCGATGGAACGAAAAACGCGCTCTGCAGCTCGCCGCCTTGAAAGGTGAGTCACTGTGAATGACTGGCGCCGTAGCAATCTGCTTCTGCGTCTTTCCGAAAATCTTTCCCCAGAGCCAGGCGCATGACGTCCGCGCGGAAAGTAAATGCTTCGAACGAGGTGCACACATCTTTCAAAGGCTCAGACCGTTGCATGATTCTGAAGCAGAGAAGAAAGCAATCAAAGATTGTGCATGGGAAGAAAGCTTCGTGTGGCTTAGACTCTAGATCCTAGATCCTACCCTTGTGAGAACATACTCTAGAGCTCAAACACCTACTGATGGTGATATGTTGTTTGGCATGGTAATGCTTGGGCATGTTGGTGGTCGTCCCATTTTGCCGTTGACCGGATCATCGCACTGGAAACGGCGCAATACGTGGTCAAGATTGTCGAGAATTTTGGTGACTGTGCTTTTCGAGTGGAATGGCATGTAGATACTTGTGGGAAGAACAACAACAACGATAACAAAGAATAAGCGTGCCTTAGGCATGGCGATTGTCCTTCTACTCCACAATAGCCAAGTATTTTTGACTGATTTTTATAGCTGCCCGTCGCTAACGTCTTGGAAACCTCGCCTACCTCATGACCCGATTTAACAAATCATTTCTTCCTTAGCTACGGAGTATGCAGCATCGACAATTGTGCAAAGATGGCATGATCGAGCCTGATACCTATGCCTGACGTCCCCGACTTTCTACATAACAAGGAGAAAAAGCCGTTTCTGAAACATTTGCTCCGAAATGCCCTTGAGGTCTCAGATCAATATGTGACAGCTCTAGACAAAAACCCACTCTTACCTCAAGGTTCAAGACTACTCTCATGTTTCAATACGGAAGAATTTGAATTCGGAATTGGCGTAACCTGGCATATTGCTGCCAAAGGCAATGATGTGACTGGTTCATTTGTCTAAGTTGTACATACAAAGACTGGCTCTTCTTTCTGCCATTCGATATTCATCCTTCTCGCGTGCTCAAGTTTTGCCCACGTCTCGACTCTTGCTTTGTAACCCATCGATGTTCAAAGCCTTGACTGTACCCACTTTTCGTGTCGGAAGAGAATTCTCTCCATGTCCGTCCTATACTCACATTCGTCCTATCGGTTGATTCGATACGAGGAGAAACTAGACCAGCTTGCAGCATGGCCTTAGCGTTTTCTGTGAACAGTCTGCCAACCATCAGCATCAGTTCCCTTCTTGCCTCGATTCACAATAACATTTCCTGGTGTGAACTTAGGTGCAGTCGGATTGTATGAGCGAATGTTCGAAGCCGACACTGCGCTGTCCCGTCGATCGCGACCTTTTCCAGGATAACCGTCTCCAGGACAAGGGATCTGGGTGATGAGGTTCAAGGGGCGTTCGCACGGGTCATGACTGAACCCAATCTGTACTTCCTGGTACGGACCAGGCTTTCGTGAACGCTTGATAAATTCGTCACGGATAATTCGTGCAATCGCAGTTGCAGCAAAGACAACCGTGGCTAATCCTCGATTAGATGGAGCGTAAGCAACCAGGGGGAAGCCTACCGTTTCCAGTATTGAATAGCCAAACCAACTCTATGTTGTGTTCTCCAACAATATCACTCAAGTCTTTCATGAATCGTACTTGATTCATGCCATTGGTGAAGAGTTGTTGGCGAGCAAAGGTTAGGCGGCGACGCTCATTGATAGGAGCCGACATGCGCTGGAGCTCATCGTTTTCTGGATATGCCTCTCCCATCTTGATCTCGGTACCTGGTCCGAACAAGCCTCCTCCATGGTCACGTCGAGCATATGAATCCTCGTCCACGAGGGCTATGGCCGAGCTCGCATATTGGAAGATGACGCAAGTAGCGTTGTGCTGTTCCACATATACCATGGAAAAGATTGCTCCATAACTGACACGTTGGGTGACGTCCTTCAACGGTCTGTTCTTGCTCCAGCCATAGATCCAGACACAACGATAATCTTCATCTTTTGGCAACTCTTCTTTATTGACCTGTCGCTTTAAACCATCAGAGGGCCGGAATTTCACTAGACGGTTGTTTCTCGGTATGTCGGTGGCGGCGACGGCAGCCCAGGTAGATCTGGTGCCAGGAGGAGGGGGGCGAATGCTGACTGCAGGGTCGGATGCAGGGACGGGTTTCATCAGGAACTGCTCTTGGTCCCAAGGCGCGGTGACATGGTTGAACGTGTCCAGCATTGAATGGACATCTCTCGCGATCTCATTCGCTGCCTCGTTTTCATCCTCGCCTCGAAGCTTGCTCCTGATTAGCCCCAACATGCCGTATAGACGTGAGAGACACGACATACATGCTCCACCACCCTATTGAGATGGCTCAGGGCCTCAGCCATGACTCCACTGACATGATTAGAGTCGTTCTCAATCGCCATCATGTCCTGCATTGATGCCTGAATTAGCGAGAACAGGGTGGGCATACCCTGGACGGAAAACCAACCTCAGAGGCAGGGCTGCTGCAGTCGCTATAGACGAGAGACGGTGTGTTGGTAACGTCGGTTGAGATATTGCTCAAGGTGCGTCGTGGTGAACACGGGGGAGAGTAAGGTGCGCGCCTTGTAGCCATATCGGAGGCAGAAGAAGGCAGCGTCAACAAATGTAGTGAAGGCGTATCGGTGAAAGTGAATGATTTTGGTGAACAAAGAAAATCTGGCCCAAGGTGAACTGAGTGAACTGAACCAGCCTGCCTGAGAATGCAGGGATCCAGGCAGCAGCTACCCGGGTCTGTTCCTTGCCTTAGGAGGAGATGGGGATATGGGACTGGGAGGATCAGTAATTGCTGAGGATATCGACGCAAAAATGTTTGCTCTCGAGATAAACAGTCACAATGGAAACAAGAAGATTAATCCCCTTTTCTATGTTGAGGTGCTCGCACATCTGATGCTCTTTCCGCTGCAAATCAAGCCAGCCACGCCAACAGAAGAATTCAACTCCCAAACCACCGTGAAAGGCGCCTCACATTTGCATCAATAAATCGCCTCAATAACCTCAAATCAATAGTGCCCTCATGCTCAGTAGCAATCCACATTTCCCTCTGCCAATCATCATGTCCTCCAGAACGCCATCCTGCTGCCCAACTCTCGGCTCAATGCCCGTCTCGCCTCGACCGTCCTGGTGACTGCATCTCGATTTTCATGGGCACGACGCAGGAGATACTTCATGCATTCGCCCAATTTGCCCCATACCAGATACTTGTAGGCCCGGGGGATTTCCACGTTGGTGGCGCTAGACTCTAAACGGCTTCTTGCAGTTTGTACCACCTCGCAGCTCACGTTGTCTGCCATCCCCATCAACTGACCGTATGCAAGTTCAATTTGTGGCTCGCCATTCCGAGCCTGTTCATCACGAAGTTTCCCTGCTAGTCTTACAGACTCGGCGTTGTGCGTCGCTAGTACCAGGCTCGCTTGCGGGAATTCTGACGAACCACCAGCAATGGGTTGCAGCATGCCTTGATACTGTCTCTGCAGAATGGCCTTTGCGATCTCATTGTAGCACTTGTGAGTCTCCTCGATGGTTGGCCAAAAGAGCTCTCGTGGGTCGCTACCTAGATATGCTCCCCGGACGAGCTTGACGCCCAAGACGAACTCCTCGTTCCTGGCTAACTCGAGGTGGCGCGCCAATATTCGTGGAGTGCGTTGGGCATATGCTTGGTAAGTGCCATACACCAACGCTTGATTCTTGTTGTATCTTTTTGCGAAGTACATGGTCCAATTGTCAATACCCTGCTGGAGGGACGCCTGCTCAGCGTCAAAGAGGAGCTTTACACCTTTCTGTTGAGCGCTTTGGCAGATTTCATGGACAGCCTGCTCAAAATCCGGAGAACATGCTATGGTAGCCTTGAGATGTTGCAAGGCTTGACGACCCGCACCAGTAAACTTGAGCGCAACGAAATCGCCCGGTTGGGCTAGGTCCACGGTTGCAACAGTATTACTTCTCCATGTCGCAATTTCATCTGCGTTGAGAGCTGCTTGCTGTGATGAGTCTCGAGACGCATCCAACCCTTCAGAATCCTCCTTTGTAAGTACAACCTCTTTTGCATGCCCCAGTATCACGCCGCTGTAACCTGTATGTTTTAGGTCTGCGATTGTGGCTCTGACCTCGGTAGGGGTCTCTCCAGCACAGAACTGTGCATAGAATGTTTTCTTGAGAAGAAAATGGAGGAGAGGATTCCGATCCGGCATGAAGAGAGGCGACTTAGTATGTGCGAGGAAGGACATTACTGATAAGGAGGGTCGAAGGAGGAGCGGGATTGAGGACACTGAGGTGATAATGTAAGAGCGGATCAGCGTGGGCAGAGAAAGACATGACAAAGGTCGTGAGACTGGCACTGAGGTCGTTACATGCTCCGTCTCGATGATGTGAGGCGCGGCCGATGAGGCATTGCGTCTAGTATGTGCCTTGCGATCCTGATGAATCTGCTGGGGTGTGTTGACCTGCGCAGGGAGTCGGATGAAGTGATTCGGCCGGATATGCGATGCCACGACCACGCCCAGGAGGAATTGCCTCGAATGTTTCGGCAGCGCTGATCTGGCAGCCAGTCGTGGTTCCATTCTCGGCAGAGAAAGGGTATGCTTTGGTCAGTGGAGGCGAAGACTCAGGCAGCAGGCATGGGCATGGACATGGGGCATAAATGAAGAAAACACTTATATATCCTTATCCAAACAGTCATGTACGGATGCAAGTGGAACGTCAGTCCACTGCCATGGATCACGATAAGAGAGTAACTGGAGACCCGTGAGTCCAAACATCAGTGACGATAGGCGGCACTGAGGGCTCGACTGTGCCGAAAGCGGGATGATGGAGGATAATGGCGGAAGTGTCACTGCGAGCCTGCCGCGGATAAGCGAAATCACGTGCGCCACAGACCAACAGCTTACCTGTGAACTGGGTTCAAAGCACAGGCTGGTGCTTGAGGTGACTTCTCACTTCTGGAATACTTACATGCAGATTGTGATGTTCAAGCTCCTTCATGTTGCTTGCAGTGCCATGTCGATAAAGATCATCCCTCCAATATTTGTGAGGGTAAGGCTGAAACCTCCTTCGCACACTCGAGCTTTTCCATGGTCCACTAATTGCTCAGTGTCACACGTTCGCCGGCGCGTTTTTAGATATCTAGGACACTGCGATGAGAAGTACCAACATCAAATAGTTGCGATGAATATGTTGTGTTTCCAGATTCTACACTCAGGACGAATCAGATATGGCATGTTGCTTCACTGTATCCGGAAGAAACGCTGGGTATGGTGATAAGCTGGAGAAAAACTGCGTTGCCGTCGCAACGAGAAGGAAATCTAAAATGGCTTAGTTTCGCGTCATCTTGGCGTCTATAGCAAATCACTGGGTTGTACCGAATTCAATCCCAAAAGTGATGGCCTTCAACCGCAGGCAACTGACGTCGACTGTCCACAGCTTGTTATTCGTGTTTTCGAGGCATTCGCGTCAATACCCGCTCGTTTTGTACTTTTAGAAGGGCCACCACTTTTTCCATGGTTCCCTGACTTTTATTTCTCTCTAGGGCCTGGAGGTAAACAAATAGCGAGAACAACAACAGCCATGGCTTCGTCTGGCGGTGCTTCCTCGATCTCGGTCACGGTCCGAGTCCGACCTTTCACAATCAGAGAAGCTGCTCAATTGACAAAATGCGACGAGACGACTATCTTTCTGGGCGACGGTTCGCTGGCGGCCGCACCAACACCCAAGCTGTCACAAAAGGGCATCCGGCCAGTGATCAAGGTGGTGGACGAGAAATGTTTGTGAGTAAAGGAGAGATACGCGGAATCATGACTTCAGCTCACAGATATTCTCTAGAGTGTTCGATCCTCCCGAAGACAATCCAGTACAGAAATTCTCTCGCTCCCTCGTCCCTTCCGGTAAGCGAGTGAAAGACCAAACCTTTGGTTTCGACAGAATCTTTGATGAAAATGCGTCCCAAGGGGAAGTGTACGAGTCAACCACTAGGCCACTGCTGGACAGTGTTTTGGACGGCTACAATGCGACGGTCTTCGCCTACGGTGCCACAGGGTGTGGCAAGACGCACACCATTACGGGTACGGTTCAACAACCAGGCATCATCTTCCTTACCATGCAAGAGCTCTTTGAAAGAGTGTCAGAACTGTCATCCGAGAAGGTCACCGATATTTCCTTGTCATACCTCGAGATTTATAACGAGACGATCCGCGATCTGCTGGTGCCGAGCAATGTAAAAGGAGGTCTCATGTTGAGAGAGGATGCGAACCAAACAGTATCCGTTGCAGGGCTATCTAGTCACCACCCACAGAATGTACAAGAGGTCATGGACATGATCATGCAAGGAAATGAGATGCGGACAATGTCACCCACCGAAGCTAATGCTACCTCTTCCCGTTCCCACGCAGTACTTCAAATCAATGTTGCCCAAAAAGATAAAAATGCTGGCATCGAGGAACCTCACACCATGGCAACCTTAAGCATCATCGACCTGGCCGGAAGCGAAAGAGCTAGTGCAACGAAAAATAGAGGAGAACGACTATTGGAGGGTGCCAACATAAACAAGTCTCTTCTCGCTCTCGGCAGCTGCATCAACGCTCTCTGTGACCCTCGGAAACGCAATCATGTTCCTTATCGAAACTCCAAGCTGACACGCCTGCTCAAATTTTCTCTTGGAGGGAATTGCAAGACTGTGATGATTGTGTGCGTCAGCCCTTCCAGTGCACATTTCGATGAGACCCAGAATACCCTAAGATACGCCAATAGGGCAAAGAATATCCAGACCAAAGTCACCCGTAATGTGTACAATGTCAATCGACACGTCAAGGACTTCCTCGTCAAGATTGACGAGCAGATGGCTCTCATCAATGAATTGAAGGCCCAACAAAAGGACTACGAGGCTGTAGCATTTGCCAAATTCAAGAAGCTAAACGAGAAAAAGGAAACCATCGCAAGGGAGGGAGTGCAGAGAATCAGAAGTGCATACGAACATTCTGCCATCGAGAGACAAGAGCGAACCAACAATATGATCAAGTTGAAGCAGTTGGGACGACGTATCGCCATGTTATCTGCATGGATCACAGCCTTCGATACTGTCTGCGATGCGCTCGAGGACGAAGAGCCTTTGAAAAACATGCACGCCATCAAGAAGACTGCTCAAGGAATCATGATGGAACTGGAGAGTGGCCGTCACCACTGCCAGCAAAAAGTCTCAAAGAACGCGTGGGATCGAGGCATGAACACTGCACTAGACCACTCTTTGAAGCAACTTTGCGAAGTTGATACTGGAGACATGACCGACTCCGAGATGTTGCGTCGCGAAGTCGAGATGCTGAAGCTGACAGCTGAACGCGAGACACTTTCGGCTATCAATGAATCCGAAAAGACAGGCGATGCGGCTACCATTCAGGTTTTACTGCAAGCCCACTTCGAAACGATCTCGGCCATCGAAAACTTGAATAGGATGAACGTCGACGAAGCCGTCGAAGCCGCAACACAGATTCTTGGAAAGATGCTCAAGTCAGCCTCGGGTGCTGCTTCGTACATCGTGAAGCCTGACGGCAGCCTCGCCCCAGTCGAAGCATTCGCACCCTCTAAGACTGGCACTCCTAAAAGACGTAGGCAGAATCTGAACAACTCTGTGCTTGAGCTCAGCCCTCTTCGACCCAGCATGGCGTCTGCTATCCCCATGCACGTCATGCACTCACCGCCCAAGGCATCTCCCAAACGACGAGGATTACTCGGCAGCGCGAAGAAGGGCGTGTCCTTTACTCCAAAGAAGCGAAAGTCTCCCACCAAGGTAAAGCGAGCGGTTAGATGGCGAGATGATACCGAGGATGGTACATTGGCTGAGTTCGAGAAGACCCCTCAGAAGCTTGCAACATCTTCACCTGAGGAGTCGACTACAGAGATTGCCGTCCCACAAGACTCCGACCTGACCGCCTCCCTGGGACAGGCCCGAGATCAGTCTCCAGGATCGTCTCCAATCCCACCACCACCTGAATCGCAACTAGCGGTGCAACCGAAGAACAGTCGGTTCCAAGCAGGTTTCTTGTCTAAGAAATATGATGGTTCACCATTGGGATCCATGCCGCCGCCTAGGATGACCCCACTTTCGTCTTCAGATAGTGAGACTTCGCCTCTCAGAGAGATTGATCCTAGCAAAGCGACAAATCGACGCTCTTTGACTCCGTCTAATAAGCACGTTCTCGATATCGGCACCGACAGTTCCAGCAACCCGTCGTCAGACACGGAGAACCAGAACAACCCCAACAAAGACGAAGTCATGAAGATCCGTGAGGCAGTTAGGCGCTCAAGCTCGGTTCGTCGCTCTGGGATCGGCTCTCGTACTCAACGCAGACGATCTCCGACAGCGGCGACGGGCATCTCGGGATCTCCACCTAATGACAGTATGTTTGCTGCTGGCCATGTTAGAAGGATGGTCCTGGGCAAGACCGACAAAGAGAATGAGTGGAAAGTTGGTGTGTTGAGCCCTCGTGTGTCTGGTATTGTCAGGGACTCGAAGAGCCTCAGCATGAATTCGGCCCGACGAACAACTATGAATGGCGATGCGAGATCGACACCCATCAGCAATGATCGTAATGGAGTTAGAATGGGTTCGACTTCAAGGGGAAGTCTGATGCCCAATGGAAAGGCTGTCTGGCGTTGATGGGTGTCCCAAAAGCAAAAACTTAGAATCGGATCGTTCATGGATTCTTGTCTTTTTCTTCGGTTTTGGCATTCTTGGGCGTCTCAAGGACGGATGAAGGGACCAGAGGCCTTGGTATGGGCTGCGCATCTTTGACCGGAGTCGACATGATGTTCACCTTCAACAACAGCGCCACCAGGGGGCCCTTGTAATTAGTAGCGGTCTGCTCATGTTCGAGTTTTAGAACAAGACCTTTTATGACTAACGATAAGTCTTTTTGCTTGGAATCATCATTCAATGAGGATTGATACTTTTTGAGAGATATTATGCATTCGACATGACGAGCGTGTAGACCATTTTAATTGTCTCTTAAGGGCCTGGCATCCTTTAAAAGAGGTGATCATTGGACGACAGGTCTTTCGAACAGCACAAATATTGTTCGGTAGTAGGAATTCTAGATAGCGTAATCAACGTAGGGGTAGGGATACCAGTAAAAGTCTACCAAAGTGATTTGTTGGTCGAAAAACGCACGGGGTGCTGGAAGTAATTGTCATAATCTGCCGCCGATGGGATTAAGTAAACCAAAATTTCTTCAAAGGGCACAAATAGCACTCCGTAGGTAATTGAGGGTTATGGGCACCGTTTGTTAGGTACATACTTACCTAGAGCCCTAGCACTCGTTTCAACTGCTGCGCCCCCCATATGTAGAAATTGTCATTATTATTATTTGCCCGCATCGGATACTTGTACAGACTATTACTGTATGACGTGCTGGACTTCCGAGTCTCGAAGTTTATGGAACTTTACACACTTCGATAAACTGCGTATATAAGTTCTTGCTACTCCTCATCCTGTACACACTCAACTACTCTACCACAGAAGTTCTAGTAAAAGCCGACGCCAAAAGACTTACCAGGGTTTATCAACAACCACCGTCACCCATCATCGTACCCCTCCTGTGTCGCCATCTTCGTCCCATCGAACCGCTTAGCCGAGTGACGACCAACAAGACAACTACAAAACGCTCCATTACCTCGGCCTCCTCCTCATCCTCCTCACGTCTCTCTCCATGGCCTTTCAGATGCCCGGGTTCCTATCTCGGTTCCTCCGACCATTGTCCTCGTCCCCCCACATGTCCCTCCAACCCGACGCCCTGGCCGTGGCGCAGTTCCCCGCCAACTCCCAACGGGCCATCTTCGCCGGGGGCTGCTTTTGGGGTCTGGAGGAACTCTACCGCAAGGACTGGGGCAACGGTAAAGGGTTGCTGGACTGCCGCGTGGGATACACTGGCGGAAAGACCGAGGCCCCCTCGTACGAGGCCGTGTGTTCGGGGAGGACGGGCCACGCCGAGTCGCTCCTCGTCGTCTTCGACCCGGACAGGGTCACGTACCGACAACTGGTCGAGTACTTTTTCAAGATGCACGACCCGACGACCATGAACCGGCAGGGGGCCGACACGGGCACCCAGTACCGGTCCGCCGTCTTCGCCGAGGACGACGAGCAGGCCAAGATCGCGACCGAGGTGAAGGAAAAAGTCGGCGAGCAGTGGTACAAGGGAAAACCCATCACCACGGAAATCCTGAGAGCCACACAGTGGTACGACGCTGAAGACTACCACCAGGATTACCTCAAGAAGCAGGAGATGAAGGGCGGCTACGGTTATCATTGCCCTGCTCACTTCGTGAGACCTTTTCCCGAGTTGAAGTGAAGTGCGCGGGGACTCTTCTCAACCTCGAGGAAACCTCCCCCAAAAGGTGTGGTGATCCTGGGGATCGTGACGATTGCTTTATGTGGTGTATGATGTAGAATATGATTAAATACCTAGGTACAAAGATTTGCAATATTTCGACTTTGAGTTGTTTCTATTCTGATTTCCAAGATCACGCTCTAAGAGGTACGGCAGTACAATCCCCTGATATGCGTTGCATCACAGCCGGCTAGGCATTCTAACCGCGCCGTCGAGACGTATAACAATACCGTTGAGCATGGGGTTCTCAACCATTTCTTTGACGAGACGGGCGAATTCGTCCCCTCTCCCCATGCGCATTGGGTACTGGATCATCTCAGTATTGATTGATGCACGAGAACCAGTGCTACCCTTCGGCTTGCTTTCGACTCCCTCCTTTTTGGCTGGCGCTGCGGCAGTCTTCTTCACTGGCGCGGTCATTCCCGTCTGGAAGACACCAGGCGCAATGCCCAACGCTCGAATACCTGCCTTCTGCCCTAATTCTCTCGCCAGTGGTAACACAATACTCCTGACAGCACCCTTGCTTGCGCTGTAGGCCAATTGCCCTACTTGCCCTTCGTAGGCTGCGACTGAAGAGACCACGACAATGATGCCTCGTTCACCATCAGGGCCCCACGGTTGATTCAATGCCATGTGTGGCACGGCCAGACGGATCAGGTCCACGGTGCCTCGCACATTGATGGTCAGCGTTCGGTCAAACACTGACATGTCCATGTATTTCACCGACTCATGTGTGGCGGAGGGGTCTTGTTTTGGGAGGGAGAGCGCAGCGGTTCCGATACCAGCGCAGCATATCACGCCCGAGAGAGCCATGTGGGTTTCTTGAGTCCATGACAACGTGCTCTTCAGTGCGGCCTGTAAGGATTCGGTAGAAGCGACATTGGTCTTGTTGAAGATGACCTTGGATGTGTTAAGGAGCGACGACGCATCGGAGGGAGGAGGATTCAGATCGAGGATAGAGACATTGGCGCCATTCTGCAAAAAGATCAAAGTGGTGGCTAGTCCGAGGCCACTGGAGCCTCCGCTGACGATGAAGGTGCGGTTCTTGATCTGCATGGTGTTAACGTGCGCAGATGACCGAAATGCTTACCTGGTGATGATCCTGATACATATACAAATACTGTTGTACCCAGAGGAGTGCAGAGAACATAGCCAGACCTCGGTTCGCGCATGGGCGTTCTCAGTCATGTGCCATTGCCTGAGCCACACACGGCAGCGGCGCAGGAGCTTTTGTACGGGCTGCTCAATTCATATGTGTCTTGAGTTCAAATGCGACAACCTTTCCACAAGGCTACTGCTTCAGAATCTGCCGCACGTTGTCGTACTCAGACAAGCCAATCCCCCGCATATTGAATCACTGGTGAGCCGTGGCTGCGGCGCTGGAGACGGTATATTTAGGTGCCTGTATGGCACGTGAGGTGGAGGTCGGTTGTCACTTCCCGAAATCTGAAACCAGCGAAGCACAATTCATCACACAGGGATCAGGCTTGCATCGAAGAGCGTGTCATGAATGACTACACAGTCGTGTTGAGATCAGCAAGATCACTCTCCTCGTAGCTGTGGCCCAAGACTCTCTTTTCTTATTGTTACAAAACTACTCAACGCAATGATAAGACATGAGGCGAAGTTGACTTACTGCTTCTTCTTCTACAAGTTCCCCGCCACTGTCGCCCCCTGGTAGTCAGACTTAGGCGCACTCCCTTCCTGCGTCGTCTTGAGTCTCTACGGAGTAAAAGCAGGCTGATCCTGTTCCACCACGCAATCACGAGCCGCAGCATAAGGTCTTCCTTGCACATTTTCTAACTTTGAGTCTCTCTTCTCTCTTTCTCCCTCTCGTTGTCTCTCGTTCTTTAGCGATTTTTGGTTCTATGCCCGCCATATGTCCCAATCCTCCCACCGCTCGAAAGCGCCCAGTCGGAGCGTCAACAGCCTGCGAAACGGGGATAGGGTGTCTAGAGAGTCCTCCAGGGTTCGCAGAAAATCCATCAGCATAAATGATGCCTATCTGTATGCGTTAAGGGTTGCCTATCTCTCCTACTTGCTTCAGCCTCGTACGTTCCGCAAGAAACATGTCGAAAACAGACCTGCCGTCCACCGCGCAACCACTTCCTCCTCCTTCCATGACTTGATGAACGATTTCACCATTGTGCGAGACTCCAAAAGTACAAGGTTTCCTCATGACTTTATCAAAGAGCTGGAGAAGAGGTTGCAAGGTATCCTCATTGGCAAAGAGAGGCGCCCGGAATACCAAGATGCGGTGGTCAAGCGGACCTTCGCCATTTTCCTCAACACACTGTCGGACCCTTCGTTCAAAAAGCGGATGGATGCGGATAGAAGAGTTGAGGACCTGGTATTGATCTTCTTTTCTAACACAACGAAAGAGCTGCAACGTGGAAAGCCACCTGGTGACGACGGGGTGAAGCGTATGGTCGACCGTCATGTTGCGCTCTTCGTCCGCCTTTTGAGTCTCATACTGAAAGACCGAGACTGGGCAAAGGATAAGCCTGAGTTGGCGTCCCGATTACAGACGTTCGAGTCGAAGCTGCTCAAAGGAGATGAAAATCTGGCTGCCGCACAAATCAACGGACAGAGCAGTGTGGTGGAAGAAATGGTGCCGCTCAGCTATGATATCAAGGACATGCCTTTGGTACAGGTGGTCGGGCGAATCTTCGGCTTGACCAACACCATGATGAAGTCAGACATCGACAAACACAAACATGTCTGGACCGAAAAAGCGGCGCTTCAAGATTTGAAGACATACCAGCAACACCTCAACCTTGGCACCAAATTGACTCTCAATTCCGGCGATTTCGACACTCAAGAAGCATACGAATTCTGGAAAAAAACCGAAGGGCCAGATCTTTCTCAGCTTATGCTTGCGATTGTACAAGCAAATCCCGACTTGGCTAAAAGCACTCCAGGCGGGAGCCTGCCACAATTCAATCCTCAAGGTGCTGGCCCCATTTCCACGGAGTCTCACTATGCAGAAGTATCGAAACTTCTCTCCAATGACTCCTCCTCTTATGTCCTAGATCTGCCGGCAGATCTGGGCTCGCTTGATTTGAATGCGGAATCGGCCCAGCGCGAAAGTGAACCAGGCCACGTTTATACTTTTATACCCTCAGATGCCAGAGCCATGTTTCGAACGATAATGCTGCAGGCTCTCAATCACGACCTTAACGATGATACGAATGATGGAGCAAATGGTCAATTGTTTTCGAAAAAGACCACAGAGTTGCTCAACGAGATTGCTTTGAGATGGCGAATACCCAAGTTTACTCGAATTGTACTTTTTCTGGATGTTGTCCGTGAGAAGTTTGTGGAACAGGCCATTGGGTTGGAAATGCTGGACGGGGCCTTCAATTATGTGAAGGAGCCTCTGCAAGATGATTCCAAAAACAAGAGAGCATCCCTCATTATGAGTTCGGTCCTCTATGATCGATATAATTGGACGATATCCGACTTTGCCTTGATGGGCAAAATACTCAGTGCCCTACATGAGGCACTGCTTCGAGACCTTTACGAGACAATCATGACCTCCTTTGCAGACAAGGCTCATTTGCCAAAACTGGGTATGATTATGGCTATTATTGACGAACACATCAAAAGTGATCCCAACTTTGCACAAAATGCGGAAGATTTTCAAAATTTCAAGAATGCAGCCATTGATGGTCTTGCAGCTGAAGCTCGAAAATTATATGACAATCTTCTCGACAAGGAGCTGCCTCAAGAGAACGAAAAATGGGAGTTTTACCACATTCAGCAGGTGGCAACTGGTGTATTAAAACTTGCCGAGAAAGTTCAGAAGAGGTTTCGAAAGAATCCAGAGATCTTTGGCATCAATCCTCTGATGATTCTACTCAATTGCACCCTTCCAGCGTTTGCAGAGGATTCGAAGGCGATAGTTGAATCAGTACTCAACACTGCTCAGAGGAATCAAGTAGACATTCCCATTCAAGACGGATTCGACCTCTACAAGGAGCTTAGCGAATTTCGACGAGTTCACGCCGATGCTCTACCGCATCGTCCATTCCCGTACAAGCTGGAAGATCTACTGGCAGACTTTGTCTGGAAATGGATCCGTACTACCGAAGAACAAGTCATTGGTTGGGTTGAAGGTGCAGTCAAACATGATACGTTCACCATGAGAACCCAAAACCCGGGCCAGGTACCGACTGAGGATGAGCGTCATTCAACGTCGGTCATGGATATCTTCAGCTCTTTCAATCAGATTATCGATCAAATAGGCCAACTTAACTGGGACGATGACTTGACATATGCGAAGTTTCTCACAGCTGTCTCGAAGGCGATAGGCAATGGTGTCTCGAGGTATTGTGAATTGTTGGATCAGATGTTCAGTAAAGAGATGGATCGACTGACCCCGGAACAAGAAGCCGCTGCCAACATGACCAGACAGGAGAAATGGGTACAACTGGCAAAAGACACATGGAACAACAAAGAAAGAGTGGAGCCTTTCCAGTTTTACCCTCAATCTTTTGTGAAATTGAACAACATCTCTTTTGCCATCCAGCAGTGGGACAAACTCGAGCAGGAAGTCAATGTTGACGCATGTGCCGAGGTAATAAAGAAGTATGCTCCTCCCGCTGCTCAACGGCCTCGGAGGACGACGAATTATGTATTCACCATCAAGATTGTAGAGGCCGAGGACCTGAAAGCTTGTGATGTCAACGGGTTCAGTGACCCGTATGTGGTTCTGACCGACGAGTATCAGAAGCGACTGTCAAAGAGTAGGATCATCTACCGAAATTTGAACCCGCGCTGGGACGAGTCAGTTGACATTACGACGCAAGGCCCTTTGAACCTCATCGCTACCATCTGGGACTGGGATGCAGTTGGTGACCACGACTATGTTGGACGAACCTCCCTCAAGTTGGACCCATCACATTTCAGCGACTTTCTGCCTCGCGAGTATTGGTTGGACCTCGACACTCAAGGTCGACTTATGGTTCGTGTAAGCATGGAAGGTGAACGAGATGACATCCAATTTTACTTTGGCAAGGCCTTCCGAACCCTGCAGAGAACTCAACGAGACATGACGAGGAAAATCACCGACAAGCTGTCCGCCTATATCAATCATTGTCTCTCTCGACGAGCGCTGAGATCTCTCCTCAACCGTGGCATATCCATTTCAACAGTCTCCAGCTATTTTGCGCGGAACCGTGCTTCAGTGATGCCAGCATCAACAATGCCAACCGACGCCGAGATCCTCAACGCCCTCAAGCCCCTGTTTGACTATTTTGACGACAATTTTGCTATAATGCAGCAAACTCTGACTGGGGAAGCCATGATTGCTGTGATGACACGGATCTGGAAAGAAGTGCTGGTGACTGTTGAAGGTCTACTTGTACCTCCTTTGTCCGACAAACCATCACAGCAGAAGGCTTTGACGCAACAAGAACTTGACATTGTCTTCAAATGGTTACAAAGCCTCTTCGAGTTCTTCAACGCTGTGGACGAAGATACTGGTGAAGCCAATGGTGTACCGTTGAATGTCTTGAAGAATCCAAAATATCATGAGCTCCAAATGCTGAATTTCTTTTATTTCGAGCCGACCGACAGTCTCATCCGAGAGTCGGAACGTATGGCATCCGCGACCGCCGCGAGTCAGCAAATGCAGCGCTCGAGGTTTAGTGCACCAGCGAACCTGGGAACCATGGGCGGTGGTGCGCTGCTCAACCCGGGCGGCATCGCGGGTGCAAGACGTGCTAAGAGCATCATGCTTTCGAGGAACTTGGGGACCATGCGCAAAGCCAAGGAGGAGAAGTGGAAAGCTGCACAAGCCGATCCGAACGATGATATGATTCTACGCATTCTCCGAATGAGGCCTGAAGCAACTGGCTACCTCAGAGATCGATCACGACAAAAGGAACGTCTTGCGGCTGCCGCGGCAGCAGAGATGATTGTACGACAGAGTCTACTTGCCGGTGGTGGTAGAATGACGGGTCCGAGCGTGGTGAGAAGATGAATTGACTTTTCAGGGAGAAGTGTTGTCTTTTTTTCTTCATTCACAAATCCATCTGTCTAGCTGGTTAGGGTTCTGTTGAACCGCTTTGGGGGAGGATTATTTTGATTGAAGGATGGATATTGTTTTGGGGATTTATGAATGATGGGCATGGATAGGGGTCATGAATCATGGATTAGCACTATGGACGTTATAGGAGTAGTTTGATCAAGGAGACAGGAGAGTAGCGTCAAGCTTTTGATTAATGATGACTGAGTAATATATTATGATTCCTCGCTATAAGAATTGAGTACTCGTACAAGGTGGAAGACCTACCGAGGGTACATATGCTTCTTGCCCTCACCACAGACACACCTCTGGTTAGTTTTTCTGCCGAATCAGTTCACATTGACGCAAAATAGATCGTGTGAGCCTCTCTTGTGCTATAAAGGGAATTTTTGAGGCCGTCGTAGCTCAGACAAGCCCGCGAGCCCATCAAAATTGACATGTTGGTGGTGATTAGACGATTCTGACAGATTCGCGGGGCCATCTGCTCCTCTTATACTCTTGGAAGACTTCTCTGCAAAAGATGCGCTTTGACCGTCGGACCCCACCCCTAGAGTTGAGGCGATGGTCCAGTGATTGTTCCTGAGGTCCGATTCTTCTGGATAAGAACGAGGGAGACGTCGGTATGCTGTAGAAGCTCAGTCGCAAAACACCCAGGCGTTCAAAGACCGTGCCCCTCTCGTCTTTGCGTGACTGTGATCTCCTGAGGATAAGGGCATCAACACGGCAATCAATTGAAGGAAATTCTTGAACCAACAACAAGGCGGCGTAGCAGCCTTCACCAGAAAATTCGTTTGCTCTCTGACCGTAATCGAGCTCAACCACACGAGAAAGGTGGCGCTCGAAAGCCGAAAGATTACTCGATGCGGAACGCCAGGTAGGATGGTAAAGCCGAGAAAACCGGCAGACCGGTCCGCGTATGGTGACTTGGGCGTGCAAGACACCGCCGAACGGATTGCTTGACTCCACCAGATCAAAGCTGACGTCTTCCAGTGCTGCCAGGGACCTAAGGCTCTTGTTTGTCCAGTCGTTTCGAATGGTATACCCACAAGGAGCGTTGGCCCAGCTCCAGGAAGGAGCTTCGACCTCGACATCATGGGTAGACTGATCAAGTTTGTTGCCGAATAGCTCCAAGCCTTTGGCGTACCACAACAAACCTGGAAGCATGTCTGACTGCCAAAGACCTGCCACATACCTATCGCTTTGGAGGGTCGCTCCATACATTCTCGCAATTCCTGAAATTGCAACGAGTCGATCTCGCCGGTATTTCACACATCGAGCAGAGTAGTCTTCGACGATGTCGTACCAGATGCGATATCTATCATGGAGTGAATGACATTCCGGATTCTCCAGGTACTTTGGCAGGAGTTTGAACTTGGTGAAAAGGTCGAACGTCCAGAAGGGCCTTCCACCTGGTTCGTCCACAATGCTGAGAACGAACTCAGTCATGGGAACGTGTTGGACGGCTCGCTCGTACCGAACCATACTACAGCATTTCCAGGCGATGTGATGAGAAGAATAGAACAAGATTCGGTTTGGTAGGAGTCCTTCTTGCAGAGTCCAGGCACGTTTAGACCATGGTCCGGTCAACTGGTCGTTGCGATCGGGCCACGAGTGCGAGACGTACACCTGCGGCGGGTTTCGGCATTCGTCACTGGCGACCTGATTCGTCTCCTCTTTCCAAGAGATTCCGACGTACTGGGTTTCCCGCTGTCTCAGGAAGCTCTGCGAGGCATCATCCGTGTCCACGCTGGCGATGGTCACCGTTGATTGTCCATAGATGAAACTCATCTGTGAAGATTGCTCCAACCAATCGGACTCCTGGTCTTGAAATATGCACAGTGCATCAACCCACAGATATTGAATCCCTAACCCCCTACTGATGATGATTGCATCCTGGATGGTTGCGTCCAAAGCCGAGATCTCAACACCGTCTTTCAAAAGCTTTTCTGTTCTTTTCATCAACTTCAACGGCGGCTCCCTGTCCCCCCACCGGTAGCTCAGAGCAATCCATGGTCGCAGTGATACTCTGGGCGGGAACTCGACAAGGTGCGGATTTCTACTCTCACTTCCGACATGTAGGAAGCGTATTAGCGATCTCGGACCTGTTAAGTTGGGGGCCGGGCAAGCGTGATTCTCCAGGCAAGATGTGAGCCATCTTGAAGCAAGCGCCACACAGCCGGGATCCTTAGAATGAGGATACAATTTGCTGAGCGGTTCGAACGGAAGGTTTGAAGGTATGTTGACAGAATCTTTCAGTGTTAGGTCAGTAGAAAGGTGCTCTGCAGCAAATGAGACATACTATAATCAATGCTAATGTCAAGATCACAAAGGCTGATCGGCCCTTCCTCAGGGCTCGCGAAGAATGACCTTAGTTTCGGCTCTAGGTATGGCGAAAAGTGAGGAGGATCATTTTTATAGTCTTCTATTGTCTTGCCCTGCGTGAGGATTATAGGAAGATCGCCCGCTAGTTGTGCTGCCCCTGGCTCTTTGCGTTTGAATGCGTCGAATAGAAGCGTGCACAAACCACAACCGGCCGAAGCTGCGGCTTGTATCTGGGATATGTTATCAGAATGCCTGAAGCACAAACTGTCTAAGTGCTCGTCCCAAAAATATTGTCGATCTAGAACGACGTTTGTTGGCAAACCCACGTCAGGGTAATTGAAGATCTGGTACAGATCGAAGCTATTGCAAGTAGTGCATAGGGCCATAACAGCGGAACATGGAGTTCTTTGAAGGATGAGAAGTTGTGAAAAAGGGGAGAAACTAATAGGAAACGAGGTTGTAGTGTAGGCTTCTATAATGACGGGGGCCTTCACCGCAATACGCTGGGCTGTGCGGCTTCAAAGACACAGCCTCATGCGACGGGGCTGACAGCTTGTAAGACCAGTACAACACTAGGACAGGGAATCTGCCAGGGTCACTGGCGCCCGTCTGAAGCAGATGCCTGACTGAGTGGTATGGTATAGCCGATCGCAGCTCAGGGAGCGTTCAGGCAGCCTTCGCTTAGCCGTTGGTATCGGGCCGTCAACGACAATTGTGTTCTTGTTCTCGAGCGATCTAGGCATTTCATATCATCCTTGTCCGGGGCCTATCATAGGAAAAGCTTTCACCGCCGCAAGGTACCCGTTTTAAAGGAACTTGTACTCTGTATACTTGCAAACGTTGCGAACAGTCCAGTATGGCTGACCAGATCATCAATATCGTTCGGCTTATGCTCCTCGAATCGTACGTTCCAAAGGTCGTCAATGTAGGGCTCGTCTTGATCGTCAGGACGTGGACCCACCCTTTCCCGTCCGGGGCCGAAATAGCATTTGGCTCGCCGCCGCTGTTGCCCTCTCCCAAATATGGCCTGCAAGATCGTCTGTCGTAGCTGCGTTGAAGCTTCTGAGTGCCGACGTTTGACCAAACACGTTGTTTCTGTAGCTAGAGGCATGCGAGAAACCTAGAAGCTCGAAATGATGTGGCAAACAACCATTGGTGTATTTCACAACCGGTGTGATAAAGAACAGCCTTGTCCGCTGTCTAGTGCAATGAGAACTGGCCAAAGTCCCCCTTTTACAAGAATAGTGCGTCGCTGGGCGAATCACCTCTCGTTCTTTAAATGTCGAGCTTGTGTTTTCCTCAAGCGCTTCGAAATACCTATTTTAGCTATTACTATCAGGGTAGCTTCTTTAAGCTCAGAGGGGGCACAGGGAAGCAGAGTACCTCGTTCTTTCATGTATACCGAAGTATCGGCGCAAACAACACGCCGAATCAAAGGCGGTAGGCTTTTCCCCGGCTGCCATCAACCGCGAAGGTGACTTTTGGTCATCGGTGACGGATACAAATATCGATGAGCTTTTCTCGATCCATGACCATAGTGCAACTACCACTCTTATCAAACCAAAGTCGCCATGTCCTGGTCCATTTCGATTCGAGGCAAATCTTTCTTCCCTTGTCATCTTCGGCGGCCAGCTTCCATGTTACGAGGCTACGAGATGGGGATGAAACGTGCCACGAGATAATTTTGAGGAAAGAATTCTCTACCTTGGGTATAAGCTAGCTACACCCTACGGCGACTATCTTCTAGGAGGAATCCTTCCCTCTTTTTTTTCTCTTTTGGTTTTGTTCTTTTTTTTCCGTTCCGGTTTCATCATTTTCACCTTTTTTTTTCTCTTGTAAAGTTCTATTCTACTCTGAACACATGTGACATTTTTCCTGATTTCCCACGAAAGCAACGAAGCAATCACAAAGTCCGGGGGCCCCACTCACGCATCATGTTTGGGGCGGCAACTCACCGACGCAGGCTCCTTGGTTCCATCCCCGGGAGACAGCACGTCTCGGTCCCGGGCAGCGTTTTCAAGCCGGTTCACGAAAGAAAGAAGCATCAGTCGCCGGTCGTACAGATTCCGCAGGTTGACGCGGGACCTTTTGTCGGCGGCATTGTGTCCCGTGATGAGCACGAGCATGAGAAAGTTCTCGATCAAACTCGGTGGGACGTTCGAGAGCAACTGGCCGGTGAAGCTCCATCTCATGGCGGACGATCCGGCCACCAGGCCGACAAGTGTCAGCACCCCGAGGACGACGGTGATTTCGTGGGCACAGACGCGAGCCATGACCTCGGAAAGTCTGTACGTCAGGCTCGGGTCGTGGATCGTCTCCCTGGGGGGCGGTGTCAGCCCGATCGCCCCGAAGAGCCTCTCGTCGCCGACGTCGATTTCATCGAATTCCCTTTCGACGTACGAATTCAGTCGGGCCTGGATGTTTCGGAGCACGAAACCGTCATTCATTCCCACGAGACCGGCGTAGGTGCCGATGATGAGCCACCAGTTGTCGTTGAAGTCGAGGACCGGGCCGATGGCGACCCACGTCACCATCACGCAGACCAGGATGGCGATGCCGATGAGTGTTCCGACAAAGTCGGCGTAGTAGAAGGTGGCCCGTTGGATCTTGCTCATCTTTGGTGGCGGCGCGACCACGACCGGGTTGTCCAGAGAATCACCCGTCAAACGTCGAAGCTTGATTTCCAGGGCCGAGTCCACCTTGAAGATCAGGTCGAGACACCTTTCCATGTACGCCGAGTGGCGTTCCCGGACGTTGGCGATGAAGGCAAAGCTGAAGACCATGGTCGCAGACGAGGCCGAGTTCATGTACAGTTGCCAGTCGTTGCTCCAACCGTTGAGCGGACCGATGCCGATCCAAACAAAGACGGCCACCCAGTACGCGCATATCGTGAGCAGATGTCCCAGGATCTCAGATGTCTTGGTCACGAAACGCCCGAACCGCGTCTCTGGAGGAAGACTATCAGCAAAGTCCGATATGTCCCGATCCGACAGTTGCTGTTGGTTGGAAAGGTCGACAAGTTCGTCAAAGCCGGAGCCGCGACGAACCCTGTCGAGCATTCTGACGTGGCTCAGGAGTCGGGACTGCAGCTGGATGGTCGCGTACATCCCATCGTCGTATCCGTTGAGCTGTTGCCGAACGAGGAAAGAATCGTAGATGTAGTTGACGATGGCTTGGATGTCCGAGATCAGGATCTGCCAGAGATTGTCGTGGCCGTAGTGGATGCCGAGCAAGGCCCACGTCAACAATCCCGACATGATGATGGCGAGTGCAGATTGAGAACCTGCAGCGGCGACGACCCTGTCGAGCCAGCGATCCAACAGTCTCGCTTTGGCCATTGGCGTGAAGCCAGTAGTGTTGTGTTGACCACCCTCACTTACACTCTGAGTCGGAGCAGCTCCCCGGATCTCTCCTTTTTCCCCCGGCTTGCTGATGACATTGCCAATCTGCCTCAGTAGATTGTTCTTTTCACCAGGGCCGGCGGCCGTCATTTGAGTTTCAGCTTGTCTCGCCATTGTCCTTCTTCTCAAGCGGAGCTCAATTTGAAAAGGTCTTCTTCTGCCAGGTCGGCTCGTCGCTCATCACTCGGGGCTCGTCATCCAACTATCCTTCTCAACCAAATCCCAGCCAGTCATGTATAGTTCAGTTTTTATACGTCTCACTGCAGGAAAATCTCGCCCTATGGTGGCTGTAGGTCTCGTGGAGCTGTCTCGCAGGAGAACGTCGGGATCTTTGGGCTCGAGGGTCGTTTACAGACCATGACCCGGGAGCAAATTCGATCGAAGGCAAGGTGTTCCATTCACGGGGATTTACAATGTCAAGTGTGTGATTAGAACACAGGTAGTTCCAGAAAACAAGTACGCTTCCCAGAGGATTTATATAGATTTGCCGTTGTATGGGTTTATTGATTTTGAAATTTCCTTTTTCTGTAGGAGTTTAGACAGAGGTATTTTATTTCACCGTCAAATTCCTGTGTGGTTCCCATGAGGCTGTGCCGTTCGAGTTCTGCCGCAGTGAACAGAATGCTTACGTGGCCAAACTTTGCGCGTCTACACCATTGCTTGTTCAATCGAGAGACCGGATTGGTGAGATTGAGACTTGAGTTTTGCCAGCCTCGAGGCCGGCGGATGTCTAATGAATGTAGCGGGTGGTCCAGCACTGACCATTGACATGAGCAAGATGAGAAATTTTTTGTACCAGGTAAGGCGAACTAGGTCGCATTGAAATCAACATGTGGAAAGATTCCTTCACAGTACGGAGGAGGATAATGAGGCAGTGCAGCCTTTCTTTCTTGTGGAGGAGACGGAATTGTGGGTCACCCAACCTGGCCGAGGGCTAGAATTTCCCAGAAAGGACTTCGAGCGAACTGCGTTACGGGGTCAAGATAAACTGCCCCAAATGCTCGTCGTAGGTACCATTGAGACTTCATTTTCATTCTCGAAAATCTTTATTGCATATTGAGCATCGGTCATGCCACTAGACTCGCCAAATCTGACCGAAAATCATAGCAGAATGAATCCTCAGTTTCCATACGAGTTCAAATTGAATATTGGCTTCTTTAGAGTCATTGACACTGCATTTTGAACAGACCCAATAATCATAATCATGAATATATTGCTTCTAGTCCTATAAGAAATTGAATAATTATTCATATTACGTGTAACACGCATGAAGGAAAAACGGAGAGAAAATAAAGTCTTGATGGATCAAAACAACAGAATTTTATGCGATTGATTATGCTATGGCCGTTCCGAGGAAACAAAAGAAGTCTATCAAAAGGAAGTCAAAACATGAGCCAAGGGGATAGGGTCAGCTTTCATCTTCTTAGCAGCTCATTCGAGGTAGCCATATTCTATAATCATCAAGGCCAGTCCTTCTCCTCCTCGTAAGTCCTCTTAGCCAGCTGCGAGGACGAGAAGGATTAAATTTGACATTTTTGAGGGATTTCTCAGAAAAGTGCTGCACAATGCTATTGGATCCGGAGAGGACCACTGGAGTACCGTGGACAGCATAAACTCCTCGGGTTGGAATATGTTGATGACTGTTTGTTCATGCATCGACGGCGTAGTTTGGAGGGTCATCACGTCAACCCAGGCCCGAGTGTGTTCGTGCCTTGGATATATGTGTAGTTCTTCCGCCTTGCCTATTGTTTATTGCCTTGATGTGTAATGTGTAATCGGGTCTCAAGCTAATTCTGGGTTGACATGGGTGGCCGTTGAACAGTAGGCTGTGGCGGATGGTGTTCTGGCCAGAGGAGGACACTGCATTCGTACGTGTACCGTGGATGGCCGGAGGAGACTGCTGCTGTAACAAAGATGCTGTCAGTACATTTACTTGCTGGAGGAGAAATAGGCGGGCTGCTCACTCTCCATGTCCTGACTCAGTTTGTTTCCAGCCTTCTTCTCACCATCCAGATGAGAGCTCTACGAGTCAAAATGGGGGTAAACCACAAAAGGAAAAAATGGCAGAAATGTTTCCAGAGTGGTTAAGACATGCCTTCTGCTTCTACTCCACTGTTTGGATGGCTGCCTGTCTGATATTGTTGGCTTGCTCAGTGAAGTTCCATGGTTTACGGTTGTAAGTTTATCGGTGCCTGCGTATGAGATTCACTTCTTTTTGGCAGTCATGTGAATTCAGGTTTGAGGCATAAGACAGATGTATCAACAAAATGTCCACATGGTGAAAATTATGAGTTGCACATGAGGAGATCAAAAAGAAGATCCATCTCGTCAAAGTGCAAAGTACTTGATCCTTTTCTTTCCCCAAAAGGTTTGCGTGGAAAGAAAGAAAAAGTTGTGTTTGTGGTTTACTGCCTGCGCCTCCAGAATCCATCAGACAACACAAACTCGCGACGAGCTTCACTTGCTCATCTCTCTTCAATCTCTGTTGAACCATCCATCTCACCGAAAGCACACATTCCTCTTCTTCGCAGGCAAAACGATTTCCTTGACCCTACGCATCAGCGTCAACATCTTCGGCGGCAGCGGAACGGAACAGAACCAACAAACCAAACAACGAAAATGGACGACGCAACCGCAACCAACAAAGTCAACGGCGCCAGTCATGACGACGACGACGAAAACAACAGCAAATACAACTCCTCCTCTTCCTCCTCCTTCCCTTCAACTCATCACACGGACCGAGCCAAGATTGCCTCTGATATGGCCAAGCGTATCGCCGGTGGTGCGAACCTGCAGACCCTTGCACACGACCAGAACATGACTGTGGAACAAGTCTGTCGCATGGTTGCCATGTTTGCAGATCAAGCGGGCGAAATTGCCAGAGCCACTCTTGGATCGGTATGTTTTTTCTTTCTCTCGCCTTGACGTCTCCACGCAGTCAATTATATGAATCATGTGCCGACAACTAACTGCAAGAATGTAGGACACCATGTACAACGTCATCGCCGAGAACAAGGAAGGTCAAGGCAAGGCCATCCAAGATCAATGTGAGCAAGAGATGATGAAGGCGAATCACAAAGTGTCAAATGGCTTGAAGAACGGAGCAGAGGAAGAGAAAGAGGATGAAGATGAGGCAACAAAGATCCCGCCACGGATGCCTCAGAATTTCAATCCTTTCGTGTACTACCGCCTGTAGACGCGGTGGCCCGCGGGCTAGTCACGATACCTTTTGTGGTTGTGTCCAAAGCGAGAGAGAAATTGACATTAGTTTCTCATGTGATTGAGATTGAGATACCTATTCAGCGATGACAGAGAATGTCGATTGATGAAGCATGAGAAAGAGATCGAAACTGAATGGAAAAGCTGACCGAAAATTGACGCGTCATGATTGTTGTGGCTCGAGGTTACACAAGGCTGAACGAACGCGAGGCTGAATTTCTCCTTTTGATTGGGTGTCGGCTTTTTTTTCTTTAGCTTCACCCTTGGACTTCAGCTTGCTGCCTGCCTTTACAGCTACAGCATCACCTACTCAAGAGACGTTCATAGGCTCAAGTCTTTGCGGTCTAAGTAATCGAATAATGACCGACCGACTCTGCCCTCCTCATACCTCCTAAGATACCGCAAATCGACTCCTTTTCCTCAACCTGGCCCCATAAAAGTAGATGAAGTACATTCCAAAGACACAAATCACAGTCAATCCAGCAAGCAAGCTGACTGCACCGTCTATACCAAGCGTATCAAACATGGGCCGCGCGTAGGAGATTGCCCCAGCCGCGAACAATGCCCTTGCAAATCCGTTGGCGGCGAACAGAGATCCCGAATACTGCGCGTACGTAAACGGCAAGTAAATAAACATGCACTGTGTGATGACAAAGACGCCCATCATACTAAGTCCCACTCCAATCAGGCTGACGATCCAGTGTACACTCGACCGTGCTGTCCAAGCTGTAATATCGTCACACATGCGTTAGAATATCGACCTCGACCTGAGAGTGCCGAGAGCAGGTCAGTATAAACGTACCAAAGATGATCAACCCAGCCGGGATGAAGAATGTCGCGACAAGTCCAGGCCACAGCCGCGCTTCAGGTGGAACAACTTGCATACTCGCCATCTTTGCGTCCGCGTAGAAATAAAAGTATGAACAGTACAACATCATTGCGAGAACCAAACCCACGAGCACGGAGAGAAATGCAAGTCCAATCTGGCCAAGATTGAACCCGTACTCATCGCCATATACGAGTGGAAAGGCCTCGAAGAAGGAATAGTATATCCCGTATATCAATGCCGTGTAGATCGTGGTGAACAAAACCGCCGGGTCGAGTATGTTGATCTGCCAAGGTTTGATGAGGGCATCGAAGACAACTTGTCGAGGCGATAGTTTGGCTTGTTTGAATTCAGACGCAGCTTTGAGGTCAAGACATCCTGTGCGTGCTCGGAGTCGTTGAGCCCGACGGAGCAAAATGTTGTCGGATGATGTCTCTGGCAGGGATAAAAGCATGAGGAACAAAGTGAAGCCGGACAGCCATAGAAGCTCCCATGAGGACCATCGCCACGTCTTAGCCTGGACTGAGAACCCACCTACAAGAGGACCGAGAGCCTAAGACGATGTTTAGTGTTAGCCAGATGTGGGCATGATATGGAAAGAAGTGAATGACGTGACAGGCAACAAGAGACACAACATACTGGACCAAGCGTCGCTCCACATCCCCAGAACGTTATCACATAAGGCATGATCTTTGCACCGTAAAAGTCTCCATAGCTTGCTCCACCTGTTGAGAGAGCAGGTGATCCAAAGAATCCCAGCAGAAATCGCAGGACCAGTAGCCCCGGAATATTGTCGACAAGAGCCATTGGGATACAGAGGATGAACAACAGGAAGAAGGTGATGATGTAAGGAATGTTTCGACCGATCGATGGAATCTCAGAGAGTGGGCTCAGAATGAGCGGCGCCACTCCGTATCCAAGGACGTACAAAGACAAGCCAAGAGAGCCAATGACTTGAGGGATGTGGTACATGTTGACGATGTCGGGAATACTTGCAGTGTACATCGACGTGCCAATGTACACAGTGAAAGTATACAACAGTATAACGAAGGAGACGTAGCCTTTCTTGAGAGGCGACCAGTTGTGAGGATCGTCTGGATCCGAGTCCTCGTACCAGGACACAATGATTTCTTTCCTCTGGTTGTAGTTTGGTCCTGCTTCCGGGTCAAGTGATCCATTGCGTCTCTTTTGTCCACCGCTGTCAAAGTCGTCCACTTCACAGCTCGGTTGATGTGCTTGGGGGAGATCGCCATGTTCAGGAATGTTATCATGATTGTCGACTTGCTTCTGGACATCTTCAGGCTGCCAGTACTCTGTCCTTAGCAGAAAGTCTGGTAAAGATTCACGATGAGGGGCAAGGCGGCCACGACTGAATTGACGAAGAAGATAGCCAAGTGTTGAATCCCGCACAATGTCGTACATGGTGACTTTTATTGGCGAACACGAGGAGATTTTGGAAGAGCCAAAGCAAGACCATCGAGGGGACTGTACGCACGCAGGTGTTAGTATCCTCTGTCTTCACCTTTATAGTCTTCATCTGATGCTCGATGGTATGATGGAGCTCCACTCGTCCCATTGCTAGCGTCAGAATGTTGCGCAAAGCTAACCACGATGGGTAAGTCCGACTTCCTTGCACTTGTACCAGGGGCATGATGAAGTGGCCTATCGTGGATCGTTGCAAGGTTTCTCATGGACGTAGGAGTTCCACAGGTGGAGATCACAGGTACAGCAGATCAATGTTTGCTCTGATCGGAGCGACAATGGAACTGGGATTGAGTCATGTTCGTCTCGCCGCCAACTCCTTCGAGGTCGATCAGTCATACAGGCTGAAGCAACATACCCGCCCATATCAGAACGTGTCCCTCGGCAATGTATCGAAAGGGAAGGGTTTCTTGTTCCTGTGCATTCTTAGCTGAGGGCCACATAACTGTCAGTAGTACTTCATACCTGCGAAAGAAGTGTGGCCTGACCAATACCCATGGTGAGACCAATCCATGCCAGACATTCGCGCATCCGAGCTCTAATCTCCAACGGTACGATAGATGTGGCGGTGATCACCCACAGTGGATGAAGCAAAAGTAGTCCGCCGATAGATTTGCCAGGAAGAATCGTTGGCATGTCGCCGTTAGACTTGGAATCAAGGGACAACCTGTCGGTGCTCAACTGGTACGGGATGGATGCGATAATGTCTTCGACAAGAATGAGAGCTGTGGTCAAGTCGTCCTGTGCATTGGGAACATCAATCAGGATGCTCTTACATCGGACGATGATCTCAAGGATGAGGAGGCGTGATTTTCGGTATGTATTCCAGACGGCGGCAACGTAATCTGTGGTGGTGAGACAAATTGCCCAACAATAGGCCAGAGAACACTTACAATCAAAGTAGCTGTCAATTCTTCCTGAACAGTAATTTTTACTATTGGATAACCGAAATCCTGCCTGGCTGATTGTCTTGGGCTGCCACTCTTGGATTTGACTGGCTTCCCATTGTGCAAAAGCTCCATCAAGTGTCTTAGCTTCCTCGAGGATATTACTGATCTCTTCGTCCGGAGGGACCGTTTCGTCCAAGACAAAGGCTTCTCGTGCTTTGTAGAAGACAGAGTGGAATCTGATCAATATCTTGTCCAGATTCTGAACCGAATCATTGGAAAATGGTGCGCATAGGAGCCCACAACCTCGAACCTACTTCAGAGGTTAACATGTCTCCCCCTATAGATTGTCCAGCGAGGACTGTACTCGCCTCCAACAGTTTTTTGAGAACTAGCGGGTTATGGAGCTGGAAGAGTTCGATTCCGGCAGCCAAGTCGAATGGCGAATGGGGTTCGGACAAGATGGCGGCAATGCCGCGAACATGGAGAGTGTGATGGCCGGGGTTTTCATTGTCACCGGCGACGATCTAGAAAGGGCATAAGTGAGAAGGACAACGATATAATGAAGGCACGAACCTCATAAATACCAAGTAAAACAGCTGTCATCAGTGCCTCCACTGATCCTGCTGTCGCCGGCGTGCCCAGCACCTTCTGAAACGACAGAAGCAACCTACCATATTGACTTCTTGCTTCCTCTACGTAGTCAGACCGGCCGGACTTGTTCCCCACGGCTGCCAATGCGACGGTTCGTGCAGCTTCGGCAAGATCAGACGAAGTGTCCTTGCCCACCAAAGATTCAAATCCATCGAGATATCCTCGTGAGATGTTTCTGTCTTTCGAAGTTACGCAAAAGTCTTCGAGAAATACTCGAAGGAAATCGATTGCTTTAGATTGAGTCTGAGGTTCTAGATCATCTTCACACAGCTTGACAGATGATAGATTCATCCTTTGAAGTTTAGGTTGTCCCACATATTGGCGAAAGACGAGACTCGAGTCATACTCATCGTACCCTGGACAAGGCCTTTTCGACTTGAGGCACCGATTGCAGGCCTTTCAATATTAGTCCGCGTGTAGGATCAAATTAATATGCCACAAAGACTTACTGGTCGGGTCTCGTCGCACTGAACTTCCAATTAGCCACGGCGATTTTATCGTCTGAGTGTCTATAGCAAACCTACCTTCTTCCGTCTCTGTTTACAGGCCTTACAACCACGAGAAGCCCCATGATTCACCATCTGAGTGTAGTACGCTTGCTAAGAGCTGCCTCGGTACGAATATGGAACTCCTGTTCAACTACATTGAGTACACCCGTTGAGAGGGAAGAAGTCGTCAAATGGTAATACGCATCCATCGTTCGAATGACGGCAAGACCTTGCAAGGTACGTGAAATCTTACCTAATGATACACAGCCTTGTGCTTAAGTAATGTGAGCCAATACCTTCTTGGCAAGGCTGTGATTACAAGGATGAACAATGTCGTGCCGCCACAATCCCAAGGAAACACAGAAACAAGGACATCAATTTGAACCTCATTCTCTATGGGGTCTTGGTCTGCAACTTGAACATCATGTTTGCTAGATTTCGAAAAACAATCAATCATCCAACAGTGTCTTGACTCCACACCACAAAATTTCCCATTCTTGTGTCCTCTGACGGAACCTTCGACTGATTTCAAACGCCCGCGTTTGCAGCGTCCGCATCCCTCTGAGCCGCGAACCGCGCAATTTCTCTCACAATGCTAGAAGGGTGACCACGCATCCGAAATCTCCTCGCGACCTCCTCGACTGACATTCCATTGTTGATGTGTCTGATCATGCGGCGTACACCTGCCGTCCCGATGGCGTCGCGGGCGGTCCAATGAACACCAACGACGGCGGCGCCCAATTTTGGAGCAGGAGCAGGAGCAGGACGATGTTGCTGGTCAGCCAGTGCTTCTGCGACTTCGTCGGATGTGATTGTCGTCCAACCATCCTCGTCATTCTGTGAGACAGCCATGTACGGATCCAAGTGTATGGGAATCGTTCGAGTTTTGGTCTTGGGCTCGGTATCGGTGCTGTTTTTCATAAGGTGGCCTTTGATGTAAACATTGGTATCGACGAGCGGGTCATCAATAGCCGAAGTAATGGTTGGAACGATGACATTAGCTGCATTCTGGCGAACATGGTTCCGACGTTCTGCTTCTGCACGGTTCACAAAGTTAGCTTGATTTGTTATCATCATAAACGCAGCAAAAACGTATGAGAGGAAAGAAGGGCACATACTCTTGGTCGTGATATCTTCCAAAATCATCTCGAAGCTGCTCTCGTCGTCACTACCATCACTCTCATGTTCAAGCCTTGAATCGCCATCATCTGGCTTTGGTCTTTCCAAGAGTTTCTCTGTATCATCGACAAGTCAGTCACAATTGTCCGTGAACAAAACGATACCACTCCCCCACTTACCTGATAGCTTAGTTGATGCCATGTCCGGAGTTGTTGAAAGTGCTTCGTCGACAAGCGAAGAGAGATGATGTCGCGCTGTGAGAATTTCCTTGGAAAAGAAATTCCAGAGATCCTATCACTCTGTAAGAACATCCACAACTTATAAGTTTGGAATAAAGATGGAAAAGGGAGGGAAAAGGTAAGTACAATGAACGTAGACAATAGGTGATGGGGACGCAGACGTAGTGGCAAACGCATCTCTATCCTTGTTCACCCCCCCAACACCCAACAAGGGGTATATCATTCCAGTTATCCCACAGAAACAAAGAAGAAAGGGAAAAACTTACGGGTGATACAGGATGATGCAGAAAGGGAGACCTTACAGGTGGTGAAGAATGGATGTGGGTGATGCAGGTGATGCTAGGATGGCAGGGAAATGCCATCCATCCATCCATGACTATTGATGCTGTCAGGCTGTCACCCCGAAACAGAAGGCAGTTGGAGGTCCTCTTTGTATAAATGGTATAGGACTGTACGTTGGAGAGCGGATCTGTGAAACCCAAGACTCGAAAATGATTTCGATCCTGTCATGGCAAAAGTGGTCAGTGGTCAGTAACAATGACAGAGGCCAGGATGGAAGTCAACTACGAACATACCATATAATGATATTGAATTTCACTTGGTTCCATGATTCATCATGTTAAAGGTATACGCCAAACTCACCGTCTACACAGTCCCGGAGCTTCACTTAAGTAGAGCGCAGATGACAAACGAGAACTCGTTTATCTACTTGAAGTGCTACAATCAGTTCACCGTTTACATGACTGACCAGACGAACGAAAACACATGAACACGAAAGACACCAGACGAGAGCAAGAGTAAGAAATGGAAAGAAAAAAGGTCAACGACACCCAACACCATCCAGTTTCGTTTCATTTGAACGTTAAGAGGCTTTCAAGGCCAATCCTCCTGGGTCAGAGGTCACCTACGCCCATCTACGTACTGACCGGCCACCAGTCATCAATGGTGTCTTCCACCTGTCCACATAAACGCACACACACACAAACGAGACCGCCCCATATTTTGTCATCACTCCATACACAAACCCCATTGGGCAATCGTCTCGATCATATCCCTGACGGTAAAAGCGTACCGACTCGCCACCACCTCTGGAAAGACACCTTCACAAATCTCCCATACCATACTTCCAAGTAACCAAACCCTCAATTCCATCGCATTTGTTGGTGGGTAGTTGTTGTTGGTGTTGGTGTTGCCGTTGTTGCCGTTGCTGCTGTTGTTGTTGTCCTGGGTGGCAAACCCAAACTCATCCATCTTCCTCTCAACGTGTTGAGCGATACGGACCACCACGTCACGAGGCGTGACTCGGTGTTGGCGTGCCACCAGAGACAAAGAGATATTGTTGGCCATCTTTCTCATCATGTGGACGGTCTCCGAATCCCACCAACCACGTTGGTAGTCCGTCATTGTCAAGTAACCATTGTCGACGGGGAGACCCGAAGCTCCAAGGGCCATGTCCGCACGGGTCATGGCGGAGGGTGCCAGGAGATGAAGCGGGAGGAGGAGTCGGCCTCCGTTGAAACGACACGCTTCAAAGGACATGGGTGCTAAACCAAAAAAAAGGTAAGAAGTAGCATGGGAACACATCACACACACGCATGCACGCACGCAATCATTAGTGCGGGAGTAGAAGTAAAAGAAAAAGAAAAGAAAAGCGCAAGTTCATCAACACTTACTGACGTTCGCCATATCAATGGCACGAGGTCGAGCGTAAACGCGACCCAAGCGAAGTTGTTGAATCCAGTCCATTTTTTTTGGATGTCTTCTGCGCCCAAGACCAAGACCGAAAGGAACAAAAAAGAGAGGACAAGACTCGGTCGAATGACAGAAGTAGGTTGTGAGGTTTTTTTAGAGCAAGAGCCAACGGAAAATGCGTGATGATAGACAACCAATTCCTGCTGGACGAAGCTGAAAAAAAGAAGATACAGAGAAAAGTAAGACGAAGAGACCAGCAGGAATATCAAAAAAGATGTGAATTCACAAAGTAAAACTGAGCATTCAACATTGCGAAGTTCCATCAATAACCAAAGGCGGTCGGGTACAAAAAAGGGTCGCGAAGTCCACTATGGGAAGGCGGTGTCGAATGGCCGGTGAGAAGAACAGAAGATTGTGAATGATGTAGAGCCATCGCGAACCATTGATGAATTGGATCGTAAAACAAACCACGCTAGACATGCATTCGCAGAATGTCTTTGTCTTCTTTCCTCGCCGAAAATAAACAAACCCCGGCCAGGAAAAACAACTCAGTCAAGAAGACCATATCAAGCAAGCCCAAAAAAACCAACATCAGGCAATCCAGAACCATACCCGTTCAAAGACGTTTCTTGGTTTCACCTCTGGCCAACCTCCTTCCATGCGGTCGATCTCGGCTTTCCCACTCCACAGGTCCATATCCTTCAGACGAACAAATCTCGTCCGTTTGATAAATTTGTAACCCAAGAAAAGACAGGCAAAGATCGGAATGTCGATGTAAGGCGGGACAAAGGATTTCGCACTGAAGCGGCCAGGGAAGAAGCAGTCGAAGCCGTTGAAAAGGGCGACGGTGAGGCAGAAGCAGATGGAAAAATAAGCCAGGAACGGTTGGAACGGAGACTTGTACGGCAAGCTGGATCGTGCTATGCCGTTGTGCCTGAGAGCGTAGTAAAACCGAAGATACGTGACGCAGATACTGGCCCACACGATCAAGGTGCTCACGGCCGAAAGGTTCGAGATCCAGAAAAAGACATCGGATGAACGAGAACTGACGTTGAGGTAGACCAGCAGGCTGAGTAGGCTGGTCGCAGCCACGCACGCATATGGCACACCGAACCGTTCGAACCTGAGAAAAGCGGGAGCTCTGTGATCAAGAGCAGTAGAGTATAAGACTCGCGTGGAGGCGTAAAAGAATGAATTCCCCGCCGACCATGCAGATGACAGGATGACCGCATTGATGATGGATGGCAGCGCTGGGATTCCTCCGTTAACAATCGCAATCACAAAGGGACTCGCTGCTGCTCCTGGTGCCGAATTGTCGATTGCATTCAAAAGCCGAGGGTCTTTGGATGAGACACACATGCCGATCAATAACATCGTGAGGACGTAGAAAATAGCAACTCTCCAAAACACTCTCCGTACGGCTTTGGGGATATTTCTGCGAGGATTTTCCTGTGTGGATGTGAATTTTCGAATCTCGGTCAAGAAGAGCCGTACTTACAGTCTCTCCGGCCGCGATGACAACCATCTCACTGCCTCCGTAGCTAAAGGTAGCAGAGATGAAGATCTTCCAGAAGGCGAGGAAGCGGCCCAAAGCCCCCGTCTCGAGATACTCCAGCATCGGGCCAGGGTGATCCCAATACCGAAAGCCAATTCTGTCGTGGTTCGGGGCGCCACCAAGGGTGATGATGAACATCAGCAGGATAAGTCCAACGATAGTGGTCAACTTGATCGCACCAAAGACAAATTCGGCTTCTCCATAGACGCGCACTGGGAAGCAGTTGATGGCCACCATTGGTACGAAAAGGACGGTGATCCAGACTGCGTTGGGCACTGAATTGGGCCAATATCCTATGACGACCGCTGAGGCGGAGATCTCGATTGGCACACCGATCGCCAGTTGGTACCAGTAGTTCCAGCCCTAAAGCATGTCAGCCAACGATACCAGGATGATGGGGTTTGTGTCCGACGGACCAAGGTGAAGCCCAAAGCAGGGTCGACAAATCGCGCTGCAAACACTGGAACAGCACCGGGAAGAGGCAGGTATGTAGCCATCTCTCCGAGAGAGTTAATGACAGCATAAAGGTTGAAACCCGTGATGAGGTAGGCTAGGAAGGCGGACAACGGTCCGGCAAGACTCAAGGCCTGGCCGCTTCCGACGAACAGGCCAGTGCCGATGGCGCCTGATAATGCCAGAAATTGAACATGACGCGACTTCAGCTTACGATCGAGGGTGCCAACGTTTCTCTGCTCGTGCTCAAGGTTTTTGAGATCTTCGTCGTCGGTGCGGGCGTCGACGTCGGCATCTTCTACCTTGCCAGGCTCGATGTCTTTGGGCTCAGGCTCCATAACGATATCAGCATGACAGATCTTGAGAATTGCAAAATTACAGATGCCCAGATGGTCGGCATCAAGCGTTGGGAATTACGGGGAGTGCAAGGTGGTCATGATGGTTTTGTAGATCCTTGTAATGTGTGAGTTCGGATATATGCGTTCTGCGTACCACCTCAACCAGATAGCATTCAATCTTAGTTGATGTTACGCTGCATTGCCGGGGTAAAAGGACTGGTCGATCCTTGGGTAAGAAGCTCACTAGGCTATTCAGATATTGGTTTTGGTTGGCCGCCAAGCTGAGAGGATCTGTGGATCGACTAATGGACTTGTAGAGAGGCGGTCTCACATCTCACCGCGGTGAAAAGAGAGATTCCGACTGGTGCAAGTCGATATCACTGTCCACAAGACTGATAAAGAGATGGGTTTGCGGGTTGGGTTTCATCCAGGGTAAGTAAATCCTCCCAAGCCATTTTGTAGCATATTGCCAAGTTTATACTTCATGTCGCTTGTACAGATCATCTCATCGTACTTGTCCAGCATCAATATCATTTCATTCCTCTTCAGATCCACCTGCCGCTATGATGGAATCTTCGCCCGCTTGGGTGTAACGTGCCCTTCGATCAATACAAGTCTGGCATCGCCCAAATTTGGCACATTCTGGTTTCAAATGAAGCCAGATCTCTTCACCTGACCGTTGCAACCGATCCCAGTATCTCCGTCGCCAGCCTGGTATCATTCTTTTGAGGCCCTCGTGCTTGATCTTTAGTCTGGTAGCCGTCCACTTCTCGTCCGGTTGATGCTCAGTCGGCATTTCATGTAACACTTCCAAATCGAGGGGATTGTTCTTCGATAGTGTTCTCAAAAAAGGCTGGTCGCGTTTGACCTCTTCTGGCATCACGCGGGAGAGAAAGTCCAAGGATGTGTCAATATTCAAATCGATGGCTCTGATGGGATTGATCGTCATTTTCAGCACACCACTCGCAATATGAGGATACAGGACGCAGAAATCCGACTGAGAGATGTGAACAGTGCCTCGAACAGTCACTAGCCAGGCCGGCTGTTCTTCGTCGAGAGCTTCTGAGACGACTGATTGCGCAACATCAAAATTCTCTTTCCAGTACATGAATGCCTCGGAATTGATGCCAAGAAGCGGGACATGCAGCCGATATTTCTTGTCATCTGGAGGAGGGAGCACCGCCATGCCCCAGATGTCGTAGACTATGCCTTGCGTGACATATTTGAACTTCTCCCTTTCGCGTAGCAAGCTGATTGTCGTGGTGCCACCAAAGGAGTGTCCTACAATTGTAACGCCTTCGGTATGAAAACGGCTTTCCCAAGCCGACCAGTCAATACCTTCGAGACCAGCTTTTGAAGCACCAATGGCGCCTCGTACTCGAAGATTACTAGCAGCAACTTGAGCCCCATCGCCAGCACATATCTCTTGCATGACTTGATAAGCCTCATGGATCTCCGCCAAGCGCAGGTCGATTTGAGCACGTCGAAGCTCTTTGTCAACTTTGTGGCCCGGGGTTGTATCATACTTATCGCCTTTTGGGAAGATGAAGTCGACAACATCATACGGCCTTTGTTGATCATGCTTGAAATGCTCAATGTTTCCACGTCTTTCAAGGTGGTCCCGATCTGCCGAGCTACCCGGAGGATGGTTGATCAAGGTCCTGGGGCCGCTACCGTCTCTGTGCTCTAAAGCAACGACTACGAAACCGTGACTAGCAAACTCACCACAAACTGTCGAATATGCCGTTCTAGTACCACCAAGACCGTGACTGAAGATGATAAGTGGGAATCTGGGCTTTTCGGGTCCGCACGTCGGAGGCGCACCCATGCCGCGTCGATGTACACCGTCATTCGTCGATTCGTAACCCTGACGGGGCCAATGATTCGCAAGTCGCGCATTCTTGTACGCCGGTAGCTTCGTGTACCATGTTGTACAAAAGAACCACCATTCAGCCAAGTGTTCAGGGAGAGAGGCGAAGCGACCATATCCACGACTCGTCTCATTCCTCGGACGACTCAGCCAGGTGGGACGATATCTCTGCCCCGGGGTAGATGTATTGAAGTCAGCCCTTGACTCAAAATGGGCCGGGTAGTAAATAGTCATGAGGACAGTCTCGAGTGCAATCAGATGCACCTTCTGCCGCGTGATGTGGGAAAAGGTCCGTGGCTCTCGGGCAGGAACTTCGAGGTCGATGGTCCCAACATGGTATGGACCAGTATATTTTGGTAATTTGCCGTATAGAGGCACCTTGTCCCTGATACCGCTTGGTGGTCTGGCTTTTGGATTTCGTCGGGGCACATCCTGGGGTGTGGTCTTTGCGTGTTGAGGATGACCAAGCACCCAATCAGGGAAGATTGCGGAAATCGGCATCTTCCTCGTCTGAGGTGCCAGAATATGCCACCCCAGTGAATCCCAGTAGTCCGGACGGACTTGGCTCAGACTTAGGGACAGTAGAACTTTAGCATTGTTGCTGGATGAGTTGGGCCATGTCCTGCCAATCTTGTTAGAGCCTCCGGACTTCGGATCACTCGTCCTATGTCGATGATGATACGGGTATCTCTCTCAAAAGGTGACGTTGATATCCAGGGACATCAATATCTGTATGCGTTCGTCACTGTCAAGATAGTGAGCACGACGTACGAAAAATGGATGTACGTGAAAGACATTGAATCTCTGTCCTCGCTTAAATGACGTCAGAAACACTTCCTCAAGCCGGGTATCATCTCCGGAATGAGAATGCTGACATGTCTCCTTGAGCGCTTGGAAATGGGTTTGAAATCAGCCTACAAGAGGTGTTGTAGGCGTGCCAGATCAATGGTAACTCCAGATATCCAGAGAGGGGAAATTCGTAGGCGCCCGCTGTCTGAAGGGAACAGATGTCGACCAGCCATGTGAGAGCCGCTACGGCCAAAGAGCGGCTTTTGTTAGGCCAGAGCTGTCACCCGGATGTTCCGGCTCCTGCACAGCTACGTTGATATATTGTCGGGCCTCTTGCACCGACCTTGAAGTTTGTGGTAATTGGTCTAGAGCCTTCAACAAGGTGCTTTTCAGATAATTGTACGCCTCAAGCTTCATCTTTCCGTGCCTGCGCTCTCGGCTGATGACTTTGTTCATGAGCTGTACTGCAGCAACAACATGATGCGGGTATGGGTCGAGTTGGACAAAAGAGGCCGTGAATGTACATGGACCTTCTGTGGATTCGGAATCGTCCGCTGGAGCTCCTATTGTTAAAGTATTCTCCAGACCAAACTTCAATGCATTGACAATCTCTTGCTCGGCAAAGAGTCTTTTTTCTTTCAACAAAAGAAGTAGATCATCTCGCTCAGCTGCCTCAACGTTATCCACTAGCATCAAGATGCCCAAGTGATAATGTAACATGACCTCGTACCAATTAAGACGCTCCACCTGGCTGAGGAAATGAAGTCTTCGTTCACATGCGCTCAACAAGGGTCGAAAGGTGTCCTGGTATATGTCGGCAGCTTCCGTGAAGGCATCCCAAGCTTGCTGGACTTTATCTTCCTCATCACCTTCGCGGAGTGCCTCTTTGAGGATTGCAATCATCTTCCATACGAACACTTTACAAGCTGCCGCAGCTGCAATGATCTGCGAGGCAGTGTCGTCAGAGACTTCGAATGCTGAAGTGCGCCATTCTTTGGTCCGCGTTTGGAAGGAATGGGCACCGGTGCGTAATACTCGCCATGCTGACTCGGACGCAACCCCGTGCAAGCCAGACGAGAGTGACGAGCGAAAGTTAAGAGTAAGACTAGCCGATGTGTCGAACGTCAACGCGCCCCAGTAAGCTCGGCTCTCGCTGTTCAAGAATGCCTCGCTTAGTGGGAAACTCTTTGGTTTGGAATTGGCTAGAGGAGCCATGCCAAATGACACGTTCGAACCACTGAATTGACAGTTGCGTTGACGCTCACGCAGACTTTGTATTTGTTGGAATGCAACTTGGACGCAAATCTGGCCCGTGATCCCGTCGACTTCTTCGTCTCTGGATACCCCAACAGGGATCGGCGTCAGGCCAAAAAGGAAAAGCGTCAAGACGGAGCGATAAGAGACACGGTTGATGACCTTGAGCATATCTCGCCGGGATGCGCGCCACGATTCGCGGACCAAATCCTCCTGGTTGAGACCTACCCATTCCTGCTGTGGTATGAGGTGCAGCCATGGCGAGGCAAATGATCGAATGGCTAGTTTCAGAGAATCTTCAATCTGGAAGTTCCGCTCCAGTCGCTGGCTGAGTGGTGTAGCTGCAGCATCTTCCAGGTTGCGCGCTTCCCAATCGTGGTCAATCGCAGCGTCGAGTTCGGCAAATAGTTTGGAAGGGCGGAAGATAAGATCGTAGCTGGGATCCCAACTGTATTGCAAACGTTAATGAGAGACTTCAAGAAGGATGTAAGTCATCAGGTAGCCGCGTACATGAAGGGACAGCAGTCACGGCCCAGCCAGAAACCAAATATCTGCTCCCAGCAGGACTCGAAAATTTGGTGAAACCATGATCCGAGCGAGCTGCTCACATTGTCCGGATGCAATTGCGGATTGCTTGGAGGGCTGATGATTGGGACCGCGACACCTGAGTCGGACGAATGAGTTCTAGCATCATATCAGAAACAGTCTGTGCTTGTCAAAATCGCGAAACCCTACGGTGTGTACCCTGCGGAGGGCTGGAAGATGGTCCGAGCCGATGTTGTGGTAGCATCGACACTGGCACGAACAGATTCCGGGGATGATGAGGCTGCTCGTGGTGGCGAAGCCTCGCGCTTGTTACGTCGAGGCTGTCTGGCTGGCTTCTTTACATCCTTGATCCACTAGCGTTACGAGGGTCAGGCTCTTTATTCAAGGCGATCATAGATGTGTTATCCGAGTATCAACTTACCTCAAAGGTACATGGTCTTCGCCGACGAGTGCACCTTGAACAAGACCCATCCCAATCAGGCTGAGATGGATCAAATCCTACCCTTGCAGCATCACAGGCTACGTAACCCGATTAGCGACGTCGTAAGGATTTGACTGAAGGCCAAGAAGTACACACCTAGACGCGAATTTCGGCACGCATCGCAGCTGGAGAATTGTGTCCTGCGTGGTCCAGGGATGTTACGCATTCTCAATAGCTGTTGTGCTGATTCAGCGGCAGGTCCTCCGTCCCACCTCTCACGGGTCCACGAATATGTAAAAGCTGTGGCACATCAGTCTTTTCATCGGGTCGATCCTCTCAATCTTTCAGTTTGAGTGAGGGCGATGAGTTTCCGCATATCAGAACTAGCGTTTCGCAATACCGTCGAATATCAACTGATGTAGAATGCTTGCGACTTGCGGATGTAGGAAGATTTCGGCGAACACACAAAGCCACTCCGGCGATGCGAAGAAGAAGGGGTTCGGTCTGACCAGGAAAAGTCTCAGCTTAGTTTTGCTTAAAATGGTATTAAAACCCAGTCACCATTTCGTCAGACAGAATACTGCCTTGTTCCAGGGAAAGACTTGGCCAATTGCTGGCTCCGAAGCCCAGACCAGGTCAGGTATAGGGAGGATACGGAGAACAAGGACCTTCCCCGGACTGTCAAGCCTCAAAGCTGATCATCATACGGAGTATGTACATATTCAATTGTGACACCTCCAATCATATCCATCCAAAATTGTATGTACAAACGATACACAAGTCATTTACTGTCATATCTGTCATATAGAGATCTGTCTGAAATAGACGTCCCAATTCCATCTCGCTCGAAGTACTGCCAATCCTCCACTTTGAGTCTCAACTGTTCGACCTCTTCCTCGATCGTTATAGTCCGCCGGGGCAACAGATTGGCCCGGCCAAACTTGTAGTTTCGGGTTGAGATGGTCCTCAGCGTCGTCTGCGAGGACGGTCGTTTCGTGAATGATCTCCATTTCTTTCTCATCAGGTTGTCCAAAAGTCCACCACATTCCAAAATGACCATTGGTGTTTTTGGTGGCCAAGGCAGCTCGTGAGTTGTGAGCCACCCATTTATCATAAGCAGCGCACCGTGCAAGGTGGTAATCATAAGTGTCCCGGTCAAAGTCATCGGAACCTCCTTTTGAGGTGAGGAATGACTGCTCTTGGGCCCAGAGTGGCCTACAGAATTCTGACAAATGGTGGAAGAAAATGCCTTTGAAAGTTTGTCCATCCTGACTGCAATAGCCACCGTGGTCGCAAAACTCCTCCAGAACTCCGCCTCGTCCCAGGCCACTCCACGCAGGGTCAAGATTTGGCCATCCAGTGGCACGAATCACACTTTCCACCAGAGCATGGCCATCGTCTAGATAGCTCCGTGCTCCAGTAGCAATCCAGAGGCCACGGCTGGCGGACAAGACGACACCTTGGTTGTAGGTGTAGACCATCCGGTTCAGTTCATCGCATTTTCCGGTGCCCGGATTGACTGTCCCATTGGGATAGCGGTGCCAGCCGGTAACGTGAAATCCATCTTGATACATGCCTGCATCGGGACTGCGCATCTGACTCTCCATGAGCCATTTGTAACTCTTGATCGCGTTCTCCAGATATACAGAATCATGCGGTTTGGCAGAACCTTCCGAGCCTTGCGCCATGTAGGGTGAAGTGTTGTTATCTCCCGGGAAATACAGATACATTCCAATGCTCGCAGCGGCGAATAATTCATTCGTTATGGCGTTTTTGTAGGGCGTAAGATAAGGGTTCCAGATCATGCCGCCACCACACAATGATTCGTCCCATCCAGCTGCTGCTAAATCGTAAAAAATGCGAGCCCTATGCGCCGCCATAGGGATGACCTGCAAGCCATGCCATCCGTTATTGTGTCGTAGAAAGTCCCAATGTTTCAAGGAATACATTTCAGCAAATTTGAGGTTCTCGAGCCAGCCGAGCACCACCCAAAGCATATCATCATAGGCCTGATTCCGCAATCCAAATGCGTTCTCGCCAAAGTAGAAGACCGATGTTTGTGCAAAGTATCGATCAATGATGTTTTGCATGACCAACATGTCGGCGCAAGTAGAGGTCGCAGAGACGTCCAGCGAAGATACAATGCTGCCCAACGTTGCCGAGACCTGGGTTCCCATGACGGCAGAAGTCCAATCTATGGCACTTGGCCAGGTCCCAGAGAACAAGTCAAAGTATGTGTCTTGCATGGCCTCCAATGCGTCGAGCATGTCCTGTAGGACGGGTGGAAGATCGTTCTTCCATGGCTTTTTATGTATTTCGTCTCTTTCATTCGCGACCAAGCGTATTTGACCGGGATCTTCAACAACCAGGGAATCCGCGACTGACGCATAGGCAGATCGTTCGACAGATCTCGGCTCTGCAAGTCCCAGTATCTCGAGGAAGATGAAAAAGACAAGGAAAGGCCGCATGTTGTTGGAAAAGGTTGTATATTCTATATCATCGCCGTGCTAAATTGATACGAGGGAATGGTGAAACGGCGAAAAGGATAGCCCAGCGGCCACTCTCATCTGTATTTTCAAGGCTTCATCTCACGGGAAGGGTCGACACTGAACGACTGAAGACCACGACAGGACGGGCCTTGTGACCTGACTGGGTTGAATAGGGATTCTTAGAGAAGGGAATGCCGATGGAGACTAGCTCGATAAATCATATGGCATGCAAAAGATGTCAGAAGTGCAGCAGGAAAGTCGAAGGTTGGAGATGGGTGAATATGAAGGTTGCGTGGGCGTAAGCGCAGCCATGTCGTTGGGTGGAAAACTTGGTGGCGCCCACAGAAATGCGAGATCTGGGCATCGGAGACTTGCCGATGGAGGCGCCTTGGCCCTTGTGACTGGGCACTTCTCCAGGTACCTTGGCCTATAACGAGTGAGGAATACGCCTAAAACGATCAGACTAGCCTTGACCTGCGCCCCCCCAACCCCGAACACTCCAAACGTCCGCATGACCACCAGCAGCATCGTGACTAGCGAGACGAAGTCAGCTAATAAAGGAATCCGGCATGCATTGCAAGGCATATTATTCGAAGACGCTGGTATGATTAGCCACCTATACACCGACTCAAAGTGTCTGTTCCTTCGCCTGGACAAAGAACTTTGCAATAAACCCCAACACCGTGACAAACTAAAACAAGCACGAGACCTGTCAGTCCGAGAGCCTCAGAACCCAAATACCTAGGCATAGCGGATATGCAGATAGGCACGGACAGGACACATGTGCTAATAGTGAGTAAGGAACAAGATACTCACCGCCTGATCAATGAACTTGATACCTCCTGGCAACGGAGGATACAAGTCACCATCATACGCGACTCTCAACAGCCTCCAAAACCCAGGTCGACCATCTTGACCGAGGGCGTCATTGAAGAACCTGTTTTCAAAGGACATAATGACCACGTCAGCCCGCCTCAATACCTGGACTCGAACAGATCAAGATTTCCACACACTCCCGACGATTTTGGGATGGACAGTTTGTGTGACTTACAAAGCTTTCCCCAGACCCCACGTTTCCGCCGGGACCGCCGTCTCTCTCAACACAGTCTTCTCTCCCTGGAACCCTTTCATACTGTGTACATGCCATCGTGGCACGAAGAAGGCTTCGTCTCCCGCATTGATCACCGTCTTCCCTTTCCCCTCGAGATTCGCTTCGATTCGACCTTCTAGAACGGTCAAGTATTCATCGTGATACTATTCATTTACCGAGAGTGTGTCATTGTCAATGTCAATGTCAATGTCAAACCATCAGCGGTCACACATACACACATACACTCCTCTTTCACACACTGCAGACACTTTGTCCTGCAAGGAGGGGAAAAAAGGGAAAATCCATTGGAAAATAAAATACCTTGTGCCAGTGTGGTGGAACTTCAAAGACTTCTGACCCTTCTTCACCATCGTAAACTGTGTCCATTACATATTTTTCAAAAGAACCATCCGCTTTTTCCTTGTCGATTTTGATGTGCATGATACATCCCTATTTGTTACTCGTAAGATTGAGTATATGTATGTTAACCCCAGTGGCACCAGTGTAAATCATGCTGAATGTTTGTGGGGGTTACTCCCGTATGACCCCCAGACCCGGAGCAAATCGCGGTATAAACCAAGAGTAGGTACTTTGTACGGATCACATACCTTTCCAATCGTAAGTGTCTTGATCGTTTCATAAGATGGCATCTTGAACCCGTTGTATCAAGTGTCTGAATTGATCAAGTGTTTATTCAGGTACTCCGTAGATGACAAAGGAATCAACAAACTTTTTGTCATCACCTACCGAAGGGTGGCATCGTCAGTTCTTACCCCTCTTCAATCCTTATGCTCGTTCGATGGAATAAAGGATGGAACACGATAGGTCTCGCTTACCGCTTAATGATTGCCCTAGAGTACCTTTTAGTTCATCATCAATGGAGGTTGCTTGATTATGGGAAATGCTTGACTACCTCGTAATTGGACCTAATGTAGGGCGCCTTAATGCGGGATCTTTTGTACCTGATCGACAGGCATTTTGTACGCCCCCGCCGAAAAGCCACATGGTTAGAGATGATAAGTCGAGCATCGATCAAAGATGTACGAAGAGAGAGTGAGATGTCTTATGCGGTATCGATTGATTTTTTATCCCTATTCTGGATGACGATTTACTTTTCTCCTCGTACTCCATACGGATCCATCTATTTCGCGAAGAGTATGAAACTACCGAGAGTAGTTGTCATACGGAGCTTCGTCCTTGACGCTCTCCCAGATCTCATCGATGCCCTTACAGGCCTTGTCACTCAAAGGACCATTGGCCAAGCCTTTGAGCGTCTGCTCGAGCTGTTGCTTGGAGCTGGCGCCGACGATGATGGCGTCCCCGTGGCTCTTCTTGAGGGGAGAGTTGTACGCCACCCAACGGTAGGCCAACTCGGCGCGAGAGCAGCCTTCCTCGTTGGCGATGACCTCCCACTTGGCCAGGGCGTTGAGGAACGACTCCTTCATGTACATGTCCCGGTACATGCCGCCCAGGGCCTGCTCGCTGAACCGACCGGCGCCGTCCTTGATCTGCTGGGCCGTCTTGGTCAGGAACCCACCGGCCATGGGCGAGTAGGCGTAGAACGCCATGTTGAGCTTGCGGAGCGTGGGGAACAGTTTCGTCTCCTGGAGTCGAGTGACGGGGCTGTAGTTGCCCTGGTAGGCCGTCGGGAGCACGTAGCCGTTCTTCTTGCACGCGTCGTAGACCCTTTGCACGTCCTCGGCCGAGTAGTTGGACAGGCCGAAACGCTTAAACAGGCCGAGTTTGTAGGCTTCGTTGACCCCGGCCACCGTCTCTTCGATCGGACTGTCCTTGTCAGGAGCGTGGATGTAAAAGATGTCGACCTGTGAGTTTTGCATTTGGCAACGTCAGCAAAACCAGAACAGTTTTCAGATCAAGTGATACAGGAAGTAAAAACAACGCCGAAATTCTGTTCTCTTTCAGACGCAAGTCGATGTTCTGATATTCCACATACCTGTTTCACACCCAACTTCTTGATACTGTCCTTGGCCGTGTTGACGATGTTGTCCTTGGTCGCCGAACCGAGTGTCCACCCACCGAGCCACTTGGTGTCAATGGTGAACCTGTCTCCGGCCTTGAGTTCACCGAGCTTCTTCTCAGACTCTCCATAGAGCTGGGCAGAGTCGATGGTGTTGGCTCCATGAGCCAGGAGCATGTCAAAGGCATCGTTGATGTTTTTGTCGTCCTGCCAGTGCTCGTAGTTTCCAATGACGGCCCCGCCAAAGACGACCTTGAGTCCCTCTGATGCCATGTCTTTGTTTTTTCTGGGTGGGTCCCGAGTTGATTCTTGTCTACGGTTTACTGTCTGCTTCAGGTTTGAGGAAAAGAAAATTAAGGTATAGGAGTGTGGATCGAGGTCTTTTAAGTGAAGGTAATAAGTGAAAAGAAGCTCTCTCAAAACAGCATCGGTGCCGGGCAAAGTGGTTTATAATTATGCCTTACCTACCCTTCCTGTTTCGAACTACCGCGTCTCCCCCCCCCCTCTATGACGAAGAGGGGTGCCAGTCCCGGTAGGTGTGTGACTGTAGCTTAATAATGGGATTCTATTGTTGAGAGATGGAATCAGGGAAATGTGGGGAAGGGATCAAAGTCCGCGGCGTCAACCCGTTACGAATCCAACAATTGTGGTATCTAGCTAGACACACAGCGAAAGAGAATACCGACTTGAACAATTGGTCAAGAACCTGATGGCACCAGTGTCTTGACACCAACTTACTCATGAACTCAGTTGTATCTAGGTAATCATGTAAACTGCGTATCCCTATATCGGCATGTCTTGTTATCCTGTTCCAGTGTCCGTCCGAATCGGCATTGACATAAAGAATGAATGCCGTTATGACAAACTGCGCCCAACTCGACGTCTGGCGGATCGGCGAAACAATTCATCCGGCTGGTAATTCTTACAACACGGAGCGCCGTACAAGCGATTTGGACGAGGCTGAAAATAGGCCATGACCAAGATGTCATACTATAGCCTCAATGACATTCCAATGACATTCAAGTGGATGATTTGGCTTGATTTCTCCACGGAGGCTTATCACATGTATCACAGGTGGTCGCTGAAGTGATGGACCAGGATTTGACCTCGATCCGCACTCAAGTAATGAGCCGTGTCTCAGGTACAAACCACAGCCTGGGCCACGACCAAGGCCTCATTGCGTAGTGGTAGCAGCAGCGCCTACGAAGCTCGAGCTCGACTGTGCACACCTCTCTCACTGTGACAACTTCCGGCATCTTTCGTTATAGTGCTGCTGTTGTGAGAGTGGAGAGCCGGTGATGTCTATCGAGCCCACATGTACAAATGCCCCAATACAGGCCATATACGTAGATTCCTAAGGTGATTCATATTACAACTTCTTCGCTAAATAACTATCTCTCTCGATTATGCCTTGTTCTGCAGTGCCCTCGTCGGCTGCAGGCCAACTGCATGTCCTCGCCAACCAGGTTCGAGCTACATCAGTCGTGAGCGACGATGTGAGAGACCACCAAGATGGTGGTGATTCTGCGCCATCCAAGCGCTGGCCAGGAACAGGCCTAGCCACCTGGCGGCCCGCTGGTGACCTGGCCTGCAGAAACGAGCTTAAGTGCACCAAAATGCCGACGTCTTTCCTCCCAATGCTCTTTCGATGCAGCCATAAAAAAAAATCCACATTGCCATAAATGATAATGATCGTGATGTGATAGTAGGAGATTCGTTAGATTTCAACGCGAGAGTGCTTCGAAGGGAGTCGAGAGCCTCAGCCTCCACACAGCCATAATGCCCACGTTTGCTTGGTCTGTCGATCACACCAAGCTTGCTCGAAAGGGTATTACTGCTAGTGACGACGACTGTAAGCTGGTCGCTCCTCGGGACTCTGATAACTCTGTGATGTATTATTTTGCGGCCTCCCTGCACAGTAACTATCAGCAGTTGTTGATGCAGTTTCACCTTGTCGCAGTCGCTTACCGGATTGTGTCCGCACATGCCTGCTATCATTGGCAGGAAAGCTTGTGCTCCTGCTGTCACTGCTCCACGTCGCAGTCGCAACGTTGGCATTGTTTTGAGGAGCCGACGCTGTGCGACGGTGAGTGCTATCAGGAAAAGTGTTCCGAATGAACGTCTCGAAGTTCGGAAGCCTTTGTGGCTGCGATGGTGCTGGGCGCACCGCCAGGTTTTGTGGAGGACTGTTAAATTTGGGGGACTGCTCTTGTGGCCCCTTGCCCGCTCCACCTGTGATTGCCGATGGCGAAGGGCTGTTCGATGCGTCGGTGGTGTCACTAAGCTCTGACTCGTCATCCTCAATGCCATCGCGACGACGGCCTTTTCTTCCCGCTTTCAAGTGGTGACGGTGCATACGACAAGCCATGACCGTTTTGTCAAGTCGCCGTGCGATTTCCTTGTAGTGGATTTTCTGGTCTCGGCTTTGAACCAGAAACTTCTCCTAGGGTAGTGTCAGCTATGAAATCTGCGGTTGGGTGCAAGCATAGAAACCTCTTCATCCGTCCATGCGCGAATCAACTTGCCCTGACGGACTTTGTCCCTCCTAGACGAGTTCGGAGACCTTTGCATCCCCAGAGACTGCGACGTCGACCTTGAGGATGGCCTTTGATTGCTCGAAGACGACATCGCACATGGCAATCAAAATGAAGATGCTGGTCAGCCTCTACCCCGGAATTCCGGAGGCAACGAAGGATTAATGATTGCGATGTTGAAGTTGTGTGCGGAGGAAAGACACCTAGCAAGTCAAAAGGGAGATATCGGGGGAGCAGTGACTCTTGGAGCAAAGAAGTACATATATTCTTCTACGACTCTTTGACCCTCAGGATCCATATGCACTTTACAGAGACCAAGCACAATCAATCTGCCTTGACGAAACGCGGAGGCGGACTTGATGCTGGCTCAGTTGTTATGCAACCATGCCATGGCCGTGGTCATGAAAGAATCATTCATTGACTTGATCCATGGCTTAGTTGGATCGTCTGGCTTTGTGAGGGGACGGGTAGCCGCTGATACCGCACAAGGTGGCTTGCATTAGATGTCTGGAGTCACTATACCTACGCTAGGTATAGGCATGACAGGCGTGAGAAGAGTGATGGGGTACAAGGTGGGTTCATGCAATGAGACCCGGCCGTCGTGTGGTCGCGACCAAAGGAGCCCATCCTACCCCCGAGGCTACATGGTTCAACAAACAGGCGACGTAGCGGAAGTGAAAAGTGAAAGGGTCGATCGGCCGATAGGCATCACAGTCATACAACCAGTCTGGCATCGAAACGCCCATGCAGCTCCTTGGCCTTTGTCAGGAAGCGACTGAATACACTCACCTCGAGTAGGCATGGCTACCGCGACCGGCAAAGCATAATGCTGGCCTCCATGGGTTCCGAGTAAAACTTCCATGTTGGAGGGTCGCCATGCTCGACACAGGGTTCACCCAGGTCTGCCTTAAAGACCTGTTCGGCGAATTGGGGGTCATATTGTGGTCCAGCAAGCGCCAAAGCCTTCGGGCGGCTAATTCATAGTTGGCGGAGCCACAGAATCGAGGTAACGCTATCTCAAGCGACTGGCCAGAAGTGCTGTGGTCGTTGCGGCACTGCAAATCTCGCAGCACGAATGCCACGCTCATTCAATAGTCGTGTTCGGGCATCCATTCTGCAGGTCGAAGGGCTGAACCAGTGCGATTTTCATGCACACTTGACAATTCAAAGACAGGGTATGCCGCATGGCAACGATGCTCCCGCCCCCGCAGGGCTGCTTCTGCCGGCTGTCGTAATGCGAGCAGACGATAATGCGCGTTGACCTGATGGAATGAGAAATTGGCACTGCCATCTTGTGGTTGGCCCAATCTTTACTGTTGGACGTCAACATATCTTGCCTTTTCGAGGCTCTACTTGACCTCAGCGCATTTGCAGATTGAGGAGGGACTGAAGATACAGTGCTGGTCACGAACTGATGCTGGGTGAAGTTGCTATTGTAATTGTTGTTCTTGACGAGAATGGAAGTCAGGTGTAACGACCGAGACGCGTCGGAACATTGAGCTGACATCGGGAACGCGGTCGGCTAAAACCTGGTTGCATCTTGGGGGCGGAAAGTGGGACGTTTTAGTGCCCAAGCCCCTATGTACTTCTGCAGCTCATGAGCCTACCACGTCAATCTCCGGTGTGATAGAAGCGCCATTGCATGCATCGGTTATTGTTCCGAAGACGCTGGCGCCGAGGGCCAAAAGACACGCATATGCAGAGTGTGGCAGTCGCAGTTTGGAGTACATCATACACCACCTTGGCACAGTGAGACTCTTTCATCTTGCGGCCTTAGACTTTGTAAGCAAGCTCGATGGCACAGGGCATCATGAACAGGCGTTTGGGACTCTGGTCGAAGAGCCCAACAAAGCAAACGGTGAAATTTCGTAGCTGCAGGTCGAAGATCTTAAAACAAGCATTGGTCCAGACCTAGAGACCTCGAGTGATACCATCCTTCTGTCTAGAGCAGGTGTCATGGACAGTATCACGGAAACAAATAGCACATTCGTGCATTTGATTGCGATCCCTGTCTTGATGCCTCTACGATCTCGCATACCAGCCATTATCGATACCTCCATTTTCAAGATTTCTTGTTGAATGCGACAGAGTCTGTTCCCAGCAAAGCCTGCAATCTCAGCGAAAGGATGATACATCGCCTAGATCGGAAGGCTTCGGGCAACTCGATAAGAAAGCTAGAATTTAGATGAGGTGCAAGGTACGCAACATGTCGTCAAGTGTGCCTCCCGAGAGCGGTTCTACCACCCAAGACGATAGCAACCTCGAATAGTGCGCCATCTTGAGACTGTGCCGAGTGATGAGGATCAGATAGCAGAAGGCTAAGAGCGTGCATTATTGCTGCATGAGAATGTCAGCCACTGTCACATTCGGGGAACCTTTATGAGAATGATGAAGTCTCCAGCAACGGTCGCATGATGTGCTCCAAGTGGAAATCCGATGAAGATTGACCCACACACTCAATAGCTTCGGTGATCAATGGTGCGTCCCATGTAACCATCGCTCCCGTAAAGGCTTCCATTACAATAGGCTCTGCATTTGTCATGGGACTTGAAGATACGATTGACCGATAGATTCCAGTGATTAAGTGACGAATGCACAGGCACTTATGGTAAGATACGCCCGTCACTTAGCCGTAGAGTGATGCCGAAGCAGCACACATGACAATGACCTGTGCCTGGCAGCTTCAGGACCGGCCCGAGTCGTGTGCCTGGACAAGTCATGGACACGGACCAACCTGAAGCGCCGTGAGTGCGCGGAGGGAGGAGATACTGTTATTATGATGCAAGTCTTTTGGTAGACGTGTACAGACCGACCATAGATGGCGAAGAGCTCGGTGACTGATCAGACATATGAGTTGGGAAAGAGAGGAGTAACAGGTCGGTCGACATGAATGTGGACCACACCAGACTCCTCGTACTCACAGGAAGATAGAGAAGTGAAGCGCGCCTGAATATGGAAGGTTTCCCGAGACACTTACGTTTCTCCTATTCCGAGCGTTGTCTCAGCTCACGCAGGCTGCGCAATTCCAACAACTGCGATGAGGTAACGCAGCCTGCGTCGTTCCCTGTGATTGCTTTCACTTCTATGCTTTCGTTTCTGGCTATCTGGAGGCCATCGTCTTATCTGAGAGATATTTACTTCTAATAATCTTCCCTTATCATTCGCACAGGCACCACTCTCTCGTCTCAGTTGGTGATGTCTACGCAGCAACAATGAATCTCAATATCTTTCGCATCTTGGGCGATGTCTCGCACACGGCCTCAAAATGCATTCTCATCTGGGCTATTCACTCCAATAAGAGCGCTGAAGGTTGGTCCTCCTCGTTGTGAGATTCAAGCATCTACAGCTAACTTGCTATCAACCAGGCGTTTCACTCCTTACACAGATCCTCTATATTGCAGTCTTCTGCACTCGCTATCTAGACCTCTTTTGGGTATCGCCGACTGTATCCTGGTGGAATTTTGTGCTCAAGAATTTCTATATCTGGTCGTCCATATACATCATTGTGTTGATGACCAGGGTGTATGCCAGGACACGCGAGCAAGAGAAGGCCTGGAAATGGGGCGCATACGCAGCCGGCGCATCACTGATTGCGGCACCTTTGATCTCACTGATCTTCAACGGTTGGACACGCAGTACCTTTAGCGAAGTGCTCTGGACATTCTCCATCATTCTCGAATCTGTCTGTGTCCTTCCACAGCTTATCCTCCTGCGCCAAACGACTGTACCAACCGTGATTGACTCGTTCTATTTGGTTACCTTGGGTTCCTACCGAGCATTCTACCTTCTCAACTGGATCTACCGTGCATTTACTCCCTCGAAACCAGATGCAGTTTCGGTTATCTTCGGTATTGTCCAAACGGCATTCTATGTGGACTTTGCGTGGGTATACTGGACGAGACAAAGAGTCAAGCTGAGAGGCGGCGGCGTTGTGGATGCAGAAGATCTGAGAAAAGGATGGCTGGTCAACCGCGTGTTCAAGCAAGGCCAAGAACCGACAGAGGAAGATGAAGCGGAAGCAGGAAATAGAGAGCCAAATGGGAATGTCCAGCCCAAAGTCAATCGCTGGGGCCCACGTGGCATATCCGTAAGTGTCTGCCTTTTATGCTTGAGTGTTGACGGCGATTTGTTGCAGTTTCTAACCACAACTTGCAGATTTCGGCCGACGATACATTGCACGAGCATGATAAGGGAAAGAGAGCCGTAAAGAGCGGTGATAGCGGTGATACTGAAGCAGATCCCATGCTTGCTTCAGGCTCATTCCAACCGGACCCGGAATCATTTGAGTTTGCCGATGATGATGACGACGATGCTCCTCAGCTGGATGACCCTGGCAATAAAGTGCTGAACAGCAACGAAGAATGGCGTGCTAGTTCACCTTCGAACAAGTGATATGTGTACAAATATTTGGGATAGCTCTTGGATGGGTTTGAATCCGTTTTCCCTCGCCATTGGGTGGAGTCCATTTGTTTACTCATCCTACTGAAGACTGGCGAGTCTTTGCTTGGTGGCACCTTGTTCGGCAGCGTTGACTCCGTACTTGGGCAAGAAATTTGGATCGTTTCAAGTCATGAACTCAATATTCAGGAACTGGAAAAAGACTTCGATCGGTTACACGGCAAGGACACAGCCTCTTTTCGGAGTTCAACATGGGAATTTGAGCCCGAACAAAATTTTAATGAAGCAAATTATGCACCATATTCAACGATCCAGAAAAAGCCACGAGTCGGAGAGTCCATGGGATGATGTCAGCAGTATGAGCTTAAAAGACCCTTTAGTGAAATTGAGCCAATGAAATGACTTGGTGGGAGAATCAAGTGGCGCTAGATCGGCGCTAATGCAACAATGATGCGGACTTTAGTGAAAAGGTGCACCGATGCAATCATTTGTATCAATGGATTTACTCCGTACTGCATCAACATATTCATGTGCCCAATGCGCCGCCTATAATAGAACTATGATGGTTGCAATTTTCTCCGACCACGTTTTCCTTCCTCTATCGTCTATCTTTGTCGCAAAAGACTTGGGAGACTTGTGCCACCACGTGTGTCGCCCTCGAATACATTCCCACCATGGCATCTCCTCAGTCTCCAGTCACCGCCCCGCCATCGCCTTCCAGAACCCCATCATCTACAACGTCGACGACCACACCGGAGGGTTACGAAGTGAATCAACGACCCAGCACCGATCCCGAAAAGCAAGCAGAGCTTCAGCAGTATCACCACCCGAGGGAGAAGGTTCCCCATTGGAGACTGGTCGCCAGTCAGTCGCTCATCACAGATGCTGTTGCCAACTACCCATACTCGGGATCCGGCACCGAAGATGACCCTTTTATTGTTGAATTTATCCCGAACGATCCTCGAAATCCCATGGAATTCTCACAGGTCAAGAAGTGGTTTATAACACTCACTGTCGCTTTGGCCACCCTTGCTGTTGCATTTGTGTCTTCTGCATACTCAGGTGGAGCAGAGGAAGTCATCAGAACCTTCGGAGTCAGTCAGGAGGTTTATACTCTTGGTATTTCCTTGTTTGTGCTGGGCTTCGCTATCGGTCCATTACTCTGGTAAGTGACTGTGGTCGGTTGAGGGCCATTATTTTTCATCTTGTGGTCGAGCTCCTGCTAATCCACCCACCAGGGCACCTATGAGTGAGCTTTATGGACGACAAGTTCTCTTTTTCGGTACCTACGCGGTTCTGACCGCTTTCAATGCGGGCGCAGCTGGTGCAAATTCGATGGCAACTCTTATCGTTTTAAGATTCTTCGCTGGCACTTTCGGATCGTCTCCTCTCACAAATGCTGGCGGTGTCATTGCTGATATGTTTCCTTCCAATCAAAGAGGTCTCGGCATGTCCATATTCGCTGCTGCACCCTTTTTGGGTCCAGTCGTTGGACCTATCGTTGGTGGCTTCGTCGGTGAGACGATCGGATGGAGATGGAATGAAGGTGTCATGGCTTGTTTCACAGGGGTCTTGTGGATCTTCGGCACCTTGACCATTCCGGAGACCTATTCGCCCGTCATTCTTTCACGTCGTGCTGCTAAGCTATCCAAGAAGACTGGAAAGGTCTATATCTCGGTATTGGAAAGAAGACAGGGCAAAACGACTCCCAAAGCTGCCTTCCAAAAATCATTGGCTCGGCCATGGGCTTTGTTGTTTCTCGAGCCTATCGTCTTGCTCATCTCCATCTACATGGCAATCATTTACGGAACTCTTTATATGTGTTTTGGAGCCTTTCCAATTGTCTATCAACAGGGACGAGGTTGGTCGGCAGGCATTGGTGGGCTCGCTTTCTTGGGTGTGGCTGTTGGAATGCTGCTCGGCGTTACTTACAGCATCATCGACAACAAACGTTATGCGAGAATCGAAGAGGAACATGATGGCGATGCTCCCCCCGAAGCACGACTACCTCCAGTAATGGTGGGTTCGGTTGCACTTCCGATCGGCCTATTCTGGTTTGCATGGGTAAGATTCGTCAAAATCCCTCTTTGTGATGACTTGACGCTAACATCTTTTATAGACAAATGGGCCTTCTGTTCACTGGATTGTCAGTATAATCGCGACTGCACCGTTCGGCTTCGGCATGGTGTTGGTCTTTTTGGGCTGTATGAATTATCTCATCGACGCGTACACCATTTACGCAGCATCAGTCTTGGCCGCGAACTCGGTACTTCGATCTCTCTTTGGTGCTGCGTTTCCTCTATTCACCTCCCAGATGTATGCAAATCTCGGTATTCATTGGGCGTCATCGATACCTGCATTCCTGGCTCTGGCCTGTACCCCGTTCCCGTTCATCTTTTACAAGTATGGCGAGCCGATTCGGATGAAGTGCAAGTATGCAGCGCAGGCGCATGAGATTATGGCGCAGTTCCGCGAGCAGCAGAAGCATGTCGAGGAAGAAGAACGCGAAGAAGCCGAGGAAGAAGAGGATGAGAAGGCGAGCCAGGCTGGCGATCCTGGTATGAGTCGATTGAGCGCACAAGCGACTCGGAACAGCAGAGCGAGTCAACGAAACATGGGACGAGCCAGCACCCGTGCGTCGCGAAGCGAAGATCGGAGTCGCGTGGACGACTTTGTCAGGGTGTACAGTCATACGAGTCATCACCATTTCTAGACATTTTTGAAAAGAGAGTCAGCATTTTGGGTCGGATTTAATTTGTGTGTCGAGCGTTCTAGCGAGCAATGGTGTACAAAGATTCGGGATGGATGTCCAAAAGCATAGGATGATGATGTTTTGTTCTAGAAGAGTGTAAATCTTAGATATAATCATAGACTTGACATATTATTGTATAGAGTAATTCGAGATCATCGACCTCGTCCTCATATCAACCCTGTGTCGCTTAATACCCATTAGTCAGCATTCGGGCGCCCGCGGGTTCCCTCCTTTATTCACGCTAGTCGGTTTCCGGAATAGTCGTATCATCCTTGACTTCATCAAGCTTCGATACGCCCGTACAACAAGGATGTACAGTGTACGGACACCTGGTGAAGTGGTCGCCTTAATCGTCTATTCATCAGTTCATTGACCAAGTTTGGACAGACCTTTTTGAAAGTACTTAATCACCAATCATCCACTTTACATTGTTAGGAAACCTCTCCTCCTCGATATCTCGGGTCATGCGATCATCGCCAGTTTTAAGACGACTCGTTTCACTTCAATCTCAGATCCCATCATTGTCATCTTCAACATCAACAAGGTCGATAACGAGAATACCTAATCAGACTCGCATCATGGCTCATCAACATCATCAACATCATCATGCCCACCACCACCACCACCAGGCCCCCGCCGCCGCCACCAAGTTCGACATCAACACCTCGTACACCATGAACTCGGGCCACAAGATCTCGGCGTTGGGGTACGGGGTCTACCACACCCCCGCCGCCGACTGCGAGGCGGTGGTCCTGCACGCCTTCAAGACGGGCTACCGACACGTGGACTCGGCCCGGGCGTACCGCAACGAACAGCCGTGCGCCGACGCGATCCGGGCGTCGGGTCTGAAGCGGGAGGAGATCTTCTTCACGAGCAAAGTCCCGCCGAGGGCCATGGGCTACGAGGAGACCAAGAAAGCCATCGAGTCGTCCTTCTTCCAGACGGGCCTCGACTACATCGACCTGTACCTGATCCACGCCCCCTACGGCGGGAAGGAGGCCCGGTGCGGCTCCTGGAGGGCCCTCGCCGAGGCCCAGAAGCAGGGCAGGATCCGCTCCATCGGCGTCTCCAACTACGGCGTCCACCACCTGGACGAGCTCGAGGACTACATAAAGACCTCCGGCGTCGGGGGCACGATCGACGTCGGCCAGTGGGAGATACACCCTTGGTTGCCCCGTAACGACATCGTCGAGTGGGCCAAGGGACGAAACGTCGTGGTCGAGGCCTACTGTCCCATCGTCAGAGGGGAGCGTGCCGAGGAACCGGTCCTCAAGTCCCTGTCCAAGAAGCACGGCAAGACGTGGGCACAGGTCCTGTTACGCTGGAGTTTGCAAAAGGGCTACGTGCCGCTGCCGAAGAGCGTCACCCCGACCAGGATCGAACAGAATGCCGACATTTACGACTTCGAGCTGGACCAGGAAGATATGGAGAGCCTGGACATGCCCAATTCTTATGCCCCTTGTAGTTGGGATCCTACTACCAGCCACGAGTAGGGGGGTTGACCTGATAATGTACACGAGCGATTTCCTAGACGGACCTCCAATATAATTAGGCCGTCTCCGGGCACTCGGCTAAGACTCAGCATTCTAGGCACTCACTGGGCTCCTCACTCTCGGATCGGACAAAGTACGAGTCCACTGACCTGTCACATCTGATGTTATCCAAGGTGTTCAAAGGCATATGTGAATTCAAGTAAACATCTTCCGAGACCCATGATCTGTCTGAGTCTCTTGGATCAAGAAAAAAAAGAGACGAATGAGACTCACGCAAGATGTTCCGAACCCGTCTAGTCTGTCTACTGTACACAGAGAGATAGAAAAGTCTACATGATCATCAGAGACATTCACGAAAAAGACATCCCAGCCGACAACTGGGCAGGCAAGGAGTCGCAGGGTATGGGGGAAAATAAAGTGGCATTCATCATTCATCCAGACGTGTGTGATACTGCATTACCCGAGTCCCAATGTTCAATATCCATATGTCCATATCTCATCCCTCACAATCTCATAGTCTCCACCACTCGTTCCATAACACTGGATCTTTACGAATCAGTCGAGTCTCTCTCGTCTCCACCTCTTACCACCGTCAAGGCATCCCCATCCTCTTTGTCGACCTCTCATTCATGCCCCAGGCGCTACTACTCCCATCGTGAACCGTCGTCCGACGCATGTCCCGTTTGAACTTGCCCTGGAAGGTTCCCTCGCCCGCCCTGTGCATGACGGCCGTATTGTCCCAACAAACCAGGTCCCCGACGTCCCTCCACTCCACGCTCAGCACGTACCTTTCCTGCGTCGCGTGGTCGAGGAGTGCCTCGATCAACTCGGTGCTTTGGGGTTCCGGCACGCGCGTCCCGTCCGGGTGCTCCAGATGGTGAAGGTGGTTGGCAATGTACAGGTTCGTCCTCCCCGAAGGTCCGTGGAGCTGTACGACCTTGTGCCGTCCGAACGGGAACGCCTCCGGGTCCATCGACGCCAAGTACTCGGACTCGGGGCACGCCTTGCGCCGACTGTGCCAGAGGCTGTTGGCGCCGACGTAGTCGTTCTCGACGAGCTCAGCCTTGAGCGCGTCGGGCAACTCGGCAAACGCCGTGCGCGTGTCTGCGAACTCCGTGTTGCCTCCGTGGCCTGGAGGGGGTAACTCGTGCGCCCTCAACAAAGAGTATCCAGCCCGACGGGGGTTGAAGGCAGAGTCGCAGTGGAAAAGGGAGTTTCCCTACCAGACAAAAAAGTCAGAAGTGGTATCAGTCTGTGCTCCGCAACAGCCACGAGTAAATCTTGTTGGTGGTGGGAAATGGGTGTGGTAATAATAAACAAACAAATGCATATCCGTACCCTCCCCATCTGTTCTCTCCTACTACCAATCTGGACTATGGACCCGTCGTCCTCTTGATTCGAGACGTCGAATAATTCGTCAAAGGGAAATCGGTTCTTGCGACCTAGTGTGAGGTACGGCTTCACATCGTCCAATTCGCCAAATAACCGACTAAATGCGACATGTCGCTCATCGTCGAGGCCGGCCTTGCGAAATACTAAAACGCCATACTAAAAAAAAAAATTCCCATACCGGGTCAGTGTCTAGATTGAGATAGGGAAACAACCACCAAGGGACTATAGCACAGTAGCGCACGTACTTTGGCCGACGCATCTAGCACTTCGGCAAACACGTGCGGTTCGACAGGTTTGCTAAAGTCGATGCCCGAGACTTCGGCGCCAAAAGTGGGCGCGAGCTCAGTCACTTGTATGTGTTGGTATTCTGCGGCGGTCGCATGAGGCATTGCGCTGCTTGTAAACTCAGGATCACCATGCAGTCCTGTAATGTGAAGATCAGTTCCACGCAACAGATGTAGTGTATTGAGGAGTTCCGAGGCAAAAGGTCGGGGTTAGGTTTATATTTCTCTTTGTACCATTTCGAGTCAAGGAACACGAGGGCTCGCATATCCGTCCCCTCTCCAGCTTATCTCATCTCCAATTTGAGCATGGAGAAGCCCGTCTTGTGCCGTCAAACCGACGCTTGTGTCAAAATGTAGATTCAGTAGAGCCGGAGCGGTATTCTCTGATTCGAGGTCTGGCCCTTGTGGCTGAAATGCTAGGCCTCGAGAGTTGCCCGCTGATTGATAGGCAATTGCAGGTCCCTAGGTCGAGTCCATTCATTGCAATTTGCGGCTCTATTGCTTGGACACATCGTTGCAATTTTCAAGACGAATCTGTTGCGTTATATATAGTTGTCGTGCGTGCATATGCAAGCCTATACTTGAACAATAAGGCAGGAACAGAAGGGAAAATATGCGAGAGCTCTCGTTGTCACACCACACAATCAATTGTTCTTCAAGGTCTGATTGACTCAAATTCACCTTATGTACAAAACACCCCCAAATATTCTTTTAACGACTTCAGCTGACATCCATCGCCTTATCTGTACCAGTACTCTGGCTTGACGTAGTCAGCCATGGTCTTTGGCTCCTCATAGCCATGGTGGTGGTGATGGTCATGCGGGTCATCTGGGGGTCCAACGTAGTCCATTCTGTAGCAGCTGCCGCACTCGTTGCATCTTTCAAATGGTCGCTTTCGGGAAAGCTGGAGCAAGTCGGTGGGTTAGCAAATCTATTGCAAAGGCCGCGGCAGGTAATGGTCTGAACCAAAACACATCGATTTACAACATACCACAAGCCACTTCACAATGTGAGAATCTGCGGGAGAGCCGGTGCAACCAGCTTGGATTTCGTCACCAGCAGACTTGACGATGATTGGGTCTTCGAAAGTGCCTGAATTAAAAAAACCTGTCAGCTCTTGTGATCCATGCGTCTTTCGTATAGCGATTTGCTGCCACAACAAGGCCAGCGGACTGCTTCGAAGCTTCGACATACCCTTTCTGTCGGATGGAAGTGGTGACATGTCGAAGATATCAATGCCTTGCATCTTTCCGAGAATTTCAAGACGTTCGAGACCGGTAGCTTGTTCGAGATCGGTAGGGACGGTACCAGGTTCAGCTCCAGGGGGGAGAAGATCCTTCTCAGTCTTGATCTCTATAGAGGAGCAAAAATCAGCATTGATGTTCCTTTTGCAGCATCCCTGCACAGTTCCTGGTTGAGGAAGCTGGCTGCAGGTCATTTTCGGAAAGACGAACCTTCGAATGGCAGCAGCTTGCCTTCCGGATCACCTGGCTTTGGGTCCCATTTCGAGCCTGCTCATATTCCATCGTTAGCACACATCCATTCGTCTTTATCCCGCTCCAAAAAGTGCTGTCTCGGAGCTTGAAGGATCAGTTGACATACGACGAGCTGCGACAGTCGCGAAGGATCGTGGGGCGACGCGGGCGGAACTGAGAGGGACACGGCGAGCCAGCGAGAAGGCTGCGCGTGCTACCGACATGGTGAATGGATTCGAGGTGGAGTGGAGTGGGATGAAGTTGTTGCAAAGAAGCAAAAGACCTTGTGGAAAGCAGGAGGTGGTTTGGTCAAAGACGCAGTTTAGAAAGATTATTGATGATTGGCCACTGCGAAGCTGAGAGCTCAAGGTCTTGGCAGCCCAGAGTGGTCTGACCTCAACATCCAGCCTTGCAACAACATCACTCCACGGCGAGGCTGTGAAACATGAGCAGGACTTGAATGCGACGATTGCAAACAGTATCAAGGGCCAGTTCGAGCAGACTTGTCAGTGGTGAGCCTTTGCTTTCACGGTCGATGTGCACAAGAAAGGCCGAAACCAAGTACCGAGTCAGACTCGATGCTGAATCGATACTCAAGAAATAAAATGCCTGCCCTGGAGATTGATCTGCAACGACGGACGTTTGTATTGATGCTTGTCTACAGTTAGATGCTGGCATCCAAGGGACTTGCAACACTTGGTTGCTCCCCAGGTGCCCTACTGAGACATCTAGTCACCGACAACGGATTGAACCACTCACATTCACTAAACTATCTAGATGTAAGACACCCGGAAATGACTGACACACCACAGAATATGGCGAAGTTCAAGACCGCAAAAGAAAACGGGAAAAAAAGAAGAAGAAAAAATCCATCAAATGACAAAAACTCCTCCCATGTCCCTCCCGAAGGAGAAGACATGGGATTAGAAAACCAGGCGAACTGATTTTTGAAGCGGTCAACGCCGGGTTTGAATCCATGACCAAATCACCACTCTCTGGCATTACTTTGATCGCCGCTATGATCCTGTCCAAGTCCCGTTACAGGGGGTGAGAACGAATTAGGAAGATACTTGTAGAGCTTCTACGCCTCCAGACCTGCGCTTGACAGTCACTACCACCGTCCTAGAAAGAGGCCAGATACTGGAAGGAGTGATGGCATGGATTCTTGCCCATTGTTGAACAAAATTTGAGGAATTAAAAACATAAACCCTGAATTAATGGATCTCGCGCAAAGGTTGTTCCGGAGCGAGTTCACTGCACACAGTTGTATGCTGAAGATTGATACGGGCTACAAGATCGCCTCACTCCTGCTGACAAAACGAAACAGTCCCCAAGTCGTATTGACGACTTTGAGCGCCAGAGGCGGTTTGAAGGTTCGGCTGCGCTCATATACCATCTACATACGAGTACTAATCTCCAACACTGAATTGTGATACACTGATTAGTTCTCAAAAATGTCCTGTATACGCCCTGGTAGGTATTGCTATCTTGATCTTGTAGTTGTATTTCAAATTCTTCAGCCTCGCTTATGTAACTTGGAAATTTCTAGACAGCCTCGTTTTGCCCCAGTCACATGACACGTCGCGTACCAAGTGATTTTCGCCTTCTCACGCTAATACTTCGTTCGCTCGCAGTCGATAAAAGCATCTTCTTCTACGGAGTACATAGTCCACTCCTCTTGCCACCACTCTCTCCGCCCACAGCAGAAACGACGCATTTATTGATTCAATCCTTCAGCAGATCTCAGAAACTGCTACTTTTGTGAACATACACACCAACACACACCTCTCACACTCCATTTCGAAAACCGTCTACCAGCCTATCATTCAGCCATGGCCAACTACCTAGCCTCCATCTTCGGCACGGAGCAAGACAAGGTCAACTGCTCGTTCTACTACAAGATCGGCGCGTGCCGGCACGGCGACCGGTGCTCGCGAAAACACGTCAAACCCTCATACTCGCAGACGATCCTCATGCCGAACCTGTACCAGAACCCGGCGTACGACCCGAAGAACAAGATGAACCCGTCACAGCTCCAGAACCACTTTGACGCCTTCTACGAGGACCTGTGGTGCGAGATGTGCAAGTACGGCGAGATCGAGGAGGTGGTCGTGTGCGACAACAACAACGACCACCTGATCGGCAACGTCTACGCCCGCTTCAAGTACGAGGACAGCGCCCAGGCCGCCTGCGACGCCCTCAACGGCCGGTGGTACGCCGCGCGCCCCGTCTACTGCGAACTCAGCCCCGTCACCGACTTTAGAGAGGCTTGCTGTAGACTCAACTCCGGCGAGGGATGCGTCAGAGGAGGGTTTTGCAACTTCATCCACCGTAAAGAACCTAGCGCCGAACTCGACCGAGAACTCGAACTCAGCACCAAGAAATGGTTGAAGGAGAGAGGTCGGGACGAACGAAGCGTCACCAGAAGCCCGTCCCCGGAACCCACGAGGAAGAGATATTGAGTGCCCGCGGTCAGCCCGAAAAAAAAAACCCATTGGTATGGATAGGACTTCAGAGCGAGAGGAAGAAAAATAAAATTGGTCTCTGTGATACTCGAAAGGTCAGGACTCTCGACTAGAGATACAGCCTCACAACAACTTCTCGAAAGATGCGTACCACTCAACTATCTAAATACCCTGCGCGGGAACGGGATCGAATACGGATGGAACGCGACCTCTCAAGAAGATCAAAAGGATAAGAATCCTGCGTATTCGGTCCGACGTGAAAAGTTGTTTTCTGAAGTTTTGTTCTCCGGCAACTAAAGGCATCGCGCATCTGAAGAGTGGGCAAAACTCACAGGATGTGAAGACATCAGTGGCCACCTTAACCTGGGGTGGGTTGATCAACTTGTGCGCACCGATCCCAGTCCCGAAGATCCAAGGGACTCGCACGTGAGAACACGCAACACGTGGCAAGTCTGTGGTATTGTCAAGTGTACTTCGTGTTTTGCACGTTGGCCACAACATGAGGTCTCCTTATCACCTGAGATTTGAGATGGGGATGCCCTGCCCCGTCCGATAGGGACATCATTCGATTCGCTTGTAGGCAAGAGATTTAGATAGCACTTGAGAATGCATCTTGATCAATCCTATCTCTTTCACTATTAGTTTCTTTTCAAAACCCGAGCATTAGGTTGTCTATAGCACCCAAGGGGACCGAGATAATATTTGAATAATAACCATCTATGTCTATTATCGGCCATCTATCGTGGGCCGGTGTAGTAACGTGTTTCGCGTCATGTCGTGATACAATTCCACCTTCTTGCACGCTGGTGGTCTTTTGCTTGCCTCTGTCCATCCTTCTCATCCTCTGCCTCGACCTCAACTCTGACCTTCAACAGCGAAGGGATTTTCCCACGAGCTCAACACGCAAGAGTGTTCAATATGATGCGTGCAGTATATTCATGTTGAGCGAACCTTTGTTGATTTGGAAAAAACAATACAATTCCCATGAAACCTTCAGTCGTGGATTTGTTCACTTGGAGAACAGAATATTCGATTTGTAAGGCGGCCGCTGGTGTGAGAATCTGTGCTCGGAAGGCATCCTGAATCCAGATCGAATTGATCGAGCTGGCTAGTTTTTGAACGGACCGACATTCAAAAACCATAACACGACCAGGACGACGGCGGCAATAACAATAAGGAAACTCAGAGCTATTAACCAGCCTACGATTCTCGTTCTTCTTTGCTTCTTTCGATTTCGTTCGAGCCATGTGGCACTGTCATGAATCGTTAGTCCTTGCTCTCCATGCTTCCCGGTCCAATATTTCGCCTGCCACGTACGTATGTTTTAATCCGCCGTTGGACGATGAAGTAGATGTAGACCTCGAGTCAGACATGTTCCCCTTCTCTTCATCCATGTGTACCGCCATCGAAAATCGGCGCCAGAAGGCCGGGTCGCGGACACCTGCCATGATTGATATGGTCCGCCCCCAGCGTGGTGAGTTTGTCGGTTTGTTTGATTTTTCCCTTTTGCCTTTTTGGTCGAAAAGATTCGAGGAGTTCTTTAGGAGGCGGGAAGTCGTCGCCAGAGGCGTTTAATTCAGGTCTGGTATGTTTTTCGTGCTTTGGCTTTCGCTGCTGAAAACAAAACAGGCACAAAACTAATCTTTCTCAAAAAAACGAGCGGACGATACTGAGGCACGAAACGAGTGAGTGCAACAGATCTCGGAAACCAAAAAAGCAAAAGAAAGACAAACGACAAGGGGAGTATGTAGCAAGAGCAACTCGGATCACATCCTTGGAAAGCAAGAAGAAAGAACAATTCAAGGAACAAAAAGGCAGGAAGTAACAACAGTGTTACATGTCCAGGAACCAGGGAGGATCCCATGGATTCGTTTTCTAATTAGCTTACCGTAACGAAACTCTTATCCAAGAGCCTCAATCAACAATTCGAAACCCACATGCTTTCCCAGGTCGTGTTTGTGCGTACCTCGCAAAAAGCTGATTTCCATCGACCCAGGCCCTTCCATGTGACAAGGTTTTGGACAAGGCGATTTTGGAAACAGTGGGCGTCGGGATAAACAATCTCATCGACGCCAATCAACACGGACAACATCCGCGATTGGCCAGGGTTATCGTCTCCAAAGGCCTCTCTTCGAGTAAATGTCACTGCACCGGGAGGCTTGCCTATCTCGTAGATGGGATCCAATGGTGAGCTAGCAACTCGAGGTGATAAGGTGAGTGGATGTCGACAGAGAGCAAAACGAGAGACAGGAGTTGCTGGGCCAGGGACATGCTTGGGTCAAGGTGGAGTTGTTGGCGAAATTGCCATTATGCAGAGTTCGGCCACTTTTAATCACCGGCGAAAGAGTGAGAAAAAGGAGGGAATTAATTGGCCCAAGGCTGTGGCTGAGCCTCGTCACGTGCGAAATGTCAAACGTCGCTCTACAGTCCTACTGTACGCTGGGACATACTCCACAGAAACTCGAACGAATAGTCCACGCGATGAACTCATTCGGGCATTTTGTTTACGCGGTCTGTTTTGCGTTTCAAGATGATGTTGTACAGTACCGGGCAGGGGGCTTCGACTCATATGTAAGTTATATTAGGTGGTCAAGAGCTACACGTATCAAGCCCGGGGCAAGGAACCCCTCTACATTTTGTCCGTGTACGTCTGCATAATTCGAGAATAATTGAGTTCGTCCACCACTGGCTACGGCATCCAGTACGATCTTGCAGTCTTTCCTTAGGCCTTGTCAAGCTCTGGAGCTTTGACATGTTCCACTGTGGCTTCCACCTTCTCAGTCATCAAGTCCTTCACACCCTTCAGGAACCAGATTGCCACCAAGGCCAGGACAACGAAGGGGATGATACTCGCCCATGCAAGTCGGTATGCGTGAGCATACTCCCAGTGGCTTGCATCCATGGTCGTGTCCAGGATGGTGCTGTTCAAGCCTTTGACTTCTCCAAACCCAGCACCAGTGGCTAGAGCTTGGAACAACGCTGGTAGGGAAGATTGAGGTAAGCCAGCCTGTACAGCTGCATTGCCAACCTTGGTGTCATAGGACTTCAATTTGCCATTGATGATGGCATCCAATACGGCAGATCCAAACGCTCCTCCAATTGCTCGAGCAGAAAACCCGAGACCAGTGGCCGTGGACAGGAAGGCGTGTGGTGCAGTGAACTGGATCAGGGCCACGATAAGAGTCAATGGCCCAGACTGACCGATACCCGAAAGCACGTTGAAACCAATCTGTGCCTTGTTCATGTTCGGAGTGATGACCGCATAACAAATTGTTCTGTTCTTGATTAGCGGCAATTTTCCATTTGTCCCAACATTCTTTGGACTTACACAGCTAGGAAGATGATAAACGTCAAGATCAATGGAGATTTCAGATCCTTGTATTTTGTGGCGTACAAACTTGAGATCACGTCAGTCATGGTTGTGTACCCAAAGTCAATGGCAATGCTTACGTGATTGGGATCGAAACAAATAGGGTGACCAAGTTGTAGGACAATTGCCTGATGGAGATCTTCCAGGCATTGGTTTGGAACCCGAGATTCAGCACGATTTGAGGCGTCACGCTGTTCACAGCACTGTAGAAGAGCCAACCCTCGACCGCGAATGCGAAGACAGACAGTGCGAAGTTCGGCGAACCCTTAAAGAAGACGTGGGCAACCAAACCATCAGATCGACCCTTCCATTCTGTTGAGATCAGTTAGTCTGTCGCGCTGTGCGAGTACCGAGGAAGGAATGGAGGCCACCCACCATAAATGCAGAACAATGCGAGGAAGCCGAAACCAATGCCCAAAGGCGCTGCCACATGGGCATCCGACCAAGCATATGCACCGCCTGCCCAATCCAAGGCCAAGAGAAGCAGGGTACATGCGGCGATGAAAAGGAAAGATCCAATAGGATCACAAGCCCAGGCAAGTTGTTTGAAGGACATCTTCGGGTAGTCCGAACGACGGACGGGGTGGTAGAAGAGAAGCAATCCCACACAAGTGGCCAAATGGAAGGCCGCTTGCATCCAGAAGATGTCACGCCAACCGGACGGACTGGCATTTGTGACTCCTCCTGACCCAAGGGTTCCAACACTACACGCGTAGTTAGCAGTCGTGTTCTGGGAGAGGGAGTCTGGTAGCATACAGTCCACCAACAGCACCTCCGAGGAAAGCGAAGCCATTAGCCAGAGCTCTGTACTTCAGAGGTAGCACTTCACTGGGAATGGCTTGGACGATGGAGATGGTGCTCAAGGTCACGCCAATGAGTATACCACCGCCAATCAACATGGACATGGAAGTAGCTTTTGCTGATACAACGGCACCAACAAATGCAATCAATGGAGGAATCGAAGCAAGGTACTTTCGGTCCAGGACATCACTGAGTCGACCGACGATTGGTGAAAGCACGCTTTGCATCAGCAGAGGTCCCTCTGTTGATCCTGGTTAGCAACAGAAGACGAGGTAAGTATGATGCTGGTACGAACGAATGATCCATCCAGCGATTGAGCCATCACCAAGATCTCGGATGATGAACGCGATGACCGATCCTGCAGCGACGACAACAAAGACCTGTGCCATGATGGCGAAACAGGTGACAAAAACAACCAGCCATGATCGCCAGCTCAAGTTGATATGTTCAGCCTCATTGAGTTCCTGAATGTGTTCCATGGGAGCCTCAAACTCGGTGGCGTGGGCGCGTTGTTGCCGTGCTGGAGCATTTTCAATGACCTCTGTGGTCTCATTGAGCTCTTTCTCGGCCGTCATGATGGCGGTGCCAGGTATCAGGCGACGAAATGATGTCGGAGGTCAAGCAGAGGCACAAAGAAGAAGAAATTTTGATGAGGGAACTGGCTCGTTTGCCTCACATGGATCCCTAGTGGGATATATAGAGCCCCGAGGTATCAATGCAGGGCGAGCCGCACCAACACTAGTCCACCCCGGCAGTTGATCTATCCTCCCATATCGGGTGAATCCCGCGGGAGGCCTATTCTCTAAGCGACAAAATCCTGGAGAGCATGTCGGTGGAGTTGGCGAGCACAACCAATCTGCTGATTCGTCTGGGGTAGCCCGAGGCAGCAAATTTGTCAAATTTACACGGCACGTGGCTTTTTTGTTCGGGTCTCGACTGAAGGAACACAGCCGCCTCGAAGGTATTCCCTGTAATGTGATGCCGAAGGGGTCTACAGAGTAAGATAGTGGGACTTGAATCAAGTGGGAGAATCCCAGAGTTCGGGGGAGGGAACAAGGCGCCGGTGGCATTTTGCGGAGAATGCCTGTACAGAAGAGACAGTCCAATCACGAGGAAGATGATGAGGTAATCTTGACATCTAGACTGAGGGCGCTCCCTCACAGCATCTCACATCACAACAGCAGTCTAACTGACGAGAATAAGTGACACGAGGGATTAGGAACCATGCTAGATACCTCAGGTAGGTATCTAGCGCCCCACAGGGGCCATGCAGAATCGAGGGCGTTCCTTTTCGCACCCCAGACAATGACTTCGGGGCCGACTGGCCCTTCGACTGGCGCAAACGATAACCTCGAGCCCGACTACCCCCTCGGCAACTTTGCCAAAAGAACGCAACGTCAATGATGATTCCATGACACTACCTATCCAAGTGAATGGATAGAGACATATCGGCCTGGGGGCGTCATTCTGTCAATTTGGGAGACAGTTTCAAGAGTGTATAGTACCAGAGCATCCGTAAACTGGGCCACGGCTCATTTTCAACTGTCTGGTTAGCCAGAGACACAATGTCGGTGACGACCGATCATTTCTACAGCTAGAGAGCACTGACTCCAATGTTTTGTTGCGAGAACTCACGCTACGTGGCATTGAAGGTGATGGGGGCTCTGGAATCTTCAACCGAGACGTCAATGCGAGAGCCAATCAACGAGCGCTGCCCACACGATCCCCTGAGCCAATCCATCGTGACCAATTTGGATTCATTTCAACACTTGGGACCCAACGGAGCTCATCATTGCATAGTATCTGAGCCCAATGTGGGACTTAGACCGCCGTGCCAAGAAGTAGCCTGTTATACTCTGTAATAGTCCAGTCAAAGACGTTGTCGTGTTCGGACCCCTGTCGTCGGAAGAGCTTAGCGAACAATTGTTGATTGTACCGATGGTCTGGTTCGCCTGTATCCCGCGGGCCCCTGATATAATGAACATGCTCTGCGAATTCGACTGGAAGGTCAGCACAAAGGTCTCCGGCAGTAATGGGCTTCTTTTATTGCAAAACAAGCAGATATTTGGCGTCGCCCCTTCCGGCCTATGCCCGGGAGAGATTTTTTCGGGCTTAATGTCTCGGTGAAGGTATGAAGACGTTGAAGGAGTTGGTTTAGCCAGCATTCAGGGTCGCCTTCAGAGAGATGGAACTGCCACATAATCCAAACAGGTCCTCTAGATTGGCCCCAAGATGGTTCAAAAACCATGGCATTGAAATCGCCTATCTGCCCTTGCCAGAAGACTCGCGGGAAGCCGACTTGACCACCTAATCCCTCGTAGTCGTCCAACTTCCTCGACAAGGAGAGGCTGTTATGTACCGGTGTCTGGCTGTCAGCTTCGTCGACATCTGGATCTCATTTCCTGAGAGTCTTGTCAAGTAGACGCTCCAGTTTACCGAAGCGTGACACGATTGAAGCCTTGAGCTCAGCAACAATTGGACCAAATCCAAAGTCCTTTGCAGTCTCTTTTGCAGTCCGCAGGGGTAAAGACAGCACTGGATGGTATAGGTTATACCCGATGGTCATATCTCAATCATTTGCTTAAGTGCGTTCAAAACGTCCACATCCTGAGGATGGATCGTGTAAGGGAGGACCTGCTCAAAAGTTTCGGCCAAGTCATGCAGCAGGCGGTGGCGTGCCCTGATCTTATCCTGCTCCGGGAATGCCACCTGTTGATCTCCGACATTCTTCTTCAATTCACTTGCGAGGTAGAACGCACAGCCCAGACAGATGTGCATGATGATCCATAGACGGCTAGCCTGGTAGTCTGCTTTCCGTAAAGACATGAATCGACGAAGAATTGTCTCACAACGGCTCGTACATGCCATGCTCTGGGCCTCGGTAGCTTCTGGTGTTTCCCATCCTGTCATCACCGAAGGAGACGCAGATTGGAGACCATTTGCAAACAGTGGTGGGGCTGTCAGGTGGTGCCGATGAAGCTGGAACATGAAGAAGCTGACGAATATCTGAAACACATCGTGAAGCACACGCTGATCGTCATCTTTACAGCTAGCACGGTTTCGCAAGTATTCTTCAGCTGAAGCTTCCCATAAAAGAATCTGCTCGGTGGCAACTTGGAATCGCACTGCTGGGAGAGCTCGTAAGCCGGTGCGGCGCGAATGGGTCCATTCGTGGTATATGTCGTTCATCACCATAGCAAGTCCATAACAGCTCTCCAGATACGGATATCCTTTCGGATTAGGGGGTCGGGGGATTCGCTGGACAGAGCCATCCACGAAAGCAGATGGAGATCGATCGTAGCATAAAGAGATCGTGGTGTCCTGCCAAACAAGGCCTTGCCTAGATGGTAGTGTTAATCGGAGAAAATAAGAGACAGTTGGCAAGGTCTATCTCATACCACAATAGCCAAGATTGGCGCTCAATGTCGCTGGAGTCCTTGGATGGTGGCGGCACGCAATGTATGCCTATGGACTGCGCCGCACGGATCGCCATTCCTGAGGGTAGAATGAGTTTTGTGTCTGAACACTCAATAGGAAGCGGCGTGCTTACCTAGCAATGACCAAGATGCAGCGGGGTTGGCCTGGACTCGTAGTATTGCGGCTAGGCCGGCGAGTACGCGCACGTTGCCGACCGTTGGCTGAAGAAGATAGTTGTCGATCCGCAGAAGCTCAAAGGCGCAACAGACTATGATTGCAGGTCGTAAGCCAATTTGCCTTGGAAACGCATGGAGAAGACGCAGGCGCCATACCGAAGACTCTAGAACTTAACTCCATGTCAGGCCGATGAACCCCGCCATAGGAGCACCCGCCTGCAAGCGCGACAAAGAGGAGTGCAAGCCACGACGTGGGTCGAAGCTCGCTTTCTGTCTTCTGGCCATTAGAACGTTCCCTCCAAAAGCCCTTGGCATCCGCAGCAAACTCGTGTAAGGGAACCGACGGGGAGACGAGGTTGGTGGATCCTTCAAAAGAAGCCATACACCTAAGAAAACGGCGATTAGCTTGAACCATGCCTTGTTGCGCCAAAGGTGACATACTGCTCAAAGGTTTCATCGTCTGGCAGGGCGAGGCAGATGTCTTCCACTGTGGCCCCTGGTGTCCAAAGGCTAGTGAAAGGATGTGTAGAGCCCGTGTCCGTCATGTATAGCAGCTTCATGGTCTCGTATGCCGAGTGTCGAGACCTACCTTTCCCAGCTTCTGATTGTGGACCAGCTGCCATGGGATGAGGGCATTTGAGATTGTCGACGAGGATCGAGGCCAATGACTCGGTTCCAATGTGCGCAAATGAACCATTTCCATCTGCTGCGGCAGTGGCTGTTGGCGCGAGGCCTGGTGAAATCTGCTGATACCCTGGGGCAACCGAAACTGAGCGCATGAAATTGGAGCTGCTGTCGTCCCCCTGCAGTTTATTCGCATACTCTTGAAGTGCTTCAGAAGAACCCAGGCGTCTGACCACCTCCTCTGCGATTGTTTGCATTCTACATTCGAGATCTGCAAGCGCCGCTACTCGATCTCTGGTCGATGTATTCGATGCTCTAGAATGCGCAAAACCATGTTGGCTCCGCACTTGGCCGTTCTGGTCTAGATACACACAGAGCGTGGGTTGTTCATGCTTGACGCAATTTCCACAAGGGTTCATATGATCACAACGTATCTTTCGGCAGCGGCATGGGTAACATGCCTTTGGGTAAGACTTACGCCGCCTTTTTGCGAGTAGCTGGTTGATTTTTTGGACGCTAGGAGCCTCATTTGGAGGTCCCTCATGCTGGACGTTGGAACTCGCCATCAAACCGCCTGGCCCTCGTTTCCTGGCGAGAGCGGTCCAAGAACCTTATTCCTGAGAACGCCGAATTCGTTTTTGCACACACAATGTCCGCCAGATTGAAAGAGGCAAGCGGCTCGCTTTAGGAAGAACTATGTAAATTGTTTTAAATGAGAACGTCTGGCGTAACCTGAACAATAAATCACAACGATCACGGAAGTCGTGAGATTGAGGCGATAAGAAAGACCAAGACATCGACATATGGGCCCCATGATCAAGACCCCACTCGAGCCGAGCGTAGTCCGTACTAAACTAGCAAACTGCCCAATTCAACTGCAAGAGCTTCGAGCCCATGAATTCAGGTCTTTCGGGGAACCAGGCTGTTTATTATAGCCGCTGAGATACACTCAAACCACTCTGAAATCACTGATAACGCTGCTATGGCAAGACGAAAGACAATTTAGATATCTAGACGTGGAAACTACTCGGTGGCTCGCTCCTTGCCCACAACAGTGGCCGCGGCACTCGAAGTACAGAACATTTTGCTTGCCAAGGTACGCCCGTATAGAAGCCTCCAACATGGCTTTTTGCATACCCTTCCAAGGTTCAATCTCGAAGTCATCTAACTGTGGCTCGATATAGCCGTTGGGAGCTATTGAACGCGGCACAACCATCAGATATCGGCCTGCTTCACCTTAGTCAGCAATTGCTCCTCGTAGCTGTCAGCAAAGTCGCTACCATTGATATTTGTATCACAAGCGACTCTCAGCACAGCTAGCGTACAATCTGCGATTTCTGCGAATTCAATGCCTTTTGAAGTCAAGATGTCGACGATATGCGGCTTTATGAGCGAGGTCTTGGTGTACCTTGAGAGGGAGCACCGTTAGCTCCACACATCCAGTCTCCAACTGACATCTTACCACGGGCCGATACTATTCACTCGGATACCCTCCGCCCTCGACGTACGCCTTGCACACGCCGTGAGACTTCGAAGCCCAAACTTCGACGTCTGGTACAAGAAGGAGCCAAGAAGGAGCCGGGGTGGTCAAGGTAGGCGGCAACGCTACCCTTGATAATGATGCACCGATCTCGACTGGGTGTTTGGGGGTGGAGACGGTGGTTGTTCTTGTGAAGGTAAGAAATGCAATTGGATTTGGCACAAGATCCCTTCCTCCAAACACTTAGAGAGGGGGTAGGTCTGTAGCATTATGCCATCTCTCCGTGGCACCACAATGCGGCATCGAGCACAAACCATCCTAGTTCGGCAACCAGCTTCCGACCCCTGTCCTCATTGATGTCGCCGATAGTCACAAACGCCCTACAGGAAAGACGATACTCAGTCCACGGTACAATAGTCTTCTCGAGCTTTGACTTACCCTGCGGGGGCAAACGCACGCGCATGATTCTCGCCGAAACCGCTTGCCCCTGTGCTCAATTCTGTGTCAGTCTCGTTTCGACGCATCCGCACCTAAGCCATGCAGCAACACTAGGACTCTCTCTTACCTCCCGTAACGACCACACTCTTGCCTCTAAGCGTCGTGGTGTCTGGCTTGACCGAAACGTCGACCGTTTTATTGGTGTATGTCGATGAAGCCATTGTGATCTTTGGCCTTTCCGCTTGAATCAAATTCTGCCTGGAAGCACAGTGAAAACCAGAAAGATTTCGAAAACGTAGTCTCTCCCCCACTTCTCTCGCCCGCGAGGGTGTTTTCTTATGTACCCTTAATATGCAGAATAGGAGTCATCGTGGTCGCCATATCCAGCAGCCTGGCTTTTGCAGGATCAATTAGGCTGAACGAGTGGTGGGGGAGACTTTCACAACCGGAGATTCTCCCCCATGTACCTGAGTGGAACCAGCCGCTGAGAACAACGTCGGGAAGCATATGGATATGTCTGTGAGGCGCGGAGCGGGTAGGTTGTAATAACGTACCATTTGTTGCACTGCAGGCGTTTTGGAGACTAGTCTGATAGCTCTGACTCAAGTAGTCCCGGAACCAACAGCTCTCTCGACCTTCTTTCTGATCTTCAGATATCCTCCTGGGGATACGACATCAGCCAGGCGAAATACTCAGAACAGGATTCCTTTTCACTGAGCTCATAATCAACAGGTGGACTACCCCTAGAGCCATGTCATATAAAGATAGGGAGTCAATTCTGGCTACGGCGAGTATTGATCCCGAGTTGCAAGAGGTTTGTCCGCAAGCTCGTTAGGAACCAAGTTCTCTTCTCACAGGGTCTGCATAGTTTCTGGCGAAAGCAAATCTGCCTCCCCCAAACTTCAATGACATCGCCGCTTTCAAGCGAATCTCTCTACCACGCATTGAAGCCTCCCGAAAGGCGTTAGGTGCCCCGCCAGCCGGGGTCAAGCAGACCGACTTGCAGTACACCACTGAAGACAGCAGCAAGCTTCGTGCAAAATTATATCAACCTACTATCCCAACGCCGACCGGAAGTCCACTTATCGTGCTGTTCCATGGCGGAGGCTTCTGCACTGGGGAGCCCGAAGGCGAAGAGCAAACAGCGCGGAATTTTGTTCTCGCCTTCGGCGCCACCTGTATCTCGGCTGCCTACCGACTCGCGCCCGAGTTCAAGTTCCCCTACGCGCCTAAGGATGCGTGGGATGCCCTGAGATGGGCTGCCGTGAACGCGATCTCCTGGGGTGCAGATCCATCAGTGGGCTTCGTCGTGGGCGGAACCTCGTCTGGTGCAAACCTGGCAGCCGCTGTTGCTCATCTAGCCCGCGACGAAAAGCTTTCTCCGCCTCTAACGGGCCAGTATCTTGCGGCTCCGATGCTTCTACCGTCCTCAAAAGTTCCAGAAAAGTACAAGAAGTGGTTCCTATCCTTTGAGCAAAACAGAGAAGCAGCAGTCTTACCTGTCGCCGCTATTGATATGTTTACGACTGCATATGGCCCAGATGAGGCCGACGGCGTATTTTACGCCTCGTTCAACCACCCTCGAGGACATGCAGACCTACCACCCACTCTGCTACAAATTGACGGAATGGACCCGCTGCGTGATGATGCACTTATCTACGAACGTGTGCTTCGAGAAGAGAATGGAATCCGGACCAAGTTTTATCTCTACCCAGGTCTGCCGCATGCCCATTGGGCCTTCTTTCCGTTCTTGAAGGGCAGCGAGAAATTTCGAAAGGAGCAAATTGAAGGTATGGGTTGGCTACTGGGAAAGGAACCAGACTATTCCCAAGCGCAGACAAAGCCGATCGCGGGGGTCGCATAGACGACTGGGTCACTGTAGACCGTAGTGTCCACCAAAACTGACTAGAGTAGCGGGTTCCCAATTTTCAAAAGGTACCATGAGCCAATGGACCTTGAAGAAAGAGCCGGTACTGGCAGAATTTCAAACAGGGACCTAGACATCAATATCAGCGCATGCAAGAGCGCACGATCTTCTGGCTATGTTAATTACAGTATTAGCTGCGGGGAAGAAACCTGATTCGACAATAACGAAAGGGTCGTCTATGATGAATTCGAGAGATGGCCAGGTCTGATCGAGGAGCCATGCCATTCGGTCGCGTGTTCTCGTATCAGGAGCTAGTCTGCGAGCGATACTCGTGTCCACGATGATGTTATGGCGACAGCTATCAGCAAAGATAGCAAGATTAGGGATGATATCACCATCAGTGCAGCCTGGGGGGGGCCAATTTCGTCTGTGGTGTAATTGATTACACTGCTGCGGTTGAAGTGCATCCTAAATGGGATCCCCATTCTTCTGGGGCATGGTCGTGATTGCAAGGTCCAACTTCGTAGTCCTTGGCTCGGGAGAATCGAATGACAACAGCAAGGCTTGGTATCTGAAAGTTGATGGCGCATTTTGATCGCTATTTCCGGTTCCGCCCCGAGCATGGCATTGGATTGGACAAAACAATGTTGGGTGGGAATGTGGGACACCGGGATGTCGTGGTCTGGAGTCTGGACCCACTGTCAACGGCAAACGGAGTACGGAGTACTCCATGCCCCTAAAGCCCGAAACGATATCCCAAGCCTTGACTCGAGTATTGTACGAAGTAGAGAGCGACAACAGTCAACCCCCATCTTCTGATCAGATGGCTAGATCTCTGCGGCCTTTGCTCTATAGAACCCTACCCGGCAGGGGACGTGGCGAAGGGCTCTTGAGCGCGTGAGGTGCACCCCATCCTTGTTCATGGCAAATTGACAAACGCAGGTGAACCGCTAACCCATTCTTTGAACGTTGTTGGAGGCCAGAATCACTCATGTATTAGGCACTACTATCTGTTCAGGATCTCAAGTGACCTCCTCTTTAGCGAGACCTTTGGATGACACAGCGACTCACAGCATCAGATCACCAAGATGGTTCACTTCTCAAACACGAATGGTGTAGCTCCAAGAAGTGCTGGTCCAGTTGAGCTGCTGGATCAACCTCTGCACACGAAGCGCAAGTTGCGCTTGATTTGCATCGGCGCTGGCATTTCAGGCATTGCTGCAGCATACAAGTACCAGAAAGACCTTGAAAATGTCGAGTTCATCATTTACGAGAAGAATGACGACGTTGGAGGTACTTGGTACGAAAATCGATACCCTGGCTGCGCGTGTGATATCCCGGCCCACGCTTATACATATTCTTGGGAGGGAAATCCCAACTGGTCACGATTGTAAGTATTCCGGGCCGCATCCATCTGAGTAACCGCGCTCTGACGTGTCTCTGCAGCTACGTTGAGCGCCCAGAGATCTTTGCCTATTACAAGAGTTGCGCCATTAAATGGGGCTGCATGAAATATATCAAGCTCCAACACCGTGTAGTCGAAGCTCGATGGTCCGAGTCCGACAAGGGCTGGCATGTCAAGATTGAGAATCAAGCCGAAGGTACGATGGTAGAAGACTTCTGCCATGTGCTTCTCAACTGTAATGGAGTTCTCAAGTCCGATCATCACTACCCCTAAACTACCCTCATGCTAAAATGTCCATCACAGTAATTGGAAGTGGCCCGAGATCAAAGGTTTACATGACTTTAAAGGCAAACTCCTGCATTCTGCCAGATGGGACAGTAACTGGGATTACGCTGGCAAGAACGTTGCCGTAATTGGTGCCGGCTCGTCTGGAATTCAGATCGTTCCTAAGATGCAGAAAGGTAAGTCTCGGCGCTGTCGAGTCGGACAACACATTAACCGTGAGCAGTGTGCAAATCGGTCGTGAGCTTCAACAGGTCACCTAACTGGATCACTCCAGAGTTCAGCCAGGGTCTCGCTTCAGACGGACGAGCTACGATTTACACTGAGGAAGAAATTGAGAAGTTCAACACAGACAAGAAATATTTCTTAGAGTATCGGAAAAACATCCAGAACTTTGGCAGTGCGACGTATCCTCTTTATTACAAGCATTCCGACATGCAAAAACAGGTTTTTGCCAAGTACGCGGAGTTGATGAAGCAACGACTACGTGGGAACGAGGAATTGTGCGGTAAACTGATTCCGAAATTCCATGTTGGCTGCAGAAGGTAAGTTCGGAGGGGAGTTGACAGTGATGCCTTGGTATACTGAAGCCGATTCAGGTTTACCCCAGGAGATGGCTATCTCGAGTCGTTGCTTGAGCCCAACGTCACCGTCGTCACCTGTGAAATTGACGGAGTGACTGAGACTGGTATCGATCTGATCGACGGAAGACACTTTGACTTGGACGCCATCATTTGTGCTACAGGTTTCGATTGTTCTCACCGTCCTCCGTTCCCAATCATTGGTCGGAAGGAGCGGAATCTGTCTGAATACTGGAAACATGAGCCGCTGCACTACATGTCCGTTGCAGCACCCGGTTTTCCCAACTATTTTAGTAAGTCAATCCTTGTTCTTTCACAAAGACCTCAGTATGGGCCAGCTCTTTACTAACCCGGGTATCTTCTGCTAGTCACTGGTGGTCCGAATAGTCCCATTGCAAACGGATCACTCATCTCCGGCGTAGAAACTGAAATCAACTATGCCTTTAAGTGTATAGTGAAGATGCAGACCGAAAATGTGTCCAGCATGGAGCCCACCGAAGAGGCTATGCAAGACTTCATCGAGTACAGAAATGCGATCATGAAAGAAATGGTGTGGAGCAGTACATGCCGCAGCTGGTGAGTTTGATCTTCTTCTTTCCTGTCAATACGATGAATTCTCTGCTGACACGAAAACACTTACAGGTTTAAAAATGGCAAAGTGGATGGTCCTGTTATTGGCCCCTCGGTGGGATCAACCTGGCACTTCAACGAGGTTCTCAAGGAGCCTCGATACGAGGATTACAATCTAACCTACTGCACGCCAAATCGTTTCACCTACTTCGGGATGGGAAGAACCATACGGGAAATTCAAGGTGCCGATATGGCAATCCACATCACAGAGCCAGGAGCGTAGGCTGCCGAGGATGTCTTGTCCACACCCTGGGACCCAATCCTGGATCAGGGCTTCTACGAAGGCTGGTGTGGGAACGAACGATCAAAGTGCTGGAGATAGAATAGACCATAAGTGGACATGCCAATTGCCTGGGTAAGGGAAATTTCTAGAACTGTACAGATTTCATTTGTGCTCATCTATGCCGATCAAACATTCAGGAAAGGCAGGGCAGAAAACAGCAATCTAGGTGGACT